GTCACGGCCCGGCCCGGGCGCGCCGCGCGCGCGCCGAGGGAGTGCAGCCGCCGCGCGCGCTCGAGGTAGGCGTCGGCCGCGAGGCGGTTCTCAAAGGTCAGGGCGTAGCGGCCCCTCGGCGCGAGGGTCGCCGGGTCCAGGGCGCGGGACGCGCGGAGGAGCCCCCCCGCCCAGCCGTCGAGGTGGGCCGAGGACGAGGTGGCGAGGCGGTAGAGGTCCGAAGGGTCCAGGCTCGGGGGTGCGCCGCGCAGGATCAGGGTGGCGGTGGGGAGCTGGGCGGCCGCTGGAGGAGGGGGCCGGCCGCTGCCCTGGACCCTGGGCCCGAGTTTGCGCGGGTCGTGGAGCCATTTTGCTAGGGAGGGGTCTGGGGGGATGGGGCTTGGTTGTGATGGTGATGATGATGAGTCGACTTGTGAGTCTGTCAGGGGCGGTGGTGGTGAGGAGGAGATGAAGTCCTGTGAGGTCTGGGCGACGGTGCTCTTCTCGCCGGGGAAGAGCTCCTCGAACAACGATGGGCCGGGGGCAGCAGGAGGCTGGCCAGCTGCGCTGTCTGTGGGCGTGGGAGCATCATCTTTGCGCGAGCGGTCCTGGGCGCGGCAGAGGCACCGCGAGGTCGAGATGCGCCGCGGCGTACACGCTGCTGGGACGGTGCTTCTCACCCACGGCGGCGTCGGCGGGGAGAGGAGCGCCGCCGGGAGTCGCTTTGGGAGCATGCGGGCGGGCGGTGTGGTGGTTGAAGGCGCTATCGAGGCGGCATCACATGGGAGACTGTGTTTTGAAACTTTGGCCCAGATCACTTAAGAAATTGCTCCAGTCTGGAGGTGCGCTGATCGAAGAGATGATGAGAGGTCCAAAAGGGTCGGTTGTCGCTGGCGGAGGTCTCAGGCTCCGGATTTGACTCCTGGCGCATCTTGACGCCCCCCACTTTGGGCCCGTCAATACTGTTGGCCAATCGCCTTGGAACCGGGAGTCCGGCGAAAAAACTCGAAAACTTCGGCGCCGACTCCCCGTCTACATCTACGCTCAAGCCTAGCTGAGTTTCAATATTGGCAGGGGTGGTCAAAGGCTTGAATCCGAACCTGCAAATGGATTATCTCACCACGTAATCCCACGCCATAGACAAAATATGTCTTCCAGATCATGCCCCGTGCAGCTCCGTCCGCTGAAGACGGAGATGCTCAAGGGCGCGTCTCGGCTCCATGTTAGCCAAGAGCTCCTCCTCGAGCTCACCCGCAGCGCCGAGAGCGGCAAGCCGTGCACGATAGAGAGGTCTGGGGATCCCGCTTCCCGGAGAGAGGCCGTCCTGTTCAAGTCTGCCGAACCGAATCTCGGCAAGAAGGTCGCACTGATCCCCAGGCCCTTCCAGGATGCCTGCGGCTTCACGTACTCGGACCAGCACACCATCACCTACACGCCCGGCAGCACGCTCCCCGAAGCACAAGAGATCGTGCTGGAGGATGCCGGCAGCGACAGTGCCATCAACGCCCTGACTGAGCAAGCCTGGATCTACGCGGTCGAGGACCAGTTCTGCAACATCCAGACCATCTTCTCCGGCATGACGCTCAAGGACGTCGGGTCCCGCGGCGCGAAGAAGACCTTTGCTGTCAAGCTTGTCGACGGCAAGACCAACGGCAATGCACAGTTTGTGCTCGGCACCACGGTCGTGAGATTTCACAGACCAGGCGCGGAAAAGCTCCCCCGTGGCGACCTGCACCTTGCGCCCATCGAGGGCATGGCCGGCCCCGTGCGAGAGCTGAACGACTTCCTCTTGCGGTTCAAGTATGCGCCGTTCCCGCAGGCCGTCACGACCTGCGGCATCGTCATCCACGGCGGCCACGGAGTGGGCAAGACCATGCTCCTGAACCGCATCGCCGCAACGGGCTGGGGCACTGTCCTCCCTATCGCCTTCAGCGACAAGCTCACCTCCATACAGGAGACCTTCCAGAGAGCTCGGGAACAGCAGCCCAGCATCGTCACCATAGACCGCTTCGACAGGCTGGTCGACAAGGACCGGTCGAATCGCCAGGCCGTCATCCAGGCCCTGTGCAGCTTCCTGGACAAGCTGTCGGCCGGGCCCGAGAGGAACGAGGCGCTGCCCAAGGTGGCGGTCCTCGTCACCTGCCAGGACTACGCAGCCGACATCCCCTCCGACCTGCGCGAGCCAGGGCGGCTCACCAACGACGTCTTCTTGCCCCTGCCAGACGTCGACTGCAGGAGGACGATCGTCAAGTCCTTCGACGTGCCCTTTGAGCCGTCGATCAAGGCAGACGCCGTCGACTACGTCGCCGAGCGCACCCACGCGTACAACGGCACCGACCTCTCCCGCCTCGTCACACGGGCGATGGAGATCAGCAAAGTACGACACTGTCGCGCGGCACCCGCCCCGTCCGCCCCCCCCGCCGACCCAGCATGGACTGCCGACGAGCAGCAGCAGCAGCACGGCGGCGGCGACACCACCACCCCCGAGCACCACGTCTCGTACGCCGACGTCAACGAGGCCCTGGTGCACATCCGGCCCAGCGCCATGCACGACGTCAACCTCAAGCCCCCGCCGATCCAGTGGTCCGACATCGGCGGGCAGGACGCCGCCAAGGAGTCGCTGCGCCTGTCGGTCCTGATGCTCAACGAGCGGCCCGAGGTCCTGCGGCTCTTCGTCTCGCGGCCCCCGCGGGGGATCCTCCTGTACGGACCCCCCGGCTGCTCCAAGACCATGGCCGCGCAGGCCATGGCCACCGAGTCCGGGCTCAACTTCTTCGCCGTCAAGGGCGCCGAGCTGCTCAACCAGTACGTCGGCGAGTCGGAGCGCGCCATCCGGCGGCTCTTTGCCCGCGCGCGCGCGGCCCCGCCCGCCATGATCTTCTTTGACGAGATCGACTCCATCTGCGGGCAGCGGCAGGGCATGGGCGGCGGCGGCGGCGGCGGCAGTAGCAGCACGTCGACGTCGCACGGCAGCCTCAACGTGCTCACCACGATGCTCAACGAGATGGACGGCTTCGAGGCCATGAAGCAGGTCGTCGTGCTGGCCGCCACCAACCGCCCGCAGGTCCTGGACCCGGCGCTGCTGCGCCCGGGCCGCTTCGACCGCCTCATCTACATCAGCCCGCCCGACCGCGCCGCGCGCGAGACCATCTTCCGCAACGAGATCGTCAGGCAGGGGCGCGGCGCCGAGGGCGCCGAGGGCGGCCAAGGCGGCGTCGACCCGGCGGCGCTGGCGGACCGCACCGAGGGGTTCTCCGGGGCCGAGATCAGCGGCATCTGCCGGAGCGCGGGCGCCGAGGCCTACAAGCGGTACAAGCTGCGCGGCGGGGCGCAGGGCATCACCATGGACGACCTCGAGCGCGCGATCCGGGAGATGCCCAAGATGATCACGCAGGCCATGCTGGACGGGTTCAAGCAGTGGGAGGACAAGTTTGCGCATTTCTAAAAGCGGCGCGGGTCTATCTATCTTTGCATGGATGCTTTTTCTTTTTACATCCCCATGAAGAGCTTGCTTGGTGCGAGATATAGTCTCAGCGAGAAATCTAGCGCTTCAAATGAATCTTTGTAATGATGTACAACAAGTAACAAGGGGCCCATGCCGATGTGTTAGCTCAGACCCCCTCCTCCATGACTGGCTCAGTCAGTCCAGTCACGACCAGCTGCGATTGTTCATATCATCCGACGCCTGTACACGCCAAACATCCAGCTAGCCCTCAGGATCGTCAGGCCCAGCGCCATCTTGATGCTGTCCTGCAGTACGTTGAGCTTGCTCCCCTCCACCTCGTGCCAGTCGATGGGCACCTCTGCAACCCGAATACCGGGGCTCCTGCCAATAGTAGCGCCCTCGTCGTCGAGCACCAGGGAGGCGGGTGCTGACTCGGCCAGCATCAGCATCTCGATGTCGAAGATCCAGCCTTCGGAGTGCATGTATGGGATGATGTGAGGTAGGGCGGCTCGGCTGAACAGCTTGAAGCCGCACTGCGTGTCGGAGAGACGCGAGGTCGCCGGTGGAGTCAGGATCATCAGGACGAAGTGGAAGGCCTTCATGAGGAAGTTGCGGAGTGCGGAGCGCTGGATTCACCGGCATGCGGTGTAAGCGGCAATTCAGAGACTGATACGAAAGAATAGAGATCGCTTTCATACCTTTACAACGGCCTCACTTCCAACCAGATGCCCTCGACTGCCGATCGCAACACCGCGGTTCGCTCCGTCAAGCACTTCATTGCAGCCCGCGACCAGGTTACCCAGGTAGCTGAACTTGGAGGCGCCGTCCGCATCCGCAAACGCCGCGTACCGGCCGCGCACATGGCGGAAGCCGTGCGTGACGGCACCGCCCTTGCCACGGTTCTTCTCCAGCGTGACGACGCGGATGACGTCGTGCAGGTCGTTCTTGCGCGCAAACTCGAGCGCCACGTCGACCGTCCTGTCCCTGCTGCCGTCGTTGACGATGATGATCTCGTAGCCGGTCACGTCCTCCTCGTCGGGCACGCGGTGCCTATGCGCGTGCCGGTTCGGGGTGCCGGGGCGGCTCGAGGGCTTGGCGGCACCAGCCGCCTTCTTATTGCTGTTGCCTTGACCGGGTCGACCGAAGCGGGCGTCGAGGTAGTCGACCATCTCCTGCAGGGCGGGCAGCATGCGCAGCTCCTCGTTGTAGGCGGGGACGACGACGCTCATGGCCAGCTCGGCGGGCTCGATGGAGCCAGTGTCGGGGACGCGAGCGCCGTCGAGGCCGGCAGGGCCCGAGACGTCGCCGATGGGGGCCTTCTCGTTGATCTGGCGCTGGACCAGCCAGCGGTCGTACCAGCAGGGGAGCTGGCGGGTGACGACGGCGCCATTGGGGTCGGTGGTGCGGTAGGTCTTCTCCGAGGGAAGAACGGGCCGTGGCTTCGGGGCGACCGCATGCAAGGCTAGGTAGAAGGCAAGGAATGCAGACAGCGAGAGGGCGAGAAAGGCCAGCAGGAGCAGATGAGGCGGGGTCGACAGGATGGTGGCGACGAGGCTGTCGAACAGCTCGGCCGGCAGGCTAAGGAGCGACATGATTTGCGGGATGCGCGCAGTTCACAGTCTAGCCACTAGCCACCCATCCACGCGGTCTCAATTGTGTGCCTTGTAGATAGAGAGAGAGAGCGAGCTTGGCGGCCGAGACAGGTCTCCCTCTGGCGCGGACGTGGGGTTTGTTTGCGGTATGGGATTGCACATGCAAATTGAGGCTACGCTGGTCACTTTCACCAAAAAAAACGCGTTCGGTGGCAGCTACCTACCTAGGTAGGTACCCGGGTAGGTCCAAGCTTCCCTGCGCGCCCCACGCAGCCCCTGTCCCCTGTCGATCTGGGTGGGAAAAGCACAGACCGCGTGCCTGGGAAACCCCCCCACCTTGCGCTAGGGCAGTCCACTGAATGACGGGTAGTGTCTCTGGGAAGTTAGTGCGTTTAGCGCGAGCCTCCAGGGCGGGTGGCGTGCAAATCCAGCGGCTGATCCACCATCCTTAGGTGTGTCTGGTTGGTGGAGGGTGGACAAAGCTGTCCAAATGGCAGAAGCAGCCATACCTTGGCATTTCACAGAAATGTGATCCATCTTGTGCGAAAGCCACCACCGTCATTACTTTTGTCTCTCGCCGTGGAGTCACGATTCTTCCCCCTCCTTGCTTCAGAACAATGGATACCTGTGATCAGTGTGTCGTGTGTCCCCTCAATCTGGGCCTGTCTGGTGATTGTGGAACTGCATGTTTGCTTGCAGATCATGGAGTCGCGGCTGCGGTTCAGGAATGATCTACCAGGATCCCGCGGCTTGGACCCTGAACTTAAGCAGCCTCAGCTGAGCCGCGCCCGCCAGGCTTCTTCTCTTCAAGGAATGATCAGCCGCAATATAAGCAGCACGAGCTCTTTTCCGTCGTGTTTAATCTCGGCCACCGGAGCCGAACGAACGGGACGGGATTCCTTTGTGCCAATGCCATCCTCGCCGGCTGAGCTAACGAACGGACATGCGAAAACTTGGACCGACAGGCCCCTGCATCAAGCCACTGCCAAGCCTACAATTACAATTACAAGTCACAATGCTGGGTACTGGTACAAGCACACATAGGTACATACATCTCAGAAACCTGGCGGCTCGCTGATAAGAGGCTCTGCGCTCCAGTCCTTGATGGAAGCCGTGGAAACGGGCCGAGCTGCGCGTCCGCGGTGCCCGTCTGCAGCACATCCAGTCATTGGGCTGAGGAACCCGAGAAAGCAGGATTGGGGACTCGTTGGTGCTGGGAAATCAAGCTTGCGATCTCTTATCCAACAGCCAACAGGAATCCACCCAAAACGGCGACAAAGAAAGTTTAATAGTCGGTTTATTTGCTCCATCCACCACCGTCTCTGCCAAGAACCCGTCTTGGAAGCTAATCACCCGTTCTTACCTCCCGCTTACCGAAACAAGTCCCATCTTTGGGATTCTTAGTTCTCGGCGGCCTGACCAGCAAATCGCAATGCTGGACACAAAGCGCCTCATCCCCTAGGGAGGTGTGGATGAACGTCGTATTCAACCACACTGCGGAACAGAACCCCCATCCGCACCTGAAGCAGCTAGTTACCTGAAGCAGCCGCGACACGAGGAGGTCCTCTCTTCTTCAGGGCGGCTCTGGTCTTTCATTGTCTTGACGGAAGGCTTTCCTGGGCTGGCACATGCTATTGATTCCATGCAGGACTAGGGCCAAACCTTGGGTCCCAAACTCTGCCCTGACGTGCCCGTGGTCAGCAAAGGAGACCGCACGGGGTTCAGCGTGCACCATGTCCTGTGTCTGCAACGATGCGGCGGATGGACTATTGCTTGCTCTGCATGTTCGAGCCAGCCAACCCCAACAGCGCCTATTCTTTGCCTGCATCCACTTGCGGGCCTGACTTCTCCACCAGCCGGATCCGGGCAGGGATCTTTTTTTGGTATGAACAAGGCCTGGTTGACAAAACCTGCGACACTGTTGGCTGGTTCGAAGCGCAGAAGAAGGCCAGCCGCTACCGTTCACCGTTCAGACCTAGCATCGCTCTACCAGGACTCAGGCTCCGCCTGCACTCCGTTCCTGCAAGCAAGGTTGTCCCCGGTAGCTGAACACGAGCTCGAGAGCAGGCAAGAAGCAATGGAAGAGCAAAAGTCTATGACGGCGGCGCGCGGTTATGGGGACTGGGCTTGATGAATATTGATGGCACCACCAAGGCAGAATAGAACGTTGTGCGACCTGCCTCTCTGGTCGATGCCTACGTACACGCCCCCCCAGCAGACAGCAGGCGAGCGGAGGCCCGAGAACCCAGGTCTGAGGCCGCAGGGAAGAAGATAAGGTAGCTCGCGGCGGAGCAACCTCTGCTGCCTGCAGCAAGGGCCTCGATTGGAAAATGTGCTGGCTGCGCAGGTATGCGAAGATATGCAGAGAACTATCAAGATCCCTGCCTCCGGCGGACAAGGAGGGCCAGGCTGGCTGGCTGGCTGGCTGGCAGGCTGGCAGGCTGGGCAAAATACCATGCGTCCATCCGTCTGCGATCGCACATCCATGCAGCAAATTTGAGACGATGATCCTCTTTCTAGCTCCTCTGGTCGTCACACAACCTCATTTCCTCAACAAAAGCGGCAATACCAGGTTACACTGGAGCTTGGACAGATACGAAAAGAGGTTCTAGCGGTGCAGGGATCAGGGGGGCCCCTTGTCCAATATCAACGTCGTGATATTGTCGGAGGATGGATGCTATTGCTGGCCATATCTCGAGCAACAACATACCGGTATCTCTGGGCGTTTGTTGATAAGAGGAGAGGCTCAACACCATATCTAGGGAATTGGGATATAACAACATCTCATAGGCTCCCGCCTTGGCGAGCGTTTTCGGGAGTGGCTTGCCTGAACCGTGTTCTCCCAATGGGCTGAAATTGCCCATTGGCAAAAGCCACAAGCCCATCCCGCCGCATGGGCGCTCCTCGTATCTCTTGGCTCTCCGAGCCTATCACAGCAAGGACAGACAGACGCTCACATCCAACGCACGTTGCCAATCTTTTTTTGTTCCTCCGGCCGCTTCGGCGAGCGGTGAGGCCATCGAACCTGATTCGATATAACCCCCAAGCCACATTGGACAACCAGACGTACGTACCTGACAACGCACGCCAATGAAATACCCGGCTGGGCAAGAGCCGTCCAAACCTGCAAGCAGGAAACGCCACCTATACATCAGAAGAAAAAAAAAGGAACGAAAGACTGTCGTTCCTGGGCGCGGATCGTCGGACAGCAGCAGAGCTGACCTGCATGGTGGCTGGGCTTCAATGGAGGTGATGAGCCCGTCCCCCCGTCACGAGCGAGCTACCCAAGCCAGCTGGATGATATGCAGTTGCGGGCTCGCGCGCCCGCTTTTCAGCTGGGTTTGCAAAAGAGAGAGAGAGAGAGGCCGGATGGGGGGGATAAGGTAGGTATCTTGGGGAAAAACGCCTCCGCGGCTGCGGGCGACGCGCTCTGCCCTCCGTGCCGAACTTCCCTTCTCTTTTGACAGGCAGCTGAGACCTTCTCTTCCCGAACCCGAAGTAGGACGGATTTAGTGTCTGTGAAATCAAAGGAAATGTCGCACAGCTGGGACGGCGAGGGGACGGGAGAGGCTTGTAAAGACAAAAGAAGAGAGAGAGAGAGAGAGAGAGAGAGAGAAAAGCAAAGTGCACTCGTCTGTTCGATGCGCTGGCATCGTGGGGTTTTCCCCGTAAGTTCGTTTGCAAAGATTGGCTAGGTTCGGCATGCAACTGCACATGCTGTGTTTGCGGTCAGTCACGTTGTGTAATGTCCGGATTCGACGGATGCCCAGCCCTGCCAGAATGTCTCAGAGATCCCGGGGAGCCAAACCTGACCGCTGGGATCTGCACTGGGGGGGTGGAAACCTTGCTTTCGCACCCATATCCGTAGGATAGGGGAATTACCCACTTGAGTAAAGGTTAGGTAGGAGAGAGCCGAGACAACTTTCTCTCGGGTCTTCTTCGTCCCATTCCAGCGAGCCGATGGGGAAATATGTCTCACGGAGAAGGAAGCGTTGAGGGAAAGTGGGCAGAAAGCGTGGTGAAAGGCCCGGCCTCTCCACAGGCCACATGGATGGACTGTGTTCTATGTGGAGAGTGGCCTCGTTTCCACCAAGGGGGTTCCAGAGAGACCGTCTCGTCTTTTCGGTGATGCCCGCAGGGAGCTATTCGTTCGGTTCAGCTGTTCTCGATCGGCAACCTCCGCTGGGTTCACTGCGGCGCTGTAGCTCGTTTCCCAATGTTGAAATTTCAAGACTTGCTATGATATTGATCATGAAGGGAATAAGTCCCGACTTTCCACTGCTCGAGAGGGACGCGTGTGCGTTGCAAAGGCACCAGAGTAATAACAGGACTTTGTCCAGAACCATAGGGCCGAGTCTTTATACTTTCCCACGTACTCCCCTCCCAGTCTATATATAAAATATGGTTTTCCCATTTGCCGTCAGAGTATGCGCCTCCCAGTTGCCACAATTTCCAAGTGGTCATTACAAAAAAGAATAGTGATAGAGTCCCCCAGCCCCTAAAAAACCAAAATGAGAGAAGAAACAGATCCAAGTCGAGTCGTAGGCCAACGCCGTAGAATGAGTATCATGATAATGATGTGACAAAAAAAAAAAAAAGAATGGCTGTAAAAGCGAGAGAGATCATGCCGCCCGCCCGCTCCTCTCGGATGTGCGCGAGTAAGTTTGACAGGTGAGACAGGCCAGGGCCCAGCACACCTCAAGTCACGACGCTAGGTGCAATGAATGACGTTGAGTCAAGCGAACGTAAAAAAGCCGCCTGGCAATGGTGCGATGCTTTCCGGGAAATAATACAGTGAATGGTAGAGGTTTGGTCGTAAATGTGATTGGGGTGGCGTCAAGTTCGGCGTCATTAGCGCGAGGCCGGACAGGTGATGGCGTTCGTTGGTCGAGGAGGGGGGGGAAAAAAGGAAGAGTTGCTAGTCTGCCAGGCTAGTGACCGATGGATGGGACGGACGCCCTGTGTACGGTTTACCGGCTCAGACGGCCACTGCGGCCGGTTTGCTGCTGCCGCGAAGCGACCAGCGGTTCTTCTTGGTGAGCCTGGCACCACCACCACCATGCGCTTTCGATAGCTTGCTGGCCCTGGGCGGGGCGGCGGGGGTCACGGGTGGTGCTGTCTGGACCGGCGCAGAGGTGGCGTCGTGGAGGTCTGCTGGCGGTGCTGGTAGGGCGGTAGTGGTGACGGCCACCGGCCTAGGTTCTTTAGCGGCTTGGGCTGGCGCCTCGTTAACCAGAGCCCTGGGAGCCGAAAAGTCAATGGCGTCGACGCGAGTCGAGGCTGTGGCTGCGGCTGCGACGCTGGATGCAGCGTCGATGGTCGCCGTCGTCGATATGGCCATGCCCATCGGGGGCACGGAGCTGTCGTCCGAGACCGCACGGGGCATGGTGTCGAAGTCGGGGAATGGCTCGGCAATGTAGGCCGGGTCGATGTCGGCGGCGGTGGTAGACGAGGAGGTCGATGAGTTGGGCAGCCCAAAGCCGGACGAGATGCGGTGCGAGCTGGCCGAGCCTGGCCGGCTCATCCTGGAAGGGGAGCTGAAGTTCATGGGGGGCAGCGCAGGAACCGGAGGGATTCCCGCGCCTGTCATGGGTGATGCTGTTGGTGCCGTTGCTGTCCGGGGCGCCGAGGGTCTCGAGGACGAGGGAGGGTAGTACGTGCTCCGCGCCTGAGGCTGCGGGCTGTGAACGACCGCTGCAGGAGGATCCGAGACTCTCCTGCTGGGGTGAAGACGGTGCGGCTGATCGCTGCTGTTGACCACGCGCACGGCAGCGGCGCGGCTGTCTGGCGCTCGCTGGCTCCAGCTCTGCTTGGCCGGCATCTCCAAGTCGTCCTGCGAGCTCGTCGAGTCGCCGGAGCTGCCGACTGGCGATCCTGCTGCGCTCCTATGTCAGCCGGGGCGCCTGGGAAGAAAAACAACCAACTTCTCGCACGGGGGTACCTTTGCTGGAGGTTCGGCTGGCGCGGCCAGAGTCCACCATGGCGGGCCGGTCGACGGTCTTGCCCTTGACCGCGGCGCTCTGCGGCCGCTCCATCATGGGCGTGTAGACGACCTCGCCTCCGCGGTCGCTCCACCCCGGCATGCTGCTGTAGCTGTAGGCCCTGGGGACCTTGACCATGGGGTTGGCGTAGACGGACGGGTACGAGACGTGGGAGAGGGAGCTGTTGACCCGCGGCATCATGCCGCTGTGGACCGGCGTCATTGATCCCGCCACATGCATGCCCAGGCCGCTTGCTGTCATTGCACTCCTCCTCTTGTGCTGTTCTATGATCCTCGGGCGGTCGTCTGCTCTCCAGGTCTGCGGTGCTCCATTGAGTGCATCGACGGCTGCATGGGTGGGTACGTGCTTGTAAGGCGGCTTTTCTGCGGCCTTCTTGTCCTTCTCGGCCTGCTTGTCCTTGTGCTCCTTGGCCGCCTGGCGACCCCGTCTGATGAGAGAGAAGACCGACATGAGGAGCTGGAGCTTCGAGATAGCTGGTGTATTTTTTGTTTCCCTCTCACCGGGTCAGAGGTTGGGGAAGGGCGAAGCGGGCGGGAGAGGAAAAAGCGGACGAGACGAGGAGGGAAGCGAAGACAAGACAACGGCTTATACGCCGTGGCCCGTCAAAGAGCTAGATCCTGGCCGCTAGTCTGTTCTATGGCGGCACGTTCGCAATGGCGACGACGGAGAGAGAGCGTCTGCTAGGCCAAGAGGGGCGAGCTGGGGGATGGAGTGGTTGTATGGTAGGTGGATTTATTGAACCCTGTTCAACGGGCGACGCCAGTTGCAGTTGGAGTTGGACTAGTGAGGTAGGCCGAATGGCCGAATTCAGGAACCACGGCCAGACAAAAAGAGTGGGTGCGGCCCAGGGGGATGGGGCAAGGAAGTTGGTGGTGCGGCCCCGGTGTCCTTGGTCTGTTTCTGTCGAGGGCCCGAGTCGAAGCACAAGTCAGCAGCGGGTGCCACTGACGGGACGAGAGGCGTTCAATTGCTTGCTCTCTGGGAGGCGTTGACGTTGGGATTTAAAAGAACCCTCCAGCCCTGCCTGAACTTGGGGGTCTGGACAGTGGTGCCGTGTTTGAGAAGCTCGTATCGATCGGGGGGGAGTGATAGACACCCTGCGAAGGATCAAGCACACAGGCGGCGTCTGGATGACACCCTGCTCGAAAGAGGGGGATCAACCACGTGCACCAGGCCGAGAAAGCGCAGAGCAAATGGCCAGGATGGAGTCGTCCTTTGGAGTGCAGAGTGACTGCAGCTCAAAGGGAAAGGATAATGCGTGTAAGATTTAGCGTTGGAGGGAGGATTGGACCCGGCAAAAAAAGGCACACAAAGTAACGACTGAGGCAAGAGAAGATACACGGTCTTCCGTGATTCATTAGAGAAGGGCAAACGGTATGTCCCCGATGAACAAGCGTCGATGAACAAGCGAGAGATCCGGAGGACACAGGATCATACAGGAGCGCGGCTTGATGATATTATATGAGTTGGGTAAACAAGAGAAAAGACAGACAGACAATGGGTGCAGCAGCCTGGGAAAAAGGAGACGAGACCGGGCCTCTTTGTAGGTCTGTCCGTCTGTGTGTCTGTCACCAACGACTGCATGCGAGCGTCCCAATCAATCGACGGTGACTTGACCAAACCCTGCTTCGGGCTGCAAACTATTTTCAAAATCCCCGTCTCCCTCCATCTGTGCAGGGCAGAGGGCCAGCGCAGAAGCAACCACGCAGGAGCAAGCACGCACGCGGGGGCGTGAAACAATCCTGGTTCGTGGCTCCGAAACCTCCTTCTTCTGGTCGATCATTACAAGTACAAGTAGATTTCCCTGGTGCAGATGGCAAGGCGATGGGTCCCCTGGCCGGCGAGTCTCGGTTGGCTTGCCCGTTAGCCGTGCTGCAGGGTTTGACCAGGGGGCCGAGGGAGGGGGGGGGGCGGCGGGCTGGTCCAGGATGGATGCGACGGGTAGGTGACCAGCCCTCAGCAGCATGTACGACGTGCGAAATAGTCACAATACAATACTTCGTGGTTTGTGCGAGGTGAGGGTGGAGGGCATTGGCAGATAGGTAAAAGAAAACCCAAAAGAAGCACCCATGGTCAGGGTACTTTTCATTCCGTGCATATGTGCCGCCAATATCACAGCCCAGTGGCCCATTCCATCTGGGCTGGCAGATACAATAGACATGTCGGCGCAAACATACCCTGCCAAGCCTGCCTGTGGATGATTCTTCTTTTGCTGCTACAAGTAGTTAGTCTACCGTTGCCTCCAGATCATGACGAAGAAAGGCGAAACGGGCGCCCACACCCCCAAATGCGACCGCCGTGGCCACTCAGGCGAGCCAACGGCGACGTTGGGCGTTGAGAGGGTTGAAACGGCGCGCACGCTGGCAACTGTGGCAAGCGTAGAACCGGTACATTTTTTTCTGGGCGAGCCAACGCACCATAGAGGAGTAGTCGTATTAGAAGAAATGCCTCTCAGCCAGTGCTTGAAGATTTCACAAGTGGGTGGGCCTGTGTTGCTCGTATTCGAGAGCGTACAGGTACACAGCCAGTCACTGCACGAGCGCTGTGGCCCAAAAAGACGTGCAGAGAGGTAGCGGTACATTAGCGGCCCTCTTGGCAATACAGCAGGTTCAGCTGCCCAGGCCAACGACGTATTAGCCGTCAAGGTTGGCGACTGTCATGGCGTGGTTAGCGATAGCTACCAGTACGGCCCGGCTTCGTTCTATTGGAGCCCGGGGTAGTGCTGGTTAGTGGTAAACGTCCTCAGTCTCCGTTCAGTGCGGATCATCTGCCTATTTGTAACTAACATGGCAGCCCATGCAAATGCTTTCCAGCCGCATGCTGCAGGGGCGGCACCCCGGGACGGGTACTCTTGAAACTTCACCGACTTCATCACTCACCGCGGGCGTCATATCTCTCGAGGCAGCTTCGGAACGAGACCTCATCAAAAGTCCCAGAGACTATTGCGCAATGTGGCTGATGGCTTGATAAGAGAAGATGCTCCTCCGAGCGCCTGTCGGACGGACACGTACGTTGAGCGAACGACGATGAGTGTCCCCGGCTGTGGCCCCCTCCATGCTTAGGCTCATCCGGTCCAAGACACCGAGGGGACATGATTCGACAATGTAAGTGACGAAAAGTGTTGGGATCAGACAGGCGGTATACCGGACGCCGGCAGCTGCATCTGCCAGATGCGAGTGGCAGCCATGATCCGATAGTCAGGCTCCCCTATCTACCGGTGGGCTCGATGCTGTGCGAGCCACATGACATCGCGAATAGGTAGCTCTCGCGAGATACCCTGCGTGGACATGGATGGACTTTGACGCCCCAGGTCTGTCTAACGGCACTCCTCTCCTTATCAAGCTCGGATCCGGCACGGGCGCCATCGCCATCACAGCTGTTCGACCAAAGGACAATGCAGCATGCTGCGGAGCTGACCACATGCATAGGTACCATGCAACTGCGCACTCGAGCGAGAACACAAAAAGGCGGATCCTTGTGTCGACCGAGATAGAGCACAAACGGCCACACCCATCGTCAGGTCGTGCCCATGTTGTTTCCGACAAAGTTCGACTGTATCCACAGACTAACGAAGAGTAAGTTTCAGGTCTCACCAAGTGGGAGTATCCGCACACAACACACGGGGCCCATGCGTAAGTGGATGGACCGAGAGGCTCTTTGGTGGACCATCCGATCCGCCGCCATGGATGGTGCAAGTTGGCATGCGGGATCCGGCTTCCTAATCAGCTCGAGTGTGTCCGCGTGGCTCTCGTTCTGGAGTCTGCTTCTGGTTCGAAAGATAAAAACTTGCCGCGCTCCTAGCTTAAGTACGGAGTAGGTAGTTCGCAGGCCACATCACGAGGTCCTTCATTTAGTTTGCTGGGGTAAGTTGGGAATTTCCTTGAGTGTATCGCGTTCCCCGTGATGATTAGGAAGAGCCAACTCTTTCCCCTTGGAGAAATGAGTTGCAAAGAAGATCCTATAACTGCCATACAGCCGTCTCTGAATATTTTTGTCTGACTTGTGCTGGCGATTCTGAGTAACTCATATCAAAGGTGAAGGTGTGGGGAAACCATGCCCCTGATTACGGTGTTTTAAGTCTGACCAAGTTGATAATTACCTAGGTAAGTAATCAGATACTGGAAGCTCGGAACACTCCGGTTCGTGAATGGTGTACCATTTGCAAGTTGGGCCGGCGGTAGATGGGACGAATGGACTCGGGAGAAGAAGCGCTGAGAGGCAAGACAGGCGGCTAATAAAACCGACGCTCGATCCGGCAGCACCCTTCATGCCTCGTCAAAAGCTTCTCCGTCACTCGGCTTGTTTCGTGGGGGGCGCGCCCACGGACAGTGGACAAGAACGTCTACGGGTAGCCCCTGGAGGCGATCTGGAGGCCTGTCAGGGCCTTAAATGGGTGCTGGCCGGGGCATTTTGGAGATTTTGGAGGGGTCAGTTGGGGGGAGTTACAGCGCTAAGGTGCCCCTAGGCTGCGATCTTGGTGACTTCCTTTCCTTTTCTTTTTTTTGGGGCAGCCAGCAAGGGGGCAAGAGCCGACGCCCGGACCACCCCAGACAAGGGGAAGGCATGGCAAGAATGGCAATCATGGCAAGACAAGGCCAGGCCATCACGCGTACCGTAGCTCGGCCCCACTTTTAGGTCAATCCTGCGCTACGGCCTTGACAGCCAGCCTGAAGTTTCTTATCACCATCTCTCTTGCAAATGAACCCAAATCCCACACGACCCCAAGCCCGTTTTTTGCGACTGCTGCCCACGCGACACCCGGCACACCACCCCGACTCCCTCCCCGGCATCTGGCTCGGCCCCGGCATCGCAATCGCCAGACGTCCATCGCCATCGCTCTGTCGCTTTTTCCCTGTCCCTCCGCGACCGGCCCAGGCGCGCGCGCCCGCTCTCACCACCCCAGGAATTTGTGGCGCTTCAGGCTGGGTGGTCATCCCGATCGCCAATCCTCCGACGTCACCCTGCTGCCGCCGCAATCTCGCCGCATCGCCGCAATCGCCATCTCGCCCTCACCCGACCGACCGACCGCCTAGTCCCAATTGTGCGCCCATCTCCACGGGCGCCCGCACGCCAGAGAAGGTGGCGGCACTCACCCTCATCAGCCAGGCCGAAACCGAGCTCTCCCTCCAGCAGCATCTGGATCTCGCGCCTGATCTACTCAACTACACCCGGGTCGTCTCCGAGGGGGACCCCGAACCCGTGATGATGGCACACTCGGTGCCTCATCAGTCAACCGATAGGAAACGTGTTAAGGTCTACGAACTTCGTAACAATGACTGGTTCGACCGCGGCACCGGCTTTTGCACGGCCACGTACATCCCGGTGCGTAAAACCCCGCTCCCTCACGGCCTTCCCAGCCATCACCCTGTTCGCATGCGCGCCAGAATGCTCCTGCGCGCGCGTGACTAGAGATTTGGCATAGCTACCGTCCAATTCTGCCGCAAGGCCTTGACTGACATACAAACTTGATGATGCGATCTAGGTCGACGACGGGCAGAGTAAGGAACCCCGGGTCATTGTGGAATCTGAAGATCATCCCGACAGGCTTCTGCTCGAGACACGTATCTGCAGAGAAGATGGCTTTCAAAAGCAGCAAGGTTTGTAGCACGTCTCCCTGTGAGATGCGCACGGCATCAACTGACCGACCCTCCCCTAGATACCCTGATTGTTTGGACTGAGCCCAGCAATGGCGTGGACATGGCATTGAGCTTCCAAGAAGCCGAAGGATGCAGCTTGATATGGTTGGTTCCCAATTCGCAGCAGCTGCGAGACCAAGACCAAGAATATCACGAATATTGACATATCCCCGTTAGGAAATTCATAAGTAGCATCCAGCAGTCTTTCCAGACGAGTATGGCGGGCCAAGGTAAGGCGGCTTCTCTCTCGATGACGCAGGCCTTCGCTAATGACAGCCCTGTTCAGATGACAGTCTCTCTGACGACTTGGCCATGGATATGCCCACAACCATATCCCTGCCTCCTGCCGACCTGAACAACCTTCAGGAATTGGACAACAACATGCGGATTATGAGCTCGTCTGCCGGCGGCCGGGATGCACTCGCCAAGTACATCATGAACGAAGATTACATCAGGAAACTCATTCCTCTTGTCGAGATGGCCGAAGACCTGGAGAGCCTCGGCGATTTGCATCACCTATGCAACATCATGAAGACTATCCTCTTGCTGAACGACACCGGAACCATCGAGCACGCCGTGTCGGACGACTGCGTGCTGGGCGTGGTGGGTGCATTGGAATACGACCCCGACTTTCCGAGTCACAAGGCGAATCACCGGCAATGGCTGAATAACCAAGGGAGGTACAAAGAAGTTGTCCGAATCCAGGACGACATCATTCGAAGAAAGATTCACCAGACATACCGGTTACAGTACCTGAAGGATGTCGTCTTGGCGCGCATCCTCGACGATCCCACCTTTTCCGTGCTCAATTCCCTCATCTTCTTCAACCAGGTGGATATTGTACAGCATCTTCAAGCCAACGTCGGATTCCTGAACGATCTTTTTGGCATTTTCATCGACCCTGGGGAGGAGCTCTTGCGGAAAAAGGAGGCAGTCCTGTTTATTCAGCAGTGCTGCGCAATCGCCAAGAACCTCCAGCCACCAGCACGCCTCACACTCTACAACAACTTCTTGTCCCATGGTCTTTTGCAGGTCATCAATTTCGGGCTGCGGAATCTTGATGTCGCTGCTCGGGTCGGCGCGACGGACATTCTGGTCTCCATGATCGATCATGACCCCCAGATGATCCGGCAGACAATGTACCGGCAACTGCAGGAGAAACAACCACCTCTCACCGACACACTCATCGATCTCCTTCTTGTTGAGGTAGACCTCGGTATCAAATCCCAGGTCTCAGACGCCTTGAAGGTGCTACTGGACCCGACTCCGTCCGGCCAGGCTCAGGAGAACTTCGCCGCTAAGGCCAATGGCGAGTTCGCGAACAGACCCCGTCCCCAGCAGCAGCCCATCGATGCCCAGCAAGAATTGTTCCTCAATTACTTCTACGAACAGTCCGCTCCGCGTCTGTTCAAGCCTCTTCTGGACCTGGAGGGTCGGACCGACCACAACTTCTCCCCTGTCGAGGACGGCATTTTCAGCTATCTAAACGATATACTATGCTTTTACGTCCGGCAACACCACCACCGCAGCAAATACTTTGTACTGACACAGAACCTGGTCTTGCGGTTCGCACAGCTGCTTGACTGTCAGCAGAAGCATCTCCAACTTGGTAGGCATATCTCATTCATACCAGTCCCCCCAAGCCTGAAGCTAATCGTCTTCTAGTCGCCATACGGTTCTTCCGTCAACTCGTCTTCCTCCAGGACGACTTCTATTCCCGTCACATTGCGGAGAAGCGGGTACTGGGCCCCATTCTGGATGTTCTGATAAAGACACTGCCGCGCGACAATTTGCTTTGCTCAGCATGCCTCGACTTGTTCGAGCTCATTAAGAAGGAGAATATTAAGGAACTCACGATGCATCTGGTCGACAACTACCGCGAGAAGATGGAAAGATTGGACTATCTGGAGACGTTCCAGAGCTTGCTGCTCCGCGGCGACGTGCCCCAAGGCTATGGAAACTCGATGGACTCGTACTTTAATGAAGGCGAGGAGGACACATCCAATGGCAGGCCATCCAATGTTGGAGTCAGAGGCCACATGGAGCATCTCGCAATGGACCCGGAAGAGGAGGCCTACTGGAACACTTCGGATGACGAAGACGATGCCGACGTGAAGAAAGCAGGGCAAGCCACCGTTCCGAATGGAGGAGAGCTGGCATCAAAACCGCTGGTGGACTATGCGTCGGACGAGGATGCCGACGAGAACGGAGACTTGGAAATGCCACCTGCCGAGACCCAGCCTGGCGCCGATCATGCCGAGGACGACTCTCTTAGCGACACCAGCACGACGTCCGTCTCGCCGCCCGAGCGCCTGTCGGAGAAACGACGGCGCGAGGAGGACGAGGATGACGAGCTAGGCAAGTTGATGCAGAACAAGCGCCGGCACAGCGGCTCCTCCGGCATCAGCGCCAACATGTCGGCCTTTCGAAAGAAGAAGGGCGGTGCCGCTGGGGGTGGATCACCAGGTTCGGGGGGCGGAGGGCCGAAGAAGATCTCCATCAGCATCTCCCCCGCGTTGAAATCGTCAACGACGGGGCAACAGGAGGAAGAGGCATCTTGATTTTCTATCCAGATAAAGGGGACGAAGACATACATGGCTTTGGAGCTTTCTACTCGGAACTACCAACACCATTCGACCAGAGCAGACCCCTTATGACGAAGTATGAGAACCGGTGTTTGCTTGAGACTAGTATGACAAATCGGCGTTTGCGTATCACCCCACCGGGGGAGATTTCGAAATTTTCTTCTGTTTCTGCCCACGGCGGTTTTTGGCATCCAGGCTGGCATTTTTTTTTCGGGTGAATATCTATGGAACCTGGCGTCAACGTAAGCGGTGGGCTGATCAGCGGCCGATGGGAATTTGTTTAAACCTGGACACCCTTAAGGATGGAGATTGGTCCTCGCTATCGGGGGTGGAAGTGCAGAATCAGCCGCCTGGGGTGTGGCTAGTCGCTGGGCAAGGAGAAAGAACGGCACGCTGCCTCTCGGGGAGTTAGGGGATAGGGGAGGGCGATGTTGCGCAGACCAGCGGGGGGACCGACATCGATGTACATTATACCTACGACACGTGTATGCCTTTTTCCCATTTTCTTTTTTTTTTCTTCTTCACAGCATTGGCAAGCGCTCCCCGAGACTGGGCTGGTGGTTCTGAGGGGTTGCGATGGGATTAGCATATGCGTGCTCCAGAATAGCAGAGACGCGACCAAAGGGGAGGGAGGAGAAGAAGATGTTGATCCCTTCTGGTCGCCCACAACTTTTACTCCAGGGGCTGTTTTCGGGTCGAGACGAGCATGAATGATTCAATAACAAATAAGTAAAGATCCAAGATTTTGCGTCGGCGTCGTGTGCATGCCACGTGGTTTATGCTGTGAGTATATATGTGTTTATACCTCGCTGTTGCGAGTCGAGTACACCTCTCTTCCTAGGAGGTATCTGTCAAGATTCATATTTACGTTATCACCGTATCAACAAGAAACGTTTGGTTTCAGAGGAGGATATTAACTATTATCAAACTGGGTCCCTACAAGACCCCTTGAGAAAACCCTATTCTTCGCCTTGTTTATAAACCCAATATATATACATGTATATCATTCGTCCTTTCTTTGCTAATACAATATGCGTCCCCGTCCCCCTTGCTGTGCTTCGCTCCTCGGAAGCAAGCAGAGAGAGTGCATGAGAAATGAGGGCAAGCCCCCCCCCCCCCAATCTGGTCCGACAGCCAGCTTTCTTTCTACACCCTGTTCTGTTCTACCCCTTTCTTTTTCTCTCTCTTCTTACCCTCTATCGGGTGTGTCCCCGTCGTCTGTCTATACACACACGCCCCGTCTCATCTCATCATATATATGCGTTTGTGTCCTTACTATGACCAACCTCCCCTTGCCACTCACTCGACCGCCAACAAGCCATCAATCAAGCGCTCACAGCAGCTCCCGGTACAGCACGGGCAGGAACACGACGCACGCCTTCCACAGGATGAGCACGGCGTCGACCAGCACGAGCGGCGACCTCAGCAGGCCGAGCACGACGTTGCCGCCGCACACGACGTCGACGGCGTTGACCCAGACGGCGAGGAAGGCGACGGTGAAGAAGTGCCGCGCCAGCATGAGCGGCTGGTGGACGAGGCCGCCGAGCATGGCGACGGGCTCGTCGGTGACGCCGAGCTGGAAGTAGCGGAAGCAGCCGCGGCGCAGGGCCATGAGCTGCCGGTCCTGGGCCTCGAAGAGGCTGTAGAGCGCCTGCGCCAGCACGTTGATGATGGACGACAGGCTCTTGCGGCGCCAGTGGAAGGGCCGCAGGGCGGCGCGCACGGCGTCGGCGTCGCCGAGGTCGGGCACGCGCGCCGGGTCGAGCAGCTCGGCGACGAGCAGCACGTCGTTGAAGGCGACCGTCATGCCGCCGCCGCCGAGCGGGTGGCGCATGTTGTAGGCGTCGCCGAGGACGACGACGCCCGGGTGGCTGCCGATGGCGTCGCGGGCGGGCGGCAGCCACGAGTTGGGCATGGAGCGCGGGATCCGGCCGTCGGCGAGGGCGGCCTCGAAGCAGGGCCGGACGGCGGGCGGGAGGTTGGGCAGGACGACGTTGCGGATGTAGCCGCGGACGCCGCCGGCGGCGGGCGAGGCGGCGGGCAGGTCGTTGGGCACGGCGATGAGGGCGCGCGTCTCGCGCGCGCCGATCTGGTAGATGAGGATGGGCGCCGCCTTGCCGATGACGACGTGGCCGTAGCCGGCCGGGGCCAGGGGGCAGTCGATGAGCTCGAGGGCGTAGAACTTGGAGCGCACGACGGGCGCGCGGCCGACGTACTGCTTGCGGAACTTGGAGGCGTAGCCGTCGGCGATGATGGTCAGCTGGCCGAAGAAGTAGTCCGGCCGCTTCTCCCTCGTCTCGCGGTCGACGGTGGTGAGGGACTCGACGCCGAGCACGGCCGGGCCGGCGTCGCCGGTGATGGTGGCCGTGACCTCGGTCTCGACGACGGTGATGTTGGGGTGCGCTAGGCAGGCCTCGCGCAGCTTCATGATGAAGCGGCCGTGGTGGAAGGAGCGGCCCTCTGGCCTCTTGAGGTCGGCCTTCTTGGCGGAGCCGTTGGCGACGGCTGCGTGGTGGCCGTTGGGGCCGTCGGTCATCTTGTGCGACTGGGCGTGGACGCGGCCGTCCTCGTCGACGTACGAGTAGGGTATTACGACCTCCTGGTCGAAGTTGAGGACGTGGTAGCCGTAGCAGGGGATGGCGTCGATGCCCTCCGTGCACCTCTCGAGGCCGAGCTTGCGCAGGGACCTCACGCCACCGGGCTGGAGCAGCTCGCCGACGATGCGGTCCGGCTCGCTCATGGAGCGCTCGAGCAGCAGGACGCTGCGGCCCTGGTTGGCGAGCGCGTAGGCGGCGGCGCATCCGAAGACGCCCGCGCCAACCACGACCACGTCCGCCTCATGGAACTTCTCCCTCCGCTCCCTCTGGCTCTCCGCGAACTCGGCGTTTGTCGTCATGTGTGGTTGTTGGGGGGGGTGTGGTCGGTGTATGTGTGTGTGTATCGTAGGCCGGTGTCGGCGCCTTTTCCAATGGGAGACAAACAGAGCGAGACACAACAATCGCGATGCTCCTGGTTTGCAATCAAACAAGTACCCAGAGCAACCCCTCCAACTCTACAAATGCGAGAGAGAGAGAGAGAAATGGGAGGAGGTCCGTTCAAGATCGGGGCTAGTGGCGAACGGGGCGCGATCAAGAAAGGGTCGTCGTGGAGAGCAGATCGGTCAACGGTGTGTAGAAGGCGGACGGAGCCAGGAACAGACAAGATACAATCCAAGATGTGAGAAGAGTGCAATCCTCGAACAAAGAAGGAGCAAGAAAATTATCAATCGCTGCACGGCTACTCGAGGATCTAATTATCAGACGAGGCTGCTATGATAGGTAGGTAAAGTAAGCTGGTTCCTGAAAAGATGCACCCCTCGCCCTCCTCGGTGGAATTTTTTCTCCACCGGGCTCAATTTACAGTGGTCTGAATTAGGCGGTAGAATCGTGCCATTGCGGTTCTCGCCGTGCTAGAAATGGTCCAATCAGTGGGGAAGAGGCAGCGATCCCGCCTGTTGACCGCCAAATTTCACATGTCATTCGATTTTTTCTCGCCCTTCTGGGATGGGCTGGGATGGAACGCGTCAGGGGGGGTTTCCTGTCGAGCCTGTCAAAGCCTCACCCGTTGCTCCCCTTTCCCATCCGCCCACGCTGCCAGGCAAAAGAGACAGAATGGGCTCATATCAGCCGCGCTAATGCCAATCAGGATCCCAAGGGTACCGCCTTTTGGAGAATGCCAGGGTCCAGATTTAACTCGGAATTTCCCAAGGACCCTGAAAGCACAGAAACATGCCTACAACTTAATCTGCCTCTTTTTGTCTGTCTCGTGATGACACGCGATATGGCGACCCTCATAAGGCTGCTTCAGCTTTCACATGCTTATTTTCCTCTCAAAAAGGGATTGCCCACCTCGATTGGCATCGGCCGACCAGCTGCTGACGAATGTGGCTTGGATGAGGATGTTGTATATTGGTATGTAGTACAGAGAAAAACGTTGGTATTCTTTCATGTGATGAACCAAAACTCCTCAATGTGCCATGCTATCGTGATCCAATATCACTATCTATGTATGCTTTATGGTAGAGGTAGAAACAAAGTACAGGCGCTATTCTTCACACTCAATCCCATCCCATCCCACCCCTAGTCCAAATTACCCAGTAGCAGCCAGCGGCTCAGCCTTGACAGACGTAGACTCAATATCGGACCCGTCTGAATGTGAATGCACGTCCCTGAAACCGAGATCCTCGTCCAGGTCAGAGCCCAGGCTGGCCCTCTCGGCATCGTACTTCTTCAAGGTCCACGGCGCGGGCACAGACCCGGCCTGCTTCCCCTCGCGAGCGGCATCCTGGGCTGCCTGCGCCATGATCTCGAGGGCGACGGCGTTGAGCTCCTGCCTCTCCGAGCCGAGGGTCTGCCTGCCCAGGCGAGACCTCTCCAGGCCGGCGGCGATGGCCTCCAGCCCCTTGCGGGCGGCCCCTTGGTCGGACGAGGCCCTCAGCAGCCGCCGCGCCCTCTTCATGGCCGTGTAGCACATCTGATCTCTGATGCAGGCCTCTTCCGCACCAGCGATGACCACCGCGAGCCCCTCGACGTCCCGCGCAGCGCCGTATGCCCACATCAGGACCGAGAAGTTGTAGTTGTTGTACCCAGGGCGCCTGCCGACCCTCTCTGCCGCCGAGAGCGCGAACGCAACGGCCCCGCTGTAGTGCTTGGCCTTGCACAGGTGAAGAGCTGCCCGGTTCAGAGCAAAGTCGGACAGCTCGAGTTGCAGCTTCTCGAACTCGCCCAACTTCTCCTTGAGGCCTTGGAAACTGTGTTGCTTGCCGACCCGGTGGTCCACAGCATCCAGCTGGGCCACAAGAAGGGGAATCGCAGCAGCGCTGATGTCATGGCCGGCGTCCTGTGCCTCTCTCATCAGGTCCACCACGCAGAATCTGTCGTCCTTGTTCCCAGTCAGGGAGGCAACTACGGCCGCCCTGAGACACTCTTCATTGTGGGGTAGCCCTGCTGCAATCGCCTGCTTGTAAGCAGCGATGGCGCGGCTCGACTTGCCCCGCACCATGGCCTGCTTCATCGTCAGAAGCACATCGTATTCGTCGTTGCACTTCCGCGAAGCTGAGGAACCGCTTAGCTTGGCACCCAAAGAGGCTACCTTCCCCATGACACATCGCCCACCGTTTGCTGACATCTTCGCATCCCGGACAGCGGCGTTCATCATGATCCTTTGGGTGACTTGGTCCTCTGACTCTGGGTTCAGCTGGCGCATTCTAAAGAGGAGACTGCGTAGCTCGGGATAGTGAAAGTTCCAATGTTTCTGGCAGTTGAGGAGGATAGAGTTGCTGAACGCAGCATTAATGCTGAAGCCTGCACTGGCACAATACCTGAGCCAGCTGATGAATGCCGTCTTGTCGTGGACGGCGCCGTACTCGTTTGCTATCATCGCGACCATGTGGCGTGAGACAGGTACTTGCATGCCGTCAATGTAGGATTTGAGGAAGGCCTCAGTCTCTCCGATGGTGTGACTCTGCTTGTATACCTTCAAGATCGGGACAAAGATCTTGTCACTGTCTAATGCTGAGAACGCGGTATGACGCCTCATGGTGGTAAAGCTGTCCCGAACTCCGTCCCAGTCCCCCGCTTTGGCTTTGGACAGGGCAAAAAGGCCCAGGAGGCGGCAGTCTGTTTCGCAAGTGGCATCGAGCTGCACGAGCTCATGGAAGAGCTCGTCGGCCTTGGCATGTGCGCCGGCTTCCAAGTAGATCTGGATCATAACACGGTATACACCGTCCGGGTGGACCACCTTGAGAGCGATGCTTTCTGCGAATAAGTCACGGAACAGTTGTGCGATGCCGTCAATGTTGTGATCCCTTTCCCACTCGCAATACAGAAGTCGAGTAACCCAGCTAGTCCGTAATGGCTGATTCTCTCCCCGAAGGGCAAAGAGCCTTCTGAGAACTGTCTCTGCTCGATAGCCATGGACGTTCGAGACTGAGTCAACAATCGCGTCGCCAATCTGACACAGAGCGTCGTCACCAAGACTGTCCTCAGGTGTTAGAAGACCGAATAACTTGACTGCAAGTTTGTGCTCTTGCTCCTTGTGTAAAGATGTCAAGATCGTCTGGAAAAGGTCGCTTGGAACACGCTGGTATGCGATCATCCTCCGGCAGATTTGCTGCATGCCGAGACGATATTTGGCCGAGATAGCAGCCTCAAAGAGGGCACCCGCGACATCAAACAGCTCGCGGCTGGGCAAATGACAAGGTTGCGTGAATTTGGGGAGGAAAAGGGCAATGGCGAGTTGAAGACGCGTGGTGAGAGGCGTTGCAGCTGAGCCGCTGGGGAATTTCTCCGGAATCAGAGATTTGATCACAGGGAAGGGCTCATGGGCGTGGTACATCTGCTCGTCGAGCGGTCCCCGTTCAACGGCCAACTGCAGTATCTCTTGTGCCTGCTCAGTGACCCCGTATCGCTGAGCTGCCACGCACAACCGAGAGGATATCTCGAATAGTTGGGGTAAAGTTGATTGTGGGAGCTGATCCATGGAGAATGCCACTGCTAGGGATCGCATAGCAGCATTGAGCCCCTTGAGATCAGTGGCATCGGCCAACTTTGAAAGCTGCGCGACAAGCTCATCAGGATTCAGTCGTGCCGCGCCGTCTTTCAACTCTTGTTGTGATACAAGTCTCTGATGGCTCATCGCTGATTGAAATATGGGCGGTGTGGGTTCGGACAAGGTAGGGGCAAAGATGTTTGGTATGGCGACTTTCAAGGGGTCGACTGTTGGCAATTGCGTATGCTGCGCTTGGCGTCCAATACGTTGAGGGCTCTTGCTCCTTGTCCGTGTTGGGGATGTTGGGGAGGGTTCTGCGGAGTGAGTCTTTGAGGTAGACTCCCGTCGGGCAGGGCCTTGGAGCTTCTGAGGCAGGTCATAGCGCTTCCAGTATATCGGGTTCGACTCGACGATGAATTCTTCCTCCAGAGCAACCGCGAACGCCGTGCCTCCGGTATGGTACTGCTTGGCCGACCGCAGCTTCTCGCCGTTGTTGATTGCACTTCGTGCAGTGTTGATGCGGCGGCGGCGGTCTTCGGTGACCAAAGCGAGGGTGCATGTCGTCCCAAAGGCGAGGCCGCGGAGTGCCCTTACGGCTGCCTTTGAGGGCACGGGAAGGGGAGTGTTGGACATTGCTCAGATGAGCAGGCTGCCATTGCGGTAGCGTCTGACCAAGGCAGAGCAAGCAGATCTGATCCAAGAACCCGACCGTGTCTCCTTTGAGGTCGTGCGGTTCTGCGATGGCTGCCAATTCTTGGAAGGCAGATGATTCAAGGGCAACAGAAGCTCTGAAGGAAGAATCGCATGATGGTCCCAAAGACGAGGAGCCTGATTTGCTGGGTGGGACCCACTCGACGGATTCCCTCGCCATTGCTTTACCGAGGTGGAGCCGCTTCAACTTTTTGGGGCGTATTCATCTAACGAGGCGTGAGACTCTCGATCTACTCTCATGTGAGCGAGCTGGTCCCCTCAAAACCACAAGAAAAGCGATTGCAGGGGTTTGTTTAAGTCCCGGTTGGATGTTCCGTAGAGGAGGATCTTCAATCAAATTCCAGGTCTGTTTGACATAGAGCAGTTGCCCTGTGAAAATCTATCGCGTTCTATCCATCCGTACGCCGCGACAACCATTTCGTACACATAAAGTACACACTATTGTACAGATATCTATCTATGTCTTGTCGTCTCGACATGCCCAAACCTATCTCTCAAGACTGCATTTCTGGCAGCTCTATTGGCATAACATCTTCCATCTTGCGCAGGATAATCTGGTATAAAAACAGCATGCATCCGCTCTGTATGCTTGTCCAAACAAATCGAGGTCCGACTCCGCGAAACCAACCGCCCAAGCCCTCGGTTCGGTAGATGAGCTTGAGTCCCGTGTATACGGACGAAGTCTCGAGGGTGACTGCTCCTGGCCGGGGAGTATGCGTTGACGGCGACGACGTCGAAATGAGACGCTTTTGAGGTTGGCCGGTGGAAGTGCCGGCATGAGCTTCCGTTGTGTGCTTGACTGGTGCATCTGGAGGGGTTGACGTCTTCAACTTGCCCAGCCCAGCATCGGCCGCACCCGAAGCAGCCACACTCGGATGCACTTGTGTTTGTAATCGAGTCTTGACGACATCCAGCGGGCAAGTCATCGCGCCCGCGAGACCACCTGCGGCTGCTCCGGTGAGAAACTCTAGGGGCACGCCTATATCCCGACCCTGTTTCCATTGCCGCGCCCAGCTCTGGCCCTGCTCCCAGAACATGAACTGCAAGGCAGAGAAGGGCAGATCCCTGTAGAGAGTGGCTTTGTACCCGTAGAACAGCGCACCCACACCTTCTTGCCGCGCAATCATCCGGGCTGCATCGACCGTCCCTCGATAGTTGTAGCCAGATCGGAAATATGGGTTGTTGTATCGGCCTTGTAATTGCAGCCGTGTCTTCAGCACCTCGGAGGGTACGTAAACGATAGAAGCAGCAAGGTCACCGAGAAAACCTGCGAAGAGTCAGCTTCCCGCCCGACCACTAAAAAGGAGGCAGCCTGGGCTCAAGACATACCGCTGGACAGGTACGCAATATGCGATTGAACGCCATAATCCAACAGATGACGTTTGCTGAACTCATACGTGCCGAAGAAAATAAGAGTACCCGGAAAGGACCCGAGGAGAGCAGGAAGCCATCCACCGTACAGCCCTCGACCAATACCTTCTTGTCGCAAAATCTTGTAATATGAGGACCCAAGGGATGTGTACTTCGGGGGTATGTGAGGATCGCCCTGCTGGCGAGTCTTGACGGTGTCCAAGCTGTGCATCAACATGTCGCCGCTCGTCCCGCCCAGGCCTCCAGCGAGCATACACTGGCAGAGCGAGATTAGCCTTCAGTCATCGGGATGAGACTCGGGTTCTGTACATGGAGGTAGGGCGGTCGCGCCTCGACATCCGCATTGTCAGACTTCATGTTCTCGGCGAGCCGGTCCTTTCCTGGAGTACCGTCCGAAAATCTGGTGACTGCTGAAGGCTCATCGTCGAGAATGCCGACTGCAGGGCTCAGCGCCGCAGCATTGGAGGAAGTTTGGAAAGGCGAGGCAAAACTAGACGTCGAAGAACCTAAGACCATTCCTGGTCGATTTCGTCTGAGGGGAAAGGAAAAAGAGAAACGCGAGAAAAGGCGGACAAGGGAAAGAACCGCAACGCGGGATCGAGGATCAAGTGAGTGGCCGGTGTCGCGAATTTCCGAGATGTCAGGTATTGTCAGGAACGGGCGAAATTTGTTAAGCACTCGGAGCCTACGGTGATGGTTTTGAAGTGGCCCGTGCGCTATATGGTGTTCGGGGCCGAGGTGGGCTTGCGCCGAATTGCTCCATGTTATCGGGGCTCAACTAGTTGAACCCGCCCGATGATGATGACACAGGAACAGAAACCTGCGATGGAATTGTCGCAAGTGATGTAGCACTGACAGTGCATCTTGGGCCATTGGGACTTTTGGTCATTCGTCCTCGTGATCATCCCTCGTCGGGTTTGCGTACCCTTCCTGATATCAAACCATCCAGAGTCAAAGCGGCGGATCATGTAATCATTAAGGCAAGGCTTCATTCATCACGGATCGTTGATGCCTTTTTCTTACCATGTACAACATAACAAAAGGCAATAATGTACAAAAATTCTGTAACAGCGTCAATGCAGCGGTTCCAGGCCAGCTCGGTTGCCCTCAATGGGCTGTGCCGACTCTCCCTGAAAACTCCCACCACCGTACCCTACCGGCCTTTCTGAAAGGATATAGAATATGTGTAATCTTTCCAGTGACAAGACCTGCGGATATGGGCCCATAGGTATTGCTGTCCAAGCTCCTGCCTTCTCCGCCATCTCCTTCAACCCAGATATGACCAGGTGGTACCCGGACATACGAATTAGGGAAAGGCTTGCGCGTGTGGACGATATCGCCTTCTAACCCGATGACTCTCTTGACAGAAATGACGTTGGGATGCACCGGACTCCTAAGAGGCGGCTCTCGTCAGCATTTGGTTCAGACGAAAGACTACCAAATTTCCATATTGTGGGTTGTCAACGCACCGGAGGGAGACTACCATGCCTCGCGCCAGGTTGCTCTGCGCATACAGCTTGTAGTTCAGCACCAGGTCGCGGCGCAGCGACTCGTTGTAGTTGTCGTTCAAGAAAGGGTACATGGAAGGCCCATCGATCATGGTGACCTCGGCGACGCTCGTGTTAAACCATATTGCTAGTGGTATCCAAGTCGCGATGGCCCAAAGGTTCCGCGAGAACGGTCGGAGAAAGGCGGATTGACGTTTCGCCCTGGTCCACGACGGACCAGAGGCCATGTGTATTTGTCTCTAGGAAGGACGGATCCAGAGGCCGCAGGACATCGGGATACCAAGCTGCCCTGGCGAGATGGAGCTTTGTCGAGATCAGGGTCCGACCTGGGTTAGGACGGTGAGGACGGATCATGCGAGCTCCAAGTCAAGCAATAAAAATGGCCCCGCAAAAGCTTGGCCCTCAGGTATGACTCCCTCTTACTCGGAATAATGCTCCGTCCATATTGCATGAAAATCGCCCTGGGCATACATATGAATCACACTCGCATTTTCCGCTGATCAGTCGCACAGTTCAAAAGGCTAGGATCGTCTTCTCTTTTTCTAGGTGATCATCAAAAGGTCGCATTGCCCAAATCCAGCAGCGGAGATCGCCAACGCCAGCTGGTCTGGAGCTGTCAAACGTGTTACATCTATTTCCATCGAGGTGCTTTCGCATTTTGAACTCCGGAAACATGCCCGCCAGAAAAAGTCCCGCTAGCATATGAGCGGTAGATGCCGAACATCCTCCCACGCGCCATGCATGTCATTGTCCTCTTCCATTGTACACCCCGGGAAGCTCTTAAATAGCCTCGGGCATGTTGTCGTCGCTCTCGCTAACGCTCTCGTCACCGCTGACCTCGGCATTCTCCCTCTCCCTCTTCTCCATGAGTGCCTGCAACTCGGCGTCATCCGACTCGGTAACGGCCTTGGGCTCCATCTTGACGACCAGCTTGCCACCAGCACCCTCGATATTCTTGGTGATATCGGCAATGGCCTCCTGCAGCTTCGAGATACCCAGGTGCTTGTCCAGGCAGGTGCTGGTGAGGACATAGAGAGGCGGAGACACGAGCTTGACCTTGACTTGGGTGTCGGCCGTGTTGGCAGCCTCGGCAGTGCGCAGGGCGGCCTTGATGGCATCGATGCCGTCGTAGCCGAAGCAGGTGACCTCGACATCAGCGCGCACTTTTGTCGGCTGCGGGGTGAGACGTTTGCTGATATACGACTTGAGCTCCTCGGCGACCTGCTCGCTGGGGAAGGTGATGTCCTTCCAGACATCGGGGTTGCTAGGATAACTCGGAGTAAGTTGAGGCTCGTCAACAACATTTCACGAGGGCACGTACGTGATGGACAGCTTGAATGCGTCAATAGCATGGCCGTACGACTTGTTCAGAGGCCAGGTGATGGACTCGTATAAGCTCTCGATCGGGACCAGAGTCTTCTCGGCGACGTGGCGCATGATCGAATGGACCATCTTGCCCTTGTTGTAGCGCTCCTCGCACTTGGCGATATCCTCGGGGGACACACGTCGCTTCGAGAGATCGATATAACCCTTCTCCTTGTCTACCCTGAGCACGAGAACGACCTCATTACGGCCAACTCGGATCAACTTCTGGATACTTCGGATACGTCGCCGAGAGAGCTCGGAAAGCAGGATCATGCCATCGATGTCATCGTACTCGAGCAGCTTGACATAGGCACCCATGTCGGCAATCTTTTGCCCCGCGCGTCAGCCTCACTCCTGGGTTTGAGAAGAGGTCGTGCCCGATGCCAAACTCACCTGCCGGACATTGACCATGACAAGACTGTCGATCTCTGGGTATTTGTTCTCGTAGAACCGACAGTTCGACAACGACATATTGTCGGTTTGGCGGTTCGCGCTGGGACGTCTATGTGTGCTCTCAGAGCTCGGTCAGGTATTGCGGGTCGGCAAAAATTCCTGGCTGTTTCCGGGCGAATTATTGGATGAACAGAGACGAGTTCTTGGGGGTGCGACGGGAGGTGAGGTGTTGTCGTTTGTCGTCGAGGGAGATATGGCGTCTCGTGCTGCAAATTCGACGATTTCCGTGAACAGAGTCATCCACCCAAAAAGTTCGAATCTCGAGCGAGGATAGTGGGGGTGGCTCCAGGAGGGGCAAACCTGACTGGCCCGCGCGACCCTGGTCCGGCGTTAGGTCACACTCATACCAACAGCCCTGAAAGTTCAGGCCGCGCCCAAATTTGTGTGGAAGAGGAATATCGTAGTTCCGTCTGATCTCCGCGCTAAACGTCCTCAAGTTCTCCAGGGTGCTCCTGCCAGTGACAGGCCCTACCGGAGCACAGGCTCCAGCCACGGGTCCACTGGAGCTTCAGGCCTTTCACATGTGCGCTATTTAGCCTTAGGTAATGCATATTCACTGACCAGGGTGCGTGGTAGCTTCAAAAGCTTCGAGCCGGAAAACAAAGCTTTCCACTCAACTTCTCTCTTCTCCTCAAAACACTCGCTCAACCACCGATTCTCTCTGGCAAGTCACAGGACACAAACCTTTCTGCCACGTACTTGCTGCCTGCTCTATTGCATGAGCCCCAGGTGCAATTGCTATTCGAGCATATAGAACCTCGGTTTGTTCATATTCGCAAGGACCTCGCCAGTCCTGCATCTCAGACCAACTCCAACGATGCCCTCGTGAGCATAACAGCTCCTGCTTTTGAAGCAGTCTGTTATGAAGTTGAATTCCGGTCATGGCATCCTCCAGCGTTACATCCGTTGGTTCTAGCCTCTCACAGGGCATTTCCATGGCCATGGAATCGTCATCTGCCAGTGCGGCTTCTGCCGTGACCATGGCAAACAACGTGGTGGAAGCCCAGGGCTCCTCTTGGCTTGGTCTCTTTGGACGACTCGTTCTTTTCATACTACAGATCGTGTCGAGCATCCTGTATTTTGTGTTGAAACTGGCGACCTTCTCTCTTCCCAGCCTGCTCTATACTTTTTTCTCCACCACCCTGACGTTCACGCTGAACGCGACAACCCTGTAAGTTTTTCTGGCCTCCTGTTGGCGAGATCGACTCTAACTTAGTCTTCTAGAATGATAATTGCTGCTGCGATTGTTTCTGCTATTACCTGGTTTGTAAGGTACCGTTACCTTACCATGTATGCGCGGCTTCCACCTGAGCCACAGAGGAAGGAGCCCGAGGTGGACCTGTTTCCAGACACGCACCAAGAAGGGACTAAGCCGGGGCTGTCGAACTACCTGGACGAGTTTCTGAGCGCAATCAAGATCTTCGGCTATATGGAGCGTCCTGTCTTCCACGAACTGACCCGCAGCATGCAGACGCGAAAGTTGATCGCAGGGGAGACCTTCAACCTCGAACAGGAAAAGGGATTTTGCCTAGTCGTCGACGGCCTAGTCGAAATCTTTGTCAAGTCTCCGCGCAACTCCCGGCAAGCCCCGGACCCGCGAGTTCGTAGCTCCGTGGCGGACCTGTCCAGTGGTGACGAGGAAGGCGATCTGCCACACCGCCAGCGCTATCAGCTTCTCACAGAAGTCCAGAATGGAGCGCCCATGTCCTCTCTTTTCTCCATTCTCTCTCTATTCACCGAAGATGTGAAGCTGCGGAGTGAGGAAGACAACTCAGAACCGGTGACCGCGATGGGTTCTCGAGCTCATGCCAGGTATCCAATGAGTGCAGACTTCCGGAATATGCAGGCTACACCAGTCTCAATGCCGACCACGCCCCAACTTGACCTCTCAGATGACATTAAAGATCCTGAGCCTCGCCCACAGCCCTCTCTCAAGCCTCCACCGAACGGTGATGCACTGCCAAGTGTGCCTCCCATGACCCTTGAGCCGTCACCTATCCCGGAGCGGGCCCGCCGACCAGTGCCAAAGCGAGTCAGCACAAATTCCGTCCATCCAGACATCATCGCCAGGGCCACTGTTGATACAACAATCGCGATCATACCTGCTAGTGCCTTCCGGCGCCTGATCAGAATCTATCCCAAGGCAACGGCGCACATTGTGCACGTCATTCTCTCCAGATTCCAACGAGTCACATTGTCAACCGCATACAACTATCTGGGCCTCACTGGAGAAGTGCTCCAGACAGAGCGGAACATGCTCAAATACACTACATGTCAACTGCCAAACTTCCTTCGCGGTGACGCCCTGGAGCGGCTCAAGGAGAAGTTCAGTAAAGAAAAGGAGCGGATCGGGGATGACGAGGTTGTCAAGGGCATTGCCCTCCACAACGCTGCGACTGGCCGACGACGAAGATCAACTACAACTCTTAGGAAAGAGGCTGCTCTGCAGGCTTTGACAAAGCAGCGCCCGGCATCGATAGTAGCATCCACAATCGCGCCGCCCCACGAACGGTCGTCTTTGTCTAACCCGAGCCCTGGCGATTTACTGGCGAATCTGCCCACTTCATCACGCCGGGCAGTCGACCGCTCTTCAACAACACTGGTCTCTACCGGAAGCCCACCGCCTGTTGATGAGTCGCTCAGGCGGGATGCCATCTCTCCGCTGACACAGAGAAAGTTCAACCCGTTCGCAACTCAAAAACATGGGCGCATATCTCTGGACAAGCGAGAAGCCTTGGAAGAAGATGGCCTCTTCCGTGAATCAATCCTTGAGTGCATGTTCAAAGCCATAGGCTTGAGCTCAGATGCCGCCACGCCATCGCGAGAGCCGGATTCTATCGAGGCATCACCCCGTCTGGTGTCTTTCGACAACCATCGACAGAGACCAGCACTAGGCAGTAATGCCTTTGGATTTATGGACGCGTATGGCGGATCCTGGGATGGCGACGCTGAGTCCATCACTTCTGGCGGTATAACAGTCAACACTCCAGCCAACGCGCACATCCTGGCTCACGACATGAAAGACGACCTCGAGATTGTCTTCTTCCCTAAAGGCTCTGTGCTGGTGGAACAGGGCGAACGGAACCCCGGCCTGTATTACGTGGTCGACGGCTTTTTGGACATTGGGATTCCCGCAGACGAGACCTCTCCGGATTTGCTGCATCAATCACACCAATCCTCCATCTGCGAAATGGATGATCAGGATCCTTTCATCATGCCACCACGGTCTCGCCCGAGCCAGGTGCCAAGTTTTGTGGATTCCAACGCGAGACGGACAGAATCCGAGGGGAGAAAGGCCGGCAACAAAGCCAGACAGAGCGTGGCCCTCATTAAGCCTGGTGGCCTCGCTGGATATGTTGGGACAATCTCTTCATACCGGTCCTTCATCGATGTCGTGGCCAAGACCGATGTGTATGTTGGCTTCCTGCCGCGTGCATCACTAGAGCGGATCGTTGATAGATATCCCACGGTCTTGATGACGATGGCCAAGCGCCTGACGAGTATCCTGCCCCCGCTGATTCTCCATATCGACTTTGCACTGGAGTGGCTCCAAGTCAATGCTGGCGAAGTCATTTTCCACGAGGGCGATGAGAGCGAAGCGATTTATATCGTGCTCAATGGCCGGCTACGTCTGGTCCAGAGTCGAAAGAATGGAGGGGTCGATGTTCGTGCGGAGTACGGACAAGGCGACAGCGTTGGAGAACTTGAAGTCCTCACAGAGTCAACTCGACCGGGCACTTTGCACGCAATCAGAGATACCGAGCTGGTGAAATTCCCTCGTACTCTATTCAACAGTCTTGCGCAAGAGCACCCCAACATCACCATCAAGATCTCGAAGATCATTGCTTCACGCATGAGAAATCTCGTCGATGACCCGTCGAACGCTGTAGTCAAGGATGCCAGGTCCTCCGTCAACAAAGTCTCGTCTACGCTGAACCTACGGACAGTCGCAGTTCTCCCAGTCACTGCTGGCGTCCCCGTGGTCGAGTTTGGGAACAAGCTGGTCAATGCTTTGACGCAGGTTGGCACACCGAATGGCACGGTGCTGTTGAACCAGGCTGGCATTCTAAACCATCTTGGCAAACACGCATTCAACAAGATGGGAAAGCTCAAGCTGTCCCAGTATCTTGCCGACCTAGAGGAGAAGTATGGACTTGTAATCTATGTGGCAGGTAAGCACAATCTCTCGCAACACTTCCAGACACATCCTACCCAAAAGCAACGCATGATGAGACAATTCATATCCCAAGACTGCCTGTCGATGACGGCCAATATAAACTCTAATTTTTTCCTGACTACGCGTCATACTGTTCACCTTTCACAGAAAATAAGAGCTGGCATATCCAAGATCAATGCTGACTTTGCTCAAATCTGGAAATAGATACAAACGTCAATTCACCCTGGACGCAGACTTGCATCACTCAGGCCGACTGCATCTTGTTAGTCGGCCTGGCCGAAGGCTCACCCGAGATTGGTGAATACGAACGTTTCATGCTCGGCATGAAATCAACGGCGAGGAAGACGTTGGTTCTCCTGCATGCCGAGAGATATTCGGTCTCGGGTCTCACAAGATCGTGGCTCAAAAACCGGGTTTGGGTCAACGGCGGCCACTATCACGTCCAGATGGCCTTCCGCACGCAGGCAGTGACGGACCACCCGCCATCGAAACGAACAGGGCCCAGTCTCAAGGAGCGAGTGCAGACCTTGCAAGCAGAGATCCAGAAATACACGTCCCGGAAAGTCAGGCACAGTCCCTTCTACTCTCCAGATGCCCCATTCAAGGGCGACTTCCATCGCCTGGCCCGGAGACTCTGTGGCAAATCGGTAGGTCTTGTGCTAGGTGGAGGTGGAGCAAGAGGTCTTGCCCAGATCGGTATTATCCGAGCGATGGAGGAAGCTGGCATCCCTATTGATATCATTGGGGGCACATCGATCGGGTCCTTCATTGGCGGTCTCTACGCACGCCATGCGGACGTCGTTCCCATATTCGGTCTAGCCAAAAAGTTTGCGGGCCGCATGTCAAGCATGTGGCGGTTTGCGCTGGACTTGACATACCCGTCAGCTTCTTATACTACTGGCCATGAGTTCAACCGCGGCATTTTCAAGACATTTGGCAAGACGCAGATTGAGGACTTCTGGCTCGAGTACTACTGCAACACAACCAATATCAGCAAGAGCCGGCCCGAGTTCCATACTAGTGGTTACGCGTGGAGGTACGTCCGGGCATCGATGTCGTTGGCTGGTCTCCTACCACCGTTGTGCGACGAGGGCAGCATGCTCCTGGATGGCGGTTACATTGACAACCTGACGGTGTCACAAATGAAGTCTCTCGGAGCCGATGTCATCTTCGCTGTGGACGTTGGCTCCCTGGACGACGATACTCCCCAGGACTTTGGTGACACATTGTCGGGAGGTTGGGCATTCTTGAACAGGTGGAATCCGTTCTCGTCGACTCCGAACCCGCCGACGCTGGCGGAGATCCAGGCTCGGCTGGCCTACGTGTCGAGCGTCGATGCGCTGGAACGCGCAAAGACGATGCCGGGGTGCATCTACATGAGACCCCCCATCGACGAGTACGGGACGCTGGACTTTGGCAAGTTTGACGAGATTGTCCAGGTCGGGTACAGCTACGGCCAGGAGTTCTTGCAGCAGCTCCGTGACAAGGGGATCCTGCCGCTCATTGAGGAGAATGAGGCCAAGAAGGCACTGAGGCGAACCATGGCGCCGCGCCGCGCCAGTATCTAGACTCGCTGAAGAGTAAGGTTGTGGGCAGTGGCGTTGTGTTTTGCCGTGTGATGAGTGTCGAGTCGTTAACAACCATGCACAGCGAGATCACAGGTTCGGATTACTAGAGGTAAACATGTGTTTCGTGACTTGACTTGAAAGTTGGCATCCCATAGACAGATCAAGGGTTTGCAGACTATAGACAAATTGAATCTCTCGATGAAACTTTGGCCAGATCCGTGATGCAGATGCCCGTTCCCATCCCCATCCACGCGACCTGTACTGAAGCAAGGTGAGGTGTCAGTGCTGAACATGAGAAGGTCTGACAAATGCATGGCACAACATGCTGACCGAACACCAGACCTAGGAGAGCACTGCACCGATACTGCTAGGGCCCGGTTATGGAAGGGATGCTTCGGGCAAACAGGGTGCCGCCAGATGGCATGGCCCGTCCCCGTTCTAGGGTAAGCTACCTAGGTAGATCTCGAACAAGTAGCTCTATCGGTTAGGGCCGACCAGCGTCATCGCGGCGGTCTAGGCATGGCGGCCCTTTGATTCCCTCACACACAAGCCAATGAACGGGCGAGTTAGCAGCGGCCCCTGTAGCGCGGCGCCCATGACATCATTGGGCATGAGAGCCGAAACGTTCGGCTGGAGAAGGGACATCTGGATCGAGCAAATCATCAATGCGCGGGATGTCATGATGGCATTCTCCCAGCTGCTAACCTCTTCCCTTTTGGCTCCTGAGGTCAAGGGCCCCGACCCGAGAATGGGTGTTTTAGGGTCTTATTAGTCACGATGCTTAGATATGCATGTTGTGGTTGATCGGTCGAACACGATGTTTGGACCTCGTCGAGTGGTATAAAGTATCACACACATGTTTTCTTGGGCGACACACATGCTCCTTCATTCGACCTGTTTGTCCGTCCACCCGCCTCGCTGTGTCACTTCTACAAGGCTCCGCTTGACCGACTCTTTCTCCTCGACTGTTGGCGAGCCATTTAATCCCAAGAGTTGTGTCGACTTTGGTCTCTGTTTCGAAATTTGCCATCCCCAGACGCTGCCCAGATCTTTCACACCCCTTCGGAAAGCTGCGTGGCAACCACCAAAAAACCAGCTTGTTCAAAATTCCAGAGTCTCTGCAGGGATATTTGGTATCTGCATATCTTCCTTGGCAGACTGTACCTGGCATTCCGACCACGGTCAAAAAAACAGGTCCAGCTTACACACCATCTTCTTCGACTCACAAGGCAGATCAGATCTCCTGCGACTGTTCCTTGCATTGCCGACGACCCTGAATTGGGGGGGTGCAGATCACATATTCCCCTGCAAGGGACGACAGGTTTTTCTATCATAGCCTTTCGGAAAGTGCAATTATTTCCAAATCTGGCAATTTATAAACAAAGGGACCGACATCGACACAGCTCCATCCAAGTCTCGACCTGCGATCCGCGTCTCTACCCAGCCTAGGACGCATCAAGCACCTTACTTCTTCAACAACTTGACCCTCGCCCGGGAGCGAGATACACAATACCACCAAATCGGGATAGGGGAAAAAAAAACACCCAGTGTCGCCAAGACAGACCAGAGAAGGGAAGACCCCCGTCATGGCGCCCAACCTGCCGGACCCGCGGCCCTCCAAGGCCCACCCGGACCACCGCGAGCACCGCAAGAAGCTCGAGAAGGAGCACCCCTTCACCTGGATGCCGGGTGTCGTGCTCGGCCTCATGGGCGTCACCCTGCTCATGAACGTCGAGAAGGACGTCGAGAGGCGCGAGCAGCGCCACCGCCGCGAGAACGACGAGGACCGCGACCGTGACCGCGACCGTGACCGTCGCAGGGCCCGCGACCGCGACCGAGACCGAGACCGAGACGACGACGGGCGGCGCGGCAGGCGGGACCGCAGCTACGAGCGCCGCCGCCCGCACTCACAGCACTACCGGGACGGCGGCGGCGACGGCGACGATGACGACCGCCGCCGGCGCCCCCGGAGGGGCAGCTGGGGTCCCGAGGTCCGGAGGGGAGCCGGCAGGCGGGACGGATCGGTGCCGGTGCCGGACACGTACCCGTCGCCCTCGCCCAGGGACGTGTACTACAGGGACAGGAGCCGGGGTCCGGCTGCGGCGTCGCCGGCGGGCCCGTCGCATCCGCCGCCGCCGCCGGCGCGGAGGATGGACAGGCGGAGGAGCTTTGAGCGGCAGCGCGGCGGCGGCGGCGGCGGCGACAACCCACCTCGGCGGTCGGACACGGGTCTGTACGCGCAGAGGGGATTCCGGGCCGAGTTTGATGGCGACGACCGGAGGGACTTTGACGGCGGCGATGGGCGGAGGATCTATCGGTACTGAAACGGGGAAACGGGCGTTCAGACTTTTTGATTCATGATTCTGTTTAACGACTGGTATGACGTTTCATGAGGATACACGGGGGAAAATGGGCACATACACATACATATGGATGGATTGGGCAACACGGGATATTGGGCATCGCGATTGATCGAGTCTCGAGTTTTTGGCATAACGATCACACAGACCGGCGTTGTAAGCGGCAAACGCATGATTTCCTCATGAATAACGACAACTTCAGCATGGCATTTACATGTATGTATTATTATGGACACTGCCGATATTAAGGGTTTTTGGTTTAGCCATCAAACACACGATTATCGCCATGCATGATCGAGATAGATTGCCCAAAGGCATTGCATTCATGCCGAACAAGCATTGCTTTCCCAGATCTATTTAGTACCGAGATGACAATCCCTTCATTGGAAACCCGCTGCAATGACGAAACAAACAACATGATCCGAGCCTACACATACAACAACAACAACATCTGCCCCCCTAAAAGCGACATCACCTCCTACTTTCAAGCTCCACGCCACCAAGCTCCTCGCCCACGTCCTCGGTCCCGTCCAGTATCTGCCCACTCCCGCCAGCCGCCGCCGGCCGACTCCCGCCGTCGAAAGACCCGCTCAGCCGTATGCGCCCGCCCGAGACGGTCGACACCTTCCCCGAGACCCAGCCGCCGACGCGCTGCATGAAGTGCCACACGCGCTCCTGCACCTCGGCCATGCCGTCGTCCTGCGGCTGGGAGCCCGCGTGGTCCGCGGCCTCGGCCTTGAACTGGTACCGGAGGCAGTCCTTGACCGTCACCATGCCCGACAGGCGGCCGTGGTACTCGATGAGGATGACGCGCGGGCCGAGCTTGCGGAACAGCTCCATGACCGTCTCCAGAGGCAGGCGGGGGTGCACGGTGACGGGGGTGGTGTCGACGTAGGGGCTGAGATCCACGGTCCCGTGATGAGCAGCAGCGGCAGCGGCAGCGGCAGCGGCAGCAGCAGAAGTAGACGGCAGATCGGCCTCGGCGGCGGAAGCAATGGAGGACGACCGAGCGGCGTGCGTGAAGGTGCACTTGGTGTCCGGGCTCGCGCCGCCAGGCTGCTTCTTGACCTTGTCGACAGCGTAGCGCAGCTCGGTGCTCCCGATGTAGCCGACCAGCAGCTTCGACTGCATGTCCTCGACGATAGGGAAGCCCTGATAGCGGTCCTGCTCGAGCAGGGCCTCAATGGCGCGGAGGCTCATGCCCGTGGCGGGGATAGCGACCACCTTGGCAATCATGGCCCGGGAGACAGGGACGCCAAAGTTGTGCTCCTCCTTGTTGTCGAGGAAGGGGAAGCCGTTGAACCAGATCATGCGATCGGCGATGCCACCCTTACCAAACAACTCGCTGACAATCTTGGTGGTGCCGACGACGATCATGGTGGGCAGGATGTAGGTCAGGGCTCCCGTCAGCTCGAACATGATGACCACGACCGATACAGTGATGTGCATGATGCCGCTGAGGGCCGCAGCGGCGCCGAGGAAGGCGTATGTGCCTGGTGTTATGCAGGGCACATCCGGCTGACAGGCGGCGAAGAAGGCGCTCTGGGGGTTAGCATCATAGAGTGCCTGGACGATGATGCCGACAGATCGTCCGAAGTAAGCGCCGATGGCCATGGATGGAACGAAGATACCGGCCGGGACTTTGGAGCCGTACGAGATTATGACTAGGAACGTGCGGATGACAGTGGCTAGGACCAAAGAAAGCCAGTTACCGAAGCGGTGGTCTGCTTCACAAAGGCCGTGAAAGTCCTCTGCTCCTTCGCATTCCAGGAACAGGATGCTCATGCTCTCGGTCATGTCGATCCGCAGAAATGCATTGGGGTAGCAGATGATGGCTGTGCCGACAGCAAGCAGAGTGGCTTCTAGGATGCCATACTGGGTCAGATACTTCTTGCGGAACGCCACAGCCCGCATGTTCCACTTCATGACGAAAGCACCGTACAAGCCGCCAAAGATGCCGACAATGACGAAGAAGAAGAGCTCGAAGAAGTGCCAAGACCGATCATAGTGGACCTGGAACATGACAAGCTGACCCGTGCGGAAGGGGTTCATCGCTGCTAGGACGGCCGTGGCGACCAGGGCACAGAAATAGCTGCGCCAGAGTGTCTTGAGAGGAAAATGGCTCGACATCTCCTCGAGAGAGAAGAGCACCCCGCCAATGGGGCTGCCGAAGGCGACGGCGACACCAGCAGCGGCCGAGGCGCAAAGGATCTCGCGGGTTTTTGAAGCACTGAGCCGGTACTTCTCGAACATCCTCGATATGACATTGCCGGCGGCCACGGCGTAGTGCACACTGGGGCCTTCTTTGCCCACAGACAGGCCCGAAGCGATGACGAAGGGCAGTGAGAGGGACTTGATGAGAAAGACCCAGAATCCAAGGAAGCCCTTCATGACGAAGCCGGCAATGATGACTTTGATCTCGGAGATGCCCGAGCCCGCTGCATATGGGGCGTAGCATCTCACGAGCGTCGCAGCAACCCAGGCGAACAACCCCGCGAGAATGATGTATATGATGTAGTTGAAGGGCTCGAACCCCGTCCACCGATGCCACTCGGCGCAACCGTTGTCTTCGCCCCAGCAGCAAAAGTCCTCGTTGAGATAGAAGGCCGTCGTGCAGTACCCCATCTTGATATCAGACAGCCACTCCGCGGCTATGCTCAGGAAGGCGGCGTTGAGCCCGATGGCGATGCCGACGAGGGTGATGACCAGCCAGCCTTGCGCCGCCTCGTACGAATCCCACAGCCGATCCCTCCAGTTGACGTGCCCTGCGCTGTACAGTCCCTCCATCCGTTTCCGCCGTGCCTTGCGGCGCAGCTGGTCCCTCGCCGCATCTTGTACCCAGTCTATCGTAGTGAAGTCCTCGTATCTCTTGAGCTTGGCGATCTCCTCGGTGATTTGATGCGCGGCCGCCGCACCACCCCCACCATTGTGGCCGTCGCCCTCTTCGGCGGCGGACACCGCAGAGGACAGCCTAGAGCTGACTGAAGCGTGGCGCTCTGGTTGAGGGCGGCTGGTCGAGTAGGAGGACGATCTGAAGTTCATTGTGCCAAGCTCCGCAGCGCAACCATGGTGGGAGCTTCGCCAATCCCGTCTGCTTGGCGGGCGATGTGCGCGCCTTGCGATTGGTGCGGCGTGTGAGAGTCTTTGTGTGTCTCGATCTTGACTGCGGTGGAAGATTCCGTCGGGTTGGCCAAGACGAGATTGTCGTCCGTTACGCTATGGGAATTGTAGGTACAAGTATGCAATGTAGTCCGAGTAGCTTCAACGATTGAAGTCGAGTCGAAGCTCGCACCCAATAGAGCAAGGCGGCGGGTGATGTAGGCTCCAGCCACTACCAGCCCGCTACCTTAGGCGTGCCGCCTCTGCAGCCGCCTGTGGAATTAGCTCCAAGGAGCTGGAGGCTCTGGCAACCCTGTCCATTTGCGACTTCCCCACCCGGGCTGAGACCTCGTTACAGAAGGGGCTTTTTCAATGGTACCGCTTTCGAGTCGCGCGTCTGACTTTGGGCTAAGCGCGTCAAAACCACTTAAAATCGCACCCTCAATTCGGCTCTGAGTATCTCATATATCACCATCATACAAACCAACCACCTCGAACTGACGCTTGCCTGCTGTGATTATTCAAGGGCCATTTCCATCGGAAACAGAGTTCTTTCCATCAAATCGACAGGTCGACGGCCCTAGCACATTCACCTGGTAACGATACGCCGGCACCGGGCAGACCGACCTTCACTCAAGCAGGTACTTCTGAAGACGAACCTAGTCTCAACTGGTTTATATCATAATCCTCAGCCGGGAAGCAACCCAGCGCTTGACTTTCCTCATCATGCCTTACAACACGACCGCCATCCCGCCCAGGAAGGAGGTGACAGGCACAACTCAGCTGCCGTGTAAGACACTTGCCGATCCGTGAGAGCTCCCCTCCGGCCTGTTGCTGACCTCCAGTCGCAGTGTCAAGAGTGAAGAAGATCGTGGCCGTAGACCCAGATGTCAACATGTGCTCAAACAATGCCGCGTTCGTGATCACGCTGGCAGCTGTACGGCTCCCTTTGAACTTTCCAAACGCAGTCCCTGTCATCACTACGGCCTAACACACCTTTCCGCAGGAGCTGTTCATCCAACATCTCGCCACCGAGGCACAGAACATGGCCAAGCTGGAGCGTAAGCCGCGCCGAAACATCCAGTACAAGGACCTAGGTGAGTTGGTCTTTCCATGTGAAACACATACACCAAAATTCGTAGCTTGGCTGCTGACCCCCCGTGATACAGCCAACGCGGTCCAGCACGCAGACAACCTCGAGTTTCTCGAGGACGTCATTCCCAAGACCGCGTCCTACCGGCAGGTCAAGGACCAGGTCGCCGCCACGCAGGCCAGACTCCGAGGCGATAAGCCCGCCGAGGGGTCGCAGCAGGCCAACGGCGCCAGCAAGAAGCAGCAGGCCAAGTCGGCGGCGCCGCTCGTCAACGGCGGCGGCAACCTGAACGGCTTTGCGCAGTCGGCGTCGTCGAGGTCCATGCTGATGGAGGAGGACCCCAGTGCGCAGTTGGAGCTGGAGATGAGGCAGGCACATGGGCAGCATGATGGGGACGTTGAGATGATGGGCTAGAGACCGCAGTTGTGACAGAGGCGGATTATGATGAAACTGAAGCAAGAACAGTGTAATGTCACAAAGCGTATCATTTTCTCCAAGTGCCAACAATGTTCGGCCCAATATTCTTCAATTTTGAGTGAACACCGTTTCATAGCTGTTTTCCCAGCCTTGATGTCTTTTCCGGATGCATGTACCTATGAACGCCTGTAACCCAACAAGACACACACCGACCAGAAGACCGAGAGGTAGATACGCGCAGAAAAGAAAAAACGTTAGAGGATCCCCTCAATCCAAAACCTACTCCTCCATGGCATCTCCGGCGTGGATACCCGTGGGCAGCCTGCCCTCGTTGAGCTCCTTCTCCAGCCGGATGATCTCCTCGAGGCTGTCGGCCTTCTTGATGCGCTCCTGCAGGCGCTGGCGCTCCGCCTCGGTGAGCTTGATGCGCGACAGCTTCGACGACGAGGACGAGGACGTGGGCGCTCCGTTAGACATGGCCACGTCAAACGTCCTCGACTTGGTGCCCGCGATCCGCGACGCCAGCTCCGTCGGCTCCGCCGCCGTGCCAAACAGCTCCGCCGCCTTTTGCCGCTCCGCGTCCTTGACCTTTTGGTAGTCGAGGAAGCGCACCGTGGGGCACCGCCAGACGACCCAGTACCGGTAGTGCTGCATTGCTCTCCGGTTAGTTTTCCCAACAGCATTTTGACATGGAGGGCCGCAGAGCGTGTAAAGGATGGAGAGAACCCACCTCCTTCTTCGTGACAGGGTTCTCCAGCAGGACGAGGTGTGTCAGCCGCTTAAAATTACCCAGGCCGTCGAGGTCCGCCAGCTCGGTGAGGCTGTTGGACGTCAGGACCAGGTTCGTCAGGTTTGGTATCGAGTTGGCGAGCGTGGGCTGTATGCTGTTGATGCGGTTGCGCGCCAGCAGCAGGGTCTGTATCCGCGGGGACAGCGGGAAGTTCCCCAGCATCGATATGTCGTTGTCGGTGAAGTCTATCGCATCTTGGGGCTGTCGGTCGGAGAACATTGTCAGTAAACGAGGCGGCACGCGACAGCTAGACGGGGAATGGAATATGCAAGACTTACGCCGGCGACACCCAGGTTCTCAATGGCGGGTATTCTGTGACCTATTGCGATTGCGCAAGAACACAAAGGTTCGATATCAACTCTGCACTTTCAGGGGATCATTGTGTAGTATCTGTTCTTTTCAAACGCACCTCGGAGATCCAGCTCGCGCTCCTTGAGCGGGTTGAGGTAGGAGAGGGAGTTGTTGATGAGATCGGCCGTCAACCTCATCTTGGCTAGGGTGTTACCTCTCAATCGGGGATCTGTTGGTCTGCCTGTTCTTCTGTGTCGCTCGCGACTGCAATCAAGCGAGAGTCGTCGGGGCGCGTCGAGTATGGTCGTCTAGGGTACCGTCGATATCGCGAGGCTGAAGGTTTGGAGCACTGAAATTTTGGCGCCCCGCCATACAAACAGGTACCTCAAGAGGCGCACGGACCACCTACCTCACTACCCACGAATCATGGCCGAGTAGATACATACACCAACTCGTTGCCATGATGCTTTTCTTCTTCTTCTTCAACATGAGTGACATGGAATAAATGGCAATGTTCTCGTGTCTGGCCTCACCCGAAAGACGAGGCGTTGGCCTTATGCTATATGCGAAGCCTTCAGCGATATCACAATGCTGCTCAGACTGATAAAGTATGAATGAAGTATGTTAATGCTAAGCATTGATCTATGAGGAAACTCCGAGATAGGAATTTCTTCGATATATAAGGCGCAAATTATACGGGATATGTGGTGTTTTCATCTCGATGCTTCATCTAAATCTCCGAGCTCAGGGACGTCCTCATCCGACTTCTCCTCATCCGACTCCTCATCGTGATACTCGGGCTCGAAGCTGCTATTCCCGCCCTCAGCTTCAGAGATGGCAACCTCTCCCGTCTCGTCTGCCTTGCTCTCGTCCTTGCGCCCGATAATGACGTTACCTGCCACGAGGAGGGACGCTCCCACCCACCACAGGGGCGGCAACGACTCTGAAAAGATGGCAAGGCCCAGCAGGGCGGTGATGACAAAGTTCGTCGAAGTATTCATGATTGATACTTGCGTCGTCGAGTGACCGCGGGCAAGGGCCTGCGTGAAGAGAGTCCACATCTGGCGATGTTGTCAGCACGTGAGAGGTGTGAGGCGGCAGCACCAAATCGCCCGACTTGAGGAAAGCTGCGCAAAGGGCAGGCAAGCAAGCAATTGTAGAAATAGGGACGAGAAAGAAAAGCCTTACCACTCCGTTGAAAACCAAGTTGAGGCCGAAAAACGTCTGTGGACATATCTAAATGTCAGCCGTCATTGATTCTCAAGAGCAGGACTGAGCAGCATTGCGGGAGACCTGGGTTGGACATACGCATCGTACAACTAGTTCAACAACATGAGCGGCAGCAGAAAGGCCAAAGAAGTGGGCAATGCCATTTGCCAGTGTAGTTGTCAGTTCGGTTGTCGTCCTACAGCCAGGATGTCAGTCAATGTAGAGCGTCGTAAGCCGTACAATGGCAAGATTGACGCCACGAGAGACAAGCACTTCCGAAAGCAAGAGGACGTACAATTTAGCAAAAACCCCGTTGAACGCCGCGCAGGCGCCGCTCGCAATGGCAAAGATGATCCATTGATTCCGGCGGCTCCAGGCCTCGGGCTGCTGGCCGGGCATGTCGCCGGAAGTGGCGGCGGAAGCCATGTGCTCCGCAGCTGAAGGCTGGCGCGCAGCGTGTTGAGCCTTGTCCCCGTTCGTACCAGACGAGGGGCGGGCAGAGGTCGCAGTAGAGGTCGCACGCGCAGAGGAGGAGGATGATGATGTAGAAGGAAGGGAAGAGGAGTTTCGATCAGTCTGAAAAGGCTCGGCCCCGTTATGGGGTTGTCCAGGCGGCTGCGTTTGTCGTTGGCGCAGCATAATATGGAGCTTGGCGTGTGCGGATGCAAACACGAGTAATAAAGGAGCGAGGAGGACTGAGTAAGGCTCTGGGACCTTTGTAGGTACCTACCGAGCTTCCCGCCTGTCAACCAAACCCTTGGTGCTACTGCCACGCGGACTTATTTAGGAGCCGCACGAGATCAACGGCGACAATGCACTTGTACTCGTGAGCAGGATGTCTCGGGGCGACGCAAACACACACCACTGGCTTGTTTGAGGACTCTCGCAAGGTTGAGCGCCACTACAGCAAAACCCTGGCCCAGGCTACCTAGGTAGTGCCAGCCGTTACGATTGGTGTGCATGGGTGCATGTCCTGAGGGGTAGGTACCTCTTCGAGACGCTAAATCTCCACATGGAGATATCGATGGATACCAATGACGACGGCCGCCGAAAGAGTCCAGTTCATGTTGCCAGGTAAATACTCAAGAGATGATTTAATTCATCTGATGTCCGTCTAGGTATGGCAATCTGGCAATACGTCGAATCGAGGCTATACCGTGTTAGCGATTCTATACAGCCAGCATTTTACCTGGTACAATTGATCAAGGTAATGAGGCAGCTTGATTACTTATACGACAAGGGAGACAGCCCTCGCGACCATGCCCGAAAGGCATATTCCAAGTCGAGAATGTTCATGGGCATCGTTATTGATTGTATTGATGTCATTTCCATATGTAGTGCAAGGCGGAGATCTCTTCCCAAACCCGTAACCGGGTGACCTGAACTCCAGTTCTCTCGACCTGGTAAACCCAAACCTCAAAAAGAAAAACCAACGCCGCTTAATGCAAATCTGGCGAGATCGAACAGACTCATGGGCTGCGTTATTGCAGATATCCCGTACTCGATCGCCAGTGCTCCTAGTTTCACAGTCTTCATCCTGACTGAAGACAGACCCATCTCCGTTCCGGTATCGGCCCTCCCAACCCCATAGACTCGCTTCGTCGGGTGCCTCGATAATCGGTGTAATCAAAACCATCATGTGTTAGCTGGACGGGCGTTACAGGAGACGATCTTGATCTTGTCCGCAGTGACCGTCGAGCCGCCGTTTTCCATCTTGAACGAGACGTTCTTGATCAAGAAGGTCCAGACCTCATCGCAGAACCGGTAGGTATCCAGAGATCCCTGTTTCGAATTAGCCATGCTCTCACCTCGACTCTCCTCTCGCATCACGACTACAAGACCGAACCTCGCTTGGGGGGCTGAGGTCGGACCGGATGCGCGGGGGATGGAGATTGCCCAGGCATGCATGTGAGGCGAATTCACCTTGAACGTCAGCCGCGACTTGACCTTGTCCTGCAGGGTCTCGGCGATAGCGCGATCAAAGTTTGCGAGAATCTTCATCGCCAGCTGAGGGTCGATGCGGTTCTCGCTGATGAGGTCGTCGAGCGTGTCTGTGAGCGCATAGCCGATGCTGCGGAAACGTTGGGGGCCGCGGCCCCCTTGGGTTAGCCATGGGTCCGAATGCAAGGCATGTGTATAGCAGAGTCAACCAGGTGGCATGTACCTGCTACGGCGGTAGAGCTCGTAGAATGAGGGAGTAGCCATCTTGACCGGTCGCTGTCACAGAGAGGCTCCAAACGGGTTGGTGGTTTGATGGAGGAAGGGAGGGAAGCGCTTAAATACTGCGGAGATAAAGAGGAGGTATGCCTGATAATGGATGAGTCAGCTGGTGGACTCGGTTGCCTGCGTTGGGATCCAAGCCTGGCTGATGATCAATAGTTCACTAACAATTCTAGGACAGCTTTGCGAGTAGAAATATTAGTGAGCTAGCAGTCCATCAAGAATCCCACGTGATGGAGAGCCCGAGATTGGGGAACACACTTGCCTGTAGTTATGTACCTGTGTACTCCGTACCTCTCTCTGCAGCCAGCTAGCTCTCCAGTGACCTGGCCTGTGCTCGCAACGTCAGAACCACGAAGCTCCCGTCTGGCTGTTCTTGAGCATCGCCAATATTCGCGCCTCTCTCCAAGTTGGTCCAGCCTCGAGCATCCCTCCACGACCACGACAACAGCAAACACATTCTCAAGATGAGCCTAACATATGGATTGGGCGGCACCACCGGCGCCCTCGCCATCGTGGGAGCCTGTCAGTCTCCTCAGACCCCGAATAGCTAGGCACACGGACGCATCCGAGCTAACATTCCGAGCTCTGCAGACATGCTCTTCACCGGCAGCGGCGAGTCCTTCAATGTCGGCGCGTTTCTCGAATCAGTCTCTCCGTACGCATGGGCGGACATGGGCATCTCCTTGTGCATCGGACTGTCTGTGGTCGGCGCAGCATGGTGAGCTTTTGCTGAACCCCCCAAACTCCCAAGCTCGGCCTCGCATCTCTAATTATTCAACCTTCTTACCCTACAGGGGCATCTTCATCACCGGGTCCTCGATCCTCGGCGGCGGCGTCCGGACCCCGCGCATCCGGACCAAGAACTTGATCTCTATCATTTTCTGCGAGGTCGTTGCCATCTACGGCGTCATCATGTCCATCGTCTTCACGTCCAAAGTCAACGACGTTACGGGGGCCCAGCTTTACGACAGCAACACCTACTACACCGGCTACGCAATTTTCTGGGCTGGCATCACGGTCGGCATGTGCAACCTCGTGTGCGGTGTTGCCGTCGGTATCAATGGAAGCGGTGCTGCTCTTGCCGACGCGGCCGATCCGTCCTTGTACGTCCTCCGGCTCCTCGGCGCTGACCCTTGCGCGGATACTAACCCATATCCCACACGCAGATTCGTCAAGATGCTTGTCATAGAAATCTTCAGCTCCGTTCTCGGCCTGTTCGGTCTCATTGTCGGCCTGATTGTTTCCAACAAGGCGATCGACTTTGGTGCCTCGCAGTAGACACACATGCAGTTGGGCAAATCTGACTGAAATCGCAAGCGAGTATTTCAACTCTCATCTGGGGGAGATATGGAGGTGATGTTTCAAGTTCAAAAAGCATTCAATCGGCGTTTCTGGCAAGCTTGTATGGTAGAAATTATAGGCGGGGCCTGCAATTTGTAGAATCTGTAACTAATGTACACTTAAGACCGACTTTTTCATCACAACGCGAATAGGATATCGTATTTGGGACATCAGCGCGCCCAGGGGCTGGCCGTGTCTAGTCTTCCTCTTCTCCGTCGATGCCGGCCCTCACCATCAACTCCTCGACCGTCTCGTTGAACAGCTCCGAGGGCATGCCACGACCAGCAAAGCTGGACGCCCACATCTGACTGGAAGACCCCGAAAAGTTAGCATTGCTCTTCATCACATGGGGGGTAATTTGAGAATGACGAGTTGTCTACTTACGCCCACTTCGCGCCCAGCGACTCGAGGCCCTGGTTGAACTGGATCTCGGCCATGATGTCCGTGATGTCCTGGCGCGTCATGCCCTTCTCGCTGATGCCCAGCAGGCCGTGGAGGTCGTCCAGCTCCTCGGCGTCGACCTCCGTGCCGGAGGCCTTCCACTGCCCTCGGACCTCGAGCTTGTCGGCGGCGGCGGCGGCTCCGGGCTGGCCGCGCAGCTGTCCCCAGGTCGGGCGCAGCACTGTCTGCGGGAAGACAATCGTGGGGCCCTCGGCCCACCAGTGGTCGCGGGCGATCTGGCCTGCGCCGATGAGGCGGAAGACCGAGCCAGCGATGCGCGGCACGAAGACGTAGGGGCCGCGGGCCAGGGGGTCGAGGGGCGGGTGAGAGGCCTTGATGGCGGCCGGGTGGATGCTTCTATGGACCTCGTCGGTCTGGTAGATGGTGTCGTCCATCTAGAGAAGGGGTTGGGACAATGTGGGTTAGATTGGGTTATCATCATAGCGAAGCGATGTGCCGTTCTCTCCGCAAAGGATTTTCCAAGCATGTTTGACTTACGTGGTGTTTCTCTACACACTCTCGACAGGCGCCGTCGATGTCATGCCAGAGCACGGTGACAGTAAGGTGGATTTCATCGCCGGTGAAGTGTCGGAAGATCTTGTCAGGTCTAAGCGACGGTCAGTTAGTTTCCTTAGGCTCTTCTGGGGACGCCTTGGGTGTCCCTACTTGCAGATCGGCAGGTAGCCTTTCAAGCCACTTGTGAAGAGAGCACCGCTGCAGACTTCATGGATCTCGATGCCGAAGTGGTTGCAGGCCTGGAAGTGATAGAGTTCGTGTTTGCACATTGTGGCGGTTATGGGCAGCAACGACTTCTTAGGCAGATTTCAGAAGCGATGGTATGCTTCCCATAAGATGAGGGTTATGTTGAGGGGAAGGGGAGACGGTGAAAGGAATCTGCGTCGATATTTTCTTAACGCAGAAGTGATGAAAGGGTTGGGCTCAGAAAGAAAGTTGGCGCAGAAGACTCAGAAAGAGGAACGTGCTCGAGCAAATATAGATAAAAGTGAGATAAAGCTGAAGTCTCTATATGTCAAAGGTTTTCACCAGCAAACTAGGAGGAGGGCCTTTCCTTAGTGACTGTTTCGAACGTTGCTCATCAATAGAGCATTAACCTTGGTGCCCTTTGCCAATGGTTCAGACCCTTTCGGCATACACAGAAGAGCATTGGCCCCTCTGAGACTGCCCACTTTGGAACTTCGTTGACCACCAGTACTTGAAGCTGTCAACGTCCCATCAGCGGCGATGCTCACGATCGCTCTATGGTACTCTGGCCGCGCCTTGTCTAGGACGAAGTCGTGCGCCAGGGTGACCGGGACTTTTGTTAGACCTTCGGGTGAAACCCCTGACATCGCATGAAGCGAGGGCAGTGCAAAGAGATGAAAGGTCACCAAGGCTGATGCCGGGTTTCCGGGAAGAGAGAAAATGACTTTTGACACCCTTTCACCGGTGTTGTTCTTGGCAGGAACGGTAGCGAAGGTCGTCGGCTTTCCTGGCTTCATCGAGACTCGTCCAAAGTGAATGGTTCCACCAAGCGAGCGCTCAATGGTAGGCTTTAGAAGATCTAGCTCGCCCATGGAGACGCCGCCCGTTGTGATGATGAGATCTGACCGCCTCATAGCATCTCGAAGATTCTCTTCTAGAGTTCCAGCCTTGTCCTTTGCGATGCCTAGGTCAACAACCTCGAAGCCCCATTCCTTGGCTGCAGAAATCAGAGTTGGCCGGTTGGTATCTCGAACCTCGCCCAGGACCAGGTCACCCGGCCGACTGTGCTCTACAATCTCATCTCCTGTGGACATCACGCCGATCACAGGCCGTCGATATGCTTTGACTTCGGCAACGCCCACTGCCGCGAGAAGGCCGATCTCCCCTCCTACTGCAGAAATCTGCTCCCCTTTTCGCAGTATGATCGTGCCTTGCTTGATGTCACTACCCACTTCTCGAATGTTCTCTCCCTCCTTGACGCCTTCAGCGAGGATCTCGACTTCTTTCTCTTCCTCTCCATCCTCAGTCTTTGACTTGAGTATGGTATCCTCGACCATGATCACTGATGTCGCTCCCGGTGGCAAAGGGGCTCCTGTCGTGATTCTGGCAATTTCACCCTCCTTCAAGGGCTTGACCTCACCAGGCGTGGCATGAGAAACCGCCACCACAGGAAACACCCCTTTCATATTGCCATCCTTCGGCACCACGACGGCGTATCCATCCACAATACTTGCCCTGAACGCTGGCACATTTTCCCTGGCGGTAACATCCTCGGCAAGAACAGAGCCGACAAGATCTTCGTGGACCTTGCGGGTCTCAATTACCGGCTTTGGAGTCTGCTCCTTGATCAGAGCAAGAGCATCTTCGACGGAAATCATGGGATAGGGAGACTCGCGATGCCTTCGGGTCGGACCCAGGCTGGGATCGTTGGACATGGGGTTCGCTCCTGGCTTGGTGTGTCTGACTAGATTCCCGTGCCCATGGCCCGCGCCGTGGCCATGCGAATGCCCGTGTGAGTGTCCGTGTGAGTGTGAGTGGCCCCCAGCATGACCATGAGGCTGCGAATGGCCTGCACCCTGGACGATCCCAGCTTCCTGCTCGAGCCTTTTCACACCGCCAGAGTGCAGCTTCCGCGAGTCGGCACCGGCAGCCTGGTGGCATGCGTGCGGCAGGGCCTTGATAATCGCCTGGAGGTTCTCCTTTGCGCCTTTGGGCGAACCAGGCAGGGTGACGATCAGTGTTTTGTTCCTGACGCCGGCCACTGGGCGAGACATCATTGCAACTAACGAGAGAAGTCAGTGGCTGTTGCAAATCGCGGTGATTGCGACCGACGTACAAGGAGTTACCTGCAATGATGCAGCCAGCATGCCATGCACCAAGCCCGACGCCGGCCGGTGTAACAGCGCACTGACAGCTTCGGGCGTGTTGTCTCCCACCGCAAAGCCGGTGCCACCTGTGGTGACAATGAGGTTGATAGAGTCGGGTACATCAGCCCAGAGCATGATATGCCGCTGGATCTGCTGAACCGAGTCCGGGACGATCTTGGTCTCGACGACATCCCACTGTCCAGCTCCATCATGCTCGAAGACACTCCTGAGGGTAGCATCCGAGGCGTCTGTAGATGGTTCCTTGGCAGCGGTGGTAGAGACCACCAGAATAACCGCTTTCAGTTGCGGTTCAGACATGTCGAAATAATTGGTGGATTGCTGTTGACGGACAAGAGCTGAAGGTCAGGTCTGGACGCACGCCACGATCTGGAACTTCGGGATAGTACGATCAACAATCGCCACCTAGCACGGTTATTGCTTGCTATTCTTTCTGTCTGGGTAGAGAAATATCGATTAAAGTTATAGAGAATTGTCTCGAAGTGGGTTGGCAACGAAACACGACACTTTGATGGCTTGAGGCAACTGGCCATGAGGCTCCGAAGTTGGGGTAGCCTCCACGCATTTCCCTAACCCTTTCCGGTTCCCCGCAGAAGCTTAAATTCATCAATCGGAGCTCCCCTTTTAGTACAGTACAATGTTCGCTCATCTTTCTTATCGTCCTTGAAAGTTTTCCGCGACATCAAATCTCGAGATGGGCCAGCTCAACGACCGCTGCACGACAGCATTGAATCCACAGCCATACTGAACGACACTGATCTTCATTGTTTGTGAAACACTTATCAGGAAAGACCTCCTCAAATCGTGACGCTACGAGCCTTGACGATTCATCATGGTGCGCGTCAAGGAACGCTATCTGCTTGTCAACATTCTCTACCCTGCGTCTCTGCAGACGAACGCCAAAGTGCCTGATTTTGTCGCCCTCAGTCAGCCTACAACGGATCATCTGACACCGCAACTCCTCGTCCGCGGGATTAAAGCCGAGATTCGTGCTCTATTCGGTGACTATGGGGCTGGCGCTGTCGAGCGCAACTTAGCTGGTATGGTTGCTATCTGACTTTCCTGATGCATGATCCTATGCCATATGCTAACTGGTGCTACCTTCAAGTCAAGTATTTGTCGCATGCGACATCCACCTTCATTCTACGCGTGTCGCGTGACCACTACCGCCTTCTTTGGGCAGCTTTGACCTTCATGAATGCAGTTCCCGTAAAGAACGGCAAGGACTGCACTTTCAAGGTCGTGCGCGTCAGCGGTACTATTCGCAAGGTCGAGGAAGAGGCCATCCGGCGCGCCAGGGCCATGATCCTTGCGGCACAAGACGAGATGGCTGGCAAGGCACCCGGCTCTCTCAGCGCTCTGTTTGGCTCGAGAGATCTGGCTACCGATGCGACAGTCGGAATGGACGTCGACAGTTCCTCGGATCTGGACGAGGGCGAGATCGAAGACGAGGGCTGAGATCTCATTTCTTCTTCCTGGCAACTTTCACACTAGAATCGGCTCCGGGATCGGGGATTCCCGCCGCGTCATCTGCCGCCGCCGCGCCTCGCGCCTCCGCTTCAGCTGCCTCTTGCGCCTTGGCCTGCGCTTCCCATTCCTTGCGCTCCATCTCGTCGTATTCTTCCTTGTTGTCGATCCACCTCTCTTGGATGTCCTGGGCATCGAGCAGCGAAGACTCGTTCCGCATCGCCACCTGCCACACCGTATCATTGGCGCCTTCAGCTGTCCCAAAGACATACCCACCAGCGCGGTCGATCACCCGGAGCAGATGCATCATGCTCTGCTTGTTCTCCACGGCCAAAACTTCGAACCGGACCAGACCGAATCCTTCAATGAGGTTGGCGACAGCTTCGTTGAGGCGCTTGAACTTGTCGCTACGGAGTGCAGGGCTCTCCTGGTCGAGAACCGGTAGCAAGTATTCCAGATCTTGCACCTCGGTGTAGTAGTCTAGATTGAACGGCAGGGGGTCATAGGAAGACACTTTGTCGATTTTCGTCAGGACGTTGATGTGCGGAAGGTCCATTTGGAGCATGGCTCGGAGCGCGAGGAGGATGTTGGAGATATAAAGAGACGGCTGCGTCAAGCAGAATGAGTCGGATAGGTGAACTACTACCAACTGCACCAGCTCTTGTTAGTAATGTTTCCCTGGGGCATCCGGTTCAAAGGTTACCAACCCTGTACCCAAGCTTCTGGAGCTTGAAGAAGATATTACGGAGCGAGTTGTGATGGGTATAGAGCTCTACCTGGCCAGGGCAGTCGAAGAGTATGTAGTCCTCGCTGAACTCCTTCAAACCATTCTCTAGCCACTCCATGTTGTGCTCTAGCTCTTCGAGCGCATAGAGTATGCCACCATTCGGGCCCAGGTTGTCGTCGGACATGATTTCCTCCAGGGTGACAAGGTCTCGGATGTCCAGGGCACAGGGATAGCTTGTGTGGTCATTTGCCGGATCGAGGTTCACGACGGAGCACTGGCGCCCGATAGCTCCCATGAATTGGTGCACTGAGAAGTCAGTACGAAGCCATGCGACAAGTACGAGGGACGAGGGAGCTTACTGCCATCGCAGTACGTGCTCTTCCCGGCGCCGGGACTGCCGAGGACGAGCTGCGCGAAAGGCATGCTGATTAGATACCTGAAAGGTTTATCTGAAACACGAGGGATGTTCTACAGGGTGTCCCTTTGTGATCAGAGAGTCATTGTCGCGATCTCGAGAGTTATGGTTTTGGAGGACTTGACAAGCGGCAAACATGTGCAGCCCGGCACCCCCACTACGTAAGGGAAGGAAGCTGGCAGATCATGGTGGATGCACCCCTCCAAAAATTAATGGCCCCGGCCACTAAACAGCTTATCGAGTGCTTATCTGCACGTGTGTCGCCGCGTTCATCTTTGCTGTGGTGACCTCCCCTGTAGCCGCAATATTTACTTGCCAGAGCTGGAGCTGCTTTTGAGCTTGGTGATCCGTACTCGACTCGACTTCCCCCAATTTCTTGCCCAGTACATGGAAACAAGGTCGAATACAAGACATCATGGCTCCAGGTGCGATACCGTTCCTTTTTCTCAAACGTTGTGCAGTAGCTGACCCGTGTCCCCAGTATCGCAATTCGAGGCCAAGCCCGCGCCGGGTGACATGGTGGGATCCGTCAAGTTTGCGCCAAACTCGTCGTCGCGCATAATAGCTTCCTGCTGGGACGCGCGCGTCTACCTATACGAGATCCAGGGCCAGGGGGAGGAAGCGCACGCGAGCCTTGTGCGGGAGTTCCCTCACAAAGCCGCTGTCCTCGATGTGTGCTTCGGCAAGGACGACGACGAAGCCTTCTCTACCGACCTGAACAAGCAGATCAACAGGTTCGGACAATTGGCACCTTTGCGGTGATGAGGCGGGACCGAGGCTAACATTGTTTGGTGGATAGGATTGATCTAGCGACAGGCGAACAAATTGTCATCGGGCATCATGAGAAGCCCGCTCCTCGCATCGCATACAGCCGCGAGCATTGTTGGTCTACCGTCCTGTTCCACCAGCCTCACCGTGTCTAACCATATGTCATATACTAGCGATTCTCATTTCCGCCTCTTGGGACGGTTCAATTCACTTCTACAATGCAAACGACTTCGATCAGGCACCTATCAAGGCACAGTTGCCTGGCAAGGCGCAAGCGCTCGCAGCAAGCCCATCCAAGGTCGTGGTCGCCATGAACGCACGTCTAGTTCACATCTACGATCTGCCTACAGTCGCATCGATTCTCAACGGCAAGTCAGCATCAGAGCTCACGCCATGGCAACAGCGAGAATCATCCCTGAAGTTCCTCACGCGTGCTGTGGCATGCATGCCCAACGACGCCGGCTATGCCACCAGCAGTATCGAGGGCCGTGTGGCGGTGGAGTGGTTCGAAGACTCGGCGGAATCGCAGGCGAGGAAATACGCGTTCAAGTGCCATCGGCAGACGGCTCCGGAGGAGGAGGGCGGCGGTGACATCGTTTTCCCCGTCAATGCGCTGGCTTTCCACCCCCGATACGGCACCTTTGCGTCCGGCGGCGGAGACGGCACCGTGGCTCTCTGGGACGCCGAGGCGAAGAGGAGGATGAAGGTGTACCAGAAGATCCCCAACTCTGTGTGGGCGCTCGCCTTCTCCAACGACGGCAAGTACCTGGCCATGAGCGTGGCGCCCGGCTTTGAGACGGGACAAGAGGACTACAGCGGCGAGGGCCAGAGCCAGATCCTCATCAGGGAACTCGGCGAGACTGAGGCGAGGGGAAAGGGGGCGAAATAAAGTAGCCGGGGCTCAGAGAGGGATGATGATGGGTGCTTTGGAACTGGTACTACAGTGTCTCGATAAGGGTCACGGCGTTTGGTGTAAGAAGCTGCTCTACCGGTCATATGAGTGAGATTGATACCTGGATGATTAGTTACTATGAATGACTAACATATTTCACGGTCACGATGTCTGATTTGCGAGTTGGAGGTCTACTGTCACTGAGTGGAAAGAGCATTTTGCTTTCAACAACAGAGGGGCAGGCGCATGAGAAGGGAGGTGGTCGTCAGGAAAGGAAAGGGCTGTAGTCTGCACTTGCCTCCTTTCTCGGTGACAGCTTCGATTTCGCTCGCTCCTTCTCTTTTGGTGGCCAGGCCACAGCGCGTCACTGCGAGAAACCCGAGATCTCTCATTCGAGATGTTCCCCAGGTCTTCTAGCTGTGACCAAAACATAGGCCCGTCCGGCAGACCAGGTACGGATGGCTGGGATCAATCGGACATACGCCCGACGTTCGAGGCTGCGTCGACCAAAGCCATTGAGGGCCAATGCACACGTCCCGGCGTGCAATGTGAACCCAGACAACACCCGGCGGCCCACCCGGCGGCCATCCAAGCGCCTCAAGCCCGAGAAAGAGAGCGTGATTGGGCAGGTCCCACTGCAGAGTAGCTCTCCAGCTGACAGTGACAATGGAGAGGATCAAGAGGAGGAAGACTCCCGGTCTGAGTATGACGCTGATGGTTAGTTGCATCCTGAACTCCCTTTCCACCTAAGGTGGTTATTCACAAGCAATGTAGACGAGTCAGACGAGGAGTCGGTCATTTCGGAAGAGGATACAACGCCTCCTACATCGTCCTGTCGGCCACTGGAAGAAAATGACATCAGGTCACTGCTGGAGAAGCACCCTTCCCAAGTCTACGATTCGAGACCACCCCGAGGATACAAGATGCTCCGAAAGCCAAGGAAGAGCAATCGTCTTGCATTCGCATTTCGCGCGGGAGATGGGTTTTCCGGAGATGAAGCACGCCCCACGGCACTGATCCCAGCCAAGAGGAAACGGGTCGAGCCCGTCTTCACCATGGGCAGTCTGGAACTGGTCCCGCCGGAGCCTCTCGGCAAGATCCTTCGCGATGCCGAGCCCGACGATGACTGCAACCCTGCTCCCGCTTCGACCAACCCCGGCATCGGTCCTGAGAATATTGAAGTTCCCGAGACGCTGGCTGCCGTACCAGTGGAAATTGAACCCCGAAGCCCCGAGTTGGGTGAGCTCGCCGTGCTGGATCGAGGATATGGTAGTGCCAGCCAAGTGCTCGGCTTTGGCTTCACCAGTCCTGTTTCCCTTGGGCTGAGAAGCTCGCCACCAGGAGAAGACAGTGGGGAAGGGGAGGGGGAACGGGGCACACAAAGAGCAATCCCCGCATCTCCTGGTGTACACCTCGAGACAGAACTTGACAGGTCGGATATGCCAGAGATTCCAGACAGTGTGGAACTACCCCATCGCGGCGTCGATCAGCCCCTGCTGTCGGAGGCAATAGACGATGAGGTGGTTATCGCGGGGACTATCGAAAGTGTATAAGAATCTGAAAAGGGCTTGCTTATTTGATGGGCTGTTCGCGAGATATCAAGGTCGTTTGGAAGATAGGAGGTAATTTCACACAAAGTTCAAAACTCGAATTCTCCTCCACGGAGCTACATCTCTCCCAAGTCATGCAGGGATGTATTGTTGCTTCTACCTAGAAAGAGGAAGAAACCTGGATTCCTCTAGTTCCCACTGTATTGGCAAAAAGCCCTGACTGAAGACGACAGAGATGATTTTCTCATGCATTGGTCTCGAATCACGCAAGAGCACCCCGACATTTGATGGCAGAAGTAGCCTTGCCCCAAACACATCGCAGCAATACTTGCACGACACCACTGCCAATATATCACCGCGACACCCGTCTCCATCCGGGAGCATAGACTCCATCCTAGTAGTCTGTCCTGCCGTTCCAGGCCCAGCCCCAATGCCCTCCCCGGGCGGCGCCTCCCGACCCGTGCTGCCCCTGGCTGCGGTGCTGCTGCTGCTGCTGCTGCTCGTGGTGGTGCCTACGACGGTAGTCCTACTGGCCGTTTCCATCATCCTTGGGGGGCGAGATGGGCTGGGGCAGGGCCACGTAGTCGAAGTGGCCGGCCATGCGCAGCAGCCACACGTCGGCCGGGTGCGACGGCTTCTGGCCGCCGTAGTAGAAGCTCTGCGGGAAGCCGACGTCGAAGGGCGCCGCGCCCTCGATCTCGTCCATGTCCTGCGGCGAGAGCTCGAGGGTGAGGGCCTCGATGTTGCCGCGCAGGTGGTCCGGGTTGCGGCCGCCGACGATGGGGAAGACGTAGGGCGCCTTGTGCATGACGTAGGCGAGGGCGACGCTCGTGATCAGCGTGCCCCTGCGCTTGGCGACGGCCTCGAGGGCGCGGCTGATCTGGACCTGCGCGTCCGAGGCCTGGACCTGCCGCCCCTCCTTGGCGGAGGCGGCGGCGCGCTGCTCGTCGCTCTTGAAGGCGCCGCCGCCGAGGGCGCCCCAGGGGGCCAGGGCCATGCCCTCGTCGCGGGCCATGGGGATGATGTCGCGCTCAAAGTCGCGCGAGGCGGCGGACCAGCGGCCCTGGTAGACGCAGAAGGGCCGCAGGCCGTGGTTGCGCGCGTACTCGTTGGCCTTGGAGACGACCCAGGCGGGCGTGTCCGAGATGCCCAGGTAGAGGACCTTGCCGGCCAGGACGAGCTGGTTCAGCGACTGCATGACCTCGGGGATCGAGGTTGAGTGGTCCCACCAGTGGACGTAGAGCTGTTTTTTTTTTTGCAGGAAAGATTAGCATTACTCTTCAAAAAGGGGGGTTTTGGCAGAAAAGGGGGAGGAGGATGTACCAGGTCAATGTAGTCGGTCTGCAGCTTCTTGAGGCTGGCCTCGACGGACATGTGCAAGCTCTTCGCACCATTGCCCGTGAAGTTGGCCATGATCTGCTTGTTGCCCTTGCCACTCCGGTAGTTGGTGGTGTACTTGGTCGCGATGACTGCATTGGACGTGGTGTCAGTTCTGCAATGCCTCTCACGGTCTCGTCAAGAGCGGCAGAACTCACCCATCTCATCCCGGTTGCCACGCTTCTTCATCCATGCTCCGATCCGCTGCTCAGATTCCTCTATATGGCTGTGAGCATGTACGAATCCTGGTTGTCTCTGTGAGCAGGGGCTAAGAGCTTACCAAATTGGTAGTTGTTTGAGGTGTCAATGAAGTTGCCTAAGAGCATGAATGTCAATAAGTTTATCTCTTGCAAGACGACCTGAGTATTTTGATCTTGGGTTCCAGAAACCCTCAAAGCAAGAAGTCAAGCATCGATGAACGTACCGCCCTGTAGAGAAAGATCGATTTAGCTTCAAAGTCTCTCCTGCCGCGGCTAATACGCATCATCGCGGGACTGGGGGACGGGTTCACGAACCTGCTCATAAAAGAAATCGAGGATCTTCTCTGTGGTCTGCTCATCGCACTCTCCCATGTAAGATTTCCTAACAAGTGGTTGGTTTAGAATATGGGGCTTGTCCATTCGCCCTCGAGCACTATCAGATGGCTGCTCTTACCAGGCATCGCCAAAGTTCATGGCGCCGAGGCAGAGTGGGCTAACTCTAACCGAAGCTGTGGGGGAGAGCAGTCGGTAGCGTCCCAAGGGGCCCTTCGGCGGCGGCGCGAGAGGGAGAACTGAAGACATTTTGCTTGTTTTTTGTACTTGAATTCTAGCTGGGACTGTTTGCTTTTGGATGATCGATAGAAATACTGGAGGTGAGGTTGAAATTGGAGTTGAAGTGCGGGAGGGAGGAGCAGTTATGGCCTGGACGGGAGGCGTGGGTCAACCTAATTTATATTCGAGAGAAAGGGAAGGACCATGAGCAACTAATGAGGAAAGGTATGGCCTGAATCGATGATGCTCCCCGGCTCGGGCTGGCTGCAATGGCATGGGAGAACCAATCCGCCTCAGCCCAGCATGCCTAGCTGAGTGGCGTGGCCTTTGAGCAAGTCGACATGACATCGATAGACTCACTTTCCTCTCCACATGGACTCGCCAGATGCAGGTTCAGGGTACCCGGAGAGTCTCAGTGCTGCTGCTAAGACATCAACCGCCTCCAGTCCCCGCTCCCCACGGACGGAGCTGACTTCCTAGCTCCTAGCTCCGGGCAGGCCCAAAGCTCTCAATCTGTCTGTGAAGCTGCCAGACTGACGACCGGGCGGTAGTTGCACCGGCCGACAACACTTTGACTTTCCAGTCCTCGACTCGAGACACCGCAGACATCACAAAATCAAACGACCGTCCCCCGCCCCCCAGCTCGTGTTCTCGACCTCATAGGCTCGTCTTGATTTTTCCAACATGCAAGCCGCGCACGCCGAGCTACCCGGTGCGGCAGCTTGCTTGACCCGAGGTCACAGTTACAATAAGGTTGGGCCGATGGTGAGGGACCCCTGCCATGTGGGGAGATAGGGTCAATGGGAGGAGGGCCGCCGGGCATGCGTAGCCGTAGCTAGGTACGCATTTTGTCGGCGATTGGACTGGACTGGTCTGCTTGAACTTGCTTTCGACACAAGTAAACTCCGACCCGGAGCTGCAGGTTGGCTAATCTCCAGAGCCAAACGCCGAAAGAAGGAGGGGCGGCTGGGAACCTGAATTAGTAAACCCAGTGCAGATGGTGATTATTTATGTTACTTTTTTTTCCCTTTTCGGTGACCTGCGGATCCGTGATTGGCAGTGCATCATCGTGCAGTCGTCGTCAGCACCCAAATCCAACCTGTGTGGAACGCCATCCATGAATAATTCCCACCTCCGTCTGTAATACATCACAGCCCGCGGACTGGAGGATCTTTCTACGTGATTCTTCCATTTGATCTGTTTATTCTTCTTTCCTTCTCTTCCGTCTCTGTATATAGCGAGTAGTCCTACTAGTACACACACAGCCACAAACCCAACACCACGAAGACCACGCCGCCACACAGGCACATATGTCTACATACATACATACACGCATCCTACATGCTAGGTACTTTAACAGGTCCACACGCCGACGACGCCGTCCTGGCGGCCCTCCACCATGTACCCGTCGCGTATCCGCACGTGCTGCACGACCGACGCCTTGGTCCCCGCCTCGGCCGCCAGCACCCCGGCGCCGCAGTCCCACTGCCGGCCCTCGACCTTGTCGTACACCTTGACCACGTCCTCGCCCGCCGCCGCCACGATCCGCCGGCTGTCGAACATCATGCTCGTCACCGGGTGGTCGTACGCGTACGCGTCGTAGATGGAGCCCGTCCGCAGGTCCCATATCTGTAATCAAAGTGTCAGCATCAGCCCTTTCTCGACTCGTAGCGTCCCCCATGCACGCCGTCGTTCCAGATGCAGGCAAGACTTACCCGTATGCTCCGGTCCATGCTGCCCGTAACAAGATGCACGTCGTCAAACTGCAGGCACGTCACCGCCCCCGTGTGGCCCACCAGGCTGCGGTGCACCTGCCCGCTGCGCAGATCCCACAGGCGCACCATGCCGTCGGCCGTGCCACACGCCAGCGCCGCGTCAAAGACCTGCAGCGCCCCTACGAAGTCGGCATCGTTGGCGTGAGCCCTGTTGCCGCCGGTGTGCCGCCAAGATCCCTCGCCCGTGGCCAGCGTTGCCGAAGCTTGTGCTGCGGCCCACATCACGTCGAGCGTCTGGACGCAGCGGCCCTTTTCCAGATCCCAGTGCCGGATCGTCTTGTCGGCCGATCCGGACACGAGAACGTCGCCCCGGAAATGCAGCGCGGTAACTTCATCCACGTGCGCCTGTAACGTGAAGAGAGCACAGTCGGACATGCTGTCGGCAGGGGGCTCTACGGGCTCGTCGTCAGGGTTCTCAAACGCCATGCCGTCCTCCTCCTCCTCGTTGGTCCCAAATTGGCTGCCATGCGGGTCGTAGTGCGCCTTGCTAAGGTCCCACAGTCGGATCGTAGCATCGACAGAGCCGGTGGCCAGGATGTTGTCCTCAACCTGCAACGCTCCCACGGACGCAGTGTGTCCGTCCAGGATGCCGATGCAACGGCCGGCATTCAGGTCCCATACGCGCACCGAGTCGTCCATCGCGGCCGTAACCATCGTCCCGAAAGGCGCATCGAAATCAAGGGCTGTGATCCGGTCTTGGTGGGCACGAATGTCGCGTATGTTTGTGCCAGGCTCGAAGTGCTCGTGCAGAATGGGCACCGACTTCCGTCGGACATTCTTTGGCTTCTTGCTCTTGGACGGAGTGGTCGCTGTCGACGGTATCTTCTCGTAGATAGACTGCGACATGAAACCGGGCGCGTCCTTGTCATTGTCCAATGCCAGATCCTCTTCTGACTTTGTGGGTGTTTGCTGAGCTATTGACTCGGCCTCGTCGACCAGCTCTTGTGCCACATCTATCCTCGCCTCAACGTCCATGACTATAGCACGAGGTTAGCAAATAATCTGCCTGTAGACCATCTTGGCACGACCGCGCCTTGGCATCCACAACTCACCGTCGTGCTCCAACAGGGTCTCCTCCTGCTCCAGCCCGGCTAACCTGTCGAGGATGATCCTGCGCATGCCGGCCAGGTTGGCGATCTTGTTGTCTATCTCGTGGATCTCGCTGCTGGCCATGTTCTTCCGGATGCCCAGCATCTCGAGCTCGTGCATCATGGCCGCCTTGTCCTTGCGCAGCCGCTGCAGCGCGTGCGGGCTGTCGGGCGTCGCGGGCTTGCCCTCGTCGATCAGCCTGCGGCCCCTCGACACGCGCCGGCGGTGGCTGCCGTGGTGCTTCTTGCCCTCCTCGGTCAGCTCGGGGAAGCTGGCCTGGAAGCCCTGGAAGAGCGAGTAGGCGTTGTCGTCCTCGTCGGGGATGCTGGCGAGCAGCTCGTCGGGCACGTAGGCGAGGGCGCGGTGCTGGATCTCGCGCGTCGACAGCTTGGACCGGACGACCTCGGCGGGCGAGGCGCGCGTCATGGAGAAGACGCTGCGCTGGACGCCCGGGCGGCGCAGCTGCTTGTGCATCTCGCTCATGGCCTGCTGGTAGTGCGCGCCCGACTGGGGGTCGGTGAGGGGCCCGATGAGATGGCTGGCCGTGGTGGTCACCTTGCGCCCGAACGCCTCGATGTTCCGTGTCTGTGTCCGGTGGTGGTGGAGATGGTTAGTGCTAGGGCATGCAGGAGAGATGGCCAGAACGGAGGAGGCATGGGCAAAAGGAGTCAATGAAATCAAAGAATGGTATGTGACAATCGGAAAGATCGAGTGCTTGGGCGTGTCGCCTGTATCAAGGGCAGTTGTCCATGTACTCACCGAGATGATGGACGAGTCTTCCTCCGGGCCGAGGTCATCGTGGAAGGCATTTTCGTCCTCCGTCGCCATCCGTCAGATTGAAGGGGGGGCGTCGACCCCGGAGAACAGGAAGCGGCGGATGGTAAGTACGGATCTCGAGCTTCGGGGACAGAGCGGCCAGCCGATTACGAGCAAAACAACACGGGGAAAAGTTGGTGACGCCAAGGGTTGCAGGCTGAGATGCAAGGCTCATGTGTTAGAAGATGGGATCCTGGAAATTGATGGCCTGGCGTGTGGCACACCCACCACCTGGCCAGCTGCAAAGCAGCCACGCGAGCTCGCTGGCAGTCACAAGGGCCGAGCAGAAGCACCACACCACACCACACCAAACAGCACCCCTACAGGGGCTTCCGGATTGGCTTCAGGGCCGCATTATGGGGCGCTTCAGCTTACCCTGGCCTAGAGAATGCCCTGGGCTCCAAGGCAAGGGCCGCTATTGGACGAAGCTGTTGAAGCCGCAGGTTCTGGTGTGGGGCTGGCGCAGGTACGTCACTCCAGGGCGCATTTTGGGAGAGGAATCAGCACTTGGAGGGCGGGAGGATCTGATCTAGGTAGGTACCTAGGTACTTAAGTTAAGTGCCTAGAAAGAAGGGAAGGATTTCCGGTGTTCTTACCCGACACCGGTAGCGGACACGACCCCCGATGGAGAACCGCCGGAGGTGATAATTTTCCTGTCAGACGGGAGCCAGCCCAGACGTCAAGCGGTGTAGATTCTATATATTGACTTTGGAATCCCTTGAATTCAACGCTCACTTAAGCTGCTGTGTGTGACCGCTCAACACGGCGCACGTCCAGTTTGAGTTCCCTCGCCGAAATCCCAGATTTCACCCGCCCGCGTCCATGCCGGCTCATCCTGCCCAATCCTCCGGCGTACCACCACCACCCCGCACCGACTCGCCCGATATGGACTCCGCGATTGATCTCTCGGACCCCTCCAGGGCTCTGGATCTGGCCAGCATCCGTTTCCAGCTCATGTAAGTCTTGCGTGTCCCTCGGTCCCTCGACCATTGACGCTGACCGGGCCCGGAACATTAGCCGACTGGAGGACACCATCACCTTCCACCTCATCGAGCGCGTCCAGTTCCCGCTCAACGCGGGCATCTACGTGCCCGGCGCCGTCCCCATCCCGGACAGCGACCTCAGCTTCATGGACTGGTACCTGCAGCAGCAGGAGAGGCTGCAGTCCCTCATCCGCCGCTTCGAGTCGCCGGACGAGTACCCCTTCTTCCCGGACGCCCTGCAGAAGCCCATCCTGCAGCCCCTCAACTACCCCAGGATCCTGCACCCCAACGACGTCAACGTCAACGACACCATCAAGAAGTTCTACGTCGACAAGTTCCTGCCCGCCGTCTGCCCGGACTTTGGGCGCGCGGACCGCGGCGCCTCGCAGGAGAACTACGGCTCGGCGGCCACGTGCGACATCGCGTGCCTGCAGGCCCTGTCGCGGCGCATCCACTTTGGCAAGTTCGTCGCCGAGTCCAAGTTCCGGTCCGAGCGCGAGCTGTACACGCGCATGATCCGCGCCGGCGACCGCGACGGCATCGGCAACGCCATCGTCAACAAGGCCGTCGAGAAGAAGGTCCTCGAGCGCCTCAAGCTCAAGGCCCAGACCTACGGCACCGACCCGTCCTCGTCCCAGGAGCAGGCGCAGACAAAGATCAACGTCGACGCCGTCGTGTCCATGTACGAGGACTTTGTCATCCCGCTGACCAAGGACGTCGAGGTCGAGTACCTCATGCAGAGATTAGACGGGGAAGAGTCATAGACACAAAATGAAATGTTATAGAATTGCTTTGTTTTCTTGGCAACGTTCATATTAGGGGTATCAGGCAGAGCTCTCGAGTCTATTTTTTTTGGCTTTTTGATTTGTCTTTCTTTTGAAGTGACTTCATGACGGCGGGCTGAGGTAGTCGTTAATGGCCTTGACCGCACCTGCAAACTTGCCCGCCTCGATGAGGATCATAGAGCCCTGCGTACGCACGCCCATCTCCTGGAATGCCCGCTTGCTGTCTGCCACCGCCTCATCCTCCTTGGTGAAGGGGTAACTGCCGTACGCCGCTGCGTGCTCGTACAGCTTCTCGTCCTCCGGGTGGAAGAAGAACAGAGGCGCCTCCTCCTTGGCCTTCTTCCGCTTCCGCTCCGTCTCCATCTCTAGGTTGGACTGGACCTCGTGATACGTCTTGGAGAGGATGAGGTAGTGTGAGAACTCGTAGGGCTCCTTGTCCTCGACGGCCGCCTCGATCTCGTCGATGAGCATAGAGTACATGGGCGGCGCGATCTCCGAAGGCATGTTGATGAGCCTCTCGGCCAGCACGAGGCCGACGTGCTTGCCGGACTCGAGCAGCGCGGGCACGGCGGCCAGCGAGTCGGTGGCCTGCGCCTTTGAGCCCAGGTATTGGATGAGGTCGGCGACGGGCTTCTTGCTCTTGTGCTCCTGCAGATTGAGCGCTGTGAGGAAGGCATAGGCGTCGGTCTCCTTGCCATCTACCTTTACGGTGGAGCCAATGGTGTGCTGGGAGAGAATCAGATCTGCCAGGCCCGAGATGTCGAAGAGGGTGGCGTCGACATCGAAGAGCTGGCGCAAGAGGCTCTTGATGCCATGAAAGTCGATCTCCGGGTCGAAGTTGAACCACTCAAACTCTACGTTGACCATGTCAAAGTCCTTCCCCGCCAGTCAGCCTTGTGAAGATCTTGCCCAAAACCTTTGCGGGCTATCCCTACCTCGTCATCCGAGCTATCATCTTCGTCCATCTTATCAACTGAATTCTCGGGCGGGGCCGCGCCATCCGCCTCTCTAGCCCTCTTCTTGGCCATTGTCTCTTTGGTGCTTCTGGAGTCGGATATAAGATATATTTGTCGAAACAGGGCATGCCGAGGCCACCTTGTGAACGGCTATGCACTGTGATATCTTTCCTTCTTCTCTGAATTCTTTCCATGAAGCTGGGGAAGATGCGGATCTAGAAATTTTTGCCCCTCACTGGAGCAAGCGGACGCGATAAGGAGCCGATAAGATAAGATCCAGCACTGCATTCTGTTCACTTTGATGTTCAATGTTTCCAGTCTGCAGACAATCTTAGCCGTTTTAATTGATTGAAATTCATTTGTACAATTGGTCTTGATGATCTATATTGTACTCATGAGACAAATTCAGGATCGTTGGTGCATATGGCCTCTTACTATTCCAGTGTTTTTCCATTGTCGTTTTCTCCTTGGCCCAGCTAGTTCTGAAGCATCCAGTCAGACCATGTAAAAGAATCTAGACACAGAAAAGAAGAAAGACAACCCGAGGATAGATGAAGGGAAGAAAACACAATGAAAGGTTCTCAATAGTGCTGCTTCGACATGTTTGGCCAGAGGTTATGGGTTCCAAGCTGTCGAGTGTTAGAAAGAAGCAGTACTGAGCTAGAATACTTGTGCTTGTTTTTGGCTCTCGAGAATTCAGATACATGCATTTTGTAAGAAAAGCACATGCATCTCATGACATTCAGGCGCCATGTACATGACAGAATGTCAACCGAAAAACCTTGTGAGAGAGAAATGAGCTTGTCAAACTTAAGTGTACTATTGCTCTCACAACGCTGAGGATGGAGGTCAGCTTTGGCCTGGCCTTGGCAGACATCTGTACTTGTACACTGGTACTGTACAAGGAGGACCCACCGAGTCTGGCAGCTGAGCTCCGTACTTGTAGCTACCTGACCTCGCTGACCTAATAAAGGCAGGCCAATACAGCACGGTTCCACCAGGTGCGTCAGTCCTTTCGGCACAGATCCAATGGCAGAGCTTGCCTTGACCTGTCCTTTCCCGCATGCTCCAAACCAAGCCTCTTCTTTCCCAACCTCATCTCTCTCTCTCTCTCTCTCGATACAACCATCGCCCACACCAAAAAACCAGCATCTGCCTAATCGCATCCACGCAAGCTCTTTCGCATCCTCAAATACCGCAACTCTTCGGGCAGCCCTCCCCAGCAAGTCAATCGCACAATTGTTGCTTGCCTCTACCCAGCATTCAAGATGGATCTATCCGACTCTTTGTGAGTGGACTCCCCGGCCACCCCTGGACTCGAGGCTGCGAGGCGCAAAGAGCATCAACTTCGAGCTTCTCATACCCCCTTTGACCTTCGGTCCTGCTAACATGTGTCGCAATACCCTAGCCGCATCGTCAACCTCGTGGTGGCCGTGATTATGGTCCTCGGAGGCGTTTCGCAGTTCTTCCCGATCAGCTTGTACGTGTCCCTCCGTTCCGGACGTCGCAATTGGCACCCGGGCCCGCGCGCATTGCTCTTTGCAACGCTCGCTACACCCCCCTACGGCCCCGATCGCATTCGGGTGCCATCGACGACCCGTCATGACGGCCGCCGGACCTGTGACTAACATGCTCTCTTCTCGGCAGCCAATCCATCATCATCGGATGCTACGTCATTATCTTTGGTCTCGGTATGTGCTTACCCACTTCGACGCTTCCAACTCACTACGTCGCAATAAGCTAACATGCGCTTCTTTTCTCAGCGACCGCTCTTCTTGAGTTCCAGATCCCTCCCCAGGTCTCCCGCTACGCCTCTTTCCTGTTCTCCTTCATCGGCCGTGGTATCTGTGAGTACCTACCTCCCCACCCTGTCCCGCTCCTCCCGAGACAGTTGGGGCCGTACTGACTGACTCCCACCACAGTTTACATCTTCATCGGCTCCATCCTCCTGCACGACCACGTCCTCCGCGTCATTGCCGGCTCCATTGTTGGCATTGTCGGCGTCATCTACGTCGCGCTCGAGTTCATCCCCTCGATCGAGCCTCCTGCCAACATGCGCGAGGCTGACGCCGGCTGGGGCGCCGAGCAGGTCTAAACGGGGACGCCGCGCGCGCCCCACGTCCCCTGTGCTCAACTCGGCGTTGGCTTTTATGGCAATCTCTTGGCGTTCAACCATGCCCGGTTTGAGAAGGGATGCAAACTCTCTTGACGGAAGGAGAGTTGAGAAGAGCTGCAGAACGGTGGACGCGCGCACATTTGAGTGCCCATTTGATCTCGAATGCCAACATTTGTCCAAACTTTGGATGGTCTCGGCCAGCCACAAGTTCCAGAGAGAGAGAGAAGATTCGTCGTTGCAGGATGGTGAACCATTGTACATCTAAAACGGGATCAGGGTTAGCGTTTATGGTCATCGGTAGGGATGGCGCGGGGCTGTGTTTGTTCTATTTTGTGTTTCTTATAGATGGCCCACAAGCGAAGATATGGGAAGAGGAAAAGAGGGAGCTAGCTGGCTGAGCCTCGGGACGAAGGTGGTGGAGATTTGTTTGGAATAATACTCGTAGTGTACGATGTGGACTTTCAACGGAGAATGGCGGTGCAAGGTATTTCACCTTTTTCATGAGCACTGCGCAAGTTATCTTGCCAAGAAATTCGGGTGACTTTTGATGTTGTCTACCAGTTTAAACACGGTCTAGACTTTCATTCCCACACGCACCATTTCACGTCTTCAAAAGGATGGGACTTGGTAAGGAAAACATAGATGCTGCCGGAAGGCCCCGTGTCTTTTTTGTGACATACCTAAAACCCAAGGTATGCTATGGCTAAACCGCCGAATAAGTAACACACCTTGTTGAAAACGCCTGGTCGTTCTTTTGTCCCAACTCCTGGCTTGTAGTGAGAAAAAACGTGCTGGACCCCTGCTTCCTTGTGTGGAAAAAAAAAAGGAGAAAAAGAGGGAAAACCAATAGATGATAGTCCAGTCGGCGGCGTGCAGCCTGGTCGACAAAAACACCATATAACCTTGTACGCCACACATATAAGAACTCCCCAACCCGCTCATGATGACCCGGAATGAGATGCATTCCTTGGACGCCCGTAAAGATGACCCTTTCCCAATTTTTTTTCTCGCCTGTCGTGTATTGCGCCAGGAATTAAAAAAAGAAGAAGGACATGTCAATAATGCAAAAGCGCCATCATGACTCCAAGAAAAGAAGCTTCCCCCTATTCCTTAATCCCGGCCCAGCTCAGCCAGCTCGCGCTCCTTGGCCGCCAGCATCTCGCGCATCCGCTCCGCCTCGCGCTGCAGCACGCTGCGCTTCTCGGCCTTGATCCGTTCATTCTCGTGACTGCTGCTGTCCCTGCCACTGGCGCTCGGTCCGCCGACGAGTGGCGGCAAGGGGCTGCCACCGCGGCCGGCGAAGAAGTCGTGCCGCGTGGCAGGCGAGCCCGTCATGTGGCGTCCGGGGGCCTCGGTGCTGGGCGGCACGCTGTTGAGGATCGACTTGATGGACGACAGTCTTTGCGAGTGGTCATCGCCTCCTTGAGGAGGCGGTAGCTCGTGATCGGCAGAGGAGAAGGACCGCTTGCGGGAGGGCGAGAGGAAAGAGGCTGGGGACAGTGAAGACTGCCTCTCCGTGCCAAAGCCCAAAGACGTCAGCGGTGGAAGGCGATTGTCGTTGGTCAGCGAGTTGGAGATGTCGTGCGGGTGCGGGTACGGGTTGTTGTGGTATTGCTCCAAAGTGCCGGTCGGTCGGGGCGAGGACTGCTTGCTCTGGCGCAGGACTGGCTCAGGGACCAGAGTCAAGCCTTGCTCTTGTCGACGCCTGAAACCCAAGTTCACCGAGCCATCGGCATTTAGAGTACCCCGCTCTGGCATGGGCTCGGGACTGGCTTCTGGGGTCGGGCTGTTCCCGCCTCCGGCTGAGCTGGCATAGTCATCGCCTGGTGACGTGCCCTGAGTGGCCGGAATGACTCGTTTCCTCCGCTTGATGATCGATTTCTTCATCGTTACCGGTCGGTGGACTCCGTGCAATTTATAGTACAAACCTAGTCATAATTAGTACGACGACATCTAGAAATGATTCAATTACTGTGCTTCGAGACACTCACCACAGGCATTACAGATCGTGTGGCCGCTCTCATCTCTCCTCCACAGAGGAGTGATAGTCGTGCCACAGTTTTGGCAAGCGACGACAACAGTCGTGTTTTGGTCTTGGTTCTGGAGAGCGGCCACATCGATGGGGATTGGTTCATCCGCAGCAGGTTCTCTGGCGCACCTGGACGAGGAGGCCATCTTCTGGTTCTGTAACACGCTGAGACTTGCGGCTTTGGACACTCGATTGTTGAAGGCCGGGCATCCACTGCAGCCTTCGGCTCCGCCGGTGCCGTTGCAACGGCCGCCGCCAGGACATGTCCCTGTAGGCATTTGATCGGCAGAGACATAGGTGGCTGAAGAGCTCGAGCTCCCCTGCGTGGCTAGTTTGGACGATGTCTTCTCCAGGGACTTCTTGCTGCTGCTGGCCACGACATTGGGCGGACGTTTCAAGTTGGTCGGACGAGCCGAATTCCTAGCCTTCAGATATAAACCACACGCATTACAGATCGTAGATCCTTGTGGCGATCTCCTCCAGAGCGGCGTTCTCGTGGTGCCACAGTTGCTGCAAGGAAGAAGTTAGGGAATAGTTCGCTTCGACGTGGGCAGAGGGCATAACGTACCTGCATACTTGACCGGACTGACTCTGGGGAGGGGCGGGAGCGGGAGCGGGGGCGGACGCGGAAGTTGAGGCTCCTTCCATGACAACATCTTGTCGTGGGCTTCCCATGGCTATCGAAGCCGGGCTCAGAGGTTGGGGAAGGGCAGATGAAGGGTTGGGGCTGCGGAAGAACTTGGCGTCCCTGGTCGAACGGGGTGAGTCTGCTGCGTCTTGCATTTCCTCGTCCTCGGAAGGGGGCGAGTTGACCCGCAGACGCTGACTGGCGTCGGACCCGTACCTGGCTGACATGGGTTTCGAAGGGAGGGCAGTGCGGCTGGCTCCTGAGAGGTTTCGTCGGAAGTGTGTGCTGCTCGGGTTGGAGACCGAGCTCAAAGCCATGACAATGCTTGGTCAGAGTCTGGACGAGGCGCCGAAAAAATCGGAAGACCAAGCGGGAATCAGGGCCGAGGCCGGATTTGTTGGTCGAGGGATTACGCCACCAAAGCCCAACCAGGGTTCAATCGCACTTCGCACACCCACCAAGGCGGCAAGAAAGGACGTCGGAGGTCGCTACGGCGGCTGATGGAAAGCCCTGAACCCGAGCGATGGGACTATCGTTTTGGTAGAGGTTGTGGAAGAGGGCCGGGGTCAATCGGCCATACGTATATGGCGAGGTGGCGGAGCCGGAGAGCGATACATGCGTGCCAGATCAGCGGTGCACAGGGAATAGGGCTTGGCTTTGATGCTCGAGTTTCAGACGAGGCCTGGAAGCCGATATGGAGGCGATGTTGTTCGGATATCGAAGAGACAAGATTTGTGATGTGATGGAGGGGTGATTGAAGTAGGGCAGGGCGAGAGATAGATAGTGTGACCCAGTGATTTGCGGTGCAGGCAGGTCTGTGGCCAGCGGTCAGGGGGTGTGGCTTTGGCAGCGCGGAGGCGGTGGTAGTGTCGGAGGCTCGGAGACGGAGCAACACAGGGAAAAGAGTTTGCGGTCAAGGTGAAGGTGAAGGAGCCAGTCTTACTCGTGCAGTGGCCTCGGTCAGGGTGCGATGCGGAAGCAGTGTCGCTCGCAGGCCAGGCAGAGGCACCGCCGGAGTGGACTCAAGGGCTTGGTGTGTGGCCTGGGTGGCGCCAAAGTGACAAGAGAGGGTAGCGAAAGACGGGGGCCCATCGTTATCGGCTGCCTTGGTCGGAGTGCTCCGTGGTCGGGATGGCCGGCCTGGGCCAATCAGCGTCGAGACAAAACTAATCACGCCGCCTCAGACCACCCAAGACCACCGAGGACCACCCAAGACGTGGAGCAGCAAGGCCGCTCTAGTGCGCTGAGGGTGACGAAATCCAGCCCAAGAACAGCCTAAGCACGCGCTAGGTAATAGCGGGATGGCGCCAGCAGCACCGCCAAACGATGCGCTTCTCACTGTGAAAAGACCGAATCTTGCACCAGACACACTGCCCAGAAGGGGGTGCTGCTCGGAAGAAAAGTCGACAAGGGAAAGACCAGTTCGGAGTTTAGATGCAGTTCTCTTTCGCTCAATTTCCATACCTAACTTATCTGCTGTCTCCCAAGTGGCCGCACGCTAACAAATTACCATCTTATCATCACATCAGCGAGAGTATCTCGGAATCCGAGAGCTCAATCATCTGCCACAGGATTCATGCGCATCCGCAGTGGCGATGACGTGGCACGCGAGCAGGCTGCTGTTATGAGCACGTTACGGTCACGATATCTGGCGGTTTGTACATAAACTTGAGCAACATCACGAGACTCTTCTCACATAAAGGATAAAAGTCCCAGCTCATCTGCTGTTGACTATTATCCGGGCTGGCATTGGCTGCTTTGTGGTATTTGAAATCTCACATCCTTAGTCAGCGGCGTTCCGTCTGGAGTCTCGACTCTGAAGACTTGGCATTGAGGGGAGAGGGTCGGAGATAAGATCTGATAACGATCGAAATTGTTACGCTTTAGTCAGGGGCAACTCGCAGCACCAGCAGAGACCAGACAGGCCTAGCGCACTTCCCAGTTCTGGATGTGAACATTATGCGCTAGGCAGACCAGCTGCATGCATCTGCCTGCAATCTGGCAATCTGGTCACTCTGCCAGTCCAGGAGATGCATGTCCAAGTGCATCCCGAGGGCATGGATACTCGCCGTCGCCCCGAGTACGCCCTGCCCACTCGGAGTAGTCCGCATCTCCCGTGGCGGGCTTGTGTCTGTCGGACCTTATTTTTATGAGGTGGTTGAACTCTGATAATACCCAGGAAGACCATAATGAACCGGAAGCCTGGGAACGATCCCCGCCGCCGCCCTGTTCCCCGCCGAAAGGGGCCCGGGGAGCAAAGAGGTAGCTAGATCAAATATCGAGCATCTCCGTTGTTGGCATGGAAAACTTGGGAACCTCGATAGCTTCCAGAATCGTCATTCCCGCTGGTTGGCATCCCCAGGACAGACTGCGGCGCAATTACCTGATCTGCATGCCTGGGCCGAATCGATGCGCCTCGGTGCTCGCGCTGGTGATGATGATGGGCCGCACCAACCGGGCCAGCTGATCATAGCTCAATTCGATCGTCCAGCCTCAAATCTCCGCCGCCAATGCGTGTCCACGCGCGCGCGCGTGTGTGTGTGTGTCTCCCTCCCTCGTGTCCGAGTGTGCGTGCATGGACAACAACCTCGTTCGTAGTACAGCTCAGCTGGCCAGCCCCTTTCCTCCATCCGCAGTTCCCTCTTCTCCTTCTGCTCTCTCTCTCTGCTCGACTTTGTTCTCCTGACTCTCGTGAACAATCTCAAAACCCCCAACCCTCGCCAGTGTTTCGACTGCCTGTCTGCGCTGCCCCTTCTGCAACCTCTTCCAACGAGCCCTGGACTCGCCAGCAACGGTGTTGCCTCATCAGCCACACCGCATTGAGAACCCCATTGACCATTGAACCCCGTCGAGTTGCCCCTGGGCTCACGAGGGGATTCCTTCTGGAAGAGTTCGCATGATCGTGCCGTGGATACCAATCCCAGGAGATTATCCACACTCGCTCACTTCTCCAGGCCTCTCGCGCCTCTCTGACGTCGAGGTTCGTCGCAATCCCGGACGAGGACCAGGCCTCCCTGTCCCAGCTCACCCTGCCGCCAAACCAAAAACGAAACGATCACATCCTCGTCGCTGGCGCTAGAAGCAATCGTCGCTATTCTAGAAAGGCCGAAATACGTTAATTTTGCCTTTGCCCGATGCATAATGACGCTTTTAATTACTGGGTTCAATGAAACGCGTTTACTTTATGCGACTCCCTGGTCCGCCCCGCGAAAGATCATGCTGTCCAATTTGCCAAGATGACATTGGGTTCAATCTTTTCCTCTTCGATCCCAAGCTCGGACCAAGCTGAAGCTGACCTGCCTGCAGTGCCTGCCCTCTTGTTGGCAAAGAAAAGGTTGTCGTCGTGATGATCCAATTTTCCCTTCGTTCTTGATCTTTTTCTGTGGCACCCACCTGCTCACCTGCACATTCAGCATGAATTTGCGAAGTGCGTCGCAATCTTGGAGTCGCCGAGACTGGGGATCCTGCTCCACCAGCCGCCTCCCATGATCCATCCCGTGAGGGCGTGCGTCCCAAACCTTCCAACATCCCAGGAGGCTTTCCCAGCACGGCGGTTGCCCGGGAAGGGAATTCGACCAGGTTGCCCAGCTCATTGGCTTCGTTCGCTCTATGGCATGTCATGTCAAGAGAACTTCTTCTGCCCCTGCTGCAGTACATCCTCTCTCTCTGGCATGGTGACTCAAGCTCAGATCGACCCATGAGAGGCCTGCTAGCGTCCAAGTCGTCAACGGAGAGCCCGAACATTGTTCATGCTGCCAACCCCCCGTTCTCTCTTACCCTGATCCTGCCTTGGTACGATCTGCCGCGATCTTGGAATACCACGGTCAACCCGTCACTGCGGAGCTGTGCTGTTCCCTTGGGTCCGGCCTGCTCCTATGGACCCCCATCCCGAGTGGTACTCGACCCAAAACACTCTTCCCAGTCTTCCGAGATTTGGGGGTGTCTTTCACTGCAAATGGTACTTGCGACCTGCTCGGATTGAGCCGCTACCTGGCCAGCCGTGTCGAGGACAGCCGCGCCGGTTCTGGTGCCGGGACGGACCAAGTCGCGACACGAGGCGCTGGGAAGCCAGCCTTGTCAGGGACCTGGCTGAAGGGCTGACAACGACGACAAAGGTCCTGCAAACTAATCAATGTCTCGGTAGTGGCATTTTCTCTTGTCGTTTCCCCCCTCTCCTTCGGCAATCTACGAACCCCAATTTGCTGTACGATCTAAGTTGCCCTATGGCGTGTCAGACCCGTGGATTCCGGTGGACGTGTATTATAGCCACCCTTGTCGCGTTATAACCCTCCATCAGAGCAGAGAGGAGCTCTCTCTTGCTCGCCATCCTCATTCCCTGTCTCTCAAGCACAACGATCCCCACTTCGGGGTCGGCAAGTCCCTGCGTGCCTCTTCATCAGACTCTACGAAGTACCGCATACTTGGCCCAGCACTTGTCACTACGTAGTCGCGTAGTACATCACCACCCCCCCAGTCTCGTCTGCCTCCCTCGAGCTCTCTTCCCACCCCCTCCCCTTCGGATCCCTGCACCTTGCCAACTTTCTTCCCACCACCTGGTAGAAGCAAGTCGCCTCACAGCTTCGACCGTTCCTACCTAGCTATCCTTGGCTGCTCTACGTACTCTCCCAGCCCCTCCTCTAGTGACCACCACCACCACCGTCTTTCGCCTGGCTGGCAGACCCATGACCGTCTTTCCATGCCCTGGCACGCAGGGGAGGGCTGGTCTGCTCGTTGGAAGGGTCGCCGCCCTCCCTTATCCACCTGTCATGCCCCTCTCCCTATGCATGGACAGGGCTTGTTTCAGCTTGTAATTCTCCATTTGGCTCTACCGTTTTGTATTCTTCTATGCGTTTTCCAGATTTCACTCTCTTTGGACCAGCTAGTCCTGCCAACCTCCCATTTTGGACTGGCCGTCCAGGGTTTCTCCAGATCGTTTAATTGTCCTAGCCCATCCCCTGCAAGTCAAATCTGCCCTTGTAGCCTTCAAATCGCCCTGTTGCATCATTATCCTGGACCGGGGTTCTGTTTCTATATCCGGCAACGCAGACCATGGCATAAGATCCTCAAATTATGCTACCCGTCATCACTTGGACAAGGTCATCCAAGATCTCCACACCAGCTCAGGAACAGTACCTGTCTCGTACATGGCGAATCGCTTATGTGCTTTAACTCGTCGACCGAAAGAGGAGTAACTCAGGTACATATCGCCGCCAGATCCCAAGCCCACCTCTCGGTACCCTCCTCATGCCTTTCACACGATAGCGAAGATCAGACGATATAATGCAGCCCTGACCCACGCTACCTTACTTGTCCGTCTTACATCTTTGTTTTGTCTTAATCTTACCGAACCCAAAAGCCAGTTTGGGTCAGGAAACCGGAGGAAGATCTCCCCAGCATCAGCAGCCACCACGAGCTAAGGTGGTAATGAACTCTTAAAAAGGCTCTGCTAGGTGACCATCGTTCGTCCTATCCACGCTCACTCCCGCGCACAACCACCCCTCTCTCCAGACCAACAAAAGCCAGCCATCCTCAGCCATTCGCCGTTTCTTCCAAGCGTTCCCGCCAACGCCAAACGCGCCCGCAGACGCACACCTAACCCTGCCCTTCTCTCACAACCACAGCACATGTGCCCCGTCTTCCGGAGAGCCCAACAGCCCTGGCACCACCACAGAGGACCTACGCAGCAGCACCGGAGGAAGTGGTGAAGTACGGTCACTCGTTCCCAAGGTTTATCTCTTCTCCGCAGCTCTACCCGAAGTAGCCCCGTGGGGCTCACGTCTATCAAATTCTCTCCATTCAGAACCCGGCGACCAGCCAGAGCGGTTCGCTCTGGCGGAACCCATGCGTCGCAGGCACGCTGGCGGGCAACTACAGAGTAGGACCGGACTACAATGTCGACTATACACAGGACTCGCATCCGGGCGAGCAAAGTCAGACGACCCATGGATACGAGACGCATCACCACCGAGGCTCGCTGCAGCACGGAGCGGCCGGCGGCCTGCACGATCCATCCGAACACCACCATCCTCACCAGACGCACCACGGCCTGTCGCACCACCACCCAGCTGCCCATCATGCCCACCAGGTGCTGATGGACCCGTCGCAGATGGCCGGCCACCCGGCCGCTCGCCACATGGGCCACGCCGGGCCCGCGCACTTTGGAGCCCCCGGTCCTTCACCGCACGCGGTAGTTGCGCCGCTCTACCCGTCGATGACGCCAACGCAGGGCCCGAGCGGCGGCGTCAAACGGACTCGACCAGACGAGCTTGACCTGACCGTGACTGGGCTGCCGGACCTCGAGCAGAGCGACATCGAATCCATGCAACAGACGCCGCTGGGCGCTGCCTATGCTCAGGCAGCGGCGCCAACGCACCATCACCACCGGCTGCCCGACACTGGTCCGCCGTCCAAGATGATGCGACGCGATGGGGACGGAGGAGGCGGTGGTGCGCCAAGCGTGGTGGGACAGGCAGGGATGCCGCCTCCGGCTCCGCGCCCGCGAGGACCGAAGCTCAAGTTCACGCCCGAGGACGACCAGCTTCTGATCGACCTGAAGGAGAACAAGAGCCTCACGTGGAAGCAGATTGCGGACTTCTTTCCCGGTCGGTCCAGCGGGACGTTGCAGGTGCGGTACTGCACCAAGTTGAAGGCGAAGACGACGCAGTGGACTGACGAGACGGTACGTGTGGACTCTCTTGCCGCCTTTGTCTACCTGCCACACCCGTGGCAGCCCCAAACGCTTGTAGATTTGCTAATTGCGATTCTCGACTCAGGATCAAAAGCTTCGTACGGCACTGCAAGACTACGAGAGCGAAAAGTGGCGCATCGTGGCGAACAAGGTCGGCACAGGCTTCACCCCGGCTGCGTGCCGAGAAAGGGCATCGCAGCTGCTCGGTGGGAGCTTATAGCAATCAATGTCTCCACCAGGAGCTTCGGCTCCTGAGTCTGGGGACACCACCATATACTCACAGCAACCTCCCGATTCAGGCAACACCATCTACACCCAGCAGCTCCAGTGAGACGTCCTGAGCTGCGCAGATCACCAACGAACGGATGGTGTCCAGTCTCGAGAGATTGTTATCGGCAGAGCCCTCCGTATGGACTCAACATAAATCACCTCGGCAACTGATCCACCCCTTCACGAGAGAGCGAGTCCGGTACGCCAACAGACTCCCATCATACAGCGCCGTGCCTGTGGCCTTGTGTGTCTCCGTGTTGGAGCCTCCGGATCATGACTTTGGACCTTGACCGAAAAAGATCTTGAGCTTGTGGATTGCTCGACAATACCAACCAGATTCGGCACAATCATAATCTACGAGCTTTATGACCACGGCAGCATCGGGGACGAAGATAATGTGTAATTTCATACATGATCCTACTCCACACATCATTCTTTTACGAGCTACACCGAGACGACGTAATACCCAAAAGATACCCAGCAGCCGTCAACGGTGTCATTTCCTTGTGTTTCACTTTATTTGTATTACTTCTTGTGATTTGCGCCTTGTGTGCGAGTCTCCTTTATTACTTTACGAATATAGAGATGGATCACGTCGCCCGACGACAGGGAATGGGAGGGGAAGGAAACTGATGTATACACGCGTGGACCAAGCAACGACTTCCCTCTCATATGTTTTCTTTTTTTTTTTTTCCCCTCTCGTTTTACTGTTTTTTTTTCACGACAGCGCGATACGGTGAACAGGCCTGGAGCCGGCGCAAAACTCGCATAAACCCGTAGTCTGACGGGTTCCTATAGAATTATCTGCACAAGCCGGAGCGAAAGGGGATACATTACACGGTGGTACGGGGGTTGTGAGCTGCTGCGCAGGGTTGGTTTTGGTTGGGGCATGATGTATCTAATTCTCGGTGTCTGCTGCCGATGATGCTTGCTTCGGTCGTCTTCTCAGGAGGGCTTGATAGACCCATCGGCCAGGGCATCTGGGAGAGAAGAAAACTGCGTGGAGAGAGTGCGTTGGCGTGATCTGTTTGCTTTCGGGGCAGACAACATCCACACAACCAGATGCCAGTTTGCATTTCCCTCCCGTTTTAACCTACCTTACCTACTTAATCTCACCTATTACATTTCAAACCTGTGAGCACGAGCCACGCCAACAGTGCGTCCGTTTTTGGCTCGTGAGCTCACCTTGGCCTCTCTTGTGGTAATCAATTTGAGCCGCCAACAGTTATCCCGAGCCGGCTCGAGATTGTGCTGGATTCGTCCGTCATGGTCTCATGTGGCTGTCTTGCTCTGAGGGGGTTCCCTCTCTGCGTCCCATTAGATGTGCTGACAAATTATCACGAGAGGCACTCCCTGCGATGGGATAGGCTGTTTCGCAATCTGTTGCTTCATGCGAAACCTGTGGCCGGGGAGGTGGCTTGGGTCGACCGCCGCACCCTCATTCGCGAGGTGCCTGCATGACATGCGTGTCTAGGCCTCGACCACGCTCTCGTCCGATGGCTTTCTCGGCCAAATCTCCCTCTCGACCAACAAGGCAAGTCTTGCGGGCGGTGTGCGTCTCTTCGGTGCCAAGCGCAAGCATCAATGTCTCCTTGTTTTCTTCATGACTCTGTCTGCGAAGGAGGCGAGGGACCGTGAGTAATGCGACTGCTGCAGGGGACAATGGACAATGGGCAGGCACGCGAAACACACACCCACCACTGTGCCTGCCGTTCCTGCAGCCTGGTAAACCCACCCATTTTTTTGACACCACCATCATCATGGATCCCCCCCATTTTGCCCATTTTGATCTCCTCATCTTCCCACGCGCCCCAGAAAAAAAGGGTGTCCTCGACGCCACAATTTGTTATTTTGCCATACGCCAAAGAAGAGAAAGCCCTGGGACTGATCATCCCCGTGGAGAGAGAGAGCCCTTCACCCGCCGTCAAAATGACAAGGGAGGCCACTTAGTCCACAGGCAACTTCCGCACCAAGCCCGTGTCCAACCATGTCCTTTCTGATTTGGCATAGCGATCGACGCTGAAGGCCCTGTAAGGCCGTTGGCAAAACCCTCGAAAGAGATGGAGAGCGTCTGAAAATCGCCATTACAGATGCATGCAGAATTACGCCACAGACCCGGGAAGCGTGTGCTCCAACATCCCTGATCTGCCGGGCTCGGCAGGTTCTCGATGGAGGGACGATCAGGGCCGCCTGCATCAGTCGCCACGACACAGCCTTCTTCCCGGACGACGCTGAAACCTTGCCGCGAAGCTTCTTTTGCTCATCGCTGACGTGGCTGGTGTCTGTAGGAGGATGATTCACTGCCCTCCATCCCCCCCTCGTCTGTTCGAAGGGGCCAGAGTGGCGCTCGGACATGAAACAGTTCTTCCCCTTCCATGTGGAGTGCGGCAGCTCCTTCGGCCTTCCATTATCGTTCCATCATATTTCAAAATCTTCAATTGCCGGGACCCTGCCAACGGTCAGAGTTGATACGATTGGCTGTGTGCCAAATGGGGAGGGTTGGCCTCCCCCCTTGTCTTGACGCAGCATGACGAGGTCTCCAGGCTCTCTGCAGCGACGGTCAAAACGGCTTTCCTGCAATACGTACAGCCTCGCTCGTTTAGGTATACGGAGATCATCCGCGAGGGCCCTGCTCGCGTCTGATCATTTCGTAACTGGAAAAAAAGGTGGCTACTTTTAGGCATGATATTGACAGGGGGTCGCGCAGTTGCAAAACATCGAAGTATTTGATATCTTCAGCATCCTTGCCCAACCATTTTTGGACTCGAACCCCGCCGGCACCAGAGCTGGCTGCCGAACCGGGCTTCTGTTCCGGAATTTGGCACCTGGGCCTGGGAACCAGGTCATGGATCCCTTACGGTCAGCGCGAGTGATCCGGCTACCGACATCAATGTCAAGTGGCCCTGCGTCTCTAGCCTCCGCGTTGTCCTTGAGACATTCGCCGTCCAGGAGGGGAAGAAATACCCATCGTTTTGCGACAACAAGTGGCTCACCCTGGTAAATGGGCGTGAGTCGGGAACTATGGGAATGGCCCGGGTCTCTGGGGACGTTGCACCCTTCAGTCACTGAAGTACCTCTCAAGTACCAGCAGGATCCCGACCTCGCCGGCATTACGTACCTTTTCAAATTCTTTGCTCCCAATGTCATTCGATTTCCGCCACCTAGACATATTTGCCATTCGCAAAGGACTCTTGCTCGAGTTTTTTTTTCCTGCCAACTCCACACCCCCTGCAGCTGTCGAAGATCATCCCGCTCTCTCAGAATCACTGGACTCGAGATCAATGGCAAAGGTCCGTCTCTCAAGAGGTGGAGCATCCCCATTGTGGCCCTGGTCAACTTATCCCGTTGAAGATTCAGAAGAAATCTCCGACTTGGCCAACCAGGGCTTTGGCATCTCGAACGGGCCCTCGTCCAAGGCGGGCTCAAGCGAAATGCGACCCCCATCGAGGTTGCTACCCTCTCTACCCTGGCACGTACGCCTCCTTGGCCAATCGGGAAATAAAGCGCAATCTTCTTCATCTTCGTTCCAATTTCCTTTCTCGATCAGGCCTACAGTGGCAACCTACCTGAACCACGCAGTGAGAGGCTGCAAGTTGACGTGCTCTGTCGTCAGTTCTAGCTCGTTTGCCTTCTTGACGTTGCTCCGATCTACAGCTGGCGGGAGTGCGTTGATCTTAACAAGCAATCTTTAGGGTAACAGTGCATCAAGGGCTGGAGCCAGTGCGCAGTCCAACGGGCTAGCGGCATGGCCTTTGTTGCGCTTGATTCTCGCGTGGGTTCACGTAGATCCCCTCTGCTCGTGTTGCACACGTGCCAGAAATAAAGCCTTGCCTTTGCGGTCAAGGACCGTTTTGAGTTGTCGACGGACAGCTCTGCTCGATTGGGTCGGCTCGCCGCGGTCCTGCTCGGGAACATGTCACACAGGCACACCTGCTGCCTTGCCATATCGGATAAAGACGACTTGGGATGGCTTCCCATACAAGGAGGCCGATCCTTCTTGGAGCGAAATGACTGATGAAGCCTCCGGATATTCCCCCAGGACCAACCGTTTCTCAGAGAGCGATGCTGGATCAAACAAGACGTTACAAGGAGGACCTAGCAGGCCGGCATAGTCTCGGAGATGGAAGCAGTTCCAGGTGTATGCAGGACAGCTGTCTCTGCTTGTGTGGCGCGACGACGTGTTTGCCGCATGCAAGCAAAGAGGCTGGCCAGCAATGCCAAGGTGGTGGAGCGGCCTTCTGCCTCGAGCAGAACCATGCTTTGGCAACAAGTGGCGCGAAGTGACAACCAAGAGAGCTGGTTCCGAGGTGGATCCTCTTCTCCGCCTGCCCTGATTTGTGATGTGGCTGGAAGACGCAAGACAGCCAGTGACAACCTCTTGAGATTTGAGTTTGGACCTCGCTTGCCTGCAATAATGCGACAGATATACCGGCGGAGCCCTATATCAGATGTTTGATATATGGGCGGGTTCCATCACAAAAGTCGCGCTGGGCAAAAATCCCCAACCCCACCGGCCACTGGGAGACGAGGCACCTGTTGTCAAACTGAAGTCTGGTACTGTGGTAAAAAATCGAAAGATAGAGGGGCCGGCTGTCAAGACCACAGACAGCCTGTGAAGGTAGGTCATCCTGTGCCCGCCTCCAGGCCCGGGTAAGCTGGAGACCTCTTCCCGAAGCACAAAGAGGAAGTCCTGAAGAGGGAATGTGTTGGCACTAGCATCGTAATGGTGCACACACCCTCTCGATTACTCACTTATGAAAGCCTAATGGGGCCATTCTTACGGCGTGCGTGCCTGCATGTGATAGGATACAGACGTGAGTAAGAAGCGGTGTGATGGCCGCTTCTCATCGAGCAGATCTGGGCAAACTCGAAACGGTCGAGAACTTTTCAAGCTGCAAGTGATTTTCTCTTTCCCGCTACTCCCTATTGGTAAGATGCATGGGTATGGCTTGCTTCTCGATCCTTAATGTTACTGGTATAAGGCCATTTCGATCGAGGCTTATGCCGGGGGGGAAGAAACGAGGTGCTTTCTTTGGCTTGACGTTGGCTTGCAGACAACATCTTGCAGCTCGCCCTGCCTGTGTCTGATGTTTGAAGCAATCAACAGACAGACAGCTTCCCTGACCTACCCCTACCTCTGTCAGGGCTAGCTTCCCCGGGGTGGGGGGTGTCGGTCAAGAGTGTGAATGCGTCGCTGGTGGTTCCGCACTCGTCACCCCCGCCCGCCTCCGGCAGATGGGATGTATGTCCATCCGATGTGATATGCCGCAAGAGAGAGGTACATGTGCGGGTAGGTCAGATCTTGTACAAGTGACATGGAGGACTTGCCTCTTGCTCTCGAATCACCCAGTCTTCCAGGCCTGGGTGTGCATTGGAGGGCACAGACCGTCGCGGGAAGGGAAGGGGGATCGCGGAGGAGGCTGCAATATCCCACCCGTGTTAAGAGCGACTTGGGCCATGCTTACCCCACGCGACATGGTTGTCGTTCCCTTGCGTTGTTGAGGGTTTCACGAAAACGGTGTTGGGGGAGTTCTTACGGTAGATGGGGACCTCGGACTTGGGTGGATATTTGAGGATGCGTCGTCAAGTCACCGAGTCATTCCCTTGCATTCATCGACCATTCTGGAACAGGAATGGGAATGAGCAGACGGTCGAGGCCAAGTTTGGTTCTCACAACGGTGGAATGTGACGTGACAGAGATGGAGCGAGGTGAGACTGGATATGGAGATTTAAACTTGATGTTTTGCGTGGTATCCTGTGCGGGCACATGTGGACTCTGGTGGATGGTGCTAGAGTGAGACCATGTAACTCTGGTGAGTAACTATCCATTGATAGTGTTGGGATGCTGTCCTGAGCTTCACGACGTAGAGAGCTTTCTCATTTGCGGGGACGGTGTGTTTGGAATAAGGTGGTAAGAATGAACAGTGGCTCGAGATGTCTACTTGTACAGTCTGTTTCTTGTTGAGGTTTCACTTTCATTGACTTCTCCACTCCCCGGCTCACGATGTTTCCTCTCCAACCTTGGCAGGCCCCAGCAGCACATCTGCAAGCTCCGACACGCTCATGACGGCCCCGGCCTCGACGAGCTCCACGGCCTTGGCGTGGGCGCGCACGTCCAGCCCCCGAGCCGACGGCTCCTGCTGGTGCTGGTGCTGGTGCTGGGAGTCGAGGTACGCCGCCGTCTCGACGACCCAGCCGTTGAACTCGCGGATCTCGGTGGCCTTGCCGGCCCGCGCGTCTTGGAGCATGCTGCTCGTGTTGTGGCGGACCGCGGCGCCGACGCGGTGCAGCATGGCGCGCAGGGACGGGTAGGAGAAGCGCTGCTGCAGGCTGGCCTGCGAGTAGGGCGCGTCTGCTCCTCTGGCGGCCTCGGAGGAGGGGAGGATGGCGGCCGCGCTGGGGTCGGCGATGAGCGACTGCAGGACCGCTGAGGCCTGCCGGAGGAGGAGGTCTGATATCTGGATCAGGGGGGAGTCTGGGGGCAAGGCGGGACCGAAGTCTGCTCCTGCTTCCCCTGCTGCTGCTGCTGCTGCTGCTGCTGCTGCTGGCGGGGAGAAGAAGAGGGTGCCGTTCTGGCAGCGGAGGATGGCGGTCAGGGGGTTGATGACGGCGTTGACGACGAGCTTCTCGAGCTGGAGGACCCATATCTCCGCCCGGGGCACCGCGCGGCCCTTGAGGTGCGGCGCGGTGGTCAGGAGGTCGGTCAGGTAGGAGGAGGGTGCCGCGCTGCCGTTGCTGCTGCTGCTGCTGCTGCTGCTGCTACTGGAACTGGGCAGCACCGGTCCGAGGGAGAGGTCGGCCGGCGAGGCGTGCAGGCTGGAGAACGGGCCCAGGGACGTCACGCCGTGGGACGTCACGCCGACGAGGAAGTCGGGCCGGTCTCGCGGGGCGAACCGCGCGTCGGCGTAGACGGGGCCGTAGGGCGGCCACAGCTTGTTCATGCCGTTCTGGACGAACAGCACCGCCGCGCCGGGGCCGATGTACCGGCGCAGGCGGTCCACCTGCGGCAGGGCGGCGGGGGCCTTGGTGGTCACGATCAGGTTTGCTATCGCGTCGCGGGCCGGGTCCGCCTCGACCGCGGGGCCCCTCGGCGGCGGGTCCTCGGACCACATCTCGATGTCGATGTTGGACTTGGCGGTGGCGACGGTGCCGTCGCGGCGGGTGATGCGGACGCCTGGGTTTGCGGACCATGCTTCGAGGAGAGAGGGGCGGTGGACGAGGAGCGTGATGGGGGGTGGCGAGGGCAGCTCGGAGAGCGAGGTGGCGAGGAGGCGGCCCAGATTGCCTATGCCGAGGACGTGAACACGTCTCGGATCGCGGTCCGGGTTGGAGACGGCCGGAGCAGCGGTGGCGGCTGCTTGGGATGGGGCGTTGCAGGAGGCAGGTGGGACATTGGCTGTCGTCCATCTGTACAGCCGTGGGCCCGGTGACCTGTCTTGCAGGAGGGCAGCCAGCCAGGGCGGCTGAGGCGGCGACGATGACATGGTGGATTGGTGTCGCCGGGCACGCAGGGCGGAGAGCGGGCTTGCTGAGCCGGGGGAGCGGGCCGGAGAAGAGGTCACCCGAGCGGCGCCGATCGAGACCGGTAGTCGTCGCCAGGTGTGGGCCATCCCATCCGGAATGCCCTGGTGAGCTGAGGTGGAGGTGTGGTGTGTTGTGGTGTGGTGTGGTGTGGTGCGGGCGGCCCGTTTTACAGACCAGAGCTGTGCTGAGTCTGGTGCGTGTGCTCAGCTAGCTGAGGCTGAGCATAGGGCATAGATGATCTGACCATGCGGGCTACCCAGTGCCATGTGATCAATATTTCCTTATTCCAGCTATTATCGAGTGATCCGTATGCATGTGGGCGATAGCAACCCAATTCAAGGGAAACTGTGGCACAGAAAATGGGGGGGAAAGGAAGAAGATCAAATGGAAAGCCTGCGGGACGGCACGGAGCCGAGCCCGAGATCAACACGAATACATTTGATGTACGGGCGGCTTGCTTTAGTAGCTGCGCTGCCATTTCCGCCATCGGAACCGCATTTCCCCAACAGCGTTCATGCAATGCTGCTTGCTTCTCGATGATTTAGAGTTGTGCATTAATATGATTTTATTATTAAGATGTCACCGCAGAAAGAGTAGCTCGGACCCGAATTGTGCTGAATCATACAGCTGTGTACCGTAAATAAATAAAAAAGAAATTGTATGTATTCAAGAGTGGATTTGCTACCAATGCAACAAGCAATACAAAAAAGAACCCAAAATATCGAATGTCTCTGCTACCTATCGCATCCACTCTTCATCTTGCGCAACTGCACTCTCCTCTGCCTTTCGCGCCTCCCTGCGCGCCCGCTTTGCAGCGTTTTGCTCCTTCTTCCAGGCCCTGTACGCGTCGTCATCCTTCTTCCCGGACTTGCGTGTCCTCGCGGGCGACGAGGTGGACGACCCAGCCACGCTGCCAGCGCAGCTGCTGGAGGCACGTCCACGATTGCCGCTGCTGCCGCTGCCCTCGGCTTTGGGCGTGCTGGCCAGCGCCTTGGAGGGCGGAAGCCACGCGTTGCGCCTGCAGTCCTCGATCACCTGCTCGTACGAGGCGTCGTCGCTCCATTCAGTGTACGTGGGGCCGTACGGTTCGAGGACGTAGTCGTCGAATCCCCTCTTCCACACCATGACTGCTTTGCTCAGGTCCAGCCAGGTCTGGGGCAGCTGCAGGCGGGACACTGTGCGGTACGGATAGGACATGAGCAGGTCGGAGCCGACCCGCATCAGGAGGAGCTTGCGGTTCGCAGGGTCGATGAAGGTCTCGAAGACGGGGTCTGTCTGTGGTGCCATGTGGCGTCAGTATCCATCCAGGCCCATCCTTCGAGTTGGGGGCCGGGAGGAGGGCGTACGGGATTGGTCTCGGCGCGATCGCGCTCCTGGACCACCATCTTGCACCACTTGCGGAGCTCAAAGTCGCGGAAGAGGATGTCGACGGGGATCTGGTTCATGTTCTTGATGTCGTTGTACATCGGGAATGCGCCGAAGATGTTGCTGTCCCCGGCCTCCTCCAGGGCCTCGACTCTGGCGATGAAGGCGTCGAAAGGAATCCGGTCCCAGCCTGACAGGCAGGGGTCATGTCAGTGTGGTACTTCTGCTTTGTGTGTTCTCCTAGAGACTCGGAGGGAAGTCAGGGGGAGATGCGCCGGAGGCTGACTTACCATGATTCCTCCAGAGGGCCTTGGAGTCTTTGCAATGCTTGACATAGTCCTGCCGGAACTTGACGAAGCCGTCGACCGACGCCTCGGACGCGTCTGCTTTCTGACGAGAGATCATGTTTACTTCTATTTGATTTGGGTTTTCTTTTCTTTTTCTCCTCTCGGCCAAGTCCGACTGGCCCACCACCTACTCCGTATTTAAATCTTACTTTGCAATGGTGACAGTAGCCACAGAAAGAGCATGGTCACGGACTTAGGGAGAATGAGGGTGTGCCCAGGGCCTTCAACGCAGAAGGGATGTCGTCGGATTAGTCTTATATGGCTGAGCTGTGTGAAGGCCAGCTGGCGTCTGCCTAGGGTTAGGTATACTGCCAATGCCCTCTATCGCCTTGCCTGGTCCGGGTGCACGCGTATCAAAAACCCCCTTTCGGTCTACAGCAGCTCGGTGACGCGTTGTCACACGTCTATTGATGTGGCTACCCGTCAGGCTCATGCTATCCCGAAAAATCTTCCACGAACCGGTGTGTCTTTTGAGGCGCGTCGAAAGAGAGGCCCCTCATCAAAAAGCAAGGAAATACGAGCGACTTCGACTCAGGGGTCGCCTCATTTCGACCTGTGGCGTTCAAGGCAAGCCTCGTGGCAAACTTCCGCTCCTGTCAGGAGCTCCAAAGTGCTTCATAGTCTATTAATTCCCCCTGAGATGCTGCGACCGGGACTGTTCCGGCCTGTTCATTGAACCCTTCCCGAGAGCTGGCTCAAGGCCGTAGTTTGATTGACCCAATGTCAAACATGAAGTGCCTGCTCCAGTTTTAGGAGCTTGTTTCTTGGACAGACGGAGATGGCCAAGTTGTTCAGAACTCTCGAGTGATACATTAGACGTCTCCAGTCGCCACCTTTATAAGGACAATGCATTGACTGTCTTCCGTGGATGGTTGTAGTGGTGGCCAACACGTACGCCTCTACACGGATACTTGGCTGAGAGGCAACCCTTCTCCAACCTCGGCCAAGGGGGCCGGCCAACGGAGTGCGAGGATCATCAAGGCCGTTGACGTCCAAGGTCTGACTTGTAGCTCCAGAGATGACTCACACTCTACAATCCAAGACTCTCCAGCTTGGCTGCACAGTAAGTCTAGGCTTCAGCGGTTTGACAGGAGCTGAGGCACAGTTCAGCTGGCCTCGGAGCCCCCCTTGTCCAATGAATCCCGTCTCCCATTTCTGACATGCTTGACGACCGCCATTGCAACAAACCTGTCCCTTGCAGTTATCCACGGCGTGCATTTGACATGTCATACTTGTGGCCAATATTCCTTTTGGAGGCCTTCTCGAATCTTCGCGTGGGCGAGTTTTTCAGTTGCCACTGAGAAGTCTGGGGCTTAAGTGGTCACGTGATAGCGTGTCGCCAAACGTGAAGGTTTGGGGCGGCGATGACTTCGGGCATTTTCGCCTGCGTCATTGGATCGGCGTTAGTACGAGGGATCCTCGTCTTCCAAACAGACTACAGCCTTACCCTTGGGAAGCGGACTGGAAGGCAGCTTGACTCCCTGGCTCGTCAGGATTTTCTCAGAATTCTCCAGAGTCAGCTTGGTCTGCCCTCCCTGTTCACAATCCCTTCAGCCCGCCCGCTCTCATTCTCTCAATCCTTCACCTCTGACATGTTTCGCATCCTCCATCTCTAGGACACCCCGGTTTGAGTTGCCGCCTCGCCTTCCGCTTGTCACAACCTGATATGGTCCACAGCCAATCGATATGGACAACATACAGGATGCAAGGGGAGGGCCCTCCTCCGAGGACCCTGTCTCTCAGGTGCCACCAGGCCCTCAAACAGATGCCGCCACACCTCAGGCTTCGTCAGCTTCAGCCAAGTCACCGGATGCCGAGACATTCGACTTCGACGAAGAGTCTGCCCTCCGAAATTTGACCGAGAACGTGCGCGACCAGGATGACCTCGAGCGCGATATTTCTTTCCAGGCAAACCTGGCGCTTATTGATGCCGAAGACAAGAAGGATCAGAAGCGCATAGCGAAGTCCGAGACTACCAAGGCGAAGCTCGAAACTCAGAAGAGGGCGCAGCAGCAGAAGCTTCGCGCGGCATACAACAACCCGACTCTGAAGTTGCGCATAGAGAAGGAAATAGCTAGGATCAATGCAGAGATAGAGCTGATCGAGAAGGACATCTCGGATTTCAATGCGCGCATTGAGCAGAGACACCAGGACGGCGCGGACGAAGCCTCTGCTGGCTCCGCCGGAAACAGGAGACTTCCGAATGAGACGCAGCGGGAATTCCTTATTCGCACTGGAAAGATCACTCCGTTTGCTAAGTTCGGCGGACCGCGTCCAGACGGAATCCAGGGCGATCTGGCCAATGCCATCATCGAAGCTGAGGACGAGGCTGTTGCCGAGGAGCTGGAAAAAGAAGCCACCGAGGGACCTCGGTCGCATCAAAATTTGCGCTTGCCAGGCTTTGCCGAAGAACCTGATTCTGCGGCATCGCCCGCAACGTCGGCGGCCGAGAGCGAGTTCTCTCTGCGACCCAGAAAGAAGCGAAGAGTCCAAGTAGATGCTACTTCTGATGAGGAGTACAAGCCAGAGCAGGAGGCCGCCTTCACACCAGACTCGATAGGCTTTGAGGACGAAGACTCGGATGATGTGGACCTTACTGACCTGAACCGGAACACGTCTCGGAAACGATCTGCCAAGAAGGCTGCTGTGAACGAAGACAAACTCGATCTCAGTGGCATTGATGACGGGAACGAGAACGTCTACCAGCACAGACTCGCAGACTGGGTTGACAGGAGAAGTCGTGCAAGGCGCCGCCGGCAGGAAGCTCTCGGCCAGCCGGTCGATGACCAGACTGAAGAGGAGTGGTTCAAGCCCTCCCCCGATGAGCCTGATCATTATCTCGAACATGGGCTGAAGCTACCTGGCGATATATACCCGTCATTATTTGACTATCAAAAGACGGGTGTGCAATGGCTTGCCGAACTCTATGACCAGAAGGTGGGCGGTATTGTTGGAGATGAGATGGGCCTGGGCAAGACCGTCCAACTCATCTCGTTTGTCGCGGCACTGCACTATAGCAAGATGCTGAACAAGCCCGTCATCGTCGTGGCGCCGGCTACAGTGCTACGCCAGTGGGTCAATGAATTCCATCGGTGGTGGCCTCCACTGCGCGTCTCCATCCTCCATTCGAGCGGCAGTGGCATGCTGAATGTCCGCAACGAAGACCGCCTCGAGGAGGACGAGTACGACTGGGACAGGGAGACGAAGCCTGCTGGCTCGAGCAAGGCGGCGAAGAAGATAGTGGATCGCGTCGTCAAGCACGGCCATGTCTTGGTCACTACCTATGCTGGACTTCAGACCTACGGTGACGTGCTCATTCCTGTGGACTGGGGCTACGCTGTCCTCGATGAAGGCCACAAGATCCGCAACCCGAACACGGCGATTACGGTCTACTGCAAAGAGTTGCGGACGGCCAACAGGATTATCCTGTCTGGCACGCCCATGCAGAACAACCTGACTGAGCTCTGGTCGTTGTTTGACTTCATCTATCCCATGCGACTGGGCACACTTGTCAATTTCCGCAACCAGTTTGAACTTCCGATCAAGCAGGGTGGCTATGCCAACGCGACGAATCTGCAGATAATGACTGCACAAAAGTGTGCCGAGACGCTGAAGGACGCGATCAGTCCGTACCTGCTGCAACGGCTCAAGGTCGACGTCGCGGCTGACCTACCCAAGAAGAGCGAGCAAGTACTCTTTTGCAAGCTCACACAGCCTCAGCGAGAGGCCTATGAATCGTTCCTCAAGTCCGAGGCGATGGATGCGATCCTGAAGCGGACGCGCCAATCGTTATATGGCATCGACATCTTGAGAAAGGTTTGCAACCACCCAGACTTGCTGGACCCCCAGCTGAGGGGTAAGGTTGGCTATAACTGGGGCAGTCCCGTCAAGTCGGGCAAGATGCAGGTCGTAAAGGCGCTGCTGCAGATGTGGAAACACTTTGGTCACAAGACGCTCTTGTTTTCCCAAGGAACGCAGATGTTGGACATCCTCGAGTCGTTCGTCCGACGGCAGGGTGATATCAACTACTTGCGGATGGACGGCAAGACGGCCATCAAGGACAGGCAGACTTTGGTGGACAAGTTCAACAATGATCCTGATCTCCATCTCTTCCTGCTGACCACGAAAGTGGGTGGCCTGGGAGTCAACCTGACAGGTGCCAATCGGGTCATCATCTTTGACCCAGACTGGAACCCCTCGACCGATGTCCAAGCTCGTGAGAGAGCCTGGCGTCTGGGTCAGAAGAAGGAGGTCACCATCTACCGCCTCATGACGGCGGGCACCATCGAAGAGAAGATCTACCACCGCCAGATCTTCAAGCAGTTCCTGACCAACAAGGTGCTAAAAGACCCCAAGCAGCGGGCGTCTTTTGGACTCCACGACCTACACGACTTGTTCACCCTGGGCTCTTATGAAGACGGCGCCACGGAGACAAGCGAGCTGTTCAAGAGCAGCGAAGTGCAGATCCAGGCAAAGAAGTCGCTCATCACGCCGGGCCGCGACTCCGTGCCCATCGTCATCGACGGCCATAAGAAAGACGGCAAGGCAACAAACGGTGCGGACAAGACCGAGGGCGACCTGCGGGGCATCGCCGGCGTGGCGGGCTTGGAGGACTACCAAGAGGATCCCGAGACGGCGCCCCCGCCGAGCGACGAGGCCCGAATCATGGAGGGCATCCTCGGCGGCGCGGCCATGCACAGCGTCGTCGAGCACGACCAGATCGTCGGCAGCGGCAAGCCCAGGGCCGACCCGGCCATCCTGCGCCAGGAGGCGAACCGCGTGGCCAGCGAGGCCGCCGCGCACCTCCAGCGCTCCGAGAACCAGGCGCGCCACGTGCCCATCGGCACCGTCACCTGGACGGGCGAGGTCGGTTCCGCCGGACGGCCCGCCCAGCGGCGTCGGGGGCCCGGCGGGCCCAGCTCGGCGAGCATCCGCGCCGGGCTGGCGAGCCGCCAGGGCCTCTCGGGCAGCTCCTCGTCGCGGTCCGGCACGCCGGATGGCGGCGGCGGCGGCATCAACAGGAACATGGGGCCGCGGGAATTCGAGAAGGCGATCCAGGAGTTCATCCGCCGGCACAGCGGGCAGGTGCCGTCCAAGCTGCTCGTGGACCACTTCAACCGGTTCTGCCCGGGCCCGCGGCAGGCGGGCGACTTTAAGACAGCGCTGGACAAGGTGGCCATGATGGAGAAGAAGGGCTCGAGCATGAGGGCCATCTGGGCGCTGAAGCCTGCTTACAAGTAGACGGATGGGAGTGCGAGCTCAAGAAGTGTGATACCAAAGATATGCATTGCGAGGAGTTTAAAGACCACCGTTATGGATGGCTATTTGCAAATTTAGAGAGCGTTGTTTTTTCCATATGGGAGTGAGCTCATGCGCTAGAACAATAAAACCACGGCATTCAGTCACAAAGGGCATCACATTGATAGAAACTCATCACAGGAGATCATGCTGGACTGCATCGTTGGAGGGGATGATTCTCTGCCATATCTGGCAAGATCCTTTGGTCGATTTTCATTCTAACTCTCTACTGCAGCTCATGCCATAGGCATCATGTGACAAGGCAAAGCAAATGGGGACCAGGCCAGAAACAGGCCGTTCCCCTCGTAACTGTCAACGCCACAGAGAAACCCAGATGCAAAACCAGAATCCATCCACCAGTGCTCCCCAGCCGCTGAGCGCACGCGCTCAGAGACGGCGACCACGGCGACCACCCTTTCTGCGGGTAGAGTCGGAGGGGGTGGGGGTGACGTCCTCGATACGGCCGATCTTCATGCCGGCACGGGCCAGGGCACGGAGGGCAGACTGGGCACCGGGGCCGGGGGTCTTGGTGCCGTTACCTGGAACTGATATTAGTACACAATGTTGCACGGCCGGTAGAGAGAGAGTGGTTCAAAGGAACTTACCGCCAGTAGCACGGATCTTGATGTGCAGGGCAGTGATGCCGAGCTCCTTGCAGCGGGCAGCGACGTCCTGGGCAGCCAACATGGCGGCGTAGGGGGAGGACTCGTCGCGGTCGGCCTTGACCTTCATGCCACCGGTGACACGGCAGATGGTCTCGCGGCCACTGGAATCACCCATGTTAGCCACAGTTGTACCATCAAAGATGCTGTTCCCATGTCGAAAGCAAGCGAGGAAGGTCCGTTTCGTTTTCTGCACCTAAGAGCGGTGTCGATCGCGGTTCTTCCCTTGCTCTCTCTTCTCTTTCGACATGGTTACTTTGCGCGCGAGAGGGTGGCTATATTTACCTCAGATCGGTGACGTGGACGAAGGTGTCGTTGAAGGAGGCGAAGATACGGGCGACGCCGAAAACGAGCTCACCTGTGTTGCGATCGTGTTAGCAGCTGTGCCCTTGGTGTTTCGAGACGTGCAGACGACAGATCTGGGAAAGGAACATCTTGTGACTTACCCTCACGGACCTGGGGTCCGAGGGAGATGTTCTCCTGGGCGGGACGGGTGGTCTTCTTGGGAGGCATATTGGATTGTTTTGCTTTGCTTTGCCTGGGCGTTGCAGTTAGTTTGTCGGTGAGGTCAGGAAGACGCCCAAATTTCCGTGGTGATCAATTTTGCCTGGTGGGGTGGGAATTTGGGAGTGGGTCTCTGCCTGCTGGTCCAGGCCCTTGATTGGGGGGGGGGGGGGGGGGGGGGCGGTGAGCCAGCGCAATGCGGACCACTACTTTTTTTTTTTCGCACACAATTTGTGTGGCACGAGAAAACCCTAAGCACCACTATGTGCCCTCGACTGCGAAAAAGCACTGACCGCTGCTGGTGCTAAGCGAGCAGCCCCGAAAAATCGGTCCCCCATATCTCGCACCCTCGAAAAAATTCCACCGCTCGTCTTCCCTTTTCACGATTTCTCAACCACCGGCCGACCGACCTTTTTGACGAAACATCGACAACTTCGCCAACAAATCGTCAACAATGGCTCCCACGTACGTTGCACCCTGAATGCACACAGCAGCAGCTCTTCCCTTCCATCTCCCATGCGCAACGGGTTTTCCGAGGTTATGCAGATTGTCGTGGTCCTCTCGCTGGAAGGCTCTGCTCATTGCCGTAACTGGCTGAGCATTGCTGCCAGCTCGATCTCTCCCGTGCTTCTCCCTCCTTTCGCCAGGCCCTCACCATGAGGGATTGACAATTGAGAGATGTTGCACGGGGTGTTGGGGCTGAAGGTTCCCATGCCTTCTCCCTTAAAACCATTGCCGCCGCCGTTCGATCCTTTCGAGGACACAGTCCTTCGAAGTGTGATCTTGCAAGGCGAGCAGAAAATTCTTGGACATCTTGTCTGAGGTGTTGTCAAATGAGTGTCGTTTGCTCGAGGCTTCCGTGGACATCCCCTAGGGATCAGTTCTGCAGCCTCGGCTCACAATCTCACTGATGAAAATCATCTTCGAGTTAGCCAACGCAGAGAATGTCGCACTTGAGCAGCAATTCTCCACCGGCGCTCTTCCTCATACCACGGTATGCCGGACTGCGTACTAATCTGATTGTGCCTACAGTACCGTCCCCACCAACGACCAGGTCCTGGTCCCTGAGACTCTCCTCAAGAAGAGGAAGAGCCAGGAGAAGGCCCGCGCTGAGCGCACTGCCGAGGCCGACAAGAAGAAGAAGGCTAGTGTCTTTGCATTTCTCCCCTTTCCGCGGAAGGCGATGTGATGTATACCATATTGGCGACTAGACCTGGTCAATGCTGTTGCTCAACTTTTAACCATCTTTCGGGTCTGATCCATTCCGCGGATCGTTGTTGTTTCTTGAGTCAATCACCGTACCCGGATGAAACCCAAAGCTAACTCGACTGCTCTTAGGCCAACAAGGAGAAGCGCCAGGTCATCTTCAAGCGCGCCGAGACCTACGTCAAGGAGTACCGCGACGCCGAGCGCGAGAAGATCCGCCTCAACCGTGCTTCCAAGCAGGACGGCACCTTCTTCGTCCCTGCTGAGGCCAAGCTGATCTTCCTGATCCGCATCAAGGGTATCAACAAGATGCCCCCCAAGCCCCGCAAGATCCTCCAGCTCCTCCGCCTCCTTCAGATCAACAACGGTGTCTTCGTCAAGATCACCAAGGCCACTACCGAGATGATCAAGGTTATCGAGCCGTGGGTTGCCTACGGTTACCCCAACCTGAAGAGCGTCAAGGAGCTCATCTACAAGCGCGGATACGGCAAGGTCAACAAGCAGCGTGTCGCCCTCACCGACAACTCCATCATTGAGGAGAACCTCGGCAAGTACGGCATCATCTGCATGGAGGATCTCGTCCACGAGATCTACACCGTCGGCCCCAACTTTAAGCAGGCCTCCAACTTCCTGTGGCCCTTCAAGCTGAGCAACCCCAACGGTGGCTTCCACACCCGCAAGTTCAAGCACTTCATTGAGGGTGGTGACCTTGGCAACCGTGAGGAGAACATCAACGCTCTCATCCGCCAGATGAACTAGATACCTAAAAGGGGGATGGCATTGGGATGTTTGGCCGGTTGTAGTTATGTTTCTCACAAGGGCATGGTCGCACGGCGTTCAATAAAAGCAAAGGATTGCTTGCGAGGAAATTAATGATTTTGATGATTCATCTACCTCTAAAAATGTTCCTCCTGTGACCTATACAATTCATGGCAGCATATGCATATATGCATGCACGCCTCGTGCCAATCATTCACGACTACTGTCTCTTGCTATCCTACATGTTGAAACGCTCAAGTGTATCTATTATGCGATGTAGCTGGGCGCGGTATGGCGCTCCCTACCAATGTAGGACCATAGGTTCGTCCAGAGTGAGGTCTAGGAGAAAAGGAGAGAGTTGGAGATGTAAGTCCTATATCTTGATATCGAAGCTCGTGCCGCAGCCGCAGCTGCTCGTGGCCAGCGGATTGTCCACGATCTTGAACTGGGAGCCGATGAGCTCCATTGTATAATCGACCTTGCTACCCTTGAGCAGCTCGAGCGAGGGGGTGTCGAGGATGATCTTCGGCGCAGTGAGACTCGGAGCCATCTCGGCCGCCTCGTCATCCTTGGCAAAGGTGAATATGGTATCGTCCTCTCGGATTGTGGCATCCTCATCCGACGAGGAGGAGGGGGAGGAGGCGGAGGACTCGGGTGCGCTCGTGCCGGGCAGCTGGTCGGGCAGGGTGATGAGCTTCATGATGTACTGGAAGCCGTGGCAGCCGCCGCTCTCGACCTGGATACGCAGGGCGAGGTGCGGGTTCGAGTCCTTCTTCATGATATCGGATAGGCGCTGCGAGAGTAAGGAAAGTCAGTATATCTGGTTTTCCTCAGAAGGGAGGGAATAAAAAAAAAAGAGAGACCTTTGCTGCCCTGGGGGTGATCTCCAGCTTCATGTCGTTGCCGTCCTCGTCCTTGGCCGGGTTGAACAGGGTGTGCGTGGCGAGGCGCGGGGCGGTGGTCGACAGGGCGCGGCAGTTCTGCGGCGCGTGCCTCTGGAGGACGTCTGCCCTTGGAGCAGCTCCGGTGGTTTGCCGGCGCAGAGAAGAGCTGTTTCTGATGCCCGCCTTGCCTAGACTTCGCGGAGCCGGGGCGGCCGCGGCTGCTGCTGCTGCTGCTCCATACTGGCGGAGCTGGTTGGGGAGGAGGAAGTCGACGACCGCGCCGGCAGGGCGACGGTGTTGCGCAGACAGCTGGACGAAGAGACTTGCGGCCGACCGAGTGGCCGTGCTGGTCGGACCGGCGACGCAGCGGAGGGTCGCAGCGGCTGCCATGCTGGAGATTTTCTGAGTGGTGGAGGGGGGAGGCCGGTCCGGTCGAGGAAATTTATAGCAGAGACATTAATTTAAACATGTATCGTAGATGCGTTTGTATGTATGTACGGGTACGGGTTGGAAACGCAAAAGCCCGTGGGTCCAGTGTCAGAAAGATAACCGTGGTGGTTCGGAATTGGGTATGTTGTTGTTGGTGGTGATGTTGGGACGCTTGCTAAGCAGACCCGAGGTGCAGAGGAAAAAAAGAGAACCAGTGAAGTGATGTCAAATGCTGGCTGCAACCCGCACGGTCGGTTTCCGGCCGGTGAAGCGCGGTTGGTTGCGGAGCACGCACAGTGCACGGTCCATGGAGGCTCAATTGTGAGTCACGTGTGCTTGATTCTTCTTAGTCATTGGAAATTGGTGCATTGTGAGAGGCCCTGTTCTTTAACGGGCCAAACAGTGGACCAGCCATCCATTGATGCATCAATGATCCATCGTCTTTGCTGTGCTTTGACACGAGGTGTGGGCATTCTTGACTCGCTGTCACTTAGTTATGCAGTGTGAGGGCATTGGGGTGACAATGATTTCAACGTTGGAGAAGAGACTGACCGCCAGTCTCATGTGCCGTGTGCCATTTGCTCCAACTCTGGTGGCTTTAGAGAATCACAGCGACTGTCTGCACCGCAGCTTATAGCATAGACGGAGTTCTCGGCCAGTCGCTTTCGGTGCCTACAGATGAGAAAACATTTGGAAACACCAACAGCCAATACTTGCGAGTCCAATACCAATACTTTGAGACAGACACTACAGACACTTGACGGGTTTGTTGCAGGATCACGGCCTCACTTTCCATCTACTTGTAATAGCTCCTCAATGTGGCACCTTTGTTGGGGTACGGAGGTATTCTCGGGAGCCAATTCTAGCATCCGGGGTCCCAGGCCAGATCCCACAAGATCCCACAGTGCTCCAACAAGAGGCCATTCCCCGCATTCGAGGGAACGCACAACCCCGTCAGCACCGCCCTCGTAAGACTTATATAATGCCCTAGACTGGTAAGTAGTGCGCTGCCATGGGCTCGGGCAGCTTAGGTGAGGGCTGACGCATCAACGCAGACAGCAAACAGAGAGAGAGTGTGTGTGGGAGTCTGAGGCAAAAGAGTGGGCGTGAGATGCGGAACAAGTCTTTCCCTTAGTGGGCACATCCGTCAATGATGGAGAGAGTGGGCATGCTCTCGGAAGTATATTGCGAGGCCGTTGTGTGGAATGGAGACCTTTCGGCTTGTCGCTTGCTATTTTATCCTTCCGAAGCGCGAAGCTGGCGCTGCTGGCCGGGGTAGCAGGGCAGAATGGGCTGCCCACGGGTCTCCTCCAGCTCTTCTCCAGGCCTAAATTCAGCGCCAAGTGGTGCTGAAGGCTGGCGCTACGTGGGCTTGGTGCGGAGAAAGCGCACCAACGACACTGGTGGCCACTGGTGGCGCGTGGTCATAGCCCGACTTCCCCAAACTTCGAGGCAGGGGTGCCGTCACTTCGTCACTCATTCGGACATCGGCAGTTCTCTGGTTGGTCAACTCGCCCAACTACTTGCTGTCATTGCTGTCTCGTCCTGACAAGACAGCCGCGCACAATGCGTCCTTCTCTGGTATGCTCACCTTGGACGGTACCGGGGCCCGGATCCAATGAGCCAGATTAAACTGCCATGCCATGCCTGCTAGCGTTTGATCTGCTCCAGAGGCAGGATGGGGCGCAAGAATCGGTGATCGGTGTCGTCGACCTACCCCCTTCGTAAACGTACGAGTCTCTCGGCTGGACCATCGGGGTGGTCGGGCCCAGACTTGGGGTCCTAGATCCCGTTTCAATATATGTACAAGTAGACCTGGCCCATGTTCCCGATCCCTCTGCGTGTGTGCGTCCTGGTGCTTGGAACTATTCAATCTGTCCGTTGACCATACCGCCTTCACACGGTCCTCCCTCCCAGCGAAGACTTCAACATCGAATCCAGCCTGGCCGAAAGTGATTCTTTTTGTCTCTCTCTGGCTGCTCCTGTGGTTCAACACCTCGCTGCCTGCGTGAGGTGCATGCGTGACATTTAGCCATATTAGGCGTTATCAGACCGGGGACCGAAGCAGAAGCAAGAACCAACAGAAAAAGATCAAGGAAAGATGGGTGTAGCGGACACGGAGAGGGAGGTCATCTCCCCCGTGCGCATGGCCGCCGACATCGTGGCCGCGCACTGGCTCGCCATCTTCGCCGGCCTCTTCGTCCTACGGCTGCTCTACAGGCGCTATGCCACGCCGCTCAGGCAGTACCCGGGCCCGTGGCTGGCCTCGGTCTCGCGCCTCTGGAAGTTCTGGTCCGTCTGGACCATGCGCACAAACTACAACGAGATCGAGCTGCACAAGAAGTACGGCCGCATCGTGCGCATCGCGCCCAACGAGGTCTCCATCTCGTCGCCCGAGGCGGCGCGCACGCTGCTCAGCGCCGGCAAGCGCTTCTACAAGACCGACTTCTACGGCGTCTTCCCGCCGCCCGAGAACCCGGACATCTTCACCGAGGTGCGCGAGCACGTGCACGCGCAGAAGAAGAAGGTGGCCAACGTGCCCTACAGCATGGCGGCCATGCAGCAGCTGAGCCCCTTCATCGACGACACCATCGACCTGTTCATGCAGCGGCTCAACGACCAGGCCGAGGCCCGCCCGACGCGCGGCCCCGCCGAGGTCGACCTGGGCAACTGGCTGCACTGGTTCGCCTTCGACGTGCTGGGCGAGGTCGCCTTCAGCCGCAACTTCGGCTTCCTCAAGGAGGGGCGCGACGTCGACGGCGCCATCAAGACCATCGACGACTCGCAGCGGTACAACGGCCTGATCGGCCAGGTCCCCGAGCTGGACCACGTCCTGCGGCGTAACCCGCTGTGGAAGCTGATCCCGGCGCTCGACACCAAGAACGCGCTCATCACGCGCATGGCCCTCGAGGAGATGGGCCGCCGCAAGCCCTTCGACAAGGAGAGCGAGGGCAAGTGGCGCGGCGGCGACGGCCGGCAGGACCTGCTGGCCAGTCTGATCAAGGGCCACCTCAAGGACCCGGAGAAGTTTGGCGAGGGCGACGTCTTTGCCGTTGCCCACGGCGCCATGTGCGTATTTCTCTCTCTCTCTCTCTCTCTCTCTTTCTTTCTTTCAGGAAATGCATCTTCAAAAAAATACCCTGCGTGTGAAAGCGACAATATGACTGACAACCCACCGACCGAACAGCTTCGCCGGCTCCGACTCGACCGCCTCGACCATGCAGTCCTTCTTCTGGCACGTCCTCAACGACGAGCGCGTGCACAAGAAGCTCGTCGCCGAGATCGAGGCCGCCGTGGCCGACGGCACCCTGCCGGCCGAGGGCAACGTCAGCTGGGCGCAGGCGCAGTCCCTGCCCTACTTCCAGGCCTGCATGAAGGAGGGCATGCGCGTGCGGCCCGCCGTGGGCCTCGCCATCACGCGCGTCGTCCCGCCCGAGGGCGCCGAGATCGACGGCAAGATGTTCCCCGGCGGCACGCGCGTCGCCGTCAACGGCTGGGTGCTGCACCGCGACCGGGCCACCTTTGGCGAGGACGCCGACGTGTACCGGCCCGAGCGGTGGACCGAGGACGAGGAGGAGGCGCGGCGGATGGAGAGGTACATGTTCCAGGTACGTCAGAAGAAAGCCACGGTGCGATGAAAAAAAAAAAAAAAAAAGCTAACGTGTGATTTTCTACAGTTTGGCGGCGGCGCACACGTCTGCATCGGGCGCAACCTGGCGCTGCTCGAGATCAACAAGGTGTGCCCTCGTCTGCTGCGGGACTACCGCCTGCAGATCATGCACCCGGGCCGGCCGCTCGAGGCCAAGGCCACCTTCTTCAACGTGCAGGAGGGCCTGGAGGTGTACCTCGAGAGGAAGACGGCGTGAGTGGAGGAGAAGGGGAGGGACATTTGATGTCTTCTCTGATTGATGGGTCGGGGTGATTTCAGGGACCGAGAGAGGTCTTTCCTGGGAGGTGTTGGGGAGAAAGAAATTGTACAAGATATCTGAAAACAGGGCCTTGTTTATTCTGTGTTTCTGTTGATACCTGAAGTGGCTGGAGATGGGTTGCAGAGAATGTCTGTACATAACGACCGATAATGAGACTGAGACTTGAGTTAAGTGATATCTCCAGCGCATTCAGGGTACAGCGGTAGTGGAGCTTCGGCAGCTTCCGAGGGATTCCAGGTGAGAACCCCACGAAATCAACCTTGGAACCTCGCCCAAGTCGTCCTAACCTTGAATTGCAACATCACACATGTGATCCTCGACGCATCACAAAGAGGTTAAGCTTCAATGAAGCGGAGGATCCCGTTTGATACTCGCCCAGGTTTTGGAATGTCTATTTGGGCGAATGAATTGGGTACCTTTGTCGTCTCAAGAATTGGCGCTGGGCCAATCCCTGTCCCGCTGAACCCTGCCATGCGACAGAGCGCGTTTCATCATGGCTCCGCGTGTGAGCATTTCACCTTTCTGCTTTGCCTCCCCTTCCCAGCTTGCAGTCTCCTTCAGGTCGATTGGAGGTGAGGTGCGATGGGATCGACAGGCCTGATCTTGGCTGGCCGGCCTGCGTGTTTCCTTCTTGTTTCTCTCTAAGCATATGTTTGCATATGTTTGCAATATCACCTGTTCGGTTTGGCGGCTACAAGATGAATTTAGATCTTGGTGGTTGCACCATCACAGCGCAACCGCCTTGTACACGCGGGATGCACGACGAGCGAGCGAGCGACTGTGAGCCCCTCGAGCCCTTTCTTTCGAAAGGACCGACAGGGGTTCCTCTATCGCATGGTGCAGCAGGGGCCCAACCCCACTGGTCACGACGATCCCGTCGATGGCCGGGGACAACTTAACAGCACAGCTCGTCCGAACACCTCTCTTTCTTCATCCAAAGGCCCCCTTGTGCGGCCTTTGAGCCGAAACGAAACGTGCACTCGGGCCTGTCATTCAGGCCGCCACAGCCGGTGAGAGCACTGCACCTCTCTACTCTTTGGATTGGAACGTTCCCTCTCGAAAACCATGAAACGGAGGAGAAACCCCAGAGGCAGATTCAAGGAGCACAGCTTCAGTCCCCCTTTGGCAAAAAGAGAAGCGCCCGTGCTAGCGCCAAACCTCTGGTCTTCCTCATCATCCTGATCCTGCATCCCCTTTGTGTCTGTATGCAAGTTCAGCCCTGCCCGAATCCCCAGTTGCGGCCTAGCTCTCGGAAAGCGGCATGCTCACAACATGTACTATCTGAGGTCATCGTGGAGTCCCTCCTGTCCGGTATAAGAAAAGGTGAGGCCCCTTCTCGGTGGGCTGTTGGCGTCTTTTCTTGGCTCTTCCCCAAGGCTACCATACGTACCTTTTTCCATTGCGTGTATTCGCCTGTCCCTTTCGTTATGCTGTTGTGAATAGCTTCACACTTCATTCCCTTTCCCAACCTTTGCGGCTTTCCGTTCCCTTCATTTTACCGCATTGCTCTATCCTGCTGAGCAGGCTTCCGTTCTTTGTACTTCTCACGGCATCTCTCGCACCGACCAGGCCAGACCCTTTCACCCACTACGCTCCTTTTGAAGCTGTCTCGAACGATACCAAACGAACATGCACGTTCCATTCTCTCCTCTCCTTGCATATGCGGCCCTTGTCGCCGCTGGACCGACTCTCAGCCCTCGCGCTGTGGACAAGCTCGACGAAGCGGCCACCGCCGAGGCTCAGCAACGGGATAACACGGCCACCAGGGCGTTTTCCAATGTCCAGATCAAGGTACCCAGTCAATAAATCTCGTCAGGATGATGGCATAGGAGCTGACTCTGATCGCCAAGACCTCTGATGGCAAGTGCCTCTTCGTCGACAAACTCTCGGGCGACTTCCGCGCCAACTTGACCCCCATTCAGGTTGCCGAGTGTGGCTCGACTGACGGACAGGGCTGGGATGTCATCACCCAAGGCAAGCACATTGATGTTACTGGCGCCATGCTCGTTGTGAGCACCCTGACCAACGCCTGCTTCAACTTTGACCCACGCCGCAAGGCTGGCAACCAGGTCCTTCTCTTCTCATGCGGTGGACGAGCCGCTGGCGGTAAGTTGTTCACAGTCTCACTCACCCCTTTGCTCTGCTTCTTGACCTAGTTAGTATGTCAATTCTGATGCCGTTTGGTGTTTTCTCAGAGGGACAAGCCACGACCTCGCAAATATTTGCTTTCGATGGCGGGGCAGGTCCGCTGTCATTCAAGCCCGCCAACCAGGTGGGCTCGTGCTTCACTGTCAAAGGCAACGTATTGGACATTGCCAAGTGCGATACTGCCGATGCCAAGCAGACCTTCACCTTTGGCGGAGCGGCTGCCGGCGGTGGCGCCGGTAACGGGAACGGCAATGCGGTGTCTTCGTCTGCAGCTCAAACGGACAGTGTCACGGCTCCTACTGCCAGCACTACGGCCCAGTCGGGCAACGGTGGAAACAACGGCAAGGGCAAAGGAAAGGGGACCCAGACCACTCCCGCTGCAGAGACCTCCACTACGGCCGGTGCGAGTAATGGAAATGCAGGCAATGCTGGCCAGGAAACCACCAGCACGCCCTGCACGCGCCGCACGCGTACCGTCTTCGTCACGCAGAAGCCGACGGGCGTGGTCTTGAACCCGGCTCAGCCGGGCGGTGCCGAGACTCCCGCGCCCACGGCCAAGGCCACGGCCATCCCGAACCCGACGACCCCGGTCCCGGTCTCGCGCGCCGGCGGCACTCTGGACCCCTCGGCCGCCGCGCAGGCCCAGCAGCGCGACGATACGGCGGACCGGGCCTTCAGCTCCGTTGAGATCCGCGCGCCCAATGGACAGTGCCTGTTCGTGGACCCGACCGCCGGCGACTTCCGCCAGAACCTGATCCCGGTGTCGCTCGTGGACTGCTCCGGTACGGACAACGAGAAGTGGGACGTTATCACGAAGGGCAAGCACAACGACGGGACTGCCAAGGGCGCGCTGATCGTGAGCAGTCTCATGAATGGGTGCATCAGCCTGGATGGACGGCGCGCCGCTGGGGATACGGTCACCATGTTCAGCTGCGGGGGTCGGGCCGATGGCGGTAAGTGCCTTTTCTACAATCGTTCTGAGCTGTGAGCGGGCGGCATGGATCGCTAATTGATTTTTTTGCAGAGGGCGGTACCAACTCTGGCCAGATCATGCCTTTCGGCGGCGAGACGAGTTTTGCGTTTGTGCCGGTGGCGGAGAATGGCAAGACGTGTATCCTGAATGGGCCGGATGGAAGGTTGACGTCGGGACCATGTCCTACTGACGGGTCTCAGCTTTTCTCAATTTTCCCTTGAGAGGGATGAGATCCGCTCTCGGCAGGGGTTGAGGGATGCGGTGTGCCTATACGATGGGGGAGAGGGTGAAAGCCCGTTGTGTGTATGCTGTGGCTGTGACAGCTATTGATTCTCTTCTTACTTCCTCTTTTTTTGCGCCCAAAACAGTTGCTTATAGCCAGGTCAATATATTTGTACCAATGGTGAATACACCTTTACTTTCATTCACTCATCCTGCTCATACGTCAAGCCGCACAATCTCCTCACCTCATCCATCCTCTCCAAGATCATAAGCAACTTGGTGGCCAGCGAGCAGCTTTCGTTCTCCGCCCTTCCGGCTCGTATATCCCCCGCCACGGCGTCCGCCTCGAAGGCGAACCCGAACCCGGCCATCTCGAACTCCGCCCTCTCCTCCTCTTCGCCGTTGATGCTAGCAACCAAGTAGCCCGGCCTGGAGCTCATGGCCCCGCACACCGCGACGGAGCCCTTGGCATCTCCTTTCGGTCGATAGTCTAGTTGTTTCTTTGGTCCTAGGTCAGCATTCTAATTACCATCGCGCGGCTCCATCCCAAGTTCGGCCGGCTGCATCGGGATAGCGCCAACTAATATCACGGTCAGTGCCTTCGATACCACGTGTAAAAATAGATGAGGGATGAAGTCAGTTTATGAGATCTTGCCACAGTCATCGCACGTCACAGGTTGTATGAGTAGCTCAAAGGGCCACAATAGCCCATGTGCCGACGGAGGAGAATGACTTCTTGTCTCGAAAAGTATTGAAAAGAGGGTTAAAATCCAGTAAGATCTAGTACGCATTGTCTAGGTACGAGTTACACAAGACTCCGGTTGTTTGACTTGCTCTATTCTATTTACTTGGTATGATCAGCTGGAGGAGCCGTACCCATGCCTCATGATCATGCGGAAGATCTCCAGATCGTTGAGCGCATCCTGTGGAGTCGTCTTGACTGGTGTGCCCTCGACTACCAGAGTCCAGAGCTGCTTCATTTCCAACGTGTATGGGTCCTCATAGGTCTTCCTGATGGTGCTCTCACGGAAGACGCCATCGACGTTCTCGGTAATGTGCATGGTCACTGGTAGACCCTTGACATATGGAGTATCGTACTGTACACGGACTGTCTTGTTGGGCGAGTACACCTCCAGGTGAGCGTCGAAACGCGGAACATTGTCCAACCCGGACTCGTACGAGACGGTAAAGCCGGGGTATTTGAATAGTACGCTTGAAAATATGGTTAGCCAAGAGGTGTTTTATCAAAGGAGCACGGCCGGCTCAACTCACTTCCAGAAAGGCACTCCCAATGAAGACCCGACAATCTTTTCTGGCATGCCAAGCGCCTCGCGCATGACTGAAAGGTCATGAGAGCCGAGGCCACCAAGCACACGCCAGAATCTCGATGATTCTGGGGTGATGGGAACGCCGCCACACTCAACCTCAAGGGCTGTCTTGATCATGTCTTGGGCTCGGGCGTCCTTGTCGGCAGAGTCCTCCGGCCTGAAGTCTGTGAACCTCTCCGGGAAGGTCGCGGACTGCTGTACAAAGTGGGCATTAGGACCGATGATGTCTGAGCAGGGTTGTTAGTCATGATTCCGCGATATCTCGACATTGTGGCGCATGAACCGTACCTCGCACTCTGGCGTACAGAATCTTGTCCATGCCACCAATTTCCTTGACTGCCTCTTCGAACGGCGCCGCATATCGGCGCATGTAGCCGACCATGACTTTCCCTTGGCTGGTCTTTTCAGCCTCGATGATAGCCTCGATATCTTTACGTGTCAAAGCAAGTGGCTTCTCGACGAGTACATGCTTGTTGTGCTTCAGAGCAAGGATGGCGTGCGCGGCATGGTATTCGTCCGAGTTGACGACCAGCACGACATCTACGTCCGGGGAGGCACATAGTTCTTCAGGGTCTCTCGTGGTTTTCGGGACGTGGTTTGCAATCTTGCTGGCGCAGTGCTTCAGCGCGGCGTCGGAGACATCGCACAGGTACGTGATACGGAACCAGGAGGACATGAAAGACAGTGTCGGAATATGGACGACCTGGGCAACCTCACCGCAGCCGATGAGGCCGACATTCAGGATCCTTCGTGCCGTTGCCATGGTGGAAATGATTAGCCGGCTAATGGGCAGTCTGGCGATGGTGACAGGAGAGATAGTTTGGACGGCTAGACAATTCGAGATGACTTGGGGTCCGTCCTAGGTTTTGTTGACTGGTTTTTGGACAAGGTCACCGTCGCTCCGCATTGGAGTCCAGCAAGACGCGGAGTCCCGGGCATAACTAGCTGTCAAGTCCGGTTGGAGAACCCGTTGCTAAACTCGGTAGACTCGCCCACTTTGGCTCCAGTCGACTTGGACGCCGTTAGTCTTTAAGTCCAATAGAAGACATAAACCACAGAAAACGCTAACGAAGCGGATCCCTCAATACCAGTAGCTTACCCCGAAACTCCCCGGCGGCATGGAGCTTTCGTTTATGAAATGAAGCCCGCCCTGGAACTCCTCGCTTTTGGGACTCAGACCACATCAAGCACTTGGAAGTGTTCTCCGCAAACGCGTATGCGGGGGCCAACATATCCCCTATTCTCAAGCATGGCCCACAGTCATCAACCTACCTGCCGCCTCTACGCCGTCCACTTTGTACTTGGTAGATGCGAGACGGATCTGAAAGCCCGTCCCAAGACTGTGGTTGCGTTAGTTATGTCCGGGATTCCGCGGTAATTCAGTAGACCCATCAAGCGTAGGTAGGTAGCATCAACATCCAGACCAGACCTCCACATTCCCCATGCCTCCCCGCAATAATGATCGACATCCAGCCATAGCACCAATCATTCTCACGATGCTTCCGGATAACCTTTTCACTGCGTAGCTGAACCCACTATGCATAAAGGCCTTGCCAGCCTTTCCCCTGAGACGATTGTGACTGAGGCTCCGAGCCACTGCAACTCTCTCCAGCCCAGTTTTGAGTCTTTGGAAATCTAGTTTCTGTCATTCAATTGGCTACATCTCCGGCTCGACAACGCCATCATGTTTGGAAAAGCGAACAAGGAGCCCAAACGGCAGGCAGTTGGCGAGGATCTCGCTCAGGTCCTTCCAGATGATGGCCTGCCTTGGTACAAGAAACGCCATCTCCTTGTCCTCAACTACTTTGCCGTCTCCATGGCTCTGCTCTCTGCTGCCAACGGATTCGACGGCTCAATGATGAACGGTCTACAGGCTCTGCCCCAATGGCACACATTCATGAACAACCCAACCGGCGCCTGGCTGGGCTTCATCAACGTCGCCCAGACTATTAGCAGCGTCCTCTCCTACCCCGTGATCGCCTGGTTCGCCAATCGATATGGTCGGAAGCCTGGTCTCTTCATCGGGTACTTCTTCCTTGTCCTTGGCGTCTTCCTCCAGGCCTTCTCCCCGAACCCTGCTGCGTTCATCTTGGGCAGGTTCTTCCTCGGCCAGCCGTCCAGCTGGTGGGGAGGTAATGCGCCCTTGCTGATCACCGAGCTGGCCTTCCCAACCCACCGTGCATTTCTCACGGCCCTTTGCCAGTGCGGTTGGTACGTCGGCTCCCTCGTCGCCGCCTGGGCCACCTACGGCACGCGCAACTACGACGGCTCCTGGGCGTGGCGCATCCCGTCCATCCTGCAAATCGCTATCCCCTGCGTCGTCTTGCCCGCTGCATGCCTGATCCCCGAGTCTCCTCGATTCCTCGTCTCCGTCGGCCGCGTCTCCGAGGCACGCAAAAGCTTGACGCGTCTGCATGCAGGTGGCGACGAGTCATCGGCGCTCGTCGAGTTCGAGATGGTCGAGATGGAGAGAGCCATCCAGGCCGACAGCGACCACCAAGCCAGTACCTCCTGGATGGACCTGATCCGCACACCTGGCAACCGCCGCCGCGCGTTCATCACTGTGACCATTGGCATCTATGCTCAGTGGAATGGTGTCGGCGTCGTCTCATACTACCTGGCTCTGGTCCTCCAGACCGTCGGTATCACATCGGTCACGGATCAGACTTTGATCAGTGGCTGCCTTCAGATCTGGAACCTGATCTTTGCCGTTGGCGCTGCAGCGATGGTGGACCGCCTTGGCCGAAGATTCTTGTGGCTTGCTAGTTCCATAGGCATGCTGGCCAGTTTCATTCTGATCTCAGGCTTATCGGGTAGCTTTGCGACAACCCACACAGCCTCAGTAGGCATTGCTGTTGTGCCGTTCCTGTTCATCTACTATGCGTTCTACGACATCGCCTTGTAAGTTACACCAATCCCCGCTCCTGGACTAATACTCTGTTCAATCATTGACTTTCAATACCCCAGCACGCCGTTGACCATTGCCTACCCGGCCGAGATCTGGCCTTACCACCTGCGTTCACGAGGCTTGGCCTTGTGCGGAATCTCGACTTACATCGCTGTCTCCTTCAACATCTTTGTCAACCCTATTGCGCTCGAAGCTATCGGATGGAAATACTACGTCGTCTTTGCGGTCATCCTCGTCTTTGTTGTTCTGACTATCTACTTCTTTTACCCCGAAACCAAGGGACACACCCTGGAGGAAATGGCAGTCGTGTTTGATGGGGAGGATGCTCCGGTCACGGGCCGGCAGGAACTGAAGATTGTTGGGGACCGAGTCACCGACTCGCAACACGCCGAGAAAGTTTAAAGCGAGCATGCATAGTCCAGAGTGCTGACCGGCCAACTCCAGTGAGTACTTGAAAGGAAAGACATCAGGATGACTCAACAATCGTGTTACTCGAAGGGGTTATGTAATAAAATGTAGACGTCACCTTTTACAGAGAGAAGCAATGAAGTGAAGTTGTTTGTCATTCCACCTAAGCTTCTACTCGCCCTTTTGCCTGCATTCTGAAACAAACCCAAGTCAGGGAGACAAAAGGTCAGTGTTTTGCATCAAACAGTACAGAACAAATAGTGGGTGCTGACTTATACAGTGATCTCACACGTCAACGAAGCAATGTGACTCCATTGTTCAGGAACTTTACTATGGATGTCCCGCCCAGTTTGCAAAACAGATTTGGAGTCTACCTTTGAGGTTTGGCACACTAATTGCTTCTGGCGATTGGATGACGATGAATGCTCACAAACTGTCCTACCGAAACTCATTGAGTCAGAGGATTTAGGGGTAGTATGGAAGTATTTAAGGGGAGATCTCTGACATCCTTCTATCGGGCAACCAACCCTGACAAGGAATACAAGGAATGAAATGTCTGCGAGCCTGCTCGGACAGCTTCTCGGCTTACCAGCACCCTATTCCTTTTCTGTCATATAGATATGAAGGGACAGTAAGTTTAAATATACCATGGGTTTTACCCGATCACCCCCATCAATACCGTTATAGATACTAACCTCATCATAGCTACAACCATAAACTCCTGTACAAGGTAGGTAGCAACAGAAGAGATCTTCAAAGCAATTAAGGAGGTCAATACTAATAGCGTCATTGCAGCCATCACCCTCAGCCTCGACCAGCTTGTCATAAATAACATCCGACTTAGGAGTAGCATCCGGTTAGAGGATGTCCCGGGCATGACTTTCAAGTCGACCAACATCCAGCCCGGACCAGCCCCAGTCGCAGTCCTGCGGCTCGAACAACAGCTCGCCTAATTTTGGCGACTACTCCGCCCAGTCCAGCACTCTGCCATAAGCTCCCGAGCCTCCACTCCACAACACCCTCAACATCGTGCCGCGCATCGCCGGCAACCCCGCCGACGACGATGATATCGTGGTGAACAACCGCCTCCCCAGCGAGGACGAGAACGACAAGACAATCGCCTTCCGCACGAGCGTCGCCCTCCTGTCTGCCGCGCACGAGCTCATGAGGTCGGACCAAGCGTGATTCTCCTACGGTAACCTCCCCCCTCTGAATGAGCGTGATGACGACGCATACAAACATCTCAGCTTCTATATGACTAACTAGGCGCAGAGAGTCCAGCTCATCCAGGCCTTTATGGAGACCTACAACTTAAACGATCCTAAGAAGTGTATCTTCACCTCTTTATATAGTGTGCTGCAGAAGGATGTTATATACTACATCAAGGATGCTGTCGCAGATAGCATGCCCTCGCTGCCACCTCCCGGCCAGCCTGACAGTACTGCTGATGACGGCTCTATACAGACCGCAGCGTCTGATAAGACCGGGCCGGGCTGAAAGCGCGCCAACGAGCAATCCGACGCCGCCATCGAGGAGGTCGAGAACGTCATCCAGACCCTCAAGAAGTGCGAGGCGGAGCTGAGCGCGGCGAAAGACGTCAAGAAGAGGGAGCAAGTGAGGTACACGATCTTCCAGAACCGCGAGAACCTCATCGCCGCCGTGACAAACAAGGGCCAGCCCCGCATGCGCCCGCTCAGCGCTGCGGACCGCGGTTCACAGGAGACTGGGGTGTGAAGGACCCTACCTCCCCCCACGCTCCGAAACTCACACCCGCCAAACGCCTCCTCCACCCTGATTTGCGAGGTTAGAAACTACATCAACCCGACAGAAGTGCTACCCGCGAACACATCTCAGACCTAGGACCCACTCCTGGAAACATCGTAACCCTTTCATCGCGAGGGTTCGACTTGACCATGGCCCCCGCCTCCCAGGCAGCAGTTTCGACCTCCATGAGATGTACGATCGTGCCCCTAACTTCTCTTGCGTACTGCACGCCGATGAAGAGGTCGATGAGGAGATGGGTCAGCGGGAGATCGAACAATCAGCCCAAAAGCCAACAACCAAGCCCGCATTTATCACAATCTTCAAGAAGGTGGTTGAGGAGTTACAAGCTGAACAAGCTACCTGCCTGTCGGGCCCCGTCTGGAAGCCGATCAGTATCTCTGGGGTGCTTTGAGCAGATATCTTTGATATATTCAAGAAAACTCAATCTGATACCTATTGAAGTACCATACATAGTCAAAGTGAACCGGCTATTTGGGAGTCTGATTTTATTTATCAAAAAGTGCCGTCTTTTATATATATTTTTTTCAAAGAATTCTTGATACTACCTTTTGGGGTTAATACAAGGCTGGCTTGAGAATACAACTCTTGTCTATTGCACTTTGACTCCTTATGACTCATCACACTTCCAAGCTAGGTCCTTTTAGCTATACATACACACCATTTACAGATCCCGTTGTTCGAGTATGTCTCTTTTGGCAGGGTTTTGAGCGCACACATGAAATTAACGACCGACCACCAAAGTCTTCTCAACTGGGGGTGGCTACTCATTCCATCACGTCTTCATCACTTTTTAGGTCAAGGCCAAGGTTTATTGTCCTTTTTGTTTTCTTTACCACACAGCTCTCTAGACAACCACATCGCAACATTGTCTTCTTTGTCACGCAGCTTTCCGAACCACCCCATCACAACAACGTCGACAACTCCACAGCAATGCCGAAACGACGGCCTTCCGCAACCTCTGCCCCAGGCCAGAGAACCTGTACGGTGTGCAAAAAGAACCAACCAGTGAGCTTCTTCCGACGCCCAGGTGGAAAGCATCCGATGCACATAATCAAGTCAAGCCTCGATGAAGAGACCACGAATATCACTGGCTTGGCAAATGAGGAGCTCAGGACCAACGAGCACGCTCATTTCAAGAACCGCGCCGGATGAACGCACTTTCCACACCTATCGAGAGGACTTACGACGCTCAGGAGTCGCCACTAGAGAATGTCATGGACGATCTCGCAAATACGGCAGAGCCGATTCTAGCAACAAAATGCGGGATTGTCCTCGAGCATCTTCGATTAAGCCTTGTCTCTCGAAGGCCACAAAACCAGTCTTTGACTGCCCTGGATGCTGCTTGGATCATGAACCATCTAGCCAAGTCTAAGCTGCAAATTGATGCCTACCATACACTGTCTGGAGAGGCCTGCAAGGTCCCGGATCCTCGTATCTACCCCTTCCTCCGAGATTTGGCCCGGATATATCGACAGAAACTGCGCCAACTCGAGACTGACACCATGGGGCTCGACACGACTCAAAAGAACAAAAAGGAAATTTTGGAGGAGTTCAAATCGGTCCTGACGGAGTTGAACAGTGTGGCGGAGACAGTGGTCCACATGCCATATGGAAACGAGCCACATCGCCCATTATGGATCGGTCTTGGACGCTACATGTAAGATACTATATGGGGCTCCATCGATGAGACCAAGTGGAGCGTGTTTAGCCATCATCTAGAGTCACCGGAAGTGATGAGTGCTTTGGAGAGTTTGACAGACCGGCAGCTGGTCAGGCGACAGTTACGGTTTCGTTCCGTGGCGCAACTCCGCGTGTCACAATGTACTTCTAAAGCCTGGGTTATGAGAAAGAGGGAACTAATACCAAGATCATTTGCTCGGCACGACTATGTTCCTACTCAGTTACCTCGTTCTAAACCGACTCTTTTGTGTTTTGTTGAAAGACCATGTATTTGCCTTTGTTGATACACACAAAGGCTTTGAGTGAATACAATGCCGTTGTATGGTAGCAGGGTCTACTACTTCAAATTCCTGTTGGCATATGAATTAAGTACAAATAGCGACCCTTTGAGGTCCATTCTCCTCGAGATTCCAACATAGGCCATTTTCACTCAACAGACCTACATCGCACCACTGCCCCACAATGCCTTCAACTCGAGCATCCCAAATACTCAACACAAAAAAATGCCGGCGGTGCAAGGTAACCAAGCCACTGGCAGATTTTCAAAAGGAAGGAAAAGAATTCTTGTCATGCGCGCCGTGCAGGGAGAAACAAGCAGCGGGATCAAGGCGTTCCAGGGCAAATACAGCATTGAGGCGTGCGTCCCTGGCACAAGCGAACAGGGATGATGAAGACCAGGAACTCCAGCAAGGTGGATTTGATGAGATTGACATGGATGTGGAATTTGGGGAAGAGGTCCAAGAAGAGATGCAAGAAGAGGTGCAGGGGGAGGTGCGAGAAGAGGCAAATATTGGGGTGCAGGCCGAGGATGGCTCAGACATAACGAAGTCGGCTTTGGAGAGAACAATGGCTATTGTCAACAACACCCCAAACCAGAGCCTAGCCTTCAGGTGTGGCATCGTCTTGGAGCAGCTTCGACTCGGACTGCACATGCATGGCAACAAGGGTCTCAACTCACAGGAAGCCGCCTGGATCATCAACCACCTCGCCAAGTCAGAGCTGCAGATCGACGCGTACCACCATGTCTACAAGCCGTGCAAGCTCGAAGACAAGCGAGTGAATGACTTCGTCCGTGAGTTTCGATCGATTTACGAGAGGATCAGGGATCAAGTTGTGTCAGAAAACCCCAATGCCCTGGCCATGAGGTTCAGGAATGTGGTGCCAGACCTTAGGGCTTTACCTGAGCTGAAGGTGCACCCCAAATATCGTGGTATCCCACCTGCAGAGCCTCATTGCTCCTTATGGTTCAACTTCCTGTCGCTGTAGGACACGGCGAACCGACGCGTGGATGATAAGGGGAGAGGAGGAGCTTGGGAAAAGCCACAGGAGTGTCAATGTTAGTGTCCAATACGTCAAAATTATTTCATAGAGGAAGTGAGTGTCCACTTGGAGGGCACACAGTGTCTTTGTCTGCGAGAGCGATAGTTGTAGCACAGCTTCCCTTTAATGCTGTGCTGTGTTGTGCGAGAGTGACAACAACTCTCCATACTCTCAAGCAAATGCCATTACAAGATGATCCATTAGTTATAAAAGACAGAAGAAAAGACTACACTTCAGTGCGACTTCTTTAATTGCTGTTCAAAACTCTATCTTGGTTTCCGTGATTTGGCGTTGAGACAAAACATCTTGATCCCGGCGCTTACTTCCCCACCGGACCAGGAAGTTGGGCCCGGGAATAGTGCACGTGGCAGCTAATGGATAACGCTGCCGCACCACTGAACTGCCGCTGTAAGGGCACTAGAACAGCTGGAGGTTCTGACAGACAAACGGCAGGCAGTTGAATGTTGATTAGCGCAGGTGAGCCTAGCCCGGCAGTGGCTTAGGCGCTAATTCGCTCCGCCCCAGATCGCCAGATCGGATAAATAAGCTAGGGGCCCACCTGCAGACCGTCACATCACCGCCAAACTCCATACGTCATTGGCGCACACGAGATCGCCAAGTCCTCAGCACCCAGCTTTCTCCTGTGTCGCATGGTCGGCCTGGATCTTGCGCGGTTTCCCTTCTCCACCGGATTATATGCTGCTCTTGGTGCGGCGCCTCAAAGACAGAAATGTCTGGCGGCAATTTCCAAAGGCCGCGGGCCGAGACGGCTCCCACACTGGGAGCTGATGAGATTCCGATCATATCAGATGGGACAGATGACGCGCCCAATCTGCCTCGCGGTGCTCTACGAGTGCACTACACTCTCCGTGCCGACGACGAGCGCGCGGCGACCCTGCAGCCGCCGTCAGTCAATACAACGGGCATCACTCGCTCCGACACGGAGCTTCACCGTACCAGCTCAACCCCGACCACACAAGGTCTGCGCCGGCGGGGCAACAACAACAACAACAACACACTGCGCACCATCGAGGACTTCGAGGACTACGAAGAGCGACCTGGCTGGCACCCTGGTGCCGAGCCTGGAGTCGATGTCTCTAAGCCTGACGGCGGACACGCCTCGATGCCAACGCTGCAGGCACCGTGTGATATCACCGTAGTAGACTTTTCGCGAGAGGACATGGTCGTGCACCACCTTGACAATGAGACCATCGCCGACTTTCTGCAGACACCCGAACCTACCTGGTCCAAGTGTCGGTGGATCAACGTCAATGGGCTGAGCTGGGATGTGATCCAGGCGCTGGGCAGGAACAAAGGACTGCACAAGCTCGCGATCGAAGACTTGATGAACACCAGGAACAGGACCAAGACGGACTGGTGTGTAACTGCATATCTATGTCGCAACGTGAAGTAGCATGAGTTAACCAAGAGTGATGGCCACAGGTACTCGAACCACGCATACATGGTTCTCACCCTGCAGAAGCTTATCCGGAGCGAGGATTACAACTTTGATTCATCCGACTCCGAGAGTGAGAGTGACTCAGATCATGACGACAAAGGATCCTCCAAGAGCCGGAGCAGTAACAGCTCCCGCTCTCGCCATGGCATTATCAAACGCACCAGGAAGCTCTTCCGGCGAGCGAAAGCGAAGAAGTCCGCCCTTGAGTCCAATCTCGAGAATGGCACCCTCGAGAAGCACGGCGAGGCACCATACAAGGTACGGCGCGAGACTTCAGCGTCCAACAAGGACTTATTCAACTCGACCACACCCTTGTCGAAGCAAGTCAAACCTCGCACTCTGCAGCGCTACCATGCCTCACCCAATAGCGCACGCACTCTCTACATGGAGCGGCACTCGGGACTGTCGTCGCGCGGGCTCGCCGTGGCAGCCGAGCAGGTCTCCATCTTTATCACCAACGACAATACCATCATCTCCTTCTTCGAGATGTCGGCTGACGACGTCGAAGCGCCCATCTTGACTCGTCTGCAGACACACGACACCATCCTGCGGCAGAGCTGCGACGCCAGCATGATTGGCCAGGCCATCATCGACGCCATCATCGACCTCGCCATTCCTGTAGCCGCCTGCTATGGCGACGTCATCGGGGACCTGGAGCTTGACGTGCTCACGAGGCCTAACGTGGGCCATACCAAGAGCCTCTACATCACCATCTGTGAGATCAACAAGTTGCTGGCCTTCATCAACCCTATCCTCAACCTCATAAATGCCCTGCGCGACCACAAGACGGAGCTGTCTCTTAGCGACGGCCACGGCTCATCCGTGCAGGACGAGACGCTCCGCAATCCCCTGACAGGCGTCATCATCACGCCTATGACGCACACTTACCTCGGCGACGTCGTCGACCACTGCGTCCTCATCACCGAGCAGCTCGAGCAGATCAAGAGCCAGGCCGAGGGCCTTATTTCGCTCATCTTTAACACCATCTCGACCTTCCAGAACGAGTCTATGAAGCAGCTGACGATTGTCACCATTATCTTTCTGCCCCTGACCTTCCTGACTGGCTATTTTGGCCAGAACTTTACACCCTTCGACGACCTAAACAAGGGAATCTCGCACTTGTAAGTGTTTTGTCCATATCGCATGATGGTCGTCCTGCATTCTGTGTGCTGACATGGAATGAAACAGCTGGAAACTCGCAGGCCCCATCATCGTCGGCACCATCCTCGTTCTCATGCGCGACATTATCTACCAGTCGGCCAAGTCGGCGATACAGCATCGCCACATAGTGTACCTGCGCAAGAACCGGTTGAGAGGCATGCGGAAGAAGAGGTCAGCGCGGAGGTGATGCGGAGTTTGTTATGTGCATAGCGACTTGTGGCATTCAGCATGCTGTTATATTACCAACAGAGTGGCAAGCTGCATCGAAACGGCACACTCAGTGGATATTGCTTACACGATTGTGAATCTTGCACACGTGAACCCAGGTCTCGGTTAAAAAGGTGAAGTCCGTTCCCGTAGATGCAGGCGTTGCCGATATCCCCGAGAGAGTGCAAGGGTTGAAGAGCACACCCTCCTCGGCACTTACAGACCTCATCTTGTCGAGGAATTCTCCGATGATCTCCATGACCCTGCATCGATCCTCCCACTGAAAGTCCGCATGCGACCAGATGGCGCACGTACTGCCCGCTATGATGAAACGCGGCCTTTGCAATCACGACATGCCTTCCCCGCAAACCCGCATCGATCTCCAAACAATTGAATATCCCGCGTCTGGGGCTCTCGGCATATGTCTGGGGTATTATGAAAGCCAAGGAGAGCAAGCAACAGGGCTGAAAAACCGTTTGCGGGACGACCTGTCGCTTTCTCGGCGCCCAGAGCGGCAACGCTCCAAGTGGCTGCATCCCCCACACTCGGCAATGGGCCTCCCGGAGACTTTCCTTGGTCTTGACCTTTCGTCATCAACCTGTATATGAAGTGGAAGGAAGAAGAGCCTCCAGGCTAATTGCGACGTTATATGCCCACCCTGCAGGAACCACGCCACTGGGGGGGCAAGGATTGTCGTTGCATCGAGCCAAGGGCCTACTACTCGCACCAATGCACAACTGCCGGGTCTCACCCGTGGTAGATGCTGGACCGGTTGCTATTCGCTGATGCGTATAAGAGGCGCGGTACTATGCATCCTCTGCCCCAATAGACCAATGGCCATACTGATTCGTTTGCATTGGTTCTTCTCTCTTTTTGTTCTTGTCTTTCGCGCCGCATTTCTGTGGCCGCTTTTCCCTCTTGCCATCAGCCGGTAAGAGCCGACCGTTATTGATCAACCCGCATCAGATAAATTGAAAGAAAATGCTCCGAGATGATTAAAACCAGCGCGGGGCTGACAATGCGCGCACGGGAATTGCGCGGCTATGGGGTGGCAAGGTGTGATATCACGCGCGGTAGATGGGCGTATTTTGTTGAAGGGTTGAGATTTCGTTTGTTCTGCCTCACCGTCCTTAAAGAGGACTCGCGGCCGCCGGCCGGAGCCCTGATGGTGCGGTGCTTCTCTGACGGGGGATGAGGAGTAACATGTAACCCCTGAACGGCACGATACCACTGCTTGTACAAGGATGGAAAGCTTCAGCGATATGATTGACAAGGCCGTGGCGGACGGCGACATGCCCGGAGTGGTGATGCTGGCCAAGAACAGCGAAGGTAGGCAGGCACACACTTCGATCTCCCAACCATCAGAACGAGTGGGCTCACATGCAAGATACGCACAGGGGACATGGTCTTCAAGAAAGCAAGCGGGAAGAGGAGTCTCGCCCCGGACCATGACGGACACCGCATGGACGCCTCCACCGTGTTCCGCCTGGCCTCGTCGTCAAAACTCATCACCATCATCGCCGTGCTCCAGGCCGTGGACAAAGGCCTGATCGGGCTGGACGACGACGTGTCCCCCATCCTCCCGACGCTCGCCAAGCAGGAAGTCCTCACCGGCTTCAGGTGGTACGGCAAGCCCGTCACGAAACCCCGCGAGGGCCCCATCACGCTGCGGCACCTGGTCACCAACACGGCGGGGACCGGGTACGACTTCCTCCCGATCCAGCCGCTGTGGCGCTGGCGCTGGTGGCACGGGCAGAAGATCGGAGGCAACCAGGACCGGGGCCGGGGCTGGTCGATCGACGACAGCCTCGACTACCCGTTGCTGCACGAGCCGGGCCGGGGCTGGACCTACGGCAGCGGCGCGTCGTGGGCGGGCCGGGTCCTCGAGACCCTCTCGGGCATGTCCCTGGACGACTGGATCCGGGAGCACATCAACGCGCCGCTCGGGCTGAGCACCCTCACCTTCTTCCCGCAGCGGGACCCGGCGATCGCCGCGAGGGTGGCGGCGATGAACAGGCGAGACTACTGGACGGCCAAGGTGCTCGACTGCCAGGACGAGCCGGGGGTGAACAGCTTCTCGGACGGCAGCGACGACAACAACGTCTGCCTCGGCGGCGAGGGCCTGTACTCGAGCCTGGAGGACTTCCTCGAGGTGCTCCACTCGCTGCTGGCCGACGACGAAAGGCTGCTGAGCAAGGCGCTCACGGCGGAGATGTTCTCGCCCCAAGCGCGCGAGGGCGGGGGAGGCCTGGAGGAGCTCAGACAGTGCCTGGGTTTGCCGTGCTGGATCTCGCAGGGCATCCTTAAGAAGGGCGAGTTCAACTGGGGGATCGGCGGCGTGCTTATCGACGGCGACGGCCACGACTATCTCAAGAGAGGATCTCTGATGTGGTCTGGTCTCTATCATTTGTTGTGGGTGAGTGATCCATTGCTGTTCTTGTTGCACGGAAGAGAGAGGGTTATGCTGACGTTGCCGGCCAAACAGTGGATGGACAGAGAGGCAGGCGTGTGCGGCATCTTTGGTGCCCAACTGGTACCGGCTGCAGACAAGACAGTGATCTCGACGATCAAGGCGTTCCAGAAGGAAGTCTACAGGATACTGGACCTGATGAACGACAATGGCGAGGTGAAGGACGTGGGCAAGGCCGAGCAGCAGAACGCTGGTGGACCCGGGAATGGGCCACTCGCCAAGCTGGCAAGAGCTGGTAAGGATATCACTGTGCAAGTAGGCGTGCTCGAAGTTTTGCTAACGCTCCCGATAGGAAGCGACGGGGTCCCCTCGTCATGGGCGGCTCAGTGTGACTCGAACGCCGCCTCGTCCTCAAGTCTCGTTTCGTTTCTGACATGGGTCCTGAAGCTCTGGCGCAGGGCCTGAGGTTCGTGCAAGATCACGGAACAAGAGACCGGACACTTGTAATGTAATATTCATCGTTGACGAGATCCCGAACTGCTGGACAGCCTGCCCTCGAAATTGAACCAAGTGCGCATCAAACTAGCATCGGATGGCCTTGTTCCCCATCCCTGTGATAACCCACGAAACGCCGCTCAGCATCCCTTTGTGCGTGATCGATTCTCCCTTTCCATTGTGTTTTAGTTCTTCTGTTCAGCTCCTTGAATACACCAGCCGTCGCCCAATTGGGCCTTCCCATTGCAGGGGCCATACATGAAACGCCTCAAACAACTCCAGGTCGAGATGCAGGCTACACCTGACCTGATCCCGGAGCAGAAACAGCAACCCGAACGGAACATGGTAATCAACCGCTCCCAGAAATAACAAAGAAAATACAGACGCGCTCTATTCAGTCAGGTTGTAGATCTTCTGGATGCTCTTGAGCATGGACTCGAAGTCGATGTTGAGATCCTTGAGGCGGCCGTCCTGGAAGCCAAAGACCCAGCCGTGGACGATGGGGAAGTGGTTCTGCGCAAAGGATTTCTGTACCGCCGCAGTCTTAATGACGTTCCGGCACTGCTCCATGACGTTGAGCTCCACGAGCCTGTCGTAGCGGGCGGCCTCGTCGGCGATGGCGTCGAGCTCGTCCTCGTGCAGGCGGTAGACGTCGCGGATGTTGCGCAGCCAGGGGTTGAGCAGGCCGAGGTCCTTGGCGGTCATGGCGGCCTTGACGCCGCCGCAGCCGTAGTGGCCGCAGACGACGATGTGCTTGACCTGCAGGTGGCGGACGGCGTAGTTGATGACGCTCATGACGTTGAGGTCGACGTTGCAGACGAGGTTGGCGATGTTGCGGTGGATGAAGGCCTCGCCGGGCTCGAGGCCCGTGATCTGCTCGGCGGGGATGCGCGAGTCGCTGCAGCCGATCCACAGGTACTCGGGCGTCTGGCCGGCCGCCAGCTTGGCGAAGAACTCGGGGTCCTTGGCCTTCTTCTCCTCGGCCCAGGCCCGGTTGTTCTCAAAGACGCGGTCGTGCGACTGCTTGAGGTAGCGGGTGATGTCCTCCTCGGCCATGGTGCGCCAGTCGCCGCTCTTGCTCGGCTTGGGGGCTTGAGGGATAAAGTTGAAGCTCCGGACGGCTGGGGAGCGGGCAGCTGCGAGCAAAGCTGGGGCAGCTCGGGTCGCGCGGATGGATTGAGGAATGGATGGTCTGGCAACAGAGGACAGCAGCGGGGACCTGCAAGCGAGACGGGCAGCACTGGACATGGAGCGAGGAAGGGGTTGGTAAGTCAGAGAAGGGAAGAGGGGAAAAGAATTGGCGGGAGGAGGCGGGAATGCAGATGCGCGAGGGGCAGGTGAAGATCAAATATTGGCGGCGGCGTGTCGGTGAGAGCTACATAGGTACCTACCTCTAGAGGTACTAAGCAACGAAGTAGCCGTTGACAAGCGCGGGTGACCGATAGCAGCAAAATGCCTGCAGTAGCCTCGATTTTTTTTTTTTTGCCCGTCACGACCGACTTTGTGTGTCGAATTTGTTGAGGAAACGGATGCTCGCAATCATGGGCGGATGGGTGGATGGTGTTCATCACTCATCAGTCACGACGTCAACGGCGGCGGCGCCAATGACGGTACTGGCCTCGAGCCGCTAGTGACGCCCCGGCTTACGGAGTACGTACAGAACCGTTCAGGCGGTCCCACAGGCTAATTGCTGCATCCTGTGCTCGGGATTGTGCACTGTTGAGGGAGCTGAGAAACCAGTGGGGATTAGCGGGTGTGCATCTGCCCCTCCCCCCTGAGACCAGATCTGGCAAGGCACCAGCCCAAGCGTGACTCGTCACAATTTCGCGGCACGCCGAGAGATCTCCAGCCTGGATGGGATTCAGAGCCATCGTGCCAGTGCCAGGCCCGAGAGCTCCATTTGCTCCATTTGCGAAAATTCCCCAGTGGTGCGCGTATCCCGACCGGTGCCCCGTGGACCCGGTGTTTGCCGCCAGCCCGCAACCCTAAATACCGCGGTTGCGATGCATCTTCAGTTCACCTGCACTAGCAGAAATTTCCCTGATAATTGAAGCCAAGCCAAGGCACCAGTTGACGGGTCTTGCAACCCGATCAGCCGAGCTTCAAGGTTGTTTGCCTTGCCTGCGATTTCCAGAGCGGCGATGGGAAATAGTCAAGAAGCCGAGGGATGAGAACAAACTAGAGTTCGAAGGGAGAACAGAACTAAAGAAAAAGAGGAGGACGGACATTGAACAAAAGTCCCCTGCTGTGCCTTTGGAGATGTCCAGATTTAGTTGAAATGACGTCAAAATTTGGCCCACCCGGTCGACCCGGCCGACCGCCCGGATGCAGACCGGGCAGTCGGTTCAACTTTACATTCCCATCCACGCACGCCAGCAGCTTCAATCGCTGGTTTTGTTCCTGATGTATCAAGCAATCCGGGCAATCTGGGAGGACCAATATTTGTATTCATGCAAGACAAATGCGTGAGCAGGCCAAAGTCCTCGTAGCTGACCTGATGGTTGTTCCCGGCCGGGGGGGAGGAGGACCTGGGAGACGCGTGCCAAGCCCTGATAGGACATGTCGTATATTGAGGCATGCCGATGCTGTTGGCCCTCAAAACAAGCTCGCACCCCTGGGCAGCATAACATCCAATCGTCTCGACTTATCTGCCCACTGTACGCAGTTGGTGGTCAGCAGTGCCTTTTCTAGTGTCGAGTCTTCAGCCTTACAGCGAAGGCCTGGGAACACATTGTGGAGCAAGGATGACGAAGCCTTGATTTATGCTCTAACCTCAGCTGGAGCCGACTTGCTACTCGAACCACCCAAGCCGACAGCCCGTCGAATGCTACCCCAGCCCGTGATAATCTGGGGAAGCACCTCGAGATTCCGCCTGATCGGCATCCACCCCCACAGGGCGATGTAGCATGGCTGAGAGCGAGCCTTGGGATGACCGGAACCTTCCCTGGCATGCCTGGCATAATGGCAGTGACTTCTTGGATATAAGTCGAGGGAATATTTCCATGACCCATCGTGCGACCAGTCTGGGTCGACAACTCGAAACACCAAGCTGCTGTGTCGCTCTTCTAGGAGGATTCTATATTCTGAAAACCATCACTTAACCACGACTGAACACAATACACTGGCAAGATGGTCGTCACCACTCCCGTCTTCATCCAGACGCTGATCAACCTCGGCCCCTTGACCACAACATTCACGCCGGCCCCGTCCTGCGCCACAAAGACAGATGCAGTGTCCATCGGCATACCCTTCCCGCCTCAGGACTCCCTCGTCCCCTTTGGTTCCCCCCCGGGCAGCTGTACCAAACCTCCCGAGCTCGGCGGCTGCGTTCCCGACGGCGCCAAGATGGACGCGCAGTTCAAGGACAAGGACCCTCTCCAGTTCGTAACCACGGGCCCGGAGATCTACTACCACTCGCCCGGCGTGGCCTGCCCGTCCGGCTGGACCACCCAGGGCGCCATCACCAAGCAAGCAGACGGCAAGGTGGTCAACCCGAAGGGTATCTTCACCCCGCTCCCCATCTTCAACGCCTCGGATCCCATGACTAGGGGGAACAATGTGGTCCCGCCGGCCACCGCCCTCGTGAGCGCCCTCGACCCCGGCGAGACGGCCGCCATCTGCTGCCCCACCGGCGGCTGGTACATGGTCGTCGGGCTCGCGTGCATGTCCAAGCTGCCCGAGGACAGGTTCCCCGTGCCGACGGCGCAGTGCATGGTCGTGCCGACCGACACCGCCGGGCACAGCTCCAACGACGGCAACTACATCGACGGCAAGGTCACGACCTCGATCGTCGTCGACGGCGTCACGCACACCTCGGCCGTGCTCCTCACGCCCACGTACTCGGGCAAGGGCACCGTCACCGAGATGGCCTGGCAGCCCGGCCAGACGGACAAGCTCGCCATGATCACGGTCGTCCCGGGCGTCGTCCTGGCACAAACGCCGCTGTCGCGATGCGGCCCGGCGGCCCTGACCCTCGTTCGCTTGGCGGGCTGGCGCTCGTTGTCGCGACGGCGGTCATGGCTGGGGTTGCGGTTATGATGCCATGGTAGGGTGTCGATTCCCCGTAGAACTGTTAATATATGGGTGTGTTCTAGCTGGCTTGAAGTGCAAGGACACCTAATGAAGCAAGCGATGGTATATATCTCTCGTTCGTATTCCGACCATGACTTCATACCATTGTTATTATTTCATGAGACTTGAATGCTATATGTCATATCTGGTACATCTCATCGCCGGAGGGGAACTTGTTACCGACCCATGGGTATATCGTAACCCGCTATCAACATGCATGTGAAAAACAGCATCTCAACTCCCAAACACCACCGTTCTAAAAGTCCTTCCACGCCGCACCTCCGGGGCTCCTCCTCTCCATCCGTCGGCCACCACCACCGGCCGAGAACCGGTCTGCGTCCGCATTAGACCTCGGATCCGGACCCGCGCCTGCAGAAGCAGAAGACCCCGGCAGCGGCGACAGTCGGCGATTATTCCCCATCTGCGCGTACTCGGCCGGCGTCGGGCTAGGCTGCCTCTCGCCGCCGCCATCGCCGCGGCGCCTGTGGTCCCGGTCCCGGTCCCGGTCCCGGTCCCGGTCCCGGTCCTCAAACACGTCCCGCCCGTACCCGTCGAACCGCTCGCTGCGCTCGTGCGCGAGCCGCGCGTCGCTCTTGCCCAGCGTGCGCGCGCGGCTGCGGTCGTACTCGAGCGTCAGCGCCTCGACCTCCTCGAAGTGGCTCGCGCGCAGCTGCGGCTGGATGCGCGGGCGGCCCGCGACCTCGTAGTGCGCCAGCGACGAGGCGATCATGAAGGCGTTGCGGATCTGCCGGCCGTTCCAGCGGCCCAGGCCGTCGTGCGCCGCGTGCTTGCGGTAGTGCTGCTCCGCGAACGCCAGGATCTGGTCCTCGATGATGACGAGCGGCGGGGAGACGTCGGCCGTCGAGGCGGGCCGCGCCGCCGAGGCGGCGTGGGCCGCGCGCTGCGACTCGGAGAGCGCGAGGCGGTCCATGTTGAGGCGGAAGATCTCGAGCGTCTGGCCGAGGTCGAGCGGCCGGTAGCACAGGTTGACCTGCACGCGCGACTTGACGGCCTCGTCGAGCGCGCCGGGCCGGTTCGTGGTGAGGAAGAGGAGGCCCGAGAAGTTCTCGAGGAGCTGGAGGAAGACTGAACGAGGCCGTGATGAGTGATCCTGCGCCAAAAGAAGAGACAGGGAGTGCCAGACTTACAAGAGACCAACAGGTTGGCCTTCTGGTCGTGGACCGTGCGTTGGCTGAGGTAGACGTCCGCCTCGTCCAATAATACAATACAATCCCACATCTCGGCACGTCTGAACACACGGTGAAGCAACTCGGCCGTGTAGTCGACGTCTTCAAGGTTGAGCGAGAAGAGCGGCCGGCGGTTCGCCTGGGCCACCGCCTCCGCCGTCGCAGTCTTGCCCACACCGGGCGCACCCTGGATTAGTATGACCAGCCCTCTCCCCTTACCGCGGATGAGGTCCTGCTCCTCGATCTCGGTGAGGTCGTTGTACCTTTGACTCCGCAAGAGTGCCTTGCGCTCGGAGTGCGAGTGGATCACACTGCGGATCGTTTTCTTGTTGACCTCGTCGATCTGCAAGCGATTAAAGGCATCTGGGTCCGCGTGTATGGGGCTCAGGTTGTTGACATCGATAAGCCGGAACGACCGGAAGCGGAAGAGGTAGGCGTAGATGCGGCGTGGTAGCAGCGCGACGTCGTCCGGCTGCAGTTCAAGAGCGTCGAGCTCGTCGGGTGTAGCACCGATGAAGCGATCCTTTTTCAGGTATCGATCGAACTCAAAGCGATCGACATCATCGTTGAGCACGATCGTCTCATAATTTGACGCGATGCCTTCGTCAGGACGGGTGGCATCGGCCCACCGCTTCACGGGGTAGGGCTCGATGGTCCGCAGTGAGCGCACCTCGTGCGGCTTGGACACATGGTGAACGAAGCGCCAGTGCGGGTTGTCGTCAAGCGCCTCTTTGACGTCGACAATGACTTGCCCGATGTACTGATCTGAGTATTTGGTCGGCTCGCCGGTGTAGTCCTTGGCCTCGGACCCGTCGGGCTCATGCAACAGGATCCATCCGTTGTACTTCATGTGCTTCTGCTCGATGGATTCGAGGAACTTCTTTCCCTGCGCCTGCAGACTGCTGACTAGGCGGTCACGGTCGGGAACGAAGCGCACCGGGTAGAAGTCCAGGCTACGGATCTCGCGCTCCCCGCGGAACGGGGCGATGCCGCATTTGAACCATACCGGCTGGACACGCTCGCCGTCGAAATCGAGGTAGTACGCGGACACGACGCAGGCCCCTGGCCCGTCGTCGGCCTCGGGTGCATCTCCCTCCCTCTTGAGCGTCGTGTCGTTGTAAAATAAACCGTCGCGGACCCGGTGTTGGTGCGGCTGGACGGAGCAAACACGCCACAGCTTTTGCCGACCCGAGTCGCTGAACAGGTCGCGCCCGCGCCACGTCCCCTCGGAGACTTGGAGCTCGTTCGGGTCCGCACCCAAGTCGCCTGGGCGGTAGAGAAGCTCGCCTGGCCTGAAAAGGTACCAGAGGTCGTCAAAGCGAACAGTTTTGGTCCCGTCGCTGGTGTCTTCGAATTGCCGGTACAACGGCATGAGGGAACTCTCGACAAAGTCGACGTATGCGCGGATATCTTCAATCATGTCGATGGGGTTGATGGTCGGCGCGTCGTCATCACTGCCTCCCGGTGCTGGAGCTTCCTCGGAAGACAACTGGGATTCCAGGTGAGCAAGCTCTCGTTGCACACGCTCATGATGGTGGATGAGGTAGCCAAAGGGTCTCATGAACGTGTGACTCTTGGTTACATCCCAACAATCGCCGCTCACCGTATTCAGCAGGTCCAGTATTGCCGCTGACTGGATGCGAATGCGGTAGATCTGCGGCGGCGACGGCCTCCTGGGCATGGTGCTGGACAGCTCTTTCAGCACGGCGCCTGTTGGTTTGCCAGCGCCCCTCCGAATGGACTCGTCAAAGACCTGCAGCGACAAGTCAGGCCCGCCGACGAGCGACTCGATCGAGTACTGTGGCTCATCGGCAGAGAAGCGATTCTTGAACTGCTCCCAGTTGCATGTCCGGACGCCGGGGACGGGTTTGGCGGCAACCGGGAGCTGCCTGCTGAAAGCAGCCTGTGCCGATTCGGCATCGCTCTGCCCCATGATTTGCTTGCCCAAACCAACGAGCTCTGCTAGAGAAGCCTTTGGACTGTATTCGTCGCTGCTGCGGCCGTCGGCTTGCACCGCCGTCGTCTCAGTGGCGACCATGCCAGCGGGATCCGTCGAGTCTGCAGCACTCGCCATATTTTCTCTCTTCGGCAGACAACTCAGATCAGGATTGCGAAAGCGAGAAGGACAGCAGCAAATTGCGAACAAGCCACTGTCCACGCTTAAGACGGACTCGTAATGCTTCGCGATGACAAATCCAGTTTCGCCGCCTCTGAGAGAAGCTAAGGCTGAACAGCATCCGGATCGAAGTGATGACAGCAGATCATCGGTCAAGACTGTGGCCCATGCAATAGAAGTAAGCACAGGGTTGCCGTCAGACGTCGCGGCGCACCACCCTTGTTGCTGCGCCAGTCGAGCTGGGCCTGAACCCCGGTCTAGCCCATGGCGGTGGCCCTTTTGCTCATCTGCTGGTGTGATGTGCAGTTCTCGTCCCCCGCCACAGTAGAAACGGCCCCCAACCGAACCTAATAGCGCATATTGTTGATTCAAGCACGGTTCGCTCACAAGTGATGGTCAGATTAGTTGGCGGACTGCCAACAGAAGTACTTGTCTATGCATCCATCAAGCCCATCGGTTTTAGGGAGTGGGATAGCCCTTCCGAGGTCGAGGTCGAGGGCAAGAATATGACAATGATCTCCAAAGCTGAATGGAATCCCCGCGACTCTGCAGGACACAGCCCTCGAACCGCTGCGAATGATGGTGGAGCTAAGCTCAGTGTTTCCACTTGCGTTCCGTCTAGTGACTTAAAGGTGCAAAAGACGGGCAGTGCCGCAGTAGTCGACGTGCACGAACGCGCCAGTCGAACAGGCACCCGAGACACGTTGGCAGGAGCTTAGTTGGCGCCGGTGGCGGGGGTCTTGCAGACCAAGTACCCGCCTCGACGAACCCCCCTGTCATGCTGACATGCATCTGCTAGGGTGAGTAACCGGGCCACCCTCCTTCAAATGGAGGAGAAGAGGAGGGATACGTACATCCAGCACGTGAACCTATGAAACCTGGACAGTTGGTCCGTGAATTTCTCCTGCTTTGACAGGCGGAAACTTATTTGATTCAGACCCTGTTCCGCGATCTTGACTCCCGAAGCAGCCATGCCATCCCCGGAATCGCTCCCAAGCAAGATGCGGGAGCTGGTCTATAACGAAGACAGCCTCGAAGACTACCGGCAGTGGAGGGCCACTCAAGGCGGCGCGATGAACCCCATTATGGAGGTCGAAACCGTCTTTGATAAGCAGCGGGCCGAATTTGTCAGGCCGCGACCAAGCAGGTACGCCTTACTGGGTATTGCTCGCCGAAGAAGTGTATTGTGGCTAAACGCATCGTAGAGCTCTGCAAGAATGCCTTGCATCCTTGGGCGAACCAGAGCTGGTGAGGGACATCGAGGAAGGGAAATATGGCTGGGATGTCGTCCTCCAAGCCCGCGATGCGGTCCTCGACAAAATGGACGGTGCAAGGAATGCATACAACCGAGCGGGCAAAAACCCGTTCCGGCGACTGGCGCGAGACGGAGCTACTATCGTGGCGACGCTACAACCTCTCCTGGACATGATTCCGGATGAGGACGGATTAAGTGTCTTGAAGGGAGGACTTGGTTTTATCTTCAAAGTGTGTTGACTCTGTCTTGTTACGGGATGACGCTGCTGACCAGTATACCAGATCATTGAACAACGCGATACAAACAGAGAAAAGATCTTTCGCGCTTTCGAAGATGTGCCGATGCTTCTGAGTAGGGCACAAGACGCACGCCAAAGCTTCCCCTCCGAGGGCAAGCTCTTGCTTGAAGTTCGGAGGTTTTACGAGGCCTTGCTGGACGAAATACCGCTCTTGATCGACTTGCTATTACATCGGCACAGACAGAAGTGTAAGCCAAAGTTCAATGTGTCATGGATAAGGCATTCCGGTTGGCGGGAGCTAATATTTTCTCAGTCCCACTGAGAGTCTTCAAATATCTACCGGAACAAGAAGCTAAGGATATTGATGACTCGATACATCGGGTGAACGTGGCTTCACGCTCTCTGGACAACTGCATCACCTCTATCAGTAACAAGACGCTTTCGGCAACATATCAAAGCGCAAAAGAGAATCTACGACAAACCCAAGCGGTGCGGCGAACTGTGCACACAAACAATTATAGGTTGAGCCAGATTGAGGAGCAGGGGAATGACGTCAAGACTCAGCTCAGTGATGTGCAGAAGTCGGTGGTGAAGACGTCGCAAGAGCTCAGCGAGGTCAAGGAACTCATTCGAGACCAATTCAGTGCCGTCGCAGACACTGCCTCGCCCAAGATCGTGTCACAGATTCAAACATATGTGTACTATGTCGTTGTGGAGAACGATTATGCACGAGGCATGTATTGTATTGTCTCCTTCCTGAGTTGGTTATACTGACAAGATCCAGGTGTGACGGGCGTTCCGCCACCATATACTCCTAGCCCACTCCTGCCAGCTACCTTTCTCATGACAACGGATCAACTTCTGAACGAACTAAATGTAACCCCCCTAGGTCCTACCGAGGACTTGCAAACCGTACTGGCCCAGAGCAAAAGCATGGAGATAGAAGCGCTGGGGAGAGGCCGGTGGCTCATGGTCGAAGAGGGCTTCAAGAAGTGGCTGTCTCCCGGGCAAACCGAATGTCTGCTCGTTGACGGACATTGTAATGGACTGAGCATCCGCCGCTGTTCCCCGCTATCCGTATTCTGCGCCTCTTTAACGGTTGCCATGGCCCGAGCACCCTCGACCGTGTCTCTCGCGTACTTTTGCGGCGAGCATTTCGCGGATGACGACGACCTCGCGGGCCCGGCAGGCATCCTCCGCAGCTTGGTCACCCAGTTGCTTCAATATCCAGACCTACCAGAACCGCACCTTGAATTCATCGACCCAGACTTCTTCAAGCGCATCTCGGGGTACAACGTGTCCTCGTTATGCACCCTCCTCCATCTACTAATCAGGCAGATTGAGCGCGGCACGACTGTCTACTGCATGATCGACAACATCTCCGAGCTGGAGGGTACCTTCAATGAGTGGGCAGATGACTCGCAGCTCATGGTCGAAGGACTCTTGGACATAGTCGAGGATCCGCGCGTGCATGCCACGTTCAAGCTCCTGATGACCTGTGAGATAAGGAGCACGGAAGTGATGAACTACATAGCCGCGGACAACCACGTGGCTCTGAGAGCGGGAAACATACACAGTCGACCCATGATGCTGACAGCTTTCTCTGATGACCTGCTGGATACCGTGGGGCCTGATGGCCGCCGACATGATGATTTTGATGGTGACGGGCCTGCGAGCCCGGGATCGAGTCCCATCCGGCCCAAGAGTGCTGCCGAGTGAGGAAGGGGAGTCTGGGCTTGCATCTTTTACAGCTGTATATAGAAGGAAAGTTACGACAGGATACCCAAGCAATATCATGATTTATGCACTCGTTTCACTCTTTTCATCAAATAAGAAGTACCCACCCTGCTCTTCTTGATTTCCTATGTTATGCACCTGGTGTGGCAGCAATTCTCGAGCTAAGGCATGTGCAAAAGACGAAGCTTCAGTGAAAGACACTCAAGACCTGTTCAAGTGAACGCTGACGTGACTCAACAACAACTTTTTCTTAGGATAATCGAATAGGCTCTACTCTACTACTAGACGCCTAGCTGGTTTGCATCACGTCAGTCATCAGGATCAGTCAGCGGCTCGTTTGACATTGATATGATCCGCGCTCTGAGATCCGGCTCCTTTTCAAACTTCTTGTCGAACGGCCACATCGGCCTCCTGATGTGGTGGTGCCCGAGGCGCTCGATATCCTGATCGACACCTCCCGGCGTCAAGCCCAGCATCCAGTCTGCAGCCATGTTATGCAGCTCCGGCTCCAGGTAGCCGATTTTGACAATGACAATGTCTGCTTCGCGCGGCTTCAGGTTGAGATCGGTAAAGTCATGCTCCTTGTGGTACGGTTTGCGTAACCGAGTCAGGATGGCATAGACGCTACCGACCTGGATGACTACTTCTACCTCTGCGTTCTTGTCGCCAAACTTGATGGCGTGAACCCTGCCGGTCATGGTAATGGGCCCGGAATGAACATGGTCGACCTCGGCACCAGCTGTGACTGTGACGGTGGCACCAACACCCGCCTGCACAGCCGTCTCAACTGCTTTGGGCCCGGGCACGCTTGCGTAGATGACGGTCGGCCCCGAGGGATCCTTGAACTCTGGTCGTTCCAGCAGCCTCGTCAGGCCCCAGGTCATGTCGCCAGAGCCGCCGGCAGTGGGGTTGTCGCCCGAGTCGGAGATGAAGAACGGCCGGGCCTTGGACTTGAGCGCCGCGCCGATGCACTCCTTGAACGAGCCCGCCTTGCCCACAAAAGCAAAGTCGGCATGTGCGTCCCAGAACAGTCTGGCCAGCTTCTCCGCGCCCGCGGCGACGGCCCTCTGCTCCCAGCCCGTGGCCATCACGATGGCTCTGTTACGCCGCTCATCTGCCCAGGCATAGCCTACCCATATGGCGGCGTCCAGAACGCCCTCCGTGTCCTCGACCCCGTCCACGGCGGCGTAGATGTGCTTCGCCGGCTCCACGCGGGTCGAGGTCTGCTCGCCGGGCAGCAGGATGGGCAGGGGGATCCAGGCCTTGATCGGGCGCCGCTGGTCGCGCACCCGCTCGTTCAGCACGTCCACGAGGTTGCGGCACGCGCGCTCCTTGGTGATGAGGTGGTCCTCGTGCGGGGCCATGCGGTAGCAGGTGATGAGGTCGGTCTGGTGGGCGAGCTCGCGCGACACGTTGCCGTGCAGGTCCATCGACGCGGACACGATGGTGTCCTGGCCGACGACGCCGCGGACGCGGCGCAACAGCTCGGCCTCGGCGTCCTGCATGTCCTCGACGACCATGGCGCCGTGGATGTCGAACCACAGGCCGTCGAGGCTAGGCACGTTGGCGACGATGTCCGTCAGCCGCCGGACGATCTCCCCGGCGAGCTCCTCGAAGGCGGCGCGGGCGACGACACCGCCGGGCATGGCATGGCCGATGAGGGCGCCGTGCCACTCGGCTGCGTCGCCGAGGGGTTCGCCGGGCGTGAGGAAGGGGTAGGCCCTGGTGATGATCTCGTCGCCGCGAACGGGGTGGAATGCGGGGGCCAGGGTCCGGGTCGGGGTGTAGGTGGAGGTCTCGCACGCCAAGCCGGCGATGGCGATGACGGGCTTGTAGGGGTCGGCCATGGCTTTGATGCTAAGATGAAGGGAGAGGGATGAGGTGGATTGGATCGTGGGCATGGTCACCACCTGCCGCCGCTGGCAGTCAATGGGCAAATGAGGGGTCTCAGCGAGATGCCCGACTTAACAAGCCGCAAGCGGCACTTCGCACTTGCCATGCCACCCGCACTCGATGGGAATCATACAAGCCAGCAATTGACAGTCTCCGGTCTGGTGGTAAGATCGTTGCTCAATCTAGGCCTGTTACGGCAGCTCGACATGAGAAGAATGGGGTCGCTCGAAATGCACTGAAGACAGAAGTGATAGGCAAAATGGCCAGGGTTAGTTGACTAGAGCATACGGAGGCAATGGAGGATCCATCATTACAGGGGTTCCAAGCACTAAAACAACGGTATCCATAGCCACGCCCTCGTTGTTGCCTACCTATGCCTAGATGTGCGGCTCGTTTTGCTTCGCGATAGCATCACGCGAGTGGAACTTTCTTCCTCTTGATATAGGCCCCAGCTCCAATATGCCCACGAGAGTCCAGGACCAAAGCTTCCGAGGTGTGAATTTGGGTACGTGTCTGCCTAGCCTCGACATACGTTGACAACCAATCCCTTTTCAGGGTCCTAGCCGAGATTGCGGAAATGCGGAAAACGGGGCATCATCTTGGCAGTCGTGTGGGAAAAAAGGTGATATTTCAACAAGCAAGGAGCCAACTCGTAGTGCCAAAGATGTTTTCTATCTAAGCTTTGTGGAGATGGACGCTTGAACATCGCTTCCAGGATATATCCAGTTTGTTGCTTACGACTGCCAGTCGCAGAGTTCGGAACCGCAAAGATGTCGTCTTTCCCGGGGAGCGACGACGACGATGAAGTATTCGACGCAGTCCTGGGGCGCATGCTTCTAGAGGCTTTCATAAACTCAAGCCTGAGCCAGAGAACGGGGAGTTCCCTCCGGGACCGAGGCAACATTCCCTCACCGTTGAAGGAAGACATGAGCTCCGGTCACAGCAGTACTCAACCGGACAAGCTATGGATCGTCGATAGGGCTCTAGAGCCGCAAACCTTGCCGCACTTTTTCGAAGCGGTCTGCATGCGCAAGTTTCCCGATGGACAGGCCTGCGAGATACCATGCCCCACCGCCCAAGAAATGGTCTTGTTATCCCAGCCCTACACGGACTGGGCTCCAGCTCCGTACAACGCCCTCGAGGGCGCCGGGATGGATCGCCTGATGGCTCGAGTAGCATCTTTTCGGTATCAAACAAACCTCTTCACCGTGTCCAGCACCCTCCATGCCATGAAATCGAGGCTCTGGGAAGGCCTCGTGCCTTTATCCAGTAAACAGTGGGTAAAGAAAGGGCTGGATCGTCCCGAGAACTTCGCCGAGGCTTGCCAGTACATCAGCTGGGTCATCAAAGTCTTTCAATACCTGAACCATCCCAGGGTAGCTACCGGAATGCGCAATACCTTCAACAGCATACACGAAGAACTCAAGAAATTTGAAGATGCCATCAATGCTCATCGCCGTCAAAGGGGTAGCGAGGCGGATGTGCAGATACGGGCTGCGTGGACCGCGTACATCAGGGCGCACTTCGACTACATCACGAGTACAGCACATACGTGGGTTCTGGATCGCATTCATCGCCTGCGTATCCCCATCATGGAGGATATCCGGAACCACACCACTTCTACTCCGGATGGTCTCGATGACAGAATCTGGGAATTAACAAACAAGCTCCACGACCTGGGCGAGAACGCATCGCTGGCGGATCTCAACATTATGCTCCTGATGCGGGGGTACAACGGTGTGCCAGCACTTGACGACCCTGACGATCTCTACGGCGACCCTCCCCCTAACACACCTCTCTCGGGTGCTCACCCAAACGCCCAAAAGAGAGCAGAACTGTACCACCTGCGCCTCCGGTACCTGACGCGCTTAGAGCAGCAGGGCGGAGACAGTGGCATGAGTGCTTTCCAGAGCATGTTGCCTACTATGAACGCCACTGGCACGTCAGACGTGGTTCGCACGCTTGAAGCACAGATTAGAGGGCAGGCGCAGGCGCGTCTCGAGCTTCGTGGCGGGCAACGGCCGCCGAAAGTCCCCTTCTGGATTGATGAGCTGCGGCGGCAGATGAAGCATGGCAATTTCCAGTGGGCTTATGTCGGTTACCGGGCATCTCACCTTTGCTCGGATGAGGAGTGGGAGGAGTTCAAGAAAAGGTTTGATGCACATCAGAAGGATTGGGGCGTCGAGCTCGGCGATATCGAAGATATCCGCGCGGTTTCTAAAGTACACTGGCTGGACACCAAGACACTAGGCGTCGATGGTGAGGACCTTGATTCTCTGAAGAAGTGAGAATCCCCTTGCCATGAGCTTGTGTGTCAACGATACTGACCGCAACAGACACTTCAAAGAGTACGTAAAGAGTCCGGATGCTCCGCCGCAGATCTATGACGATATGTTCCTAGTGGCCGACCAAGTGAGCATCAATTCATACCTCAGACCGGTGCCTGAGCAGGAGGGGTTCGTCCTGGCCATTGATGTCGATTTCTATCCCACCGACATGGACAGGCCCGAAGAGTCGCCTGGGTATGACGGAACGCTCAGGATCCTCCCGAGCTTGCTATGGGATGACATCAACCCGATGATCCTGTTACAGACACAACATCTCAGAGATTTGTGGCCTTTGGCGATGCTCCACCCTTTGCATGTGTACTCCGGTCCCGTGATGCCCGCCTCACGGAACAAGTGGGAGGCCTTAGCAAGAGCGAGAAAGATCTTGTTTGCGAGCGCAGACAAGTGGAGGGAACTTTGTGGTGCCGGCAGAGAGACTGCCTCGTAGGTTCCACGAATAGGATGAGCTGTAGTCCATACCTTAGCGATGCTGGTTGCCATTCAAGCGGGGTCAGAATAGTCGATGGAAGTTCAGCAAGAGATACCTCAATGTTAACAATGCATTCCCTTGCTCTAGAACTCGGAACGGCTATCCCGCTACCTAAAATTGATTGGTGCTAATAGCTAGTAGTCAAGTACCTAGGTACTTTTGTCAACAGCCTGTCAACTCATCTGAACATCACTGGCCATTCTACAGTCATAGTCATAGTCTAGATGTTCCAGTTCCAATATGTATATAAGGAGGGCTCCTACTGCGAGATACAACACCCCAATTGAAGTGGAGCCAGCCCAGTGGGTTGGTTCAATGTTCCTCATTGTCGCGACCGCCTTCAACCTCAGTGCGCGCCATCCACCATTTCATCATCATCCTGCTTTCACTTTATTCTGGACTAGAAAAAACCCATATGGCGTCGCTCCTCCGGCGCATACCTTGGAGCGGCCGGGCGTGGAAGCCTCTCAGTTTCTCGAATACCAATTTCCCGCGGCTCCCAACACAGCAGAGGATAGAAGAAGAGCTGTTCCCAGATTACGTTGCCTCACGTTACTACCCAGTCCGCATCGGTGAGATTCTCAAAGACCGGTATCAAATTGTCGGCAAGCTGGGATTTGGAGCTAGTTCAACCGTCTGGCTCGCGCGTGACCTTGAGTAAGATGCTATTTATGCCCTCATTGCACTGCAATACTTTATCGCTGACAGAATGAACAGTGGTCGCCGACACGTCGCATTGAAGCTCTATGTTCACTCAGGTTCTATGGGTAAACAATTGGATCATGAATTTTTAATGTACAAGCGCATATCCGGGTCTCCGGCAAGGCATCCCGGCCGCAATGGCATCAGAGAACTTTTGGACTCCTTCGATGTTGTCGGGCCCGACGGAAGCCACCGATGCCTGGTACATCCGCCTCTGTGGGAGAGCGTTCTGGCATTCCTCCACCGCAACCCAGTGAAAAGGCTGCCCGCGCTAGTCCTGGCTTTCATTCTGCATCGCCTCTTTCTTGCTCTGGACTTCCTGCACACAGAATGCCAGATTATTCACACCGGTATGAACCATTTTCCTTCCATCTCCCATTGTGCAGGCCTTTCATAGCGCACTCACTGACTTTCTGACCACAGATATCAAAGCTGATAACATAATGTTCGGAATAGAGGACGAGTCAGTCTTCCGTACCTTCGAGGAGCAAGAACTTGTCGATCCATCGCCGCGGAAAATTGTTCACGACAGAGTCGTATATCTGTCGCGCGAGCTCCAGATGCCAAAGAACTGGGCCGCACCGGTTCTGTGCGACTTTGGTTCGGCTGTGGTCGGGAATCAAGAGCATACCGAAGATGTGCAGCCCGATATATATCGAGCGCCGGAGGTCATACTGGAAGCACCGTGGTCTTATCAGATTGACATCTGGAACACGGGTTGTATGGTGAGAACTTTCAGTGTATTGTGGCATTCCGAGAGTGTCGAACTGACCCGAGCACGCGCTCTCTTCATCAGATCTGGGATCTCTTTGAAGGTGGCCACCTATTTACGGGGTATGATCCAGAGCACCAGACCTATCGAAGTCGGGCACACCTTGCCGAGATGATCGCACTGCTGGGGAGCCCCCCGAAGACGCTTCTCCGTTCAGCAAAGTCTTCCCAGAAGTTCTTTAGCGAATCAGGTATGCTCCGGATGATTTGTGAAAGGTTCAGTCAGGTGTTAATATGTTCCCTTAGGAGACTTTCGTGCCGACATACCACTCCCTGATCATGTGTCGCTTTCGGACAAGGAGACGAGCTTGGAAGGAGAAAGCCAACAGAAGTTCCTGGCCATGATGGGAGAAATGTTGCAATGGAACCCTTTGAATCGTGCGTCGGCTAAAACGTTGGCAGAAAGCGAGTGGATTAAAGAGAATATGTAGCTCGCTTGAAGGCATCATGTCAAAGTTGTCACAAACCAGATCTCCAGCAGTGGTTGAAGGAGGGTAGACTTTCCAAGGAAAAATCCGGCAGGATAGAGTTTGGCCTGTATATGTATATATTTCTCTCCAAGCCGCGAAGCAAATAATTACTGGGCAATGTTGATAGAGGGAGAATAGGGATCTACATGTAACTGGAGTACAACCTTCAGTCTCATCTTTCACGTCATACCAGTAGACCCATTTCAGACGAGACCCGCCACTGATAGTTCATGGTGAAAATCGCCTTCGATCGAATAATAAGTCTAGCTACCTTGCTGCTGTTATGTCCAGCTCCAAAATAATAACCGTGTGGATCCGAATGCAAATTGAGCAAGAAAGCTATGCAATGAAAGAATAATGTTCTGTCTCAGAGCGACAGATATTAGGAAATCGACACAAAACAATCGCAATGATAGTTTCCTTCCGTCATGGTCTCCTGCTCATCCCACGTGTCGACTCAAATCTCGTCACCAGTGCCCTCCTCAATGACAATCTCGACCTTGGCGGCAGGTTCCTTCTTAGCCGGGGTCTTGCGCTTTCTGGGGCTCTCCTCCTTGGGCTCCTTCTCCTTGGGATCCTTCTCCTTGGGCTCCTTCTCCTTCTTGACGCGCTTCTTGGCGCTGCCGGGGGTGGCGCCAGCGGCTTTGCGCTTGGGGGTGGAAACCGGAGTAGCCTTGGCCGGGGTGTCACCGGCGGCGCCGGCAGCGGCAGTGCCAGCGGAATCCTTATCACCAGCCTCACCGGCCGCGGGATCGCCGCTGGGGTTCATCAGGCCGCGGAACTTTCGGAGGACATTGTGCGAGTTGGCTCGCGCCGAGTTGGCATTGGCGTATCCGCCATGGAAGGCGAGCCGCTCGGGATCGATCTGTGTCCAGGTGAGGATGGAATTAGTATTGAGAAACGGTAGGATGAGTGGGAGCGAAACGGTTTTTTTGTTGGCTAGGGTGTACTCACGATGATCTCACCCCCCTTGAGGGAGAGGAGAAGCGCGGTTCCGAGAAGCAACTCGTTGATGGTGAAATCGTGGGGGTTTTTCTTGCCCTTGATGTTCTCGGCGGTCGGGTTCTTTTCACCCTTGTCGGCCTTGTCGATCACCTTGGCCTTGTCGCCCTTCTCAGGGGTCTTGCTGTGGTCTGGGGTAGCAGGAGACATCGTTGCTAGGACTTGATTGCAAGATGAGGTTGGGTTGTGGGAAAGGAATCGTGAGGATAATTTTCCAGAATGATTGAGGAATGTGGTTAGCTGAAGGGGTATCGGCAGCTTAGCTGGTATTGATCGAGAGGTGGATGAAGATGGAAAAGGAGGAAATGGGAAATGGGCTGGCCTTTTTGAATGCGTTGGTGTCAAGGTGAAGAGTAAGGTGAGAACAAGTTGGGTCCTGATGTAACTCTCAAAATTCAGGCCGCAGATAGCTTGACTGTTGAGCGGGAAAACAAAGCAAACCAGCTAGCAAAGCTCTTAGCTGAGTGAATGGGGAAATAAATTCCGAACTCCTCAGGCACCCCTTGCTTGAGCTCAGGAATTTCAAAGGTCAGTGGAGTATGAAAACCAAAGCCTACTCTTTACTTTGCGATGCAATCTGGCATCAGGATCCTCTACATGGAAACATGTGACTCAGTTCGCCTATCAGAAGCTTAACTTACGGTTTAGGATCACAGTATGCAAACTGACGCCGATGTGTTTGAACTTAATTGTCGTGCGTGGAATGACCCCCGTTGCTGTGAATTTTACATCCAAGAAACTTCGTAAAACTAAGACGCCCCTCAGTTGGCATAGTAATGAAAAGCGTAAGGGAGAACCTGACCAACCGGGCGCCTATATTCTGTGGCTAGCTTAGCACCTCCGAGAAACTTAGTATATAGGCTGCAGTGCCTTTCCTGACGGTTCTAATCTCGTCAAGAAGGAGGCCAGTAAAGTTGACATCAGCATCTCCTTGAACCCTTGATACCTCATTAGTTTCTGGGGCATCAGCTTGTCCATAATCGGTTTAATCAATTTAGTCACAAGGGGGTGCACACACGTGACTGTTTGCTAACGACTTTAGTGAACCCGCTAGGTTGGTATCTATAGCCGCTTATCTCGACGACAACCCCCGACTCATTGCGTCCTCTATCATTTCTTCTCCTATTGCACCTGCGTGGCTTGAAGTCATCGTCTCTCTTACTCCCAAGGCATTTGTCGCTCGTGACAAAGCCACTTGTGGGAATGCAGTATGGGTAGTTCCCCGCGCATTCGTCGCGCTCGCACTGGCTGCCGCAACTGCAAACGTAAGTCGCCGCTCGTCGTTCTATTGCCGGCAAGTACAACCAACAAGGCATGCTAATACTGTTGCTGTGTATCAGAGCGTAGACGGAAGTGCACGGGTAAGTTGTCTTGATCGAAGTTCTGCCGAGGAAAAGAGTGCTCATTCATGCCATCCCCGCTTTTAGAGGAGAAGCCTCAATGTCTTCCTTGCCAGAAACGGGGCCTCACTTGCGAGTACGGCCAGCCGCTCACCTGGGCAAGTGAAGTAGTGGATATTTTCGAGGTGGACGACCTGGTCTGGACTCAACTTCCTAAACAGCCAGCAACGTGGACAAATGGCCGAGATCTTATTCACGACGGCGAAGACCTCGAAGACGCAGGCGACCAGGTCCACTTTGTCAATGTTTCACCCGAAGAGATATCTGCTCTTTTACATGTGGCTGATGGAGAGAGCCCTTCGGATATGCCTGTCGTTGAGTACCCTCCCCACCAGGCTGTCCATCGGGCCCCTCGTTTGCTGCAATCCCGCTCCGGGTTCGATTTGATGCTTGGGGATCACGACTCATCGTCACTTATGCTCTTGGACTATTGTATTTCACTTCCAATAGCCCCTCTTACTGAACCATTTTGTACTAATTGCATGTAGATACCAACAACTGGTGCCGTAGAAAGGTCATCGTTGACGGTCCCGACAATGGCTACAGGCAACTGGTCCTCCCGGTATTGCCGGGTTCTTCAAGTCTGAAGCACGCCATCCTCGCCCTCGCGGCATTCGACTATCCGCAGCAGGATGGCGGGCCTGGGTTCCGTGCCATAGCTCTTCGGCACAAATCTCAATGCTTGCGGTTGCTGCAACAGAACATCCAGAAACTCCTCGCACCTTCTGCCGCCGATGTGTCACCGGGGGACAGCTCCCCGAGCGCCGACTTCCACGAGACTGTGCTCACGACGCTGATCATGTGCATATCAGAAATCACGACCGGCAGCACAAAAGAGTGGGTGACATACCTCCGTGGTGCCTCGGCGCTATTTGAAGCCGTGGGTCGCCGGCCGAGTGCACTGGACCACCGCCTAGTACAATTCGCCCGCCAGTACTTCCTAATCAGGGATGTGTTTTCCTGCACGGCTCTACACAACGAGTCTTACTTCGCGGAGCAGCGAAGGGAAGCCACCGCTTTGTGGGCGGATCTGCTGAAGGGTGTATCTTCCGAACCGAACGTCGGGTCGGAGATTAGTGTTTATGTTGGGTGCTCCGAGCGCCTGGTGGCCATCATCTCTTCCATCACAGCCCTCGCGAGGCGCAAGGCAAAGTCTCGAAAGGCAGCGAGCGGGGCCTCGCTAGCTCAAGAGCAGGAGTTTCTTGCCGAGGCGAATGCGCTGCAGTGCCGACTCGACCAGCTACGAGAAGAATGCCTTGGTCCCGAGGGGCCATTCACCGTTGGTGACGACGGCGAGGACGATACGTTTACATTGAATGTCGACGACAGCCACGATCCCCGTCGGGTCGTTCTATTCTCGCTGCTTTTCAAAAGAGCTGCACAACTGTACTTGCGACACGCAGGCTTCGATATTCCTGTCACGCATCCAAGCATCCAGCAGGTCTTGCTACCTTCCCTACTAAAGCTCTTTCAACATGTCGAGGTGCCTGAGCGAGAGGTCTATCCTATGTGGCCTCTCTTCATCGCATCCTGCATGGCTGTGACGGAGAAGGACAGGCGGACGGTGCTAGACCAGTTCGGAAAGCTGCGTCAGGTATGGACACTTGGGAACATCGGTGTGACTGAAAGCTCGGTACATTGGGTTTGGAAGTGGCACGATATTGCCTTGGACGGTCGGGTATCAGGCTCCACCATGCCTACCCCAAGGACTGAAGATGGTTCCAGCAACAATACGCAGCTGGCCATTAGGACCAAGGGCACTTCGTCCAGTGTTGATTGGGACGCACCACTTCGGCGACTGGGTTGGCGGATTTCGTTGACTTGAAGCAAGAAGGGACAACTTCCCCTCGCTACACCTTGTGATTAATTTTCTTTTCTTTTGTCTTTTCTCAGAGTTCAGGAGTTCCATGGGTCAGGGCGGGAAGCATCAGGTGGACAAGGGTCTTCTGGGAAATTGGATATCACAAAGGCGTATTTCGGTGTCCTTTGGCTTTGCGGATAATGTACATTTCAATTTGCCATGATCTAACTATTTTCCAACCCAAACTATTAATTTGACGCCGCCTGCTCGCTGGCATACGCATGCAAACTCCCATTCGCCCTCGGCACATGCGCCGCATACCCATTCGCCGCCCCGTTGGCCACCACTGCTGCCTCCTCTGTGCCGGCCTGGCCTGGCTTGCCGTAGCCGCCGCCGCCGGGTGTGCAGATCTGGATGCGGTCGCCCTTCTTGAGGTCGACCTCCTTGGTGCCGCCGACGTTGATCCAGCGCAGGCTGCCGTCCTTCATCTTGCGGCCGAGGTAGTTGACGCCGCGCTGGGCGTCCTCGCCACCGGCCATGCCGTAGGGCGCGTACACGCGGCGCTGCGTCAGGACCGAGGCGTGGATCGGCTCGGTGAACTCCATCTCGCGGATGACGCCGTTTCCGCCGCTCCAGCGGCCCTTGCCGCCTGAGTTGGGCCGCAGGCGGAACTGGTGCAGGATCACGGGGTACTGGAGAGACAGTGTTGTTAGTTTTATTTGTCACTGTGCTATAGCCTTAGGGAAGGGAGTTTGAACTTACCCTCTTCTCCAGGATCTCGGGGTCCGTGATCTTGGTATTGGTCATGTGCACCTGGCTGCCGCTGTAACCGTGCCAGCCCTCGCCAGCTCCGACGCCGCCGGCAATCGTCTCGCCGTATCCGAAGCCAGGAATGAACTTGCCGCTCGCCTTGTCGTAGCCGCCGCTACCAAAGGACAGGATGTTCATGCAGCCGTGGCTAGCGCCGGAGGCCTGGAAGGCCTTGAACACGACATCGGTGATGCGCTGGGATGTGCAGCCGTTGCCGGCGCACACGGCGGCATTGGCAGAGGGGTTGAGCAGGGTTCCTTCGGGGACGATGACGGTGACGGGCTCGAGACAGCCTGCGTTTCGGACGGTATAGGTTAGTAACGAACTCACCATGTTTAACCTCGGAACGAGGGAATAGAGTCCAACTTACCTTCGTTGAGGGGAATATCTGTGCCGATGAGACAACGTAGACAGTAGAGAATTGCAGAGTAGGTGATGGCGATAGGGGCGTTGAGGCAGTTGAAGGCTTCCAGACCCGTGCCAGTGAAGTCGAACGTCGCAGTACCCTCCTTTTCGTCAATCGTGATAGAGAGAGCGATAGGGCTGCCGTCATCCATGTAATCTACGGCGGTAAGGGGCATCTGGCCGGCGTACTTCTTAGCCGTCGTCCGCAGGAGCTCGCGGACAGCTGCCGCGGCGGTAGTCTTGACCGCCCGCATGTAGAATAGAACAGTGTCTCGGTCGTACTCCTCGAACAGGCCGTGGATCAGATTGATGCCCTTCTGATTAGCCGCGATCTGTGCCTTGAGGTCGGCAATGTTGTCGTGAACGCGTCGCGATGGGCTGCATCCGGGGTACGAGCCAGGCACGTCGAGGAAGTGGTGCTTGACGCCGGCATCGTCGAAGTGGCCCTTGGCAACGATCTTCCACTGCTCAAAGGCAGCGCCCTCCTGGTACAACTCAACCGAGTCCGAAGGCATGGAGCCGGGGGCAATGCCGCCAATCTCGGCGTGGTGCGCGCGGGCCGCGACAAAGAAGTCGACGTGGGTGTTGGTCTTGTCGAAGACGGGCGAGATCAGGGTAATATCTGGAAGATGGGTACCTCCAGCAACGGGGTGGTTCGTGGCGACGATATCACCGGGGTGCAGGTCGCCCTTCCAGCGGTTCATGGCAATCTTGACGGCACGCGACATACTGCCCAGATGGACAGGGACGTGGGGCGCGTTGGCCGTCAAGGCACCGCCGCCATCGAAGAGGGCGCACGAGAAGTCGAGCCGCTCCTTGACGTTGGTGCTGATGGCGATCTTTTGTAGGGTGCGTCCCATGTCCTCGGCGATGCTCATGAAGCGGTTACCAAAGACGGCGAGCTGGATCGGGTCGACGACACGCGAGTCGACCGACTTCTTGTTGTTGAGGACCAGATCAATAACGATGTGGCGGGCGAGGACGGTGGCGGTGGCGGAGGGGGCCACGAGGATGGTCTGCGTGCTGTCGATAATTAGGGCTGGGCCGTCGACGACGGATCCGGGAGTCAGATCGCCGAGGAAGTAGCTTGGTGTGGGTTTCCAGCCCCCCTCGAAGTAGACATCCCTGAACTGAGTCTTGTCGGTGTTGACGACTGGCTTCTTCTCCAGCGCCTGCAAGTCCTTGATGAAAGATCTTTCGTCGACACGGTGGGCATAGCCGCTGGCACGCACCCGGATGTCGTCTACGATGATCTTACGCGTCTCGTTGATGAAGCTGAACTCGCGCATGTGCGTGCGAGTAAAGTTGGAAATGTATCCACCCTCCTCGTCGGCGATCATGAGCTGACTGTCAGAGCCCTGGTAGCGCATGTTGAGGAACCTCTCGATCTTGATCGCGTTTTCGTCGATTCCTTGCGCCAACAAGGCATCGTGGGCTTGCTTTTCGAGCCCCTCGAGGCGCTCGGAGAAGAATGCTGCGGTGGACTCCTCGTAAGCCTTCGAGGCGGGCTCTTGCCGCTCCTCGACGACATCGGCTAATGCCATGCCGTACGCAGAGAGAATTGATGAGTACTGGTGAACGATGACTCGTGAGATGGAAAGAGACTGGGCGATGTCGCAAGCATGTTCTGTTGTCCATTATTAGCTTTCGTCGAGCACAATGAAATCCGTGGACACGATGAACTTACGGCCACCAGCACCACCAAAGCTGGCAAGGTTGTGGGCGGAAGCATCATAGCCTCGAGCTTCGGTGAGCGCGCGAATGGGTTTGGACATGTTCACATTGGCCACTTGCAGGAAGCCAAGGGCTACCTCCTCTACTGTCATCGCGGGGCGGGTGCCCTTGATGCTCTCGTTGATAGTGTTTGTCAGCTCGACGAACTTCTTGCGGGTGATGTCTACTCCCAGGGCCTCGTCTTCGTTGGGACCAAAGATCTTGGGGAACGTCTCGGGCAACAGCCGGCCAAGGACGAGGTTGGCGTCGGTGACAGTCAACGGACCGCCCTTCCTATAACAGGCTGGGCCGGGGTGCGCACTGGCCGACTCGGGACCGACAACGAAGACGCCGTTGCGGAAGAAGAGGATGGATCCACCACCCGCGGCGACGGTGTTCACGTCCAATTGCGGGCAGCTGATGTGCACGCCGGCAGTGACCGAGTTGGTGATATGGTCATAAGTACCGCCGAATCGGGAGACATCTGTTGATGTGCCACCCATGTCGAATCCGATGACGGGCTTGGGGTCGTTAGAGTCATAGCTAGTACGAGCGTAGCCAACGACACCACCAGCAGGGCCAGATAAGATAGCCCGGAGGCCGCTGAACTTCCGATAGTCGACGAGGCCACCGTCGGACTGCATGAACTCAATTCTAGTGTGCTCTTCCGAACCTGCCTTGAAGCCCTTCATGAAGCCGTCAAGGTACTTCTTGGTTTCGGGAGTGAGATATGCATCTGCGGTGGTGGAGTGGCCACGGTGGACGAGCTTGATCACGGGCAAGAGGTCATGAGACAAGGAGATGCTGGTGAAGCCAATGGCAGCGGCAATCTCGCCGATCTGACGTTCATGTTCTAGTACTTGTGTTAGTATCGAGAGTATACAGCAGCAGACGGGGATCATTTACCTTGGAAGTTGTAGCCATGTATCAGACAAACTGCCAAGCTCCTAATACCTTCGGCATACAGCGCCTCGAGCTGTGCCGTGACGGAAGCCACATCTGGTCTGTTGTCAGCGAATGACCACGTTACATTAGATCTCAGGACGAATACCTACCTAATGGCTTAACAATTCGGACAACTTCGCCTGTCACTCCCAACTTGAGGTCGTTGCCATTCACCAACTCGGTGAAGTCGCGTTCCAGAGGATCTTCGGTAAACGATTCCACTGTGACACGCTCCTCGACCTCTACAACTCTCTCGTACAGCTCACTCGGTTTCCTTACGTTCAGGTCGAACAGATTCGGTCTTGACTGGTCGCCAATGACCATCAAATCGCCGAAGCCCTTGGTAATGAGCAGGGCACACCTCGTACCCTTGCGTTCAAGCAAAGCATTGGTGGCGACAGTCGTGCCCATGCGGATAGAGGCAACATCTGAAGTGTCCAGGGGCTCACCACGGGGTATCTCCGTACCCCTGACGGTGGACAGCACTCGCCTGATGCCCTCGATAGTAGCATCGGGATAGTGAGCAGGGTCGACCGACAGTAACTTGAAGTACAGGTCGGGTCTACCTGGGATGATGGCCAGCACATCTGTGAATGTGCCTCCACGATCTGTTTGCAAGTTGAGAAAGGTTAGAAACGGTAACGGGTCTGTGTCTATCATGGGGCAAGGTACGCACCGATAGCGATCGTGATGCCAGCTCCTTTCGTCTTCATCTTTGTGTGATCTGTGTGCGACTGGGTCTTCTCGACTGAGGGAACAGGGCCGATCATACGAGAATCGAGCCACTTTCATGGGATCGCTGCGTTGAAGATATACCACCAAGTGTCTGAGTCCCGATTCCGTACGCACATGGAAGCTTTCAATCGTCGAGCATGGAGGGTTCCGCTATACTGTATTTGAGAGAAGCTCCACCTGCTGATAGCCACGACATCGACCAAGGCCAGCAACGGTAGAACCCTTTAGCTTAGCGCTTCTCTTCTCTAAGGCGGCGGCGCATCAAACTGCACTCTGAATTGTCAACTAAGGGTCGGATCAATCGAATTCTATTCGTTGAGGTGTCTAATTCTAAGGGAGAAAAGGGGGAAGGCCGCCAGGGGGCCGCCGGCCCTTTGGGGTGGCCCTAAAGGGCGGTGTGGTTGGGCAGAGACAGCTCCACATACTAAATTTGCCCTGGGATTGTCCTTAGTGGACCAGCCCCTTCTGACACACCCCCCCAGATCTCCGGAATCCGGGATTCCAGGAGATCTGAAGCCATTCCCGTGTCCCAAATAGGAAATTAATGATTTTGCTTGGTGTTGAAGACCAATTGGCCACTTCCGGCCTTGTCAACCACGTGTTGGACGTCAGTGTAGATGTACACTGGGCAGGAGGTCCCATGGGGACCACCCCTTCTTGCCGTTGACTCTCGTGCCTTCCTTACACGTCCTGGTACATCCCGTATAGCCCTGAGCAACTCCTACCCTTTCCAACAACCGATCCAATGGTCCAGTGGTTATGACGCCTGCCTCCCAAGGTAGGAGACTCGGGTTCGAACCCCGGTTGGATCTTCAAACCAGGTTTCAAATGCCTCTAAGCTTTGAGACGTGGTTTCGAACAGTCTTGGCTGGGGCGTTTCTCGGGTTCATTGGCTTCTCGTTTGGGTTGGCCGGACTGGGAGATTCTGTGGGTTCGATCCCCACAGAGGACATCAATCTTTTTGCCCTTCTCTCAACCAGTAACAGAAAGAGATACATAGGAAATAACAGTGCAGTGCTTTCCATAAGCAGTTCCAGTGGTCTAGTGGTAGGACACCTGCCTTCCTTGGTAGGAGGCCTGGGTTCGATTCTCAGTTGGATTCCTGAACTCCTCGGTACCTTCGGGTCCTGAGGAGTTCTTTTTGTCCAGTATAACCAGAGACCGCTGTTCTTTTTGCTAGTCCTGATCACCCCCAAAGGTGGTGATGGGACAGATGCAAAGGCCTAACTGCTTGATGAACTCCCGGTGCTTGTTAATCGGGAGGATCTTGGTTAGCCCATCGGCTGGCATCTGATCAGTGGCCAGGTATTCTATCTCCACCGTCTTCTTTTGGACCTCTTGCCGGGCCCAATGGTGGTGGATATCAACATGCCTCAGAGCTGTCTTGAGCCGTGGGTTCTCGCTTTTAACCAGGCGAATGGTTTGGCGGTTATCACAGTAGACGACGAACTGGCCTGACAGCTGCAGTGTCATCCTTTCGAAGAACCGCATGGTAGCAATAGTCTCTCGAAGGGAGCTTGTGAGGGCAAGCAACTCGGCTTCAGTAGATGAGGTGGTGACGGTGTTTTGCTTGATCGCTTTCCAATCGACCACGCTCCCGAATAGCTTCATGAGATATCCCTGGGAGGACTTCCGAGTCTCTGGATCGTCTCCAAACGAGGCGTCGGTGTAGACTTTGAGTGAGGGGTCTGGGTCGTTGCCGTCGAACAGGATGCCTAGGTCCTTCGTCCTTAGGAGGTAGCGGATGACTCTATCCACCTCCTTCATCGCTTTGGGTGGAGGGTTTGTCAGGAAGCGGGCAAGGCTGGTGACCGCTTTGGCGATGTCCGGCCTTGTGGTGATGCTAAGGTAGATCAGAGATCCCACCTTCTGTTGGTAGATGTGAATCTCTGACGAAGTCGCTTGCTCATCTGGCTTCATGATCTCCTCAACCGACATGGGGGTAGCTGGCCCTCCAACCATATCATCAAGCTTGTGTCTGGCGGCGAGGTTGGTGATCTTGTCTTCTTGTGAGATCCAGATCTGGCTCCGATCAGAGCTCTGAACAACTCTCATTCCTAGGAACCATTTGATATCCCCTAGGTCTCTCATCTCGAATCGACTGGTCAAGTCCTTTTTGAAGGCCTCTCCCTTAGCCTCGTCCTCCTCGCGGTAGAGGTATACGATGTCATCAACGTAGAAGAAGACCAGGACGGAGTCATTGTAGAATAGGCAGGGCTCCTCAGTCGACTGGGTGAATCCCATATCGATGAGGACCTCTGAGAGAAGCTTTTGCCATAGCAGTGGCGATATGCGGAGGCCATATAGCGCTCTGATCAATCGAGCGATCTTGCCATTCTGTTTGAAGTATGGTGGGAGTTCCACGAATACCTCCTCATCAAGGTAGGCGTTGGTGAAGGCGTTGATGGCATCTAACTGCTTCACCTTAAGCCTAAACCTCGCGGCTGTGGCCATGAGGATTCGGAAGGACCTTCCGGCCAATGTGGCGGCATAGGTGTCTCGATCGTTTGGTGGCTGCTGGTCTCCTCGAACGCAGATCCTGGCTTTGAATCTCTCGACATACCCTTCGCTGTTGAACTTGTAGGTAAACATCCACTTCAATGGGATGACCATCTGGCCCTTGGCTTCGTGATGGTCCACTATCTCCAACGTCCCGTTGTCTTGGACGTTCTTGACCTCCTTCCGCATGGCCTTGAGCCAGTGTGAGCCGTATTCGCTGTTGACAGCCTCCTTGGAGGTCTTCGGCTCTGGTGGTAGGTCCTTTCGGTGTAATCGGAGTGGCCATTGAGGCTCTTGTTCGACAGGGACTACTTCGGCTTGGAAGCTGGCGTGGACTGCGTTGACGCCGTGGCGGTTCTCTGGGATCATCCCATCGACCGCCCGCCGTCGTCTCCTAAATAGCTCCTCTTGCTCTCTCGACTGCTGTCCTCGGCTTGTCGCCTTGCGATTTCGAGCCGATCGTCTAATCGGTGCAGAACTTGAGGAATCTTCCTGAAAATTCACTGGCACCTTTGGAACACTATTCTCTCCCTCCGATGAAGTTTCTGGGGTCATTGGACCAGGGGTTGTGGATTCAGAGCCCTCTGTTGGTCCTGTTGTGGCTGGTTCTTGGACCGGCTCTTCACTTTGGCGAGGAGTTGGGTAGGCGACAATGATCTCTTCAAGCCTCTCTTGCGCCGGGCCGGCCTTTTCAATTGCTTCGGCCTGTTGGGACTGATCTCCCTCCCCGGCAGCTTCAAACGGTCCATCTGTTGGACCGGAGAGGCTGGTGATCTCGTCGTCGGTCTCTTCAGGCTCTGGCTCTCTCTCTGCCAATTTTGGTAGCTCATAGACCTCCACTGGTGGTGTGAACGTGGCCAATCTCTCTCTAGATCCGTCGTGATTCTCCTTTTTGAAGAAGGACCCTTCTTCAAAGGTCACATCCCTCAATGGGACAACCTTCCTCTTCTCGGGGATCCAGATCCGCCAAATGTTCGTGTCTTCGTAGCCAACAAGGTATCCAATCTCGGTACGGGGTTGATGTTTGGCCTTGGTCGATATCGTGGCATTGTGGTATTCATCTTTGAGGCAATGTGCCTTTGAACCGTACTCTTTGATGTGGCTGAGGTCTGGCTGGTTCAAGCCGCCTGGGATCCAGTGCCCATTCTCCTGACACCACTGTCTGATGGTCTCTTCTGGTGACTTCCAGCCGTTGGCTCGACGAGGGGATCTGTTATAAAGGTAGGTCGCTGCTTTGTAGGCCTCGCTGGCCAGGTCGGTTGGTAGACCGGCGTCAAACAGCATTGCGTTGGCCTTCGTCCGTATCACCCCCCCAGATCGCTCGGCATGGCCGTTGGGTTGATGTGTGTATATCGGCGATGGTTCCCATACAATTCCTTCATGTTGTTTCCACTCCTCAATAGCGTCGGCGTTGAGGGCTGGTTCGTTGTCACTGCGACCTCGTTGGACCTGGAGACCCCATTGCCGGTCTACCAGGCTGCAGTAGTTATGAAGAGTTTCAAGAAGAGTGTACTTCTTCTTGTCCGGCAGAGGGTATGTGACTTTCAAGCCTGAGAATTCGTCTTTGATGATCAGGGCTACTGTTGAACCATCGAGGCAGTCCGGCATCGCGAAGAGGTCTAGGTGGATTCGACCGAATGGGTGTTCCGCCGGTCGACCACTTGGCCTTCTCGAGACTTGTTGCTTTGCCTTGGCTTCAACGCATGCTTGGCAAGGCTGATCAGACTTGCCAGCAATCACAACTCCTCTGGTGTTAGCAGATAAGTGGCCTAGGGCTTCATCGTTGAGATGCCCCATTCTCCTGTGCCAGGTATCGTACCTCGCCTTGCTTTCTGGGCTAGGCTTTCGTGATGAGGCTGCATTGGCGGCTTCATCTGATTGCTGTTTGTTGGCCCATCCTTGACTTCGATGGAAGTCGATCACAGTGTGGCCCTCAATTTGTTTAGTCAAAAAGACTACTGGTCCTGACACAGAACCCTTGGTGATACTGCAGTTGTCGTCGTTCCATCGGTATCCCGCCTCCCTCATTGCTCCATGGGAGACTAGATTGACATGGAAGCCTTCAGCAACGACAACATTCTTTAGCTTGAAGCGGGCTAGGCCAGTAGGGGTGTTGACCTCCATCATCGCCTCTCCCATACCGTAGTACGGTATCGTGGTGTCGCCTGCGTTGATGACGCCAGTCGCTGGTCGATATGTACCCTCGATGAGCTTCTCCTTCGAGTTGACGATGTGACAGGTGGTACCGGTATCATGGATGAAGTTGTCCTTCAATGGGTACGCCGTGGCGACGAAGGAGCTTGCCATAACGTTTGAGGAGACTCTCTGAGAGGCCTTCTTGACCGAAATAGTCCGGGCGTAGGCACTCCCAATTTGCCTGGCCTCACCAGACCTCTGATCGGCTGGTGGTAGCTTTGCCAGCGACTCCTCAATCGCTTTGATCGAGTTCTGGTATTGCTTCCGCAGCTGATCTGTCTCCGTGATCTTCCGCAGCACCCTCTCCAGCCTCCTCCGTGAGAAGGGTGGCATATGGACTGGCTTCTTCTCTGGATGGAGGACCCAACACTGGTTCTCGTTGTGCTTCATCCCACAAGGGCAGGTAGGTCTCTCGCCGTTAGGAGCCTTGCCCTGAAGCGTCGGTTGCTCCGTCAACCTCTGGGCAGGTTCTACTGCTGCGTTGAACGATCCCTTGGCTGATCCCTTGACTGTTGCTGTCGCTGCAAGCTGTCGTTGAAGCTGGCGAGCAAGCGTATAGCCGTCTGGGATCGACCCTTCCTGGTTAAGAGTGTTCATATAGGTCTGGGCGAAGGTACTACTAACTTCATTGACGCCACTGATGGCGATAAGGAAGTCCTCTGCAGGTTGGTTGCCTTGAACGTCACTGATATTGACGTTCTTAGCATATCGTAGGGCCTGTTCCCACTGTTCGATCCAAGCCGACAGACTGGTGGATCTGGGTGGTTGTCTGGCTTGCTGGTATCGAGCTCGAGCTTGTGCTCTCGCTTCAAAGCCTGATGGTTTGAGACGTTCCTTCAACGCCCTCAGCCTTGCCCGTGCCGATCCAACTCTTGGTGGTTGCCTGATCACTCCTGTCCCGTCAGGGATCCATGTGATCGCTCGCTGTTGTTCTTCCGACGACTCGTTGAACAGGGCTACGTGCCGCTTAGCCGTTCGATAGATGAGCTCGTTCATCTCGATCAGCTTTTTGTTCTTCTTCTCATACGCCGTGTTTAGAACCTTCCATTCCTCTAACTCCATATCGAAGAAGTCCTTCCTCATCCTGAACTCTAGGTGTGCTGTCGCTAGTTGTTCCCCTTGGAGTGTCGTTGAGGGAATAGGAGGAGGTCTCGGACGATCTCTAGGAGGCTCTAGAGTCTGATCTCCATCTGGATCGATGTACTCCCAGATTTCATCATCTGTAGCTTTGAGGCGGATATGTGAATACCACGTATTCCAGTCCGCTTCATTGGTGAGAATCACCGCCTGGTCGTTGTCCAGGTCCTCCTTAGCCATGATATTGCAGTCGAATGATCGAGGGGGTTGATCGAGTGGTACTCTGGCTCGGGCAGGAGATCGATTGGGTTGTCGTCGTGTTCCGGAGGGCTCTGGCCACTCCTCACCAAATTTGGCTGTAGGAATCCGCGACTCCACGGTCTGAATCTCGTGATAGTTGCTCTGGGCAGGTAGGCCTACTCTGATCTGCTCAATCAGGCGTTAACCGGGCTCATAACTGTCAACTAAGGGTCGGATCAATCGAATTCTATTCGTTGAGGTGTCTAATTCTAAGGGAGAAAAGGGGGAAGGCCGCCAGGGGGCCGCCGGCCCTTTGGGGTGGCCCTAAAGGGCGGTGTGGTTGGGCAGAGACAGCTCCACATACTAAATTTGCCCTGGGATTGTCCTTAGTGGACCAGCCCCTTCTGACATGAATCGATGTGCCCTAAATCCCCGCATTTCTCGGCAAAGACGGAGTCCACCGAGATAGGCGATACCGACTGGCTGGCTCCTGGATTGCCGATATAGGAATGATCGAGAATGAATTGACGAAACTATTTGGACCGACCGGGAAAGATTACACGAATCCATGGATAGGTTGGCTGTACTTCGCATGGCCGTCGTCGGCTGAGAGTGCGACACTCCCAAAGGTTATCCCACTACCCGTAATCGATGGCCGCCGGCATTGCCATGTGCCATTGCGCCCAGATGATTATCCCACTACCTAAAACCGACGGGTCGTAATCCCCGGCGAGTCATGCTTGGCTCGCTCCCATGCTGGGATCCCAAGCCAAGTCGCGTGCACACACACACACACACACACACACACACACACACAGGGTCTGACTACTAGGTGACTAGACTGGGCGGCGGATCAACCTTCCTGGCCAAAATAGCGAGCCTAGTGCACGCTTTTCATGACCCACCGGCAGCATCCCAAACCGGGCAGTACCCCAGACTGCAGCTTTTGTCGCCCACGGGGTAGAGGCCCCTTTTCCTCAAGACCCAGCCATGAAGATAGGTAATATTCCGTCTTGTGATAGCACACGGAGATAGCGCTAGCAGGGCGCCCGCAAGATCAGTCGTGTCCATGGTTTAAGGGACACGCATCGAACGATTCTATATATTCAACATCGTCCGACGGTGATGCCACTGCATGGAGCATCTTCGTACCCTGCAACCCTCATCCACCAGTTTGACCGCCGATCATCGGAATTAAGATTTATTCCCCAGGCAGCATTATGGCCCCCGAGAAAGCTATCCAGCCCGCCGGCGACGATGATGTTCGCCGTGCGCCGTCTCCGCAGCCTCACGGCGAGATCGAGGACCTCAAGGAGAAGCAGCACCAACTCGATGCGGCCGCCGAGTTTGTGCGCGTCCACCAAGATGAATACGGCGAAATCACGCCCGAGGAAGAGCGCCGGGTGCTACGCAAGATTGACATGCGGCTGATGCCGATTATGCTTGTTACTATCACCCTAGCTGCCGTCGATGTGCGTTGAGCCCACAACCGAAGTTTTCAACTCCACTGACACAACACAGAAAATTGTCATCTCCAACGCCGCTCTCTATGGCATGCAGACTGATACCGGCCTTGTCGGACAGCTGTACAGCTGGAGTGGCTCGATTTTCTACTTCGGATACCTGGTCGGTTGATCTTCTCTCTGTACTCTTGGTTGTCGTGGAAGTTTACCTGCTAACTTTTGTGTCTTGCAGGTGTCGTATGCATTTTTTTCCTTTCTCCATTGTTGGCTCCCTTTGTGAAGCCGTTGTCTGATCGTGTGTGCAGCGAATACCCGTCTAACCTACTGCTGCAGAAGTTGCCTGTCGGCAAGCTTCTGGGCACATCCTGTATCATCTGGTCTGCTATTGTCACCTTGATGGCAGCTACACACAACCCGCCGGGCATTATGGTCCTGCGCTTCCTCATGGGTGCCCTCGAGGCACCATTGTTCCCGGCCTGCTCCATCATCACTGTCATGTGGTACAAGCGATCTGAGCAGCCCATTCGTACAGCAATCTGGTTCTCTGGACTCTCCTCAGTAGGTGCATAGTCAAAGTGGTTGATGGCGTGTTCAGGCTGACAGTTGTGGTAGCTTGTTACAGGAATTGTCTCCTATGGCATTGGCCACACCAACACGGCCGTCGCTCCGTGGCGGCTTCTCTTCATTGTCCTTGGTGGCTTTACCTTCCTCTGGTCCATCTTTATCACGATCATGCTCCCCGACTCTCCTATCAAGAACAAATTCCTAAATGAACGCGAGAAGTATGTTGCCATCATGCGGATCAAGAACAACATGACGGGAACAGAGTCCAAGGTCAGTCTCTGGACGGAAACCACCCCAGTGTCTTGATGAGCCTTGCTAATGGTTCTTTCCCATCTACAGGAGTTCAAGTTCTATCAAGTCCGCGAGGCTCTCACCGACTGGAAGACGTGGCCCCTGGTCATCTTCGCCCTCTGCATCAACATTCCCAATGGCGGCCTGGTGACTTTCGCCGCTCAGATTGTCTCTGGTCTGGGATACAGCAAGCTCAACACAACACTCTTGGGCATGCCCACAGGTGTTGTCATGACCCTTGGTGCCTGGTCGCTTGCCTATCCCGCTTCGAGAATCAAGAACATCCGATGCATACTTGCCGCCGGCAGCTGCTTGATTCCATTGACCTGCTGCATCCTAATGATGAGTATGTACCTTTCCGACTTCCCCTGGTGATGTACCACTATAGACAAGTTTCGCTGACTCGTATGCCGACAGAACTGCCCCGCTCAAACCAGCAGGGACTGCTTGCCTCGTACTACTGCTTCTACTTCTACTGGGCTCCTTATGTGACCGTCACCTCGCTCCCATTCGCCAACACGTCCGGGCACACCAAGAAGACCACGATCAATGCGCTCATGTTCATCGCCTACTGCGTCGCCAACATCATCGCCCCGCAGTTCTTCATTGCCAAGGAGGCTCCCTCTTACGGCACTGGCTACCACGCCATCCTGGGCTTCATTTCCGCGGGCATATGCATGCTGGGTGTCTACGCCGTCGGCATAAGATTCGAGAACATCAAGCGTGAGAAGTTCGAGGCTGAGCAGCGCGCTGCCGGCGTCGATGTGGACGCCGAGCGCGAGGCCGAGGCTTTGTTGGACAAGACTGATCGCGAGAAGTTGTACTTCCGCTATCTCTACTGAGACAGCGACCATGTGTGGCAATTCCGGGCTCCGCTAGATATTACAATCTGCACAGTTTTGCGTTGATTAGTTTATAATTGCCACTTGGACTACATGGCAAGGCATGCCAGCTCGTCTTTGGAAGGACAGAAAGCTTAGACTTGTGGGATTTCCCAAGACATAATGAGAATTGATTATCCCACTACCTAAACGTTGAAGAGATCACAACTTGGCAGTGACGGTGAATCTGCCTGCCCTCGCGTAGAGTTACGATTGTATTGGTAGAGGTGAACTTTGGTCTGTCTTTACAGCCATCTGCGGGAAAACATTCCCAGGCCACTTCGGAGGTGCCTCATTGTTAGCTTGTAGAGAGTGTAGTTAGAAATCTGGTTGCAACAGGGTCAGCTTCTTCGCCTCGCCACTCAATATCCGAGATTCAGCCCTTCTCCTCAGACATTCATGCTTTGCTACGTGAACGCCAATTCTATTTGCCGTTATCGTTGGAATCATTGTTAGATCAGCCATTCGTCTCGGAATGGTCTAGATGGAACATTGAAGAGCGCGATTACCTGCCTCTGAACTGGAACAGAGCTATCGAATCTAACCCCGTTATCGGATCCCCAGCGCTAATGAATCCACTAAGCGGGGGTGGAGAGGGCCCCTACGATTAGGCCGAATAGCGCGGCCTGGCAACTCATGCAGGTTGATCCGCTGGGCAGAATCGGGCATGCGAATCCGGAGGCGCTGGAGCAACCAGTCACTTATTAACGCGATACGGGACTGATATGGCTTTGTCGAATTTCGATGTGGAACGGATGACACTGGAGCAGTTGTACAGAATTGCAGCTCCCGGCTTCCCACCAGGCCCCCAATCGACCCCCTCCTCCATTGATGTCTGCCACCCGCATCTCTGGTGACGCTCTTTTCATCCCACGGTCAGCACTCACAAGATCATGAGTTCCTCAAGCAGTAGCCAGGGCGCCGCCTCGCCCCTGGCCGGCAAGTCGATTCTCTTCGTCGGCGGAGGTACCTTTGGCGTTTCGGCGGCCTACCACCTCGCCGAGAGGCTCGGCCTGGCGTCGTCAAAGACCACCATCACCGTCGTGGACCGCTTCGAGAGCCCCTCGCCCATTGCGGCGTCGACCGATCTCAACAAGATCGTCCGCAGCGACTACTCGGAGCCCATGTACGCCAAGCTCGGCGTCGAGGCGATGAACGAGTGGAAGAAGGACACGGGCATCTTCGCCGGCATGTTCCAGCAGACCGGCTGGTTTCTCGCCGCGCAGAACGCCAGCATCCCCTTCATCGAGGCGTCGGCCGCGAACCAGGCCAAGCTGGGCATCACGGGAGTCAAGAAGGTGACTCCCGCGGAGGCGCGCCAGATCAGCCCGTCCTTCACGGGCCCGATGGACGACTGGCAGATCTGGTGGAACCCTTGGGCCGGCTGGACGACCAGCGGCGATGCGCTCGCCGCCATGACGACTGCCGCCAAGAAGCTTGGCGTGAGGTACGTCTCGGGCGACGACGGCTGGATCAAGAAGCTCCTCTACTCCCCGGACGGGACCTGTATCGGCGCCGAGGCCGAGAACGGTGCCCGGCACTACGCGGACGTGGTCGTGGTGAGCGCGGGCGCGACGTCAGCCCGGCTGCTGGACTTCGAGGGCCAGCTGCAGGCCAAGGGACACGTCGTGGGCCACATCCAGCTTACGCCGGAGGAGACCAAGAAGTACGCCGACCTCAAGATTGTGGACCACTTTGAGCAGGGTATCCTCTTCCCGCCCAACCGTGACGGCATCGTCAAGGTTGCGACGGTCAACTTTGTCACCAACCACGAGAGCCAAAAAGCTCCTGGACTCAGCCTTCCGCGCTTCCGGCAGGACAACCCTCGGGACGACATCCCGCGCAAGATCGAGGGAGAGATCAGGAGTTGGCTGCGAGAGTTTGTGCCCGACCTGGCAGATCGTCCGTGGGCGGAGACCAGGATATGTTGGTATGTTTCACCCTCTTTTTTTTCCAGACGAGGGAGCAGCTGCTAACACGGCTTAATTAGGGATACGGACACCCAAGATCTGCACTTCCTCATCGGCAAGCACCCGAAGCACAAGGGGCTGTATCTCGCCACCGGCGGATCGGCGCACGGCTTCAAGTTTCTGCCCATCATCGGCAAGTACGTCGCCGACATGCTCGAGTCGAAGCTGGAGCCGTCGTTGGCGCACACCTGGGCATGGAGGCCGGGACGGCCGCGCAAGGAGAAGCAAGGACCGGACCCGCACCCTTACCCCACGCGGGATCTGGCCGAGTTTGAGGATTTCAAGCCCATGAGGGCATCGAAGCTCTGATTCTTAGATATAGACCGAGTAGATCATCATATCGGCGAGCCTCTCCGGGAGGGGAAGAGAAGGGCTTGGCTCATCAAACTGGGCAACAGGCTTTGTTCCCAACTATCTCAGCGTTTTACGTTTAAGTTGTTGTGTACACTGGTGTTGACACATATCGGGCATGTATAAGCATGATAGAATAGCTTAAGGCTTAGATAAGACAGGTCGGAACAGATATAGCTATGGCATCCCAAGTCTTAGTTCGTAATTCAAGTGCGTGCTGAAAGAGACAGTCTAACGAGCACGGTATGAATCCATACATAGCACTTATTTCTAATCGCTTTTCCTCTTCCATAGGAGATGTAATTCCGTCCCTTGGAAGTGTGGGCGAACGGCCAGTTTTGATAGTGAAGCGCCAGGGTCTCCGCTATAAGCCCGGCGTTGGATAGTGTGCAGCAGGTTGCGGAAGTGTTCGTCACGGTCCGCCTCTTGAAATGGTCCTTCCTTCATCCACCATGGCAGCAGTATCTTCTCGACATTAGGAAGCAAGGTGAGCAAGACAATGCTGTCGATGAACGGATGGCTACACTCGTTGGGCCAGGAGTCTATACTGATACCAGCTTCGCGAAGGTAGGGGGAATCGAGAAGAAGGTGACGCAGGGGCGAATCGGGCTCGAGCGTGCAGAGGATTGACTTGTCATCCCGACCTTTGTATGTGTTGAGCATGTTTTCCTTGGTGAGATCGGCCGTCTGGATATACCGGGCGATTAGAGGCTCAGTGCCGATGGCCTGAAGAAGCTGGGCTGCATTTGCAATCTGAATGCCCGTCTCTTTGGTGACGGGGTCCATCTCAAGTTCTGAAACCCTTCCCCACCAGTCGAGTGAAGCCAGGAACGAGTATGTAAAGTTCCTATAGCGGCGTCGAAGCTGGTTGTGCTCCGCGAGAAAGGGTGCTGAGATGCGGTGGAGAGCGCGGCATGTGAGCGCGATGCTCTCAATGGTTTCTGGGATAGTAGCTTCCACAATTTTCAGGGTAATCTCTTCTGGGAAATTCAAGATGTTCATTCTGAAGGGTTGGCTTTCGTTTTGGGCGAAGTGGAATGAGCTTTTGGTGGTATGTGTCGTTGAAGGTCGGACAACCTTGGCCAAGGTCACCCTATGGAGTGACTGGAGTTGAGAAAATTTAGCTGGAACCTATTCAATCATTCAAATCAAAATTAGCTTCTAGAATGCCACATAACTTACCCAGTCGAGATGCAATGTGGCCACCACTGTGCCGCACGGAAATATGGCTAGGTGTCATCCCCGCTCTCAGCTCGCTGCCTAGTTTGATCTTCTGGACACCCTGTTTACATAAGCTCTGTTTCCGCAGTGATCCAGATCCAGAGATGCTCAGGTTGTCCTCTCCTAATGATGATAGCATCGATACTGAATACCCTTTGCACTAGTATGGGTACATTACGCTACATCTCACTGCTACGAATATGTTTGCATGTTGTAAAGATTCTTGATATCTCATCATTAGATACAACTAATTCAAAACAACCGATGAACTCTGCACAAAACAAAACATTGTTACTCTCCAAACAAGGCCTCGCCTTCTGTAAAGAACGTCTGTCCATCAATGAGTGGCCAATCACAGAAGAGTGATGAAGATACCCCAGACGTTGTCACGTTGTGTATCGCACCGGCACCCTCAAACGCATTAATATCAAGGGCCATGTCAATAGGTGCGTATGGCGTCGGCCCGTCCCGCACGTATTGTGCAATTGCGGGCTGGTAACCATGCCTGTCCACCTCTTCCAAGCCAACCGGCTGTAAGCTCATGGAAACTACGTCCGGTCTGAGCTCTACTGGTCCAGATACAGGTCCTCTCTCGAGCTTCCTTGAAGTCCTCTCTGACTGTCCCACTGAGTGGTGATTTGCCGGTCTTTGCGTCTCGGGGGGCAGAATCTCGAGCTGCACAAGAGGCTCTCGCACAAGAAGCAGCCTTTTCCGCAATTTTCTCGACGCTCGAGACGTTGTGTTGTACGCTTCCGCCAAGTCAAAAGCCTTTTTGAAGCTCTTTTCCATGATCTCGGAGAAGTTTGCCGGCAGGTCGTCAGCCAGCGCGATCTTGTGCTGAGCGACATACGCGACGACCAGGTACATGAGAGAACATGTGCTGACCAGTAAGTGGGAGTAGTACGGCTGTTGTTTGCGGTATACGTCAGTGGAGTTGTCCAGACTTGTGAGGATGTTGATCGTATCAGAGATCCGATGCACGGCAGGCTCGATATTCTTCCTACTCGCTGGCGTCAGCCTGTTGGTGAAGAAGAATGGTCGCAGCAACATAGTGCGAGCAGCGTTTGCTCGAAGGTTCAACATGATAGCCCAAGAAGGGATGCGGCTGATGGGTATGGTGCGCCAGGTGCTATGTAGCGTGAAGTTGTAGCTCCCGACAGCGTTCTTTCGCCACTGCTCGATTTGAAAATTGAGTGTCTCAAACGCGGCATCATCGTCGTCATAAGGCTGGTCTGTGTTCGTGATGTGGGAGAGGGTTGATGTAAATTTATCGCTGACTACCATGAAGGAAACCATGCCCTTGAGAAACGGAGACTGGATCTGGATACAATGCAACATCAGCAGGCTAGAACAAGCTTTGCTTTGGAGTAGATCACTGACTGGCAATTTCATGATATGACGAAAATGTGATTGCTGGAAATGGGTTGGAAGGCCGACTGCTGCGCTCCATTGTCTATCAAGCACAATGGTACTGCATATGATGGCAACAGCCTGTTCCCGCTCGTTTTCCGAGTTAAGAACGTGGTCTGGAATCTCACGGTTGTGCAGACCAAGCTCGAGCAACATGTTGCCAGCCATCCCGACCATCCGCCAAGAGAAGCATGGATCATCTCTGAAAAAGTGGTAGATACCCTGGCGTAGGTTGTCAGCTTGACGGATATTCTAAAGCATTCTACTGCACACGAACTCACCACAAGCAACAGGATGACCACATTCTCGAGCGTTGGGGTCGGAGATACAATCAAGTCGCCAATGGCTTCTCGACAGTACGAGTAGATGGCCCTGCAGACATCGATTTCGGACGCCGGTTCTGCGCAAAGGGTGATTGCGAGAACAAGATTGGTGATCAGCAACAGTCCTTCACGAGAAGTCGGTCTGTTTGGCTTGTACGAGTCCTCAATCAATCTCTGGATGACCCCAATATCCACAATAGGGTGGAAGTCGCCAAAGACAGATTCCCACTCATAAATCAGCCTCAAGGACTCTTGTTTCTTGAGGAGTCTTCTGAAACTAGTCAGCCTTTCCAAGAATCGACTCGACATGTTTCCTGATGACGATCCATCCACGTCATCGATACCATCTGTCGAGCCACCGTCTTCCGAATGGCTGTCATTTAGGTCCGGCAAACTGGGCCGGCCATATTTGTGGCCTTGCTGCAAGCGTATCTGTGCCATATTCCAGCTGTAGTCTGGCGAGGTTGGACCAAAGAAGCGCTTTCGGGGGATCATCCTCTGATGCGGTCGTTTACTTGTGTTTGGAGAGGAACGCTCTTCGGTAAGGAAGTCTGGACTGCAAGCTGACTGCGTGGTACGGTCGAAATGCGAACGGCCCTCCTCCCTATGTAGGAGGGGCGTGTTCCGCTCCATCCTGTCCAACCTCGTGGTGAGTGTGCCGATCTGGTCTTGGAAATTGGCGACCAACTGGCCCAATGTGCCCAGGCACCTTCAGAACTCAAATGACCACATCAGCTGCTGCATGTGTGTATAGGTATATATGGGTGTTTTTGCTGTGTGTGCGAAAGGTGTCACCCAACTTACTCGAGGTCAGACTCGTAGTAGGGCCTCATCTCAGTCTGTGAAGTCTGGGCAAGTTGTTTGTTGACAGAGAATGTCCTCATGCTCGAATCCTGAGGATCTCGAGATGAAAGGCTTGGGGGCGGCGAGGCCGCCTGCGAAACAACCACAGGAGGCTCACTCAGGTCATCGCAGATGAGCGACCGCGACGCACAATAGGTGCACGGATTGTCTCCGGAGCATCTCCTCTTGCGCCTGCGACACACACCACAGGCTCGAGCTGTGTATGGCGCCCTCTTTCTGCTTGTCTCTGTTGCCTTCGCCGCAGCAGGACGCTTGATACCTCCAGGAGATTTTGGCATGATTTTGTACATTCTTGGGAGTCGAGTTAGCAATTGAGTAATGTTGGGAGGCCAAGATAGTGCGCGACTCACATTACTTAACATGGGTAGGTAACGGACACCCAAGTCGCGCAACGCACCCCTTTCATGATCGGCAAAAGCAGCTAGTTACCCCAGCCAGTCAACGAGCCCTGCCGTCTGTCTCGTTGGCTTGGCGCTGGGGAACTTGGGGCATCTCTGCGGAGGTAGTGTGCTTCTTGTCTATCAAGTCCTAGCTCCAAGAGCCAGTGAGCTAGGCGGAATGAGTTTTCACCAGCGCCGAAGGCGTACAGTCTAGCCACAATAAGTCAAGAAGAGGTGTGACTAGATTTCACTTGGTCAGCTAGTGCCTAGAATCTTGCAGACACAGCGTGTCCACTACGCGCGCTCTTTGAGCGTTTGGCACTCACACCTGAGCCTCGCCCACTGATGATTGGATGTGGGGGGGCAGATCAGTTCCGCTGCTTGTCGGATGCCAACAGTAAAACAGTTCCGCTCCCGCCTTCTCCTCACTAGGTAACTATACGAGCGTTTCTTGCCATGCAATTGATGGTCAGATTAATTGACGGACTGCTAGCAGACCTAATTAGTCGTCTATCCATCCAGCCCATTGGTTTTAGGTAGTGGGATAGCCCTTCCGAGTTCCCGGACAAGGATATGGCAAGGACATAACATATGACAAGGACATAACATATGACAAGGACATAACATATGACAAGGACATAACATATGACAAGGACATAACATATGACAAGGACATAACATAGATAGCTCTGGCATCCCCGCTTCCCATGATACCCCCAGGCGCGACATCTATGGTCTCCACTCTGGCGGAGGTGTTGCTTGCACTAGGTGCCGGGAGTCACTTTGCTTTGCCACCAAGTCGGACTCCGGATTCACAGATTGTCGATTCAGCGTTTTACCATTGCTACTTCGGCAAGCTATGCTAGCTACAGGGCCACTTCAGTTGGGCGTAGGATGACCGAGCTCCCTATTTCGAGTTTGAAGTTTGAAATCGAATCCTTCAACAAGGTTTTCACCAGCTTCCATCGAGGCGGACCTCGAGGATGGCCGACATGCCGTTTTCCACGGCCTTGACCGCCTCTCCAAGCATGGCATCGAGATCTCTCACACTGGCTGCTACCCCAGCCCAGGCCTCATGGCCTGCAGCAGCCTTCGCGATCCCCGAGTAGTCTGGGGTCGGCGCAAATGAGATATTCAAGTCTTCATTGGATATGGCGGCACCGTAGCCGTTGGGGTGGACGAGCTGCATCGAGTTCCGAGGTGCGTTCCAACCTAGGTACTTCATGGTTAGCTCTGGTCTCAGCCTGTTTGGGTAATGAGATGCGGGAGCTCAATCACCTTTATTGCTCAGTACGATCGTCAGGGCTGGCAACTCATAGCGCCTGGCTACCCAGTAGACCGTGCCAGGGCACCCAAAGAGGAATGTACCATCGCCCACAATCTCGCAAACAAAGTTGCCCTTCCCGCCGGCAATGTAATCCTGTGCTAATTTCACACCTCGAGTGCCACCGCCAGACCAACCCAAGCCGCCACCACCGTGGTGGATAAGGTGACCCGGCATGTCTACCCGGAGCTGGTTGTAAACATGCATAGCGTTTGTAACCGCCTCAACCGTCCAGACTGTGTTCCCAGGACATCTCCTGCGGAGCTGAGCAACGAGGTAGTGGACCGTCGGGTGTGCTGTGTCGTCTGCTGGCGGGCTGGCGAGTGCATCTAGTTCCTGGAGTCGTGCTCTATGGGTCTCCTCGAGCGCTGCCCAGCGTGAGATATACGGCTCCTTGGTGGGTAACTTGGAATAATCCATATGCTGCGAGATGTATGTATTCATCTGCCGTAATGCTGTCTCGGAGTGTGCTCTATACCGTCGAAATGCCGGAATGTAATAGATAGGAATATTCTGCTTGAGGGGGTCGACGTCAACGTGGATAATCTTGGCGTCGTCTCGTGGCTTGCATCGCGTCGGAATCCAGCTCACGTCGCAGTCGACAACGAGAATCATGTCGGCCTCCTCAATACTAGGGTCGACCCCAATCTTCACGCCGAGCGAGGCACGGTGAGAAAATGGAAAGCAAACGTCACTCCCAAGAGCATCGAGTACTCGAACCCCCGGAATGCTATCCGCTAGTTGAACCAGCTCACCAACCGTGGCATGGTTACGCCCAGTATATCCGACAATAATCAGCGGATTCTGTGCAGCAGCCATGGTAGAAACGATTAGTTCTACTGCATCTGATGTGAGAGCAGTTGGAGCTATTGGCGCCCAGGCCGACTGATTTAGGGCATAGGGAGTTATTTCTTGCTCCATTACCTCTCTGGCACCAGTGATATAGACAGGACCTTTCGGGTCACTCGTTGCAAATTGCAGCGCCCGATTCATGACCTGTTTGATATTGCGGCCGGTCTTGAATTCTCCGGTATAGCGACAGAATTGCGAGATAATCTGCTTTTGGTCAGGGGCGTCTTGAAGCCAGTGGATGTACTCTGTCCGCGAGCCTGTCATCTCGCCCTCTTGAGTGAAAGGCGAGAGGCCTGCAAATACAAACACCGGACATCGGCCTAATGATGCGTTGTGCACAGCACAACCCAGATTTTGGGTGCCCACATCGACATGGACAAGGACGCACTGTGGCTTGCCGGTCACACGAGCAAAGCCGTCTGCCATCGACATCGCGACCATCTACCACCATGTCAGCCACACCTATCAGAATGGCATATTTGGCCCCAAGAAATGGTAGGCCTAGTTACCTCGTGCGGGCACGTAATGACTCGTGGGAACTGTACGCCTTTCACTTGGGCCCCACGAGCAAGAGCCTCCATGATGGCCGGGTGATCCGACCCCAGGTTGACGAAGACATGCGAAACGCCGGCCTGGAGCAGACAGCATGTTAGTAGAGTGTGCATGCCGCAACAAAATCTGGGTCATACTTCGTAAAGGCCTTCAAAAAATGCGTAAGACGCCGAGTATTTGTCTCTACATAGTCGAGAAAGTCAGTTTGATCTTCAATCAAAAATGTCATCCGCAAGGCAAAGATAATGATACTGATCAATAGTCCTCTTTGTCGGGTTATGTCAACGATTGCAAGGGACGGTGGCGTGCTACTCACAGATCCACAACCATTGTCTATTCGTTGACCAAAAAGAGAAAAGGGGAATGCCGAAGCTGTTGCACAATCGGGGTTGTCTATTGGCACGTATTCCCTCGTCTTTAATCATCTCTAGCTTGTATCCCTTCGGGACACTGAACGGTTTGGCGGCCATGCCAAAAGCGCCAGATTCCCTTCATTGAGAAGCCAATGGTTCGGCGGCGGAAAGCATCCGTCGGAACCAGAGTACTACATATGTATCTAACGACATAAAACAAACCCCCCTACATCTTCCGCCACAGCATGCTGTGACTTCCTACTAGGTGGAATGTTCCGAGGGTATGGCACCGTCCGTCGTTCTTGCATTGCCACACCATGGGCCTGAATGCGACTGTCCATGTGAACCTCGAGTTACTTGGTGAGACACAAAGCCCTTAGAGTCCTGCAGTTCACTCCTAGTTCAAGGGGTAGATCGATACAGGGAGGATACGACATGGTATTGGCAGAACCAACTTTCGGCTTACATCTCAACCCAACTCCAGAGTCGACGTCAGGGCTGTCGCTGCTTCCCACAGATCCATCGAACACTTTACAGAAACACCATGTCCTTTCGGGAAGGGAAGACGTTATTGTAATAATGAATATAAACATACTTTCCATTCCTGCATAGCATCTTTCCACAATGTTTAGTGAAAGATATGAATTACGTGTGTCCTGCCATTGACGCACATAACTGCCTACAGCTAACTAGAATAGAAAAGAGCCATATATGAGAACATTGATATAGAGAACACATCCCTAAATGTAACCTTTCAACTGATGTTGCCCACATTCCATACTTGAAGCATTATTAAGAACCCGAGGCCTACCTATCTTGCAGACTCTAGCTACTCGAAAACCTTCTTCCATACCCAGAGACTGCGGCTATTTGTGAAATGCTTGAACCCCTCAATGCCCCATTCCATACCAAGGCCACTTTCTTTATGCCCTCCGAAGGGAACGTTTGGTGCAACATCGAAGTGTGAGTTGATCCAGACGCTCCCGCTGCTCAAACACCGGCCCATCCTCTCGGCCCTCTTGACATCCTTGCTCCACACGGAGGCGCCAAGCCCTGTCTCGAGGGCGTTAGCGCGTGCGAGGACATCTTCCTCGGACGACCACTTCAGCAGTGGCACAATGGGTCCGAAAGGCTCCTCCTTGACGATACGCGAATCTTCAGGTGGATTATCAATGATGGCTGGCTCAATGAAGTAGCCCTTGGACGTCTCACGAGGACCACCCTTGAGAGCGGTCTTCCAGCCACACTTGTCGATTTGGGCGAACATATCCTTGACAAGTTCATATCTGGCATTTGTCAGCGGTGATGCTGTTCGACCGGCAACTTCTCAGAAAAGACTTACTGCATGCTGTTCTGGACTGGCCCAACAACGACATCAGGCTCGAAGCCCCCACCGGTCTTGATATTGTTCTTAGTAAACTCTACCATGGCGTCCCGGAACTGGTCGTAGATCTTCTCATGAACGTAGATCCGCTTGACAAGCATGCAAATCTGTCCAGAGCTGAGGAACGCCAAAGTAGCGATTTTCGGCAGACACTTCTGGATATCCACATCCTCGCAGATAATAGCCGCGTCATTACCGCCAAGCTCAAGCACACATCTCTTGAGGGTCTTGGAGCAACTCTCAGCGACTCGCTTGCCCGTGGGAATCGAACCAGTGAAGGTGATCATATCAATGCCTGGATGGGTGGTCATCCACGGACCAAGCATGTCGTCCCCGCTCAGAACCTGGAATACCCCAGGGGGGAAGACAGACATACCGATTTCTCCTAGCTTCAGGTCGCAATAGGGCGTGAATGGGGACGGCTTCATTATGATTGTATTGCCCGTCATAAGAGCGGGACCAACCTTTCCCAAGCCCAGGAGAATGGGCCAGTTCCACGGCACGATAGCGCCGCAGACGCCAAGAGGGGGGAAGGTCGAGTAGACGACCTTCTCGTCTGACTCTTCCAGGATCTCATCCTTGACTTCCATTGTGGCAAATGTTCGCAGCCACGTCAGGGACATGCTAACTTCCCGTTCTGCTAGGCTCAAAGGCTTGCCCTGCTCCATTGTCTGCAGCTTCTCGATCTCCCTGCGATTTTCCTCGATGCGGTCCGCGAAGGCAAGCATGAGCTTGGAACGCTGCTCAAAAGGAGTCGTGCTCCATGATTTGAAGGCTTCACGGGCGTGGAGGACCGCGTCGTCCAGCTGTTCTTTGGTGGCGACAGGCACCTCGTACAGTGCTTCTTCAGTCGCGGGGTCAATAGAGTGGCGCGACTCTTGGGTAGGAGCGAATTTCCCGTGGATAATATTTCCTGGATAGGACTGCAGCTGTTGTTAGAGATTTGTTCAGATGGGTGCTGCAAGGCTCGTTCTCACTGTGATATCGATGCGAGAGGACATTCTGCCTTGTCATGAATGAATTGGAGACTGATAGGGAGAAGAAGAAGGGATGATGTTAGGTGCCGGTGGAAAACGTTATGTCGAGCCGTTACTCTCTTCTACCGATGTAGGTTGAAAGTAGTTTGAATACTGATGTGATGTGGATGGTGCAGTATCAGTTATTAATTCAGAGACTGGCGGAAATATCAGGTACAAGCACTCCCAGCTTCCGCACGGTCTGGATTAAAATCTTGTCCATGTGCATTTGTAGCCGCCGGGGTGCGTTCCCGGGTTTCGTGAGGTGTAGTTCCCTTGGTTTCCGCCGTCAAGTCAATCTGGGCGGAACCAGCCAGGATCCCGCATTCCTTTCCGCCCGCCATGCGGAATCGGAGCAAGGATTCGGTCATTGCATTACGCAGACAAATATTTGCAAGTTGATGAGCTAAGCTGTGAGAGCCCAAAGCCTTAAAATGATTCTACTGAATACCTTTGTTATATTTGAGCCTTGAGAGAGGCCAGGGCACACAGCACATTGCGAAAGAACCACAACTCCTTTGCAACTCGTTTTGCCTGTGATAGGTCTGGTTGCCGCCACGTCCACAGCAATTATTGCACTTCCCTTCTAAAATAATTAACTTTCAGCTCCAGCTACTCATCTTTGTTTCCAGTTCCACACTTGTATGGGATCTTCCGTGATGCAAAGCACACAGCCTCCAATCGACACTGCCTCGCGCAGGGGAAGTGGCACATTACATGATGACAACAAGAAGGATTCTACATGCATCGACAATGTCAGCCATGCCGAAGCTCCAGTCGTCATGTACGATCGCCAAATCGAGAGCAAGATTCGGATGAAAATTGATCTTTGCATCATCCCTCTGGCTGCTCTGATTTTCCTCCTCTGCTTTATCGACCGAGCTAACATTGGAAACGCTCGTCTCGCTGGGCTTGAGAAGGATCTCAATATGGCCGGCTACGACTTCAACTCGGTCAATAGTGTTTTCTACGTATCTTACATGCTCTTTGAAATCCCCGCCACCATGCTTTGTAAAGTTATTGGTCCGGGCTGGGCTTTACCTGGCATGACAATCATGTTTGGACTGCTCGTGAGTCTCTGCGCGTTGCATCCTGCAAACGGGAAGGATCGAGCTGAATTCTTCTCCTATACAGACAGTTGCCAGCGCCTACGTCAACAATTACTCGCAACTGGCGGCTTGTCGCTTCTTTCTGGGCGTTTTCGAAGCTGGTATCATGCCAGGACTCTCCTATTATCTTTCTCGATTTTATCGACACTCGGAGCTTACATTCCGTCTGTCGCTCTACATAGTGATGGCTCCTCTTTCTGGTGCTTTCGGCGGTCTTCTGGCCTCGGCCATTCTCAAACTCCGAGGCTTTGGATCACGCATTCCTGCAGGGTCCTGGCGTGCCATTTTTGCTGTGGAAGGCATCGCCACAGCAGTTGTCGGCGTCGCAGCTCTGGCATTGCTGGCGGATCGTCCAGAAAGCGCCCGCTTCTTGACACCTGAGGAGCGTGAGATCGCTGTCAATCGTGTAAAGGGAGAGCGAATCGGCGCAACCGTGGTTCTGGACAAGTTGAGCAAGGACAAGATTCTCAAGGGCGCCATTAGCCCCGTCACTGCGGCAACATCCATCTGCTTCATGTTCTGCGCCTTGTCCATTCAAGGCCTTGTCCTCTTCGCGCCTACTATTGTCAGGTCTATCTATCCCGACGTACGTTCTCGATATAGGACAACACAACACCACAAAGGCAAAACTAACCTGCTCTGACCATAGGCCACCGTCACCCACCAACAGCTTCTGACTGTCCCTCCTTACGCATTTGGCGCCGTCTGTCTTCTGGCTGTCGGATTCTCGAGCTGGAAACTAAACAGACGTCAGATCTTCATGATCGCCTGTGCTCCACCAATGATGGCCGGGTATCTCATCTTCCTGGCAACCAACTACACGCAGACGACGGCTCGGTACGCCGCAGTCTCCTCATGGCCAGCACCTCCTTCATCCTCGGCCCTCTCTGCCATGCGCAGGCGAGCGCCAACGTCAGCTCCGACAGTGCCAGGAATATGTCTATTGGCATTTGCATGTTCTTCGGCAATGTCGGAAATCTGGTCTCTTCCTGGACATTCCTGCCGAACGACGCACCAAACTACCCCATTGGCTGTGGACTCAACCTCGCGACTTCCACTATTATTCTGCTGACTGCCACGTCGGCTTGGTTCTGGATGCGCTGGGATAACGCCAAGAGGGATCAGAAAAACACGGATGCTGAACTAGCAGCGATCCCGCCCGAAGAAGCACAGCAGCTCGAGTGGAAGCACCCTGCGTTCCGCTGGCTGCTATAAAATGTCCCGTGTCAAGCACGTCGCATCCTGAGGAGGCAGTACATTGGGCATTAAGTTCATTGGGCTTGATAATTCTACGTAGGCAAAACATAGCAGGTACGGTAAAGACAGCATAAGCCCATCTACTCGGTACTGTTCCAAAAGGGTGGCTGCGCCCTTTGATCTTCAAAAATCAACCCGAAAGTGGCTGAGGTGGACCACAACCGCGCGACAAGAGCTCAGGGATTGGAACAACGGCCGCCGTGGGCGCACTCACCTCGCCGTGATGATCGGCGCCTGGCCCTTGGGCAGAGCTTGCTGTGTTCCCGCCCATTAGATCCAACGGTTCTGCATCTGTTCGCTAATCGCGCTGAGATTGATTTTCACGATAGCCAAGGCTTCATGTACGTATTACTTGTACTTGCACTCTTTGGGATGTTGTACCTCGCTTCTTTTCCCTAGATCGGTTATTTTTCTCGCTTGCAGTATCCGCCAGCGGACGGGCAGAGGCCCGACAGCTTTGATGAGAAGGACGCGGATGCCATGGCGCACTCCACCGGCTAAGGATCTGCGCTGCGACAGGGTCAGAAACACGATACTTGGCAAGCAGGGGCTACGGGAATGTGCTAGGGACGAAGTTGGAGGCCCTGGGAGCGGTGGCTGGGAGGGCGATGCCAACGATGGAGGCCGATTTTGCCGGGGAGGGCCTTGACATGGATGACTGGATGATCAGGTGCAAGCGTTCGCAGGACATACCTAGTACGGAGTATGTGCTCGATTGCCGAGCTCTAGGCCCCCGAGAATGCACCAAGACCTCACAAAGTAGCTGGCTTGAGTACGGATTATGGAATCGTATGGAGAACAGTGAAATGAAGCGGTCAGAGCGGCAGCATGCTAAGTCCGTGCGATTTCTCCGCACGAACAATTCAACTGTGCATGTGAGCACTGAGTGGTATCCTGCGGAGGAGAACGAACGAAAAGAAGGATCCATTACTCTCACGTTGCGTCGCTTGACCATCAAGCGGGGGTCAAAATCGTTGACGAAGTTCATCAGGAGATACCTCAATGTTAACAATGCAACAATGCAATGCATCCCTTGCCCTGGTCCTCACAAAGGCTATCCCACTACCTAAAACCGGATGGGCTGGATGCATACTCAAGTACTTCTGTTAGCAGCCCGCCCACTACGAAACTGACCATCACTTGCCCATCTGCAGCAGGAGATTTGCCGTTTCCATGCATTTGCCCGCAGGACGAATGAGCCCAGCATCCAGACCGCTGGGATCGGCAAAGGAGGAGTGGAGGACGCGGTGGGGATGCAGGGGTTCTTACATTGTACCTGCAGGGGAGCCGCTCTCAAGTGCGAGCCAAATTGCCGCAACGAGGATCGTTCGGGATGAAAAACCGGGCCCGTGGGAGTTCCCCCTGGCTTGATCCTGGGCATCACGAAATGTGCAGGTCGGGCAGGTTGGACATCCCGGACCTCCCGCCCTCTCGCCTGCCTCGAAAAGACAAGGCTGAAGTGCATGCTCAGTGCTGCACTGTTCACGAATGGACCGGATCCGGTTGGACAGGCCCCTGTTAGTTACTGTTGGCTACCGCTAGCCTGGTTTCACGACAAACCGCATCCTTGGTGATACCTGAAGGGATTTTGATAGACAGGCACACCCTGGGAACATCCCGCCTAGCCTTACCGTTATCATCCCTCCCCTTTGAGCTAATGCCTGCCATGTTACTCTTGTTAGACCTTAAACAGTTGGGCAGCGTTGCATTAAGCTCTGATAGTGTCATCAGAGACACATCTAGCCTCTTTGTTTCCTGCTGTCACTACTGACAGAACTGCCGTTTTGTTCCCCTCGATCCTCGAAACGCGCTTTTGTTCGAACCACTGACGAACAGATTGCTCAATCCGGAAACGATCTCTCGGCTGTCCAGGACCTGATTGGGCGGACAGGCCGGCAGTCACTCCCCGGGCTGTATTATTGACTGGCAGTGTATTCTATCATGTGTATCGTCTAGGGGGCCCTGGCAGGCGTGGGTTCAATATTGCTTGCTTCTGCACGTCGCAACGACCTTGTCGGCCGACTTCCGCACTCGTAGAGGAAAATGATATCCCCTCCATTGGCCACTTATTTGTTCTCTTTTCTTTGAGCTGCTCGCACTGGCCGGTTTCCTTCTGCTCCCGTATTTGCTTGTTCTCGGGCTCTGACGTTCTTTAGGGCTGACCGGCGGCCTGTCCAAGACATTGATTGGGCTTGACTGTCTTTGCAGAATCACTTATACCCAACCCACACACTGCTCGACAGTTTTCCCTTCCCCTTCTCCTTTCCTATTTCGACATGTTCTCTCGCTACCTCGAGAGTGCACAGCACGTCTACGCGCACATCTACGCCAATATGCACACTTCCTACTCTTCGCACCTGACCATGGACGAGATCCAGCAGCTTCTTTCGACATACGGCCCTCAGCTGGACCTGGCCTACCACCTTTTGCTCTACGCACCGTTCATTGCCAGCCCCTTCAAACACTTCTTCACGACCAAGCGCGCCAAGGCCGCCGGCACGCCATACCCTCCCCTCCTGGGGCACATCGTCTGCTCGCTCGTCGAAGTCGCCCGCTTTCAGTACCGCCAGCTCACCGCCTGGAGCCGGACCACTCTGATCCCCACGGAGCTCGACCTCGCACTCTGCATCATCAACCTCGTCTGCACATTCGGCATCGCCAGGCGAGCGCCCCGCGGCGACGCCCGCTTCATGCGCCCGCTCTTCCAGGCCATGGCCCTGATCCGCTTCATCGCCACGGCCGCCGGCTACGCCTCCGCCGACCCGACGTGGTACCACGCCAGCGTCAAGTCGCTCAACGGCTTCGTCTGGTCGCGCGTCCTGATCGACTTCTTCTTCGCCGAGAAGATCTTTGGCGAGGGCTACTCGGTGGCCTACACGGCGGGCATGTTCTTCGGCCTGTCGCTGTCCACGATGGAGGGACGGTATCCCTTCAGCGGGCTGCTGGGCGTGCCCGTCATGCTGGGCATCATGCTGGGCCTGATGCTCTTTGAGCGCTCCATGTCGGAGCGCATCACACCAAAGTACGTTCCTGGGCTCCTATTGGGTCTTGACGATACAAGCGGCTGACTGATCCTCTTTTTTCTTGTCCACAGGAGCGCGAAAAGCAATGTCTTGCACCAGCTGTGCGTTACGATCGGACTCGTCGAGTCCAGAACGTACAAGATGCTCAGGGAAGATGGAATCGCCGCCCCTACCTCGGCGGACAAAGAGGCCGCACCTGCTGTGGCGAAGGCAAGCTGAAAGGAACGGCGGGGCCACGAGTGCCTCGAGAAAGAAAGATGCGCGCCCAGAATTTCCTACTACGGCAACATGTAGCGCCCTCTGGGACAAATGATCTCGCTGAATGCGATACAGCGAAACAGAAGGACCCCAACAAAGCGAACGCCGCCCGGAAATGGCGGACAGATACCAATAAGGAGACATGAGATATGAGTAATGAGAATTGGGGATGGGCAACGAAGGGCGGCGCTGGCGTCGGGCATTGGAAAGGGGCCCGCTCATGGTGTGCGCGTATATGCATGTGTCCGCGCAAGGAAGCCCGAGGCTGAACGCGGCACATGGATGGTGCCAGGTGACTTGACGGCGCACCCTGAAGCGGATGGTATATCACTGTATAATAGTCTTTGACATTTGCATACTGCATTTCTCGGAGAGCGAATCAAGGCAGTGCCATGTGGCACTGCGACTTTGGTGTCGCAAGATGGAGGGGGAGACACTGAAATGACGGGAGGTTACTCTGCAAGGCTCATGCAAGTCTTTTTTTTTTGGATAGATGCATTCTATTGAAGTCTGATCATTTCAACACCTGCATTTTATGCTGAGGAATTTGATTGGAACAACGGCAACCCGACCAGCTAGTTGGTCGGGGTGCTATCTCAGCATTTCCATGCCGCATGCAGTCTGAATACTGAGTCAAATACGTTTCATTGGTGAGGACTGAAAGCAAAGATTAAGTGTTTAAGTAACAAACCAAACACAATAGCAACCCAATCTCCCCCAAGAGGCCATCCTACTACCATCGCAGACCCAGAGAAAGCCAAGATGCAGGTGCGCCAAGTAAGCACCAAACCCTTCAGATCTCCTTACCATAGATCTTTCCCTTCAACGGACCGGTATTATGTGTGGGCGGCTTGTCCGTCCAGACAAAAGTCAGTCTCTTGATGTAGCTTGAATTGAACTGGTCATATTTTAGCCCCTTCTTGTTCCTGTTGGCATCTCTATAAAAGTTCTTCTGGATATCTGCCTCCGCTGCCGGGAGGAACGTTTCCGAGTACCACTCGGACTGCGCTTTGTGATCTTGTTTGGCCGCGTAGGAGTACAGCGCAGAGTCGTAGTGGTCATCGATATGACGGTTGCCATGGGCGTCGGTGTAAGGGCACTCGTACGTGTATCGGCAGTAGAAGTAGCCTCCGCTTTTGTGCGACATTGTGTGAGGTTTTTCTTGGCCAAGGAGTGTTGATGGGTTATTGCGAGTTGAAGAGAGCAGGGAACCAGGAAGATTCAATGGCAGTTCACCGTGTTAATAAATACTCGAAAAGACATGGCAAGTGGAGGAAGGCCTTGTCCAGGCTGATTGAAAGCCTGCTTGTGCACAGAAGTATGCCCAACGTCTGCCTAATACCATCTCGTGATCTGACATGCAGCTGGCGGTTGCAACCTTGACCTGAATATAAGCAGGTGGTTGGATAGCGACAGTGACGAGGTTGAGAATGGAAAATACTCTGCTCTATTGACATGTGAATGTACCCCATAAATGAATAGGCCTGTGCTTGGGAGGGCGGGATTAGTGGCTACCATTGATGGATATCCAATGCTGATAGCTCTACTTTCTAGGATCCAACTTGAAAGGGCACAATTATCCGCTGATAAGTAGGATGATCGTCCTATTCCCGGAGTTGGGGGGTGAGGGAAGGGGGCAATCTTGCTGGTGTTCCCACGTTATTGCCTTAGGTAGCACTGTGAGCTTTAATTTGATCTTGGGTTTCGAAAGAGTTGCCTTCCAACTACATATTAGTTGGGTTAGCACACTCTCTAGCTGACTTGTTTGGGGGCATCGAAAGTGGAATTTGCAAGAAGGGTCAGAAAAGGCTCAATGAGGCAACATCAAATCTAAAGAACATAAACATTGATGCCCACCGGCAAGAGAGTTTGGGAAGTTTGCAGCTCACCGCCTTCTGTCTCAGATATGTAACTCGAGGCCTTGACTTCAAAGAGCACCCAGCCCAGATCAATAATATTATCCTTTAGGGTTGGTGCTAGTAGCTCGAAGAACAAAGTCGTGGATAATGTAAATGATTGCATACGGAGTCAATGGTCATACTTATCTGTACAAGCGAAAACCTGTATCCGCTAACTATGTTTCGAGAAACTGAGAATTGCATTCACCGTGTCGTCTGTCCGCCGGCCCATAGAGCCAAGAATTTCCACTCATGTCATTCTCTAGTAACCCTTGAGCAACTAGGCGAGCGTGGCCCCAAGCTCCTTTTCTAGCACCTGTACCTGGTCTTCCTTGACCGCGTTATCTACATTCGGTTCCTGAGCCGGAACCTGCTGCTCCTCCTCCTGGCCATACTGATCCCGTCCATCGGCAAAGACCTTGTCAAAGTCGTACTCACCCCACCGGATGATGGGACACAGGCCCGCAAACTTCCACACGCCGTCGATTTTCTTGTACCAGTGCTGGTTGGCCGAGTGGGCGTGGCCCTTGACGACGATCTCGGCACGCGTCTCGTCCTTATACCTCTGGTGCGGCACCCGCAGCTGGTGGTAGCCGATGACCTCTGTGTCCGACACCTTCTCCCAGCGCGACATACCAAAGAAGTGCTGCGTCATGAGCAGCGGGTTGCCCAGCACCGAAGGGTCAGAGGCCATGCTAATGAACTCCTCGGCTGGCATTGCCTCCCAGAGCTTGTCCAGGAAGGATCGGTAGTCAACCTGCGGGGAGTAATATTTGTCAGCCATCGAATTGCAGTTCCAGGATATAGGAAGCAACATACGCGAAGATTCGGGGCAATGCATTTCCTCAGACGATCCCAGTCTTTTGAATCATAACTGTCGGCCCATTCGTACGCTGCGGTACAGAGGCCGAGGTAGTCTACCACGGTTTTACATCAGCCATCGCGCTGCTCAAAAGAGGGTTCATTGGCTTACCAGAGAAAGTGATCTCGTTAGGTGGGGCGCCGTTCATGCTGGATAGATGTGGATTTGCCGTTCGGATGTCTTGCAGGTGAGGATTATTCACTAAGCAAAATTCAGACATAAGATCCATGGACGACAATGAAGTGGGCGAGAGCTCGAAACATATGTATGCAGTCAGAATTGCCACTCCCCACCCCGATACCCAGCGTTCGGACGACTCCAAACGATCCAGAATCAAAGGCGGGACACTCTCCAACGGCTTGCAGAGTGTAAGGCGATCGAATCCCTGGAGACATGGGGGATCCGGCTCGTACTGCGGTACGGTCGTCCGGGGTCGCACATCCCCACCACTGACTCCGGAGTCCGGGCTGAACCACGACCACACCCAGCAAATACCGCCTCTGACTTACCCCTGCACTGTACCGAGGAGAAGCAATAAATTTTATCATTACCTCGCCACAAAAATATTTAATGGGGTCATGCCCTTCCAATCATATCTGAGCGGATCTGACTGTTTTGTGCATGCATGTCGGTTTTGGCTGGTGACAGCATTCTACTGGCATGACCACCAGTCACACAAAACCGGTGTGGGTTCAGCTGTCACCACGGTGTGGGTGTCAGGTGCCGGTGATACAAGCATGGCATGAGGCCTGCAGTCAAGAATAGTTGTTGATCATGCTGCAGCTGCCCGAAGATCTTAACCCATTCACTGGGCCGAAGATGAGATGCACGATAGAACAACAGCATTCATAGCTTCCTTGGCACATTCGCCAAGGTCGTTCCAGAACAGTCTCAGACATTTGGTCGTGCTTTAACGATGCCTAGTAGGCCACATAACGACAAGCGTACAGCAGCTGAATCAGTCTCTGATTTGAACCACAAGATCCAAAAACGTGGACGAGCATGGCTAGAGATGTTACAAAGATTCATCTAGAACATCCACACGTCACATTCAAACAGTAAATTACCTGAACCTAGAGCTCTTCCAGTGATGTTTTCAATTACCTGACGACCGTGCACTGTCTCGAAGAGAGATCTAGTCCACCTGCTGCCGACAACAATCGCATCCAGATGGTTCGTCTCCCAGACATGATGGGTGACAATCCAGGGAATTGTCTTAGCTGCTGTCATTACGGGCCGATTCTCAAACAGTCAAGTTTGAATTAATGATCATAGAGGAGATGTGATCTCATGAGCATGGACTGTCTATTGGTTCGGGGAAAGTTTGGAGAGACAGGTTGTATCAGGATTGGACAGTCTGCGCGGAAAGCAAATTCTTGTCAAACAATAAAGCGCACTGGCAAAAGATATTCAAGAGGGATCATCAAAACTGAAGTCTGTCTAGACTAAGTATCGCGAAGCATTGCATTAGGCTTGATTGATTATAAACAAGCTTGAAACCTATTGAAAACCAGTACAAAGGAAGACAGCTAGACGCAGCAAAGATCGAAGTTATTATACCCTGAAAAGAAAAATCGGAGAACCCATACCATCCAAGCTTACACACCCTGCATTACCGAGCCTGCCGGGTAGGAGGGCATCTCCGGACGCTGGATGCCAATGCGCACACGGGTGACCCGGTCCATTCTGTTTAGTGACTCGGTAGGCATCCGCAGCACCGTCTCGCGGTACATGGTCTGCGTCGTCCAGTCGTAGGAGCAGCCAACAGCACGCTGCATACCGCCTTCGCTGGCGCAGAGGAAGAGACAGACCGGGGGACGCACCGCCTCGAAGAGGGTCAGTTGCATGTTGTAGGTGTCGACGAGAGTGAAGACCTATATGCGGGAGCTCAGGTCAACAATTGCCACTTTATGTCTAGTGATTAAGGAGAAAAGAAGAAAAGTGATGGGAACGTACCCTCATCTCGCCCGGTTTGGCCGTCTTGGATCTCTCAATCTTCTGCCGCACTTCAGGGTCTGTACTCGGGTCTACACCGACCCTCTCGCCATCCTCGTTGACATTGGACACACTGAGCGGGCTACCGTTGGTCGACCAGCTGAAGCGGCCAAAGTTGCCGCCAAAGATGGCCCTCTCGACCGTCGGAGCGTTGAGATAGCCCTCGAAGCCAAACAGCGCAGCCTGCACCTCGGTGAACTTGCCGCCGTAGACGGTGCGGATCAGACTCGGCGTGTTGACGAAGATGTAGAGCCACAGCAGAAGGCAGACAACGCCGCCTGGGATGATGTTCGTGACAAAGAAAACGATCATGAGGATGAGCAGCAGTGACATATTCTCCATAGCCTTGACGGCGAACCAGCGCTTCCATGAGAAGCCCGTGCGGAAGCCGACTGGGAAGAAGGACTTCCAGCGGATGGAAGCACCACGAGCCCCGTCAAGCACGATGGTGTCACGGTCGCAGATGGCGGCGACCTGGCAGTAGGGCTCGATATCCCATAAAGCAGAGTTATAAGCATCGGACATGTTGTACCAGGGCTGCTGCGAATTGTTGGGTAGGGTGCAGAGGTATCGCTCAAGAAGTTTGTCAGAGTCGTTGGCAAGAGACAGCCTGTAAATTGTGATACTGTTAGCTAGCAATGACAACCGCATAGCGAAGGATGTGGATTCTGCTTACCGAGAGAAGGCCTGGAAGGGAGAGTCAGTCTTGTCGATCTGGGGTCGTAGGCGAAGAAGGCCCATAAGGGCATAAGCCTGGTCGCCAGGAAGATGCTCCGTCGTGTTCCGGTCGTATAGGCATTTGAGGGCCGTCACTGCGAGCTCTAGGCGACTTAGGTCTAGATTGCCGAGATAGTGGTCAACAAGCTGGCGCGACTGCTCTGCGTCGGTCTTGATCCAGACGCGACCGGCAAACTGATTCTTGCTGACAACCATGGGCGCTCGCAGGTTGCCGCCCCGGGTGTAGACGGGGATGTGCTGGCCGGGACTCAAAAGCACCTCGGGGAACGTCCACATGCGGGTGCCCCATTGAGCGAGAAGCTGGTCTGTGGACAGTCGCTGCACGGCAGCTTTCTCCTTTGACTGACCGACGGCGATGATCATCCCATGAGCGCCGCGGAGAACATCTGAGATGCGGTAGACCTAGACCCTGGTCAGTCGGGATCGATTGAGCAGGGTGCGAGCGCGTGGCAAACTTACATCGGCCTCCAACTCGGCGGGATTCCGCATGCAACTCGCGGCTACCCAGTACGCGGGCACCTTGGCCGCCCTGGCGGCGGTCTCGGCGATCTGGTGCAACGCTATCTTATCCTCCTCCGAAGAGTGGCTGAAATGCTCGGTTGAGTAGGCGATGAATAGGTATGACAAGTCGGCACCGGCGCCATCGGTGCTCTCCCACTCACCTACGTCACGGACATCAACGCCATGGAGAGTCTCGGTGTCGAAGGGGTTGCGCAAGAAGCAGAGGTGGCGCGGCTTGAGAACACGGTAGATGGAGTTGTTGCGGGCTAGCAGCGAGGTGCCGACCTTGTTCTCCAGATGATTGCTCCAGACCTTGGCATCTCCCCAGAAACGGTACGGGACCGGCGCGTAGCAGCCGCTGAACTGCCAGCGCTCGGGCTCACCCTGCCAGAACTGCGGATGGCCAACGTGTCAGAATAATCGAGAGCAACTGTGGCAGATCTAAAACGTACGACGAACTGCATGGCTAGAGCGGCCGGGAAGGCTCTGAGAAGCATGACGCCCCAGTCCTCCCAGGTATAAGTCTCTGGGTCATAGCTGAAGTCCATGACCCAGGTAGCTAGGCGCACGATCAAGGGTGACACCTTGCGCACATAGGTGCGGCGCCAGGTCGAAGTGCCAGGACCCTGGAAGATCTCGTCGGTCGACGCAACGATGAGCTTGCGCAAGCGACCGTCGTTGTGGTGCAAGTATCGATCAAAGTAGGGACCACGAGTGACACGGCCGGCAAAGTCACGATGGCGGAATTCCTGGGTGGAAGCATAGACATAGCCCGGCGACTGGTAATGATGCGGACGCTTCCATCGGAAGATGGTGTGCGAGGAGAACACGTGCTGCGTATCCTTGAGGTTGGTAGGGAACTCTTTGTCATATTTGTTCGTCTGCATCGGCGTCAGGCTTTCATTTCACTTTCTTGTCCTTGCAGAAGAGGCTTCTTACGGTGAATGCATCAGGATTATTGTGCAGTGGGATGATCTGGTTCATCACGGTGGACTTGGGAGCGACCTGTCGAGCAACCTTTTAATTAACCTAGACGCAAAAGCAACCGCGAAACACTTTTACCATGACTCCATCCTTGTTTTGCCCATGAGGCTGACCTTGGAAGATCTGGCCTCCGTGATAAGCCTTGCATGGCATCAACACGCGGGTCCGGGCCCAGAGTAGAAAGGAGAACATTGACTTACGTATTGTTGCTGGAGCGGGGCCGGCTGGATGTTCCCAGCAGCGACATAGCCCTGTCCAGGAGTGGGAGATTGTGTATAGCTCATAGGAGGGCTCTGCGAAGGGTAATATGCTGGGCTAGGGGACTGGTAGGAAGGACTGCCGGTCGACTGCACTGTCGGATGGCTGGCTTGGCCTGGAGATGGCGTACTGGTGTACTGCGCGGGCTTTCCAGTCTCGTCAGTATCCATGACACCTTTTCAACTGTCAAGATGGCAAAAACACTACCTGTGAGGGAATCGGGGGCACGTAGTCACCTCCGTGGTTTCCCTGAGTCTGGTATGACTGTGCGGCCTGGAGGATATCAGCAAGCTTGAGAGGAGAACATACGATGGCTTGTAGGAAAATCTAGTCTACTTACGGGAACCGAGTTAGGGTCCCAGTCACCGCCGTGATGGTTAGCTTGAGCCTAGAAACAGAAGCAGATCAGCTCAAGCACAAGGTGGTGCCAAAGGCATTTCGATCAACATACCATTGGGTTTGCTGGGTTTGCCAATGATTATGGACGGTAGCACTGACGATTCCAACTGGATGTGAATGAAGAAGAAGCACAAGAAGAGAAGAGAAAAGGAAGGCCATGGGGGTGCTGCAATGTTCCAAAGTTATGTATCGCCTGAACCAGCAGCTCAGAACGGACGGTATCCTGCCCGCATCAAAATCGTACTGTATTCGTGCCGCTCTCCTGAACACACCATCTCAACCGATCTAGAAAAGCCATTTTTCGCCCCCATGGCGCTGTAGGCACCGAATAAGGCTAAGGCTGCATCTGAACCCTTGTGCTTGTCCAGCTTCATTGACAGGTCAATCCGGCATGTGCCGCTTGTGTCACTCCATATGCAAGCCCCTTCCCGGGAGCAGTCATTTCATCCCTACATAGAAGAAGGACATGGTCACGAACACCACCTCGAGGAATGCCAGCCGCAGCCCAAGTCCGAAGTCCTGCGCACCACGATCCCGGGTATATTGGTGGCAAATGTGCAGCTCTGGGCCAGTGATAAAACAGCTGCTTCGTGACATTTGGGGGCCGTTTCAAGGACACCAAGATGGCAAGGGGTCAAGTTCGCGATAAGCAACGCGAAAGATGCTCCGAGAAGTGACAGGGTGTCCATCTTGGTGTGTTGCACAGGGAGCCTAGACGGTCGATATTCATGCGTCCCGAGAGTGAAAGTGCCGGGTCGGGTTGCAGTGCCAAGCCGTCGGTACGACAGTCCTATTGGTGGCCTTCTGCCCCGGCGTCTGAATTAAGATGTGCAATCCGAGCAGCTGAGCCTGCTGAAACCCAGGGTGGCATGCATGGGAGCACGCCACAAAACTAGTCACTGGGTGCAGGGGCTGCTCATTGGACAAAGACCGCGTTCACGGGCTGGCTAACACGGCTGGCAGTCGAACGCAGGCAGATCGCTCCATCACCGGTCCACCTCAAATTGCTTATTCTTGGAACCTGCCTCCGCAAAGCAAGCACCCAAGCCCAGTGCTATGGGTAGGGAACGAGACTATTAAGCCTTCCCTCTTGGCGGGCGCCAAACTCGACCCGTCCAGACCCTGCTCCCGGTCTAAGCCCAAGCCCCCGACTCTGCCTGGGGCTCAGGATTGGTGTTGTTAATGCAGATCATGTGTGTTGCTCTCGGTCGCCCACAGTCACTCATTCTGCATTGCATGCGACATTTTCCGAGATCTGGTCAGTTGTATGGTATTAGGAGGTGCGCAGACTTCAAGGATGGCCTCTGGTTACAACATAGCGGAAGAGAAACGATTGTGGCCGGGTGAAAGCTTGAGGGATAGGTATGAGGCATTCAGAAATGCAGCAAACCAAGATCCATCTAGCGGCCCGAGATTCGCGATAGATCTGTGGGAGAAATCCAAGAGTTCGTGTCACGCTCTCCGGTGCTCGAATGTGATCTCCTTTGCTAACCTTCTGCATAGTTCACCCCCAAGGACGCAATGTGAATGGTGTCACGGACCTGGATGCCTTGCGAGAGCCATGTGAACTTCGTTTGATGTACGAGATATTTCGTTGATGTTGATGAAAGTGTAGGAAATTGGAACTAGGACGATGCTAATATCAATCACAGTTTCGCGCCGCTTGACCTACCCAAACTCTCTACCAGGGATGGGTTTTTGGAGCTATTCCATCTCTTAGATATTCCACCGGCCTTTACAGGGGAACGGCTTGCATCAGTGAGCCACAGCTTCGGGACGCAGACTGACCCAAATGGCTTCTGTGCCTGGTTTCATTTCCTATGCAAGCATATCAACTTGGTCCAAGATGAGAGCCAGGGCCCAGCAGTCGAATACCACGTGCAGGCGGATCCGACCTCGCGATGGACCGGCAGACGTCGTGCAGGAGTCTCTAATCGGTTGCCACAGGCTGACTACAGCTACATCCGTTCGGGCATCTTCTTGCGGGCGAGTTCACATGGCGCAACGACCCTGGTTTGTTTCGGAGCATCGCCGAGGGTGAGAGCAGAGCTCGAGTTATCGTTCACTGCAACGACTTGGCAAGACGTTGAGCAAGAGCCTCTCGTCCTCCTACACCCCATAATCCAGGGCCTTTTCAGAGATGTAGACCAGAATGTTTGGAATATGAATACTGTCTTTGGTGCCCTTGAACATGTGAGTCACTACGGGCAGCGTTACCCAGGAGGACGTGGCTGACGCCGAGAGATCACAGAAAACCATCGAATTGTCCCTGCAAATGCAAGGCCATTATTTGAGCAGGAAGATGCCATTTGCAGATTTGCACAACGTGGCAAAACACGTCATTCACCTTGCAGAAGCAGTCGAGGCAATGCTGCTCGTTGCAGAGAGCCTTCTCGAGCACCTCCGGAGCGACAACGCTTCCACGACCAGTTTCGGCAGCACCAGCAGCTCTGGAACCAGCAGCACGACCCTCGGTACCGGTCCGAAACGACAACAACTGCGCGAGCGGGTCTCGTACTCCCGATCTCTATTCCGCTCGACCAGGCTGCGCCTCAACAGTCTGCAAAGGCGCGTTGACAACACTCTTACACTGGCGTTCAACGTGGTGACACAACAAGACTCTGTGACTATGATGCAGGACTCGAATTTGATGAAGATCATCGCGGCTATAACAATGCTGTTCCTCCCTACTACTGCAATTGCTAGTGTCATGGGCAGCCAGCTCTTTGTCACTGAGAAGGAAGGCGACATCGTGACGGTGACAGCATCGCCACTGTTCCGGACATTTGGGGATGTGGCAATCCCCCTGACCGTGTTTGTGTGCTTGTCAGCATTCATATGGCATAGAATAGCAAGGCGCGAGGAAGGATTCAAGAGGCTCTGGCCAAGGCCACAGCCGCCGGCGCCCCAAGGTGTTGCCTAACACGACGAGAGGGACGTTAGCTGGGATGACGGAAGGAGTAGATTCTATGAGTAATTAAATAAAGTGCAGACCATAGCAGCCACCATCATCATTTCAGTCACTTTTACCTCGAGAAGAGAAGATGAAACAACTCCAGTTGACCAAGCTGGATGGACTACGGGGAAATTTGCCCTGTTGCCCACTAAAGCGAAGGCCAGTGTAAACGGGGCAGAAGCCACTGTATCACTTGGAGGATAAAAGCACACTTCTCACGTAATTTTCGGGCTAGACCAGGTGAACGGCCCGTCTGATTTCGGCACAGGGGTGAAGAGAGAGAGACTGGTAGTAATGCTTGATTGATGTGTAGTGGAGAAGACAATCAAGCTAATATTTTGGCCCTTTTTATGTCCATCAGGCCTACAACCCTCTGAGTGGAGCACAATTCCCCCAAACGATAAGGTGTGATAAGCACCAAAGCTGGTAAGCTGTGCCGTCTGGTGCTGCTGCCTGACATTGCGACCTTGGTGAAGCTTCAAAATCTGGTGAGCTTGTGACCTTTTCGCACATCTTCAGGACATCAAACCTCAGAGGCTTCTAGAGCGCCCAGCCAGCAGCAATTGGGATCGGACCAACATATCCTGCTGCATTATGCTTTTTTACAGGTGACACCACTCAGGCAGACTTGAACAGTCTCTCCCTAGATCATGCGCGAGTTTATGGACCACGTCCTGCAGTCCTTCCAGGATGCGACAGGCTGGTATCGCGACAACGGATACGCCGATCTGAATCAAACCCCCAATGGTATGTCAATCGTCCCCCTCAATATCGAAGCCATTACCCCAAACAAGCCCTCACTCAAACTGCCTCTGACATTGGACGTTTGCAGAGTTGCTCAACTTTTACATCCCGGGCGGTCTGCGCTTGACGCTCGCCTCTCTCGCGACGCCCCAATTTGCGACATCCTACACCCTTGGCTCCCTGGGCTCTGTCGATGGATCGATTTCCTACCTTTACTCGTCGCTGCCCCTACATAACGTAATCGCCCAGTCGGCAACTATTCCTCTGCCCACGCTCCTCCGCTCGTACCGTCAGATCCGCGAGTTGCCGGAACAGGCCGTTTCCCAAAAGACATGGAACGCTGCAGCGGCCGGTTCATTGACGCATGGCGCTTTTGGGGACGAGGTCTTGAAGCAGGTGCGCGGGTTCGTCGCAAGGCCCACGCTCCTGTACGGACGACTGTATCTCCCGCAATCTAGACTTGAAGCCTTGGTGGTCAAACGGCTCTCTCCGGCCGTTCAGCTCCAGTTGCGAGCAGTGAGCGAGGCAGAGCTGCGCAATGGCGGGACCGTGTTGGGCCTCGTGCAGTATGATCGTGGTGGATTCGCCATTGAGAGCCTCGCATCGACTGACGGGGGCCTTCTAGGCTTGAGAGGATTGTACAATTTCGGGGGCGACGCGTCACCGGTCAGCCCAACGGCACCGGGTCCTCGCTCCTTTGCGGACCAGACGGGCGTTGGCTTGGGCGTGGAAAGGGAGCGAATATATGGACGGTTCAGCGCAGGCGGTGAGGTTTACTATGGCACACTGAACAAGTCCGCTGGCATGTCACTCGGCGCGCGTTTCGCCACGTTGCCTGCGCACCGTGGCACCCCACTTACGGCGACACTGACGATCAACCCGTTGATGGGCAGCATATCCGCTAGCTACGCAGTGATGGCTCGAGAATACTGCTCCCTAGCGACCAAGTTTGACTTCAACGTCTTCAGCTACGAGAGCGACTGGTCTGTAGGCATGGAGCTATGGAGCAAAAGGCGTCTTGCGGGGCTGGTTGGCGAGGACCTGGGCCAGGTCGAGGGGCTTGCAGACGAGCCCCCGAGAAAGAAGGAGAGGAGTTTCCAAGCGAAGATGGAGTGGAGGCTCGACGATCCAGAACCGGTGCGGGTCCCAGAAAAGACGGATACCGGTCGCGGTACAACGCCATCGGACCCCGATAACGAGTACCACGGCGTTTTGAAGGCTCGCCTGGACCAGAACATGAAGATTGGCCTCTTGTGGGAAGGCAGAGTTAAGTCTTTGTTGTTCAGTGTGGGCACAGGCATTGACCTGCGAAGGTTGGACCAGCCGTTCAAACCGCTGGGGCTTGAGATCCAATTCTCTTCCTAAGCAGTTGGACGGGGCCTGTTACAGATGCGTCATGAACACCAGCGCTGATCAGTCCTCGAGCTGGAATGCAGGTCCAGCCCTCAGCATATCCCAGATCCGTGGGAATGGATCTGGCGAAAAGCCATCTTATCAAAGGCCACTGGCAATAGCGTGCAGGTGTCCCCGAGGTATCTCCAAGTACCCGCGCAAACCAGGGCAGAAAACACGATCCCAGTTATGGATGCGTCGTCGCGAAGATTCGTCGCACCTGATTAATGGCGCTACGACGTTTTGGGAGAAAGGCACGAGATGGACCACTGCTGTCGGATCGCACCGCATGGTTTCTGTTCCAGCCTTTTGATGCCATCTGGTGCAATTGGAGCAGACGGTAATGCACCGAATTTTGGTGGCTCCCGAAATCTCCGACCGAAATCTCCGATCAGCCAATTGGAGGCAAACGCAGCGAGACATCCAGCTACGGCGACGCGGATGATTCCGTTCACTTCAAGTACGGCACGAGATGGACTTTTGAGTCTTCAGCTGATGAGTGGCACAGGCCACTGGATGTGTGGACCGTTACACTGCGCCTTTTCTCGCCTCTCGTCGAATGCCTATCCTCTGTCGGCTCGCGACGGTGCTCCTCGGCCATGTGAGAGGGGTTTAGGGGGAGGTTGAGAACCCGGATGGCCAGCACTGGAGGCGGCGTCGCATGAGAACCTTGATGGCCTCCGGGTTTGCGCCGCCCTGAGTCGATCCCACCAATCAGGATGGAGAAGATTACACCTGATACATCATAAGTGGGGCCATCCCGACCAGGGGATGAGGCTGATTGGAGTCGAGGTCTAGCGCTTTCCGGCGCCTTTCTTTGTCAGCTGGTCTGCCAACAACGACAACTGGCTCGCCCAGCTCGCAGCGACCAGGAAGATCCAGAGAGAAGGCGGTGGAAAACGGAGCGCATGATGTATTAATATGCGCCTGCATCGTCTTTCCGCCCTCCGGATGGTTTGGGGGAGGATTTGAGAAAGGACATGTTATCTGTTCGAGTAAGAGAATTGCGTGGGGCAGAGACGATACGTGGGTGGAAAAAAAACAGCGCCCTCAGATTCTGGCCATCAAGGTTCTCAGAAGGAAAGCTTACCTGCTTGGCGGACTTGCGGGCAAGATAGTCATTACCCGCCAGATCCATTTTCACACAGAAAATTCCAACCTTCCTCTCCACCTGGTTCAATATCATCTCGCTTGCCTCTTTCCTCTTCCACTGTGCTGTGATCTCCTCCATATCAGCACTCGCAGTACCGCGCGCGCACACACACGCACACAATACTTGCAAGGGTCTGTCCCTGTTTGCCGGCTGCGACGACATCAATCGCGCACTATCACGACCGACCAGCTCCCAAGATTGCATTAGGGTGTCACAAGGTCGAGTATCACTGCAGGGACATTAACCTTGATCTACACCATCCACGCGGGCAGCACGACTATCACGGGTGCAACGTTCGACAAGAATCATCCCTAAGACTCTGCGGGAGGATCCAGCGTGTTGAAGGCGCCGTAGACTGTTCATCGTCGTCTCACAAGCTCGGCGCGAGCCGCCGCTTCGCCCATCCAGATCGACCACCTACTACCGGGACCACTGCAGGAGGTAAGCTTTTTGCCCTCGTTCTCCAGAAAGCCCGTTCCCTGTCGTTTCCCACTCTACATATTCTACATCTGATCAGAAGGGTTGCGATCCATCCCATCGGCTCTTTGGCCCTTCTCTGGTGGCGTCGAACCTTGCTAGATGTCTGAGGACTGTCCATCAAGGTTCTCTTGCCCCAGTCACTACCCCCCTTAGATCACACATTTTCGCTTGTACACCTCCCCTCCTTGATGTATCTTCTAGTCACCATGCAGCTCTACACAGTCTAGTCTACACGTCTCGCCCTCCCCAGCCAATGCCAAGATTATAGATATAAAGGCCAAGAAACCATCTTTACTAACTCTTGAATTCCACAAGACTTGACCACCTGTCAGCGTCTCTTCAGCTTCAGGCTATATACTTGGCACTTTCGCGGCTGATCCCGAGCCAAGCACTCCCTTCTAAGTCTCCACGAGTCAAGATCTCTTCTACTCTTGGCAGCCTCAGGGACTCGCAGATCTTCTTTGCTCTGTTCCAGCCACTACTCATCACCGCAAGGCGTCATGTCTTCATCCAGCAGCATGGGTCTTCCCAGGGATCTCTTCGTCCGAGACGATGGCGACGCCGCCGATCAGATTCCGCAATGTGCGGGTTGGGGTAATGCCGACTTCGACAAGGGCCTGCGGATAGCCTCCATCTTCATCATCCTCGTCGCCTCCCTGCTTGGTGCCGTACTCCCGGTGTACCTAGCACGCGGTACGAGCCTCCGCCTCCCCAAGACGGCCTTCTTCATTGCCAAGTACTTTGGATCCGGCGTCATCATTGCCACCGCTTTCATGCATCTCCTGTCTCCTGCCAACGAGGCCTTGGGAGACAAATGCCTGAGCAATATTCTTCCCAGCTGGGACTTTGCTCAGGGCATCGCCCTGATGACCGTCATGGTCATGTTTTTCATCGAGCTGACCGTGTCCCGCTTCGATTTTGGCTTTGGTCACGCCCACTCGCATGATGCCGTAGACCCCGCTTCGGACCTGCTTAAGGAGCAGGGGTCGCAGGACATCGAGTCGTCGGCTGTCAAGGGCCACGATGATGCCAACCGCGTACCAGGGCTGGAGAACGATGTCAGCTACCCGCCTGGCGGCCGCGACCATCTCGGCCATGCGCGCGACCACGTCGACGGTGACTCGTACGCTGCGTACTCGGCCCAGCTGACCGCCCTTTTCATCCTCGAGTTTGGCGTCATCTTCCACTCCATCTTCATCGGCCTCACCCTCTCCGTCTCCGACAACCTCCATGTGCTGGTGATCGTCTTGACCTTCCACCAGCTCTTCGAGGGTCTCGGTCTGGGCTCTCGTCTGGCTACTGCCCGGTGGCCCGCCGACAGCCGCCGCTTCACCCCTTATCTTATGGGTATTCTCTATGCCATCAGCACGCCCCTCGCCATTGCCGTGGGCCTCGGAGTCCGGGAGGGACTGTCGTCCAACCCTGCTCACGCGCAGCTGACTAACGGCATCTTCGACGCCATCTCGGCGGGCATCCTTATCTACACTGGCCTGGTCGAGCTCATGGCCCACGAGTTCATGTTTAGCCCGGAGATGCGTAAGGCGTCTTTCCGCATGCAGATGTTTGCGTTTGGATGTATGGCCCTTGGTGTGGCTCTCATGGCCTTGCTGGCCAAGTGGGCTTAAGCCACTGAGCGGGGGCGAGAAAGGCAGAAATAGAATTGAATACTAGGCTCCCGGGGAAAGCTATCAGTATCTTTTATCTGATTTCGGTTCAACAATGATACCCATCCATGTAGGACGAGGAGGAAATTGGTAGCAATGGGCTGCACAGCATTCCCGCAGCAATGTTCAGGCAAGAAAGGGGAAGATTGAAGACGATCAAGCATTTTGCATTTTGGGAGGAGTTTAATAAGGGTATAGAACAGTATTTTCGGAATTCAACAAGCATTATCATCATCATCATCATCAAAGTTCCTGTCTCGAGGGATTACCAGTAGGGAAATAGGAACATTTGACACGTGGGCGTATATGAAACATCCATGTGACGTTTAAAACTGCTTCGATAGAAGAATATTCAATCTACAATAACTACTTATAGTATGTACATCAGGTTTATAAAGACTGAGCAAGTTATTGTTCTAACAGCTTTTAATAAGAAAAACTGTCAAGTATGATCAGTCTAGTGCCGGTCCCATTCATTGATGCTGGTCAATCCGAACATAAAACGACTCATGTGAGGAACCACCTTGTGTCCGGTTGACGCATGTGAATTATTGTGCTGAAGATGATGTGGTACTGCAACTAATAGGTGTGTGTGCGTCCACAGTCTTCTAGGGTAGTGAGACCCACGCAGGAAAGAAGGTGCTCATAATCCGGGCTAGGAGTTGCACAAACAACAACCTTCTCTGTACACCATCACAAAGGCGGGGTTGACATGGACAATCCTGGGCTCCACAACACAACGAACACAGTCAGATCCGCAATCCCAGAGGATCCGTAAGCGCAGTCAGTTTTGAGAGTTTGATTCCTTCGTCTTTCCATGAGAAACTACTGAATTTCCATACTTGAACACTCTCGGTCAGGAAATCGAACCTGGCAAACTTGCAGGCCACGACGGCTCCTTGAATCAAAAGTCGTCTCGTCATGGCCGTCACTTTAGAGAGCCGTGGCGTCGTGCCAGCCTCTGACGACTACTACAACATTGGCGTCTTTGAGCGTAGAGTCAGCACGACGAACAATGACGCGCAAGTGTGGTTTAACCGTGGGCTGACCTGGGCCTACTCGTTCAACCACCGCGAGGCGTACGCCTGTTTCAAGCAGGTCATCGCTCACGACCCTGTGTGTGTCATGGGCTATTGGGGCGCAGCCTTCGCATTGGGTCCCAATCACAACAAAGTTTGGGGTGCTTTTGATAAGAAAGAACTTGAGGATACGATGAGCGAATGCTACGACTTGGTGCAGAAGGGAAAGGAAGCCCCCAATGCGACCCCGGCCGAGCGGGCTCTTGTCGAGGCATTACAGAGTCGCTTCCCAAGCAAGGAGCCACCAGCCGACCTCGCGCCCTCTGTAAGGGCGTATGCCGATGCTATGCGGCAGGTTTATCGGCGGTTTGGCAAAGAAGACCTTGATATCCGTACCCTGGCTGCAGATGCACTGATGGGCATTGCACCATGGAAACTATACTTTAGCCAGACTGGTGAACCGGATCTCTCTACGCCGGTGCTCGAGGTCAAGGACCTCCTGGAAGAAGGACTGAAGGACCCAGACTCGAGACGCCATCCGGGTCTGCTGCATATGTACATCCACCTGACCGAGATGTCCAAAACGCCCGAGTTGGCCGTCATCCCGGCCGACTACCTCCGCCAGCTCGTGCCGGAGGCTGGCCACATCTCCCACATGCCGAGCCATATCGACGTCCTGGTCGGCGACTACCGCAGGGCTGTTCATACCAACATCCAGGCAACCACTGCCGACGACAAGTACGTCGCCCGCGAAGGCGCCAACAACTTCTACTCGGTCTACCGCATGCACAACTACCACTCGCTCATCTACGCGGCGATGCTTGCTGGCCACCGCAGCATCGCGCTCGAGTCCGTCACGCGCATGGAGGCGACTCTTACCTACGAACTGCTGCGCATCGAGTCCCCGCCCATGGCCGACTGGCTCGAGTTCTTCAAGTCGGTCCGCGTGCACGTCTACATCCGCTTCGGCATGTGGGACGCCCTCAAGGAGCTCCCCATCCCCGAGGACAAAGAGGTGTACTGCTGCACCGTCGCCTTCATCTACTACGGTAAGGCGATCGCCTACGCCGCGACGTCGGACCTCGACAGCGCGGCGGTCCAGCGCGAGCTGTACCTCGAGGCCGTCGAGCGGGTGCCGCCGACGCGCCTCGACTTCCCGAACCGCGTCATCGACACGCTCGGCGTCGCGACGGCCATGCTCGACGGCGAGCTCGAGTACCGGCGCGGGCATTACGACGCGGCGTTCGGGCACCTGCGGACGGCGGTCGAGCGCGACGACGGGCTCGCCTACTCGGAGCCCTGGGCGTGGATGCTGCCGACGCGCCACCCCTACGCGGCGCTGCTGCTGGAGCGGGGCCGCGTGGCGGAGGCGGCCAGCTTGTACGCCGAGGACCTGGGGTACAGCGACAAGCTGGTGCGGGGCCACCAGCACCCCAACAACGTGTGGGCGCTGCACGGGTACCACGAGTGCCTCGTGCGGCTGGGCCGGGCGGGCGAGGCGGCCGTCGTGGCCAAGCAGCTGAGCATCGCGGCGGCCGGGGCGGACGTGAGCGTCAACTCGTCGTGCTTCTGCCGGCTGGAGACGGCCGAGTGCGCACCTGGACACTGCTCGTAGCGGGGTGGCATTGTTTAGGTCCCGGAAGAGGTTGTGGAGATTTGGGTGGCATGTGGCTAGCAGGTAAGGAGGTACCTAGGTAGGTACGGGAATGTTGGAAGTGCATTATCTAGACTTGGCGCCGTAGGGGTAGGGCTTATCAGAAAGGGGTGAATCACCGCCGCATGTTGATTGTTGGACAGCAGTAGTCATCCAAGGGACCTCTCCACATAGCCTACACAGGGCTGGTACCAAGCGAGGGCTTCAACAGAGATCAAGTGCAAGAATCTGGCGTCTTTTGGCTCGATTGTCGAACGGAGGTCAGGCTATCTGAACCGGAAGTCATACACGCGGTTCATGCGAATGCAATCAGGACCTGAGCAACCGCCAGAAAGCTGCTACGTGATCGCGATTGATTCGTTTCGAGATGCGTCACCAGCACATTCCTGAATGGATTTCAGGGTCCTGTTCTCCCAAACTTGGCAGTTAGCGCGGCCTCGTCAGGCCCAATGGACAGCCACCCAGCGCCACCCTTCCATTTCCCGAGCGCCCGGCCCGCTGTTTGCCACTGTCGACCAGTGGATGTTTAGCCCCGTCTGAGCACGGGTTCCACTGTGCAGGCAACCCTCCAGGGCTGCACGGATCCTTACAGAAAGCTTGTTCATCCAACCTGGAAGGATCACCATCTCGATGCGACGCAACAGATGAGACGAAGACCATCGACCGACCTGTCGTGAGAATGAGTGATCGGGGGGACTGAAACATTGGGTCGCTCGTATGTTTTGAAAACCCTTTCGCAGAACAGATCCCGAATTGTGTAAGGTAGAGAAAATAAGAAGAACTCCGCATCTTCGGGCTCTCGGGTTGCTCCAAGCAAGCCGCTGTCGATGGGAATAACCCCGGCTGAGCCGGATTCAAGTGACGTCAATTGGCGCCAGACAGCGACCAAGCTTGGAAATTTTCCCACTCACACCACCACCACCACCTGCCAGCCCGCGTCCCGAAGCCGCCGCCTTAGTAATATCAACATATTGATCCGGGGCGACTACTTCCCCAAAAACCTCCCTCTTTTGGTTATCTCCGGTCCCTCTCCTCCAATGTCCCACCGAAAACTCCTTCGACCGCTGCGGCGGTCGTAGCCCGTCTCGTCTCTCTGTATTGTTCTGCAATATGGATTCCTCGCACGACGACAACCCCTACTTCAGCCAGGCCCAGCGCCCGCGGCCACGCTCGGCGTCCTTGGCCGAGAGCAGCCAGAGGCCGGGCCTGCCGGCATTTCAAATACCCAGCAGCCGCGCCCGCAATGTCCAATTTCGACCCTTGGACCGCCAGCAATCCTCTGTCCGCCTGCGACGGCTACGAGTGCCAATGGCCGCGGCACCCACAGCAGCAGTAGCACCGGACCTCAGCCCCATCACTGACCAGCCCGAGCCTACCGGACTGCCCCAGCAGGACCAGATCACAGTCGCCGGCCGCCGGCGGGCCTCCTCCGAGCCTCGGCGCTCGACCGGTGACCAGAGCATCACCACGGCCGATATCATGAAACCGCTTCCTGCCCTGCCGGAACATAACCTTACCCCGGGCCCTCGCGACGAGCCCGCGCTCACCCCGGCCACCACCAACATTCTCGACTTCCAAACTGACCAACCACCGTACGCCTTCCACCCCGAACATTTGACTGTGGAGGAGCAGGCCCGGATACCACGTTCTCGTCGCGGAACCATTGGCTCAATCCGCGATTTGGCCAGGAGACGACATGCTGCACATCAGAGACAGGAGCCCGGACCAGAGGATGAATATGACTCGAGGATCGTGGATTTACTGGATGTTATTGGTGAGTATCCTGTGGCTCGCACGCATGTAGCATCGCCTCACAATGCATCTGTCTAATCGCTTGTCGTGACATCAGATCCCGAAGTTTCAACGCTTTCCTCCATTACCAATGTCCAGAATTCGCTCTTCGTTCCTTCTCTTGGAAGATGGATAGACCGAAGACCTACCTACGACCTGTCCGAATACCCCGCGCCGCCAGGTGCCTATCCGTCGTCATCGGAAGAGGATATCTCAGTATCGGAGGAGGGTCCGGAGGAGCCGGCTCAGCCGGGTCTGAGGCGCTCCCACAGTTTCTCTACCGTCCTCACAGCACCTCAATACGCGATTCTCCCCGACAATGCGACGCTAGAAGGTTGGACGGCACAGGATATCAAGTTGCTGAACGACCACGTCCGCCACATGCTTCACTCCAAGAGATCCAAGCTCAAGCAGCGTATGCGGGCCTTTGGGAAATACGTCAGGAGACCCCTTGGTTTCTTCATCACCCTCTACGCCACACTCATCACTCTTTTTGGCCTCGCCTGGGTGCTCTTCCTCATCGGTTGGATCTATGTCGGTTCTGAACGGCAGCCGTATATCATCAACGTCATCGACAATGTCCTCGTCGCCTTGTTTGCCATCATGGGTGACGGCCTCGCACCCTTCCGTGCCGTGGATACTTACCATATGATTTTTATAGCGCATTACCGTAAGTTCAATAGCCCCCTTCTTGATGGTGTGAAATGTGGACTGACATCTCTGTAATATCAGATCGCAAGACCTGGAAAATACGCAAGCGGTTGCTCCTTTCCGACCTGAAAGACCACAACGACCTTCCCACAGAAGGCGCCTTCACCGACGCATCTGATCTCGAAGCTGCTCTTCGCACCTCCAGTACCAACGACGGCGAGCCCCTGTCCCTTGACAACATCGCTGTCTTGCCGCCCAAGCAGCAGGACCGCCTGGTGCACCACCAACAGAAGCTTGCCAAGTCGCATACATTCTACAAGCCGCACGAGACCGAGACCCACCGCGCGTTCCCCCTGCATCTGCTCATCGTGATCATCTGCCTGTTGGACCTGCACAGCTGCCTACAGATCTCGCTTGGCGCCGTCACGTGGGGTACCGACTGGCATACGCGCTCCGCGGTGCCGACAACTACGATCCTGTGCTGCTCCATCACGGCCAACTGCTGCGCCGGTATCCTGATTGCTATCGGCGACAGGCGCACGCGCAAGAAGGAGGTTATTGAGCGCATGTTCAAGCAGGACCTGACGAGGCAGGCGATGCGCAAAGTGCAGAAGCGAAACCGCAAGGCCGAGGAGAAGGCGGCGAGACGCAGCGAGGACCGGGAGGGGTTCAGGGAGAAGCTGCAGGAAGGCTTGCCGTGGCTCGAGGGGGCGGGCCGGAAGAGCTCCGACCTCAGCCGGAAGGGCGGTGCCGGGGCGGGGTCCCCGACGGCCGGGTCTGGGGAACCGCGAAAGAGTCGTGACCTCGCAGGCCGATTTAATGTTGCGGCGTCCGGGCCGGCCGGTATGAGGAAGAGCTTTGACATGGTGAGGAAACCCTTGAGGAGGAGTGAGGACAGGATACCGCCGCGGAGGAGCGAGGATGTGGGCCGGGTGCCCGGAGGATTCCCCTCGTCGCCTGCGTAGCATGGGTCCTTCCCCTGCTCCGGATTTGGAGGCGACAGTGCATTTGCGAGCGACTTTGATTCTTTGGTTTAGCGAAGCGACATGGGAGCAAAATGAGTTCAGCGACGTGCTGGATATCTGCGAGATTTCACGATCTTCACGACATGATATCCAAGGGAGTTGTCATGTAGAGCGCTTCATTATTTTCTTTCTTTCTTCTGACCTGTCTGGCAGAAGCGCACGCACACGATACCCTTACACTTTGATTTAGCTCCGCTTCAAGACTCACGATCGTTATGACAACATCTAGATAGATATAATGTATGTAGACCCAAGGAGGAATCGTGTGCGATAGATGAAGGTGCGCATGGGGTGTTAGAAGTAGTTAATACATGGGAAACGACCATACCCACGCATTGATTATCGCAGCCAAAGCTGGTCGACTGCCGCAGGATCAACTGACACTCGCGATCTGCGGGTACATCTCCGCGGTCCGTGGAAGTGCCGCGTCGTCGTCGCGATGGGTTAGGGTAGTTGATTGATGAATCATCCCTCTAATCCTCTAATAACGGGAGATAATTCGGCGTTGTCGGGGTGGAGTCCGCCTGAAAGAACCTTCTTCGCGCGACATTGAATCGCGGGTTAGAGGTCAAGATGAGTCGAGCCGGAAGAGACTGGATCTTTTCTAGAAGAATGGGGAAATGCCAGGGCGACCGTGGAGAAGATGATCCGTTCTTTTAGTACTTGTACAAGGACGAACTCGCACAGCAGCGACACCCGCACGCTCGCTTCGCTTGCTTGGCCTTGCAGTCAGGTCAGGTCAGGTCAGTGCATGCTTGCACCCAACAACGCGGGCAGAGCCGCCGCGGAGATGCTTATTCCAACGCTAGTTCATACCGGGGGTGGAGGGAGGCGGAAAGGGGCCACAAGAATGGGCTTGCTTTGCACCGCGAAGCCTTTTTTTACCGCCTGATGGTGCCATGATGCCAAGGTTTTCTGTACGTAAGAGGCCGCATTGCTTTGCGTCTTTGCGTCGGGTAGCCGGTCTGGATGGAGCAGTAGAAAGAATCTGGCGGGAAAACAGGCGTGTACAGGGGCTGCTGTCATCCGGCATGGGAGGAAATGCCTACGTCTTCATTCTCTCCGCTCGCTCGATCCCTCACTTCTGGAAGAGAAGAACCTCTCCCAAGTATTCCTCGATTGCAAGCTAGGACCAAATGGGAGAATGTGAGGAGGTCCAGGTCCCAGTTATCACAGCCATCAGCCCTTCGCGGTGTGACGCCACCAACCGTCTCGAGCGGCCTTGCCCTTCTTCCGCTGCAGAGACAGCCCAGAGAGACGTGATATTGGTCAGGTCACAACAGGACCTGAGTCTACACTTCCGAGCGACCAACGAGAGGGAGCTGCGTCCGAGGAAAACCCAGGCTGGTGCCCACAGATCGTTGACTACGGGCCCCGGCTGGAACGGGCTCGATAGATCCATCCGTTCCCTCTCTCCCGGTAGCAACGCATACCGACCCAGAGGAGGACTGGCATCGGCATTGGGGTCATCTCTTTAAAGATCCGCCCCCGCCCTAGATCCTGCCTGTCTGTCTGTGCGAGTTCACCTACCGAACGACGACGCTGGCTTGCGTCTCCTCTGTCACAGTTCCGCTACCACCTCTTTTCCTTGCGTCTTTTCTCCTCCTCTTTCTCCCCTATACTTTTCTACTGTCTTTCCAACTTCGGCATCACGGATTCGGGCATATTGGACTTGGAAAAGACGACCTCGTCACCTGTGCGGAACCTCATGGACTAAAAAGCATCGAGAAACACACCGGATAGATCTTTCTAGAGGCATATTAGAAGTGCAGGAGTGCGACCACAACAGGCGACAAGGAGTGGTTTGGCATACCCAAGTACACATCATCCACTCAGCAGGCCACGGTATACGATCAATGAGGAGCTGAGACGCACGGCTGAAGCACCTCGGATTTGCATAACGAGTTGGAGACAGGCGGCCGGGATGCCGATACACCACCCATTCACGCACAGTCACAATGGTGACTTCATGGCCCGGGTCCCCGGGTCCGACACCTCCAACGACCTGACCCTGGTGCCCACTCCCATCCGCCACTCCAAGCCACCCTCACCGCCACCCGGGCAACATGGTACGGCCCCTGCCCGGGCTCCGTCGGCTTCTTCGTCCGCCGTCGATCCAGCCCTGACCGAGGTCCCCGAACTCATCGGCGCCATTCGCCAAGCCTCGCCGCTCCGTGCTGCCATCCTCTCCTTCTCTTCCATCTGGTTCCTTATCCCCCAAGGCACCGGCATCACCTCCACTGTCCTCTTCCGCCTCGACTACCAGTTCCGCGGCCTCGACATCATCTCCTACATCGTGTGGGGCTTCACCGCCGTCTCCCTCTTGCTCATGCTCGTTCTCTACGCTACCCGCACGGCCCTCGACCCCCGCCACGTCGTCGCCTCCCTGGGCCATAACGCCGGCGAGGTCGCCTGCTTCTCCTCCGTCTCCATCGCCTTCACCTCGTGCGTCCAGATGGTCGCCCTCGCCCTCGGCCACATCCCCGGCTGGGCCACGGCCGCCTGCATCCTGTGGTGGGTCAACATGGGCCTCGCCCTCGTCGCCTGCACCATCATCCCCTACTACTACCTGCACGTCCAGCCGCCCGGCGCCCAGCAGATCCTGCCCGTCACCCAGCTGCCCCTCGTCGCCGCCATCACCCTCGCCGCGGGCGGCGGCGTCGTCGTGGCCGGCGGCTTCGCCACGGGCACCGAGGCCCCCGCCCCGCTGCGCCTGCCCATCGCCATGGTCTCCTACCTCTTCCTCGGCCTCGGCATGCCCCTCGCCCTGGCCATGAGCACGGTGTACCTCGTGCGCCTCTTCGACGGCGTGCCGCCCCCGGGCGGCAAGGTGTACCAGGACATGATCCTCGCGGGGCCCTGGGGCCAGGGCAGCTTCGCGCTGCAGGCGCTGGGCGGCGTGCTGGCGAGCCAGGCCGAGGCGTTCGCGGCGTACTCGCCCGGGGGCGTCTTCTTCTCGCGGCACGCGGTCGAGGTCGTCGGCTACGCCAGCATGTTCCTCGGCTTCCTCAGCTGGGGCCAGGGCACCTTCTGGTGGTTCTACGCGTCGACGAGCGTGGGCCACAGCCACGTCAGCCCGCGCAAGAGGACGCACGATCACCACATCAGCTACTCGCTCGCCGAGTGGTCGCTGGTGTTTCCTTGGGTAAGCCTCTTTTATGTTCTTCTTATTCTCTTCTCTGCTTCGCACTGAGGATAGGATCTCCTAGTGGGCAGGGCTTTTCTTTTCCTTTCAAGAGGGCTACTAACAAGAGAGCGGCACTATTTTTAGGGAGTATACACGAATGCGGCAGTAGAGCTGGGCAAGATCATGGACTCGACGGCGATGCGGGTGTGGTCTGCAGTGCTGACCGTCCTCCTGATGATTATAATCTTGGTCAACATGGTGTTTACGTTTAGAGGCCTTATCAACGGGTCCCTGCTGTATGTGAACAGTAAGCCGACACTGATGGCGCGGGAAGGGAAGCATGGTGCGATCAACGGTCCTCTGGAGAGACAGAGATAGAATTATTTATAGAAGGAGCATTCAATAAAGAACAATATCACATCACATCGAAGCAGCAGAGTTTTGTAGGTTCTGTGAAGTGGACTGCAGAGTAAGTGGAAAGGGAGCCAATGATTATTGTTCTCTGTCGTCAAGGAGTTTTGTCTTCTTTCTTCCTGGAACTCCCCATCGGTAGATCTAGGGAAGCTCTAACTCTATGTTTATGCATGCAAAGCCTCAACTGCGAGAGCCGCTGGAAAGCCAAAACCACCTTATGGAGTGCTCTCTGACCATAGGTACCCAGAGCCATGACGACCAGGACGAGCCAGCTCTCGATGTTGTGTCCGAAATTGCTGTGGATGGCAGCGCCTAAATATGCTGATTGAACAGCTTACGGTCCAAGATAGGATATGTGCGGATGAGTCACATCTAGTAACAAAAGACTCATGTTATGTTTCTGGAAAAGGTAGACTTATAACAAGTAATCCACCAAGAAAGGAGCTTCAGTTATGATTTCACCCGTGACCCAGCTGCATGTAACAATAATTGTATGGAAAGGGACTCTTCAAGCAAGAGCAAGAACAAGAAGTCCACCAAAGTAGAAACAACAACCACGTGCAGCCATCTCTCCCTTCCATCCATGCCCTCATTTCCAGCATTTGTCCGATGTCACCTTGATTATCTCCATCTCATTCTCCGAGATCTTTGGAGGTGGCCATGGCTTCCCTCTCGGCCAATGTGACGGCGGGGATCCGTTAGCTGACAGTATTGCGGTGGCAGATCTTGATGTCGGAGACTTCCGAGGCGTTTCCGGGGCCTTTTCGTCTTCGTCATCCCTTTGCTCCTCGCTAGCAGTCTCCTTTGCTTCCTCTGCATAGGACTGCTAATCCCATGCTGACGGCTGCGTTGGATCAAAGTTACTACTCGTCTCGAGTTCGAAGGATATACCGGTCTGTAAATAATTAGTAAGGTTTTCTAAGAGGTTATCAAATAATCATGCCTTTTCACGGAGAAATATCGCAAATTTCTTGCATCCATCACATGGCGGCCGGGATATTATTACTCGTGTTGTCGACCGCCGAATCGGATCCAGTACAACCTGCTTGAGATCCTCAAATCGCGCTAGATCACCTGTATTAAGGTAGTATCGTAGTGAGATCCATATGTACCTAGATATATATTTATCAGTGAGATTCAGTAGAGGGCTAGTGACTTATAATAAAGAAACAATACCACAGCATTATTGAACGTTCAGCGTGAGCGGCGGCGGCGCGTCCCTTCCTCTGTAGGTCTCTTCGATCTCTTCCATCTCTGGCACTGGAGGGGAGCTTCAGGCCGTATTGGCGGCTGAATTTAAGGACAAGAGGGCACCAGAGCTTGCCGTCCAAGACCTGATCCTGATATTGCTCAGGGGGGATCCATTTCCCGTTTCGCACCCCTGAGCAGGCGGCTACCAGTGGGATAGTTTGCCAAGCGGCTTGTCCTGGAATCAGAAATGCCCTAGGAATATCTAGATCAGTACTACTGAATATCAAATATAGCTGATATCTGAGGGGGGACTTACACAGTCTTCCTCCAAGCATTCGTGCCATGACGCGTTTGTACGGTGAAAGGAGCAGTAAAAGGATTAAAGAGTGTCGCTTTCCCATCAGAAGAGATGACAATCTCCAGTCCTCTCTTTACAGACGTCTTTGCTCGTCTAGAGTCTAGGTGCCCAAGAATGTTAGATATTGAAGTGCTTGGAGGATTTAAGGGAGCTTACCGGTAGTTCCCTCCTGAGTGCTATCGGATTGCATGATGGTGATGCTCTTCACCTCTGGATCAGCCATACAGGCAAAGGGAGGTGACTTGAAGGACCGAGACACAGTGAGTCCAGTGCTCTTGAGGGGAGCAGGATGATGGCTCGGTGTTCTGGGGCAGTGGGCGAAGGGAAACCCCTAGAATAGTTGAGGAGGAAGGAAGGGAGAATAGTCTACAGGAAAGACACGTGCTTGAGAATTAGTGATCGTGGGGTAAGAGAGGTTGACTTGGGGTCCTAGGTGGCTGGAGCGTGAAGAGGTCGAAAATTTGAATCTCATGAGGATTTAATGTCGGAGTAAGTTGAAGCCGATAGTCCAGGATTTTGTGCTAAATCGAATTCAATTCTCCCAAAAGAAGGAACGGGGTCTACCATCTTTAGGAGGCCAGAGATCAACATATAGATATGTGATCAAAGCTTCAAGGGATAGAGAACTTTGGTATAGCCGGTCACCATTCCCGGCGAGGAAGACAATATGAGGTAGGTGATATAGTCATGTTGTTAGAACTCCGGCACTTGGTGTGATCGCACTCCGGCTGTCGTTGGCAGCGACTGCGCAGCTTGAGCCACTTCATGCTGGACAGTGCTGGCCGTGCGCAACACGGATAATCGACAGCCCGAGGCCGTTGAGGTAATCCCCAACAGGGGAAATCGTACACTGTAGAGATTGGAGTAGACAACAACAAGAATCGAATCAACCACTTATCGTACTACACGAGAACACCTCCGATACGTATGTACCCGGCAAAAACGGCCGAACCGGGGTATGTTGATGATATGGTATTCTTAGCAGTATATTGTGATTGGTCGACATCAGTCACGGCAGAAAAGGCAACTGGCTCCCAGTGATTATGAACAAAGCCCGATTCTAGCGTTCTAAGCTTCAAAGCCACTGCATATGGAGTAGGGTGTTGTTGTCCAGTGGCTGCATCCTAGGTATGGAAGGCACTCACGAAACCATATGGTTCGGGCACTGGTATACATGGTTTAATCCGGGGTGCACATGGAGTACCTACTTCGTAGCATGTCATATCATTAATGCTTCAGCCCTATGCTACCTAGGTATCAAGGTTACCGGGTTTGCTGACTGATCCAAACTTAACTACTCGTAAAGCCGACCGTCTGGTCCCCACTTTTGGCTGTTTTCGATACGGGCATTTCGGCATTGAATCTCGTGATCGAGCCCGAAGTCGGAGTCCAGAAGGATCTAATATGGTAGGATCTTCGGTGACTGACAACATAAATGCTACTGCAGCCCTGGATTGACAGGCTCTTCGCTTCCCCCAGTGCTGGCCACCCGCCTAGAGCTGCTGCCACGACTCGGATCAGGAATCAGCACATAATAACAGTCTACTAATGTCTCACGTCTGATCTGCTTGCACGAGGATGGATTGATTGATCTGAGTATCCCTGCTAATCCCATCTTTGCTGTGGTCAGGAACCTTGCCGTGATTACTCCGGGCGGAGACCGCGGCGAGCCAAGAAGACTAGGAACGGATGGGCACCGGTCAGGCCCCATCGGCCCCCACTAAAAATCACCGGAACTCCCGGCCTCGGGTCAAAACAAGCTAATTTACCTCCTTCGCCTTCACAGCACCCGCACTGGGGTACCGTCTCTGCGTGTGGCGTAAGGAGATGCTCTTATGTTTCAGAGGGCGTCCCGACTTAGAGATATGCTCCGATGAGGGTGTGTGTGTGGCTGTGCAATGGCAGGCCAGGGTTTGGGCCAACATAAGGCGATGCGCGGAGCTGCCCGATCAGGTAATCCAGGTGCTGAGTTATCCCTCTCCGTCCTCTCTGAGTCATACTTTAATCACGCAGCATCCCCGCGACTTCTCGGCCTTTGGCTGCTCAGAAACAGGCTCGCCGAGTGGAGATCTTGTTCTCGCTTGCCCGTCAACTGCCTATCCTGTTCTGCCGACGCAGCCACACCCCTCCTTTCAATGTTGCTTACTGCTGGTAATTTCTGATAATTCTGACTAGCAGCCATTTTTGATACCTGAGCCTGGCCGGTGTTCATGCTCTGTCAGCAGATGTGCTCCGGCATCGTCGGACTAGCCATCCGTCACCTTCCGTAATGCGGTCTGCATACCTTGAGCAAAAGGTGCGGTCTGGAGCCGGGTCGGCATTTAGCTCGCCCCCTTAATGCGCGAGATTGCCGGCTGAATAAAAGGAGATGTGATCGCTTGCTTTGTCGCTGCCCATGCCCATTGCCCAATGTTGGTTCTGCGGCTTCTCATTGTTGTTGCATTGAACATATCGCCACTTAACAGGTCATATTGGGCCGACAGCAAACAGCGCAGACACTTGATATCTACCACTCATCTTATCCTACTTTAATCCTATACCTACACCAATACCAATACCTGGTCACCATCCTCAAATTGATCTTATAGCCATGGCAGCTGCACCCTCAGTCCAGATGCCAGCTCCCCCTCGGTTACCGTACTCGTCATCCAGCGACAGTGCGCGAACAAGCGACAGCATCAATGAGAAGGGCGCCAACCTCGCCCCCAAAAGAAGATGGCTGTCCTCTCATCAGCGGTCCAAGCACGCTCGCCACCACCACGACGGCGTCGAGGTGGATCGCTCCGCAAGCACCAAGCGATCGCAGACATTCTGGACCTCCTTCAGATACCTGTGCAACCTAACCCAGAAGCAGGTTGATGACTTCATGGCCTCGTACGTGATCTACAACCTGGACTGGGCCGATGAGAAGCAGATGGTCGCGGCACTGGGCCCGGATTACCAGCAAAAGGTCGGAGACAGCCTACGCGCGTACTACGGCGTGCTGAACCATCTCTGCGCCTGTGGTTCGGTGGAGAAGATGTATATCCCGCCTCTGATGGACAAGCGCGCCTCGGTGCTAGATAACCAGCTTTTGTACGAGGAGTCGATCGCGCGCGACATTGGCCTCAAGGCCAGCGATGAGGTGCTGGATCTTGGCTGCGGCAGGGGCAGAGTGGCCGCGCATATGGCCACCTACTCTGGCGCCAAAGTCACCGGGCTCAACATCGACCCAAATCAACTGGCCCAGGCGCGCTCCTTCAATGACGAACAAGGCCTGAGCAACAGCTTTGTCGAGGCAGACCAGAACAACCTGCCGCTTCCCTTCGACGACGACAAGTTTGACGCCTTCTACGAGATCCAGGCGCTCAGCCTGTGCAAGGACCTCACGGCGCTCTTCAAGGAGGTCTACCGGGTGCTGAAGCCCGGCGCCAAGTTTTCGCTGCTCGACTGGGTCAGCCTGCCGGCTTACGATCCGACGAATGCGGAGCACGCGGAGCTAATGCGCCGAGTCAAGCCGCTGATCGGTGCGGTGGGCACGCCGACACCGGCGTCCCTCGAACAGGCGCTGCAGAGCGCAGGTTTCCGGGTCCTGAAATCGGACAATGCTAGTGTGGGTGGCCTGCAGGCACCACTGATCGACAAGGTCGACATCTACTTCCGGGCACTGCGGCAGCTGATCCTGGGCCTCGTGCGGGTGCACGCCCTGCCCAAGCACTTCAAGACGCTCATCAACCGGTTTTGCTTGGATGGACAGGCGTTTGTCAAGATGGACAATATGAGGCTGATCAGCACGAGCTATCGCATCATTGCGGAAAAGCCGTTGTGACCAGGCTCACAGGACTGTCTTTAGGAGATATTTTGATTTCTTTTTTTTTTTCTGTTCTTCCATCGCAAAGATACCTTTACCCTCGTGAAATTTATGCAACGATAATAGAGACAATATTTTCTGAGTCAAGGTTACTGCTGACCCTGTGAGAATAACAGAAACTGAGTACTACCGCAGTTCAAGGACACGTTCCCTATCAATTGTGTTCAGCTGGTACTTGTTGGTGGCGGGATCAGTCCCGGACTGCTGCTCCATCTGTCTGGTTTTCTCCAATGAACTTATACCAGCCTTGTGTGGTGTTGGGCTTAAAATGAAGCTGAGAGTTTCAGTAGCCAGACTAACAGCGAACATATCAGGCATCACCAAAAATTCACATTAAAGCGCGGGTCGGCCAATACAACTTAAGTGCAGACCAGCACTGTTCTAGACTACCAGTTAATCGTCTATATACTATTAGCCCGAACCTCTCAATCGATAGTCTGCCTGAGCGCCATGGCAGGTTGTAATAGTAAAAGAAGTGGCAGGATCTGGCCAAAGTTGAATGATATTTCCGCAGCTTTGAAGCGGAAGGCATCCTCGCCATTGGCCAAAGCAACATCATCAAGTCCCAGAAGAGAGTGAAGATAAGAGCTAGAATATTAAGCGCCGTCGTCTCAAGAATCTTACCAAAAAACACAGCCTAGAGATACCAGAGCATTTAGAGGCCCCCCTACAGCGTCAGTAAGTCTTGCAGCAAATCTGCGGGATGAAGAGATTCCTCTTTACACGGTCGCAGAGAAAGCAGAAAGCTACACCGGGATCAAATAGTTTACCAGCTCTACTCATCCAAAGTATTTACGAGTCTTATATACCTCTGGTTTACCACGACAATTGGTGCCATAATATTTGATTTCTTCATCAGAAACAGGGGTATTTTTAGCGCGCTCATACACATCATGCTGTGGACGTTGATCGGCATGTCATTCCTCAATATTATTTGCATGAACTTCAGCACACGGATGGCATAATCTAGGCAATAGAATCAATTGGGTGTTGGGATAAGGTTGGAGTGGAGCTCTAGATACCTCCCGCTTTTCTTTCATCAACTAAGACGTCTGACCCAAGTGTACTCAATGCAGTTCATCATGTACAGTTATCGTCGACATAACCATTGTCGACACCACTTCTCAAGGACTTGAACACATATGCACACAGCCTCGCCCTTCTATGATTCGATAGTCATAGTACTCGTTCGAAGTTGGTGAGTTACTCCTAGTGGCATCTCGCACAGACACCCTACCCGATAGGGTGTCAGAGCGAGTCGACCGCAAGCTTTTCGACATCCACCCTTGCACATCAACTGTAAGGTGGGAAAAAGTGAAATGCCGAGAGTGTTACTCTTCTATTGACCTACCGCTCATCATCAACCTCGCTATGTTAATGTCTGGATGTCAGATCTCCCAATACCACTACGAGCCCGTTTTGAGCTCGGTTATACGGACTCGAAAGGTGACCGAAGCCCAGTCCTCCGACTCCCATGCTGACAATCTGTAGCCACTCTCTGCTCTCACGCGGACGGGGTTATATTCACCAAGCCTAGGTAGCTCCAACATGGTGAACGACGTGGGCTGCCTCGTGAGAAAAATCTTCACCACCTCCTCACATTCTTCCTGGCCGTTTTCTAGCGGAAATCGCATCCCTCTCTGATAAGTGCCCGGCGTAGCAAACCCATCTCGTGTATCTGCGGCGGGAACAACAACACCACTCGACCTGGTCATTTCCGTAATTTCCCATCCCGAGCCCATAGCAAAGACATAAAGGAACACCTTCTCCTCCTTTTTCTGGGCTTTGTTCTCCACCTTCAGCTTAACCGTATCCGCTGGAGTGAGATGTATCACACAGTCTGGATGGGCACATGCATCGTGCACATCTGAGGTCTTGTGGCAGCCTGATTTGAAAGGAACCTCGTCGTCTTCTTTGCTGAGAGTAACAGTGAACGAGCTTTTGAATTGCTGTGTGCCAATATCAGTGTCATGATTCACAAGATCTCGTACAAGCATGAATGAAGCTAAATGCTGGATGCGGCTCAAGAACTGCTGTATGTCTCTTTCAGAGGCATCTGTCACGTCGTACTTCACTATAAGTCGGTCTTGATTGTCTGTTACACTCATCGTCCCATCGTCAGTTTCCTCGAGCCTCAGGTAATCTGTATCTGCTTCACTATTGTGATCGTGCCAGGACATAGATGGCCGACTTTGTAGTGCTTCCTGCCACTCTGCGCGGTATTCTGGGCTAAATCCGACTTTGACTGGATATTGGTGAAGGTTGTGTCGTGTTACGGCTCTTGCAAGCCAGCCCGTATCGATGTTTTTAGAAAGTCCGCCCGTGTCTTCTATGACGTGCAGACTCGACGTAATACCGCGGACGTTCGATGCTTCTGCGATAACGGGTGTAGCTTCAGTGGGAGAAATCGAACGCCCAAACTTGTAGATGGCGAAAAGGTCTCCCACCGCAACTCCCTGGGCTGCTCCGGCATGAAGCCGCAACATGGAGTAGGTTTCCACCGCAACCTTGGTGACAGCTATGTTACCTAAGGAGCTTGGTTTTGGGAGCCCGAAAAATAGCTGTTCTTTGTTGCCTATCAGCATTGGATTTTGCTTTTTTGATTTGTGGTAACGACGGCTGTCGGCGATCTTGGCAGAGACATGTTGGAAGAGCTGGATCATGTTGCCACCCACTCCATCGGCCTCGTCGAAGGCCTCGAGCAAGTAGTAACTCAGTGTTCCATGCCGTGAGCCGTCCCCAAACTTCACTCCGTACGCCCGTTCTGTGGCGTCGCTCGACGTGAGAATTGCAAAGCCATCTGGGTCAGCCAACCAGTTGAGCTCCAAAGTTGGTAGTCTTGGACCCCGAAGAGAAGACTGCTCTGAGGTCATGGGTCCAAGGGGCGCTGTGCCGTCGGTTGACAGATGTTTCTTGTCTAGCTCGGGGCAGTAGGGGAGGTAACGAATTACTTCTTCGTGTCGCAAGGTGCTTCCAGAATAGCAGCAGTCTAGAACGATAGTCACGCGGACTTGCTGTTGAACCAATGCCTTGAGGTATTCGGCTAGCTGCATGCTGTGGAAGTACCGCAGTTCGTCTGCGGCTGGACCATCGAGTACGACGAGTGCTAAATCGCCTGTATGCCGATTCGACTGCGGGTACCTCGGAGGGACCAGTGTGCTGTGCCCGGAGAAATGTATGTATACAAAGTCGCCAGCTTGCGTTTCTCTCACAACCTTGGAGAGACACGAGTGGATATTGTCATAAGTAGGCCAGAGCTGTGCCGGCTCGATCGGCTCGCGTCGGTCTGGCTGAAAGCTCGCTATCAGGCTCTGAATATGCAGACCATCGATGGAGCATTGCTCTAGCTTCTTGGTGATTTCTAGCACGTCTGGAACGCATCCACTCAGGCCTCTCTCGTCCTCCGTGTCTGGAGAGTTAATACCTATGAGAATAGCATGGTATACCGCTCTCCGGATCGTTTCCATCTTAAGCTTTGAGACGAGTGGCTTTTGGATCTCAAAGGAAAGGACTATTGTGCAAAAGCGAAGACCTGTCACTGAATGGCAAGGACAGCAACTGAGGGGAAGATGCGGCTCAATTCGGCGCTGACTCATTGTGAGCCCTTGTGCAAGGCAACCACGGCTACGTGGCGTGCGTCCCAAGATGCATCTTCTTGCATGTCGCCAACATGTAACCCCACTAAGTGTGTACCGGTACATAAACCCAATGCGCCATTTTCCAGCCTGACATAAGATGAATCAGCCGCGGACAGAATATCGGTTTTCTAAGCCTGATCAGCCGCATGGGGACCTCTAGGCTGCTTCCAGTTGAGACTCCGAATATGCGGCCCCGCTGTTGGCTGAGGCACTGGTCTGCACATCGCAAAGTGTGTATTCATGACTTGTTCCAGCAGAGCTCAGTGCGACTACGGCGACCTTGTATGGTCCATCTCGTTCGCCTTTGATCCGCACTTGCTGCCCGACAGAGAACAGGGGCTTCTTCAGTTCGAATCACTGTTTAGCACATGATGGCATGTGGAAAAGGCGGCCTCGATGACCTAAACTTACGATTTTGGACTTTATCACCTTGTGGCGCTCCTCATCACTGCTATCGTCATCGCTGTAGGAGACGAGCGGCTGCTGTCGACTGCCGAAGCAAGGTTCAGTAGACTGCCTATACAGTGGACGGGCAAAATTCACCGCTCAGAGTTTGACATTTTTATGACTTGAGAAGAATGAAGAATTTACTCAGAGAACCTGAAGGCAGTGCCACGTAGCGGCTTAAATAGCCTCAGCCTGGAAAGGTTGCCTCCGGCCTTTTCCGACTTACACTGTACCGGGTACCTGTAGTCTTATTCAGTGTCACCTCTGGTGGCAGTGCACATCAGACGTGAAGGTGGTGCACTCTTATTGGGTACTGTAGCAAAGGCAATCGCAACCATGCAGGGAAGAGTCATGCGTGCCCGAGATCAAACATGATTGATTCCCACTTTCTATTGTATAAACAGTCTCCTCAAGAGGATTAAGTTGAGATGTATGACAATGATATATATAGATGATCGGGATACAGAAATTGGAGGAGAAGTCGGTTCTGACGAGGTACTGGGAACTCGATTTAACAGCATTGAGGGTCTAATCAGCATGGAGCGGCTGAAGTCTATATTTTCTTCGAAACTCTGTCTCAGGTTCTGGAACAGAGCCACTGCCGAGACCAGAGATGAGCTAGTTGACATTGAACTCACGAACCGCGATACGGCCAGGTCGGAGCTAAACAGTATGTTCCTCTGCTTCGTCACGGACGTTTCCGGGTGCTCAAAACCACACACAGTCGAAAGCTACCCCCGTGGGTATCCACAATACTCGGCCCTCATATCGTCCTCCGAATCTTTCTTCATCTTTAGATCGTTCTATCGGCTACGAGCCAGGGTCTTGCTCACTAAGCAAGACGAGTTGCATGTTCTAGAGTCGCGACTCGACCAGGTCGACCGCGGAGAGATCGCGCCTTTCTTCTTAGGAACAACTCGAGATGACGGCAATGCTGACCGTAAAGCGCTCCTCGCTGAGATCAGCCTGAAGATCACCGAGTTTGGTATATTCCCTGATTTTTCACCTCCCATTCCCGCGTATTTGTCTAACAATATGTGGACAGATGCCTTTATCAATCAATGCCGCCACATGCTGACCTATTGCCGGGCGAATTCTCGCGATGTAGCGAGCCTCCAAAACTGGCTGGAGTCGACGGGCTGCTTAGTTAGACATGAGACCTCTTATCTCGAACGAGAGAATGACCTTGTATCGCTTGCAACCTCCGACGACGTTGCCCTGAAGCGTCTAGAGGATTTTATTGAAGATCGCCTGATCCAATACTACAAGGGGTTCCGATCGGTGAGTTCACCCTTGTCTTTACGTCTTGAATTATCTTCAATGACCGTGACATGTGAAGACTAAGGCCTGGCCACAGCGATTAGGGTTCGATGCCTCGACGAATCCCGATATCTATCTATACACTGGCAGCTTGATCAAGTCTATCGCCAAGGGGATGATGGTCCTCATCATGTGCTTCTTACTACTTACACCTGTTGTCATTTGCATCCTTGTCGACCGCACCGCAACCCGGATCAGTATCATCTTCATGTCGACCGCGCTGTTCCTGGGAGTCTTGGCATGGCTGACGAGGTCGAGGATGATAGAGTTGATCTTGGCGGGGGCAACGTAAGTCTGCTGAAGCTTCTGAATACATCGAGTCATGTCTGACAGTTGAAACTTAGGTTCGCGACCGTTCTGACAGTGTTTGTCTCCAACACTACCATCCAAGAAGTTGCAGTCAGTCAGAATGCCCACTAGCTATCATATCAATTCGGATTACCATCATGGTCACAGACATTGGGGACGGAGACCAGATGATGGTCGACCTTCTGTGCTCGGATAAGTTTGTGTATACAATGATTAGGGAGGGCACCGTCATGGTCAGCGTTTGATTGGGTTCGATGTTACCCGTGAGTGTGTGACGTGGCCGGGCTGGGCTCTTGGAGGGCTGGCCAATGCCCAATACGGGTCATAGCTGCAGTCAACGTGAAGAAATCGGGCGACTGGGGGCGGTAGCACGGGTTGCATCGGGATGAGCGCTATGAATTTCAAGGCAATCAGTATTATACCCCGCGCCACCGACCCTTTGATATGGTGTGATGCACAAGATCTTGGCGCGTCTTACGTGAATCTCGACTACCGGACTGCTCCAAGATAGCATTTTTCTCCTCCAGCATCGGAGCCGGACTAGTCTTTACGCAACAATCATTCTCCACGGAGCATGTCATCCTGGTAGAGTCTAATGGATGACGTGGATGAGGCCATCCGAATCGCTCGACATGCAGTCAGCGCGACTCCGAGCAACGACCCGAGCCGGGCGGAAAGCTTACTTGACCTTGCGTCAAAGCTGGATGATAAGTACCAGAAGAACAATCAGAGAACTTCTGCCGACCTAGAAGAGATCATTGACCTCCATCGCCAAGCCGTCGAAGAAACCCCAGCCGATCATCCAGACCTGGGACAACGACTGCAGTGGCTCCACCACGACATTGCTAGCAAGTATACAGAGACCGGAGCACTGGCCGATCTTGAAGAAACTATTCGAATCGTTGAAAGACTTGTTAAAGTGACGGCGGGAAAAGACCAAAATGACTTTGACCCGGAATCTAACTGGGACTTTTGGCTGTTCCAACTCAAGTCGTACCTCTGGAAAAGGTACAACAAGACTGAAGAGTTAGATCATCAGAGGGAATACATCCGGACCTGTGAGACATTTGTCCACGGGGCAGATCTGTCGGAATCGCTATGGATTTCCGAAGCACAACATCTTGAGCTTTATCTAACCGACGTTTTTGGCAAGACCGGGGACGTGTCTCTCCTAGATGAAGCTATTTCTCTCGCACAAACAATTGTCGATAAGACTGCGACTGACGACCCAGACCGGGCAGAACGACTGGACTGTCTTGGAGACCGGCTCGCTAAGAGATTTGTCGAGACACGAGCAATGAGCGACATCGAGGAGGCCATCAAGTCTAGCCAGCAAGCTGTCGAACTTACTCCCAAAGAACATCGAGATTATCCAGTACGATCAACCAATTTTGTGCTTCACATGAGTAGCAAGTACTCAATCACTGGGAAATTTGCTGAGCTTGAAGAAATCATCCGACGCATGAGAGACATTGTCAACGTGACCCCTGATGATCATTGGCACCAGGCCAGAGGGCAGCATTCTCTCGCGTCCCAACTTCTCCACATGTACGGGAGGACTGGGATATTGTCTGACTTGCATGAAGCCATTCAGCTTGCTGAAACAGCTGTTGCCAAGGTTCCCAGTTACTTGGCTCAGACTCGGGCATACTATCTGGATACGCTTGGTAGTCTACTCAAATGGGAGTACATAACAACTGGCGACCCGGCTCTACTTGATAGAATGATCAATACAACTCAGCAAGCTGTCGAGTCCACTCCAGTCGGGCACCCGGAGAGGGCCTCTTTTTTACGCACTCTCGCAGAAGGCTTTCATGAAAAGTACCGAATCACGAAAGCGACGAGCGACTTCGAGAGCGCTTTGACCTACAACATGTCTGTCATACACCAGGAGAACGCACCCGTACTCACTCGCATACTTGCGGGCAAAGAGGTCCTCAATCTCTGTGCAGAAGCGCCGGATTGGGAACGGGCTTTCCAAGTCTCGAACACGGTGGTCGATCTCATCTCCAAGCTATCGCTACGGTCCCTTGGCACCATGGACAGGCTTAACTTCGCCTTTAAGATATCCCGCTTTGCATGTGACGCCGCAGCTTCGGCATTTCATGCAGGCAAGGGACCGGTTGCTGCGTTGAAGTTCCTCGAGCAAGGCCGCGGCTTGATGATTATACCATTTTACGAATTGTGGGCAGATATCTCCGAGCTGGAGCAGAAGGAACCCGAACTGGCAGACGATTTTGCTCGTCTTCGCAACGAGGTTTCACTTTTGGTCGCTCGCGACTCTCCCGACTCGGGGTCTGGCTCACCCTCAGGAGGGCAAGCCAGTCGACGACGGTACGACGTTAGCCAAGAACTCGAGCGAGTCGTTGCTGCAATTCAGAAGAAGCCAGGGTTTGAAAGGTTTCTACTCCCAGCCAATGAAGAAGAGATGCGAGCAGCGGCACGGCATGGCCCGATCATTGTCATCAATTCGAGTCGACATCGCTGCGATGCCATCCTGATTGAGACCAACCAGATACGCTCTCTAACTCTGCCTCACTTCGCCTACGAGGATCTGGGCACATACTTGTTTCAAGGCGATGTGTCCAGCCCAAAGGTCCTAGGGTGGCTATGGGATGTCGTTGCAAAACCTATCCTAGAGGCTCTCGGGTTCGCTCGGCCTCCCATCGACGGCGAGTCCTGGCCTCACGTGTGGTGGATCACCACGGGGCATCTCAGCAAGTTTCCTGTGCATGCTGCAGGCGACTACAGCGAGCACCGGGTCCCTTTTCAGACAGTCCTCGACAGGGTGATGTCGTCGTACAGCTCCTCCGTGATGGCAATCATACATGGCCGCCAGCGCCGCAGGCGAACGGTCGCCTCGCCAGCGACGGCACAAGCACTGCTCGTTGCGATGGAGCAGACTTCCGGCTGCAGCAAGCTAGACTTTGCGACCACAGAGGCGGCGATGCTGCGCGGCGTGTTCAAGTCGCTGAACCTCGACTGCGTCGAGCCGCGAAGAAGCAGACAGGACGTCCTGTCGACCCTGTCCAGCTGCGACGTATTCCACTTCTGCGGGCATGGCCACTCGGACGTGAACCCGTCGAGGAGCCGCTTGCTCCTCGAGGACTGGCAGACGAACCCCCTCACGGTCGCCGATCTCCTAGAGGCTAACCTCCGCGACAACCCCCCCTTCCTGGCCTACCTTTCCGCGTGCGGGACCGGCCGGATCGAAGACGAGATCTTCGTCGACGAGAACATTCACCTCATTAGCGCGTGCAATCTGTCCGGCTTCCGCCACGTCATCGGCACGATGTGGGAGGTCGACGACTCGATCTGTGTAGACATGGCGAAGCTCACGTATGAAGGCATGAGGGATAGGGGTATGACGGATCTGTCGGTGTGCCGCGGCCTCCACAATGCTACTCGGAAGCTACGAAGTCGGTGGCTTGATATGCTAGCAAGGAACAGAGGTGCTATTGCGGCTATTGAGGCCCTTACGATTTCAAACGATGGTACTGTGGATGATACAGGCGATGTGGGCCTTGGCGATCAAAATAGGATGAGGAAATTTGAATGGATCGAGGAGGAGGAAGAAGACGGGGACGATGAGGAGAAGGGGAAGGAAGAGCGAGGAAGCTCGGGGCATTGGATTCCCTTCATTCATTTTGGCGTGTAGTCCGACCGTAGCTCGATAAGTTCTATCACCTAGATCATCCTCTAGCACCCTGTTGCCTTTCCCTCACCCGAAGTGGCTCCTCTTATCACTGTACAGTGAGCGTGGGTGAGTCATCTAGGGTGAGCTCCGATTGTGAATGACGTCTAGTAAGGCGCCACAATCTATCTGTATTGCCTAAGCAACAAGTGTTGAGCACCTTCGACTTTTGTGCTATCCAAGACTCTTCCTACCGCAGTCGCCACCGCCGCAATCCCCTCGGTAGGCCTTACGTCGTGGGCGCAGTGAGCGAGTCCAATGGCAGCCAGCGCACCCAAGACTTGTGCCCTGCTCGCAGGCAGGTGGTCGACGAGCCATGAGAGGAGGCGTAACTGAGCCGCGAAGCGGACATCGCCCGGCAGCAGAACTGCTATGTCTGCAAAGGTGTGCTCTGAACTTGACCGTGACATCGGCGTGTTGGAAGACGCGGTCGAGTAGAGATTCATCGACGAGGAAGCAGCTACCGAGTTCTCAGACTCGAGCCGGATGGGCCCAGCAGCCATTTTTGCCGCCATTACATTCCAGGTCATGCCTGGCTCCACGTTGGCCCAAGTCGACGGGATAGTCTGACATGGCACGGCATTATAGGAGGTGCAGCATGTACAGTTGCTGAAAAATGGAGTGTTGAAGAATGTCGTCGAGGTCGGCGACTTGGTCGCGGCGTCAATGTACTTGATCAACCTCGTCGTCCATATCAGAACGGTCGTGTAGTAAGTCAAGTCCTGCATCTGCGTGAAGGTCTGCTGGGTTGCTGGCGGTTGCTGGGTGCTGCTCTTGTCGGGGAACAAGTCGAAGAGCATACTCATCTCGTACACATCTGGGCCCTCCGCACCAGCAACGCCGGGACGGTAGTCATCGTCCTGGGCGACGCGGAAGGCCCACTCGATAAGTTCATGTCCACCAAAGAAATTAACATGTTTCCACTCGGCAAGCCAGACTCTCAGCTGTTCCCTTGCATCCGTTACTCGCTTCAGAAGACGGGGGAGTGTCTCTGGGGTCTCCCAGCGACGGGACTGGTAGCCACTCTTGGTCCATTGTATGCGGTCCCGCATTACATCCCAGGCGCCTTGAATGATGGCTGGAATATCGGCCATGATATCGAGCAATTTACTGATTGGAGTCTTGCGCCCGGGCAATTTCTCCCAAGGCACCGTCTTCCACTCCGGCTCCTCCAAAAATGACCGTTTACGAGCAACAATGGATTGCGAAATCTAGAACAGAGAATGTTAGTCTACAGTAATCCGAGAGTCAAAAGCCTAGATCATACGAACCAGAGTTAGCCTGCAAGACTCGAACACAGGGAGCAATGACGGTGACTGAAAAGCCTCTGGGCCACAGTGCTCCAGTATTCGTGTCAGGCCCCGGTTGTGAGTGAACCTCAGATCGTGCTCCACTGCTACCTGCACGTGAAAGCCAAAGTCAGTATACAGATATCGTCCATGTAGACTCCTCACTCACTGCATATGAGCCCATGATGGCGATAGGCCGGATGAGTTCAGCAAGCTCATGTTTTGAGTTGCTGCTTAGCTTGACGCGCAATGTGTTCAATGTTGAGCCATAGAGTCGAGAGGCGGACTGCTTCAGATTATCGAGATGGTGGTCCCTGCCGAAGAGACCATATGAAAGGGCGCGTAAGCTATCATATGACATGGCCTCGCTGGAGAAGTGGCTTCGCATAGCCGTGTCTTGCAGGAGAATGCTGTGCATATTGATCCAGCCGTAGGACTGGAAGAAGTAAGAGAAGGAAATGTCGTCCACAAAGGGAGTGAGATCCATCTGCTGTGGAATATAGCTTTGGCTGTCGGCGCCAGGGCTACTTCTGCTGCTGCTGCTGCTGCTGCTGTTGCTGCCAGATTTCTTAAGGACGATTTGGCTGGGCGGTGTTGAGGAGCCTGTCGTTGTCGATATCGACCCTATCTCGGTAGGCACGCTCTCAATGCTCTCCTTACCGTAAGTTTGAGACGAGACAGTCTGATCTCGCTTACGTCTGGCCGGCAATCTCTTTGCCGTGGCGCCTACCGAACCGCTGGGAAAGGACGAGATGGCCTGAACCTTGGCAAGGCGTGAGGAGCCGGGCTCGACACCAGCCACTGCAGCATGGTTCTGCATGCGCAGCACAGTCTCGTAGCCGGCGCAGGTGTAGCCGCCCTTGGTGCACCGCTCACACACGGGGCGCGCCTTGTCGCACTTGACACGTCTGGCGCGGCACGTGTGGCAGTTGCCGCTCGAGGGAGCTCTCCCCATCGCGGCGGATTCCGGTGGAGGCCAGCCGGGAGATGCCGAGGTGCTGGATCAGGGCTGTCCGACGCTATGCCCGCCCGTCTAAGCGTCCTGGCGCCGTTGCGGTGACTTTCGATGTGGAATAAAGACACAGATGGCTTGATAGAAGGTGAGACCTGCTGGTGTGGCTCCTCAGATGATGGTGATATATTCAAAGGGGAGGGTGGTTGACTCAGCTCCAGGATCCAGGATGGATGGCACCAGTTGATGTGGGGAATTCCAGGTCCGGGCGCGGTTGATGCACCCATGCCCCAGGACGGGTGCGCTAATGCCCTGCTGGAAAGGAACGTCCACAGGTGTCAGACTTGTATTAAGCCAGGCCCCACATGATTGATTTCCATGCCTCAGACTTTCTTTTCCCATTCAAAGGAAGACAACAGTCACGCTGCTTTGGGATGCACACATTGGGATTGTGAAGTTCCATTAAGTCCTAAACAAACGGGCAAGGTCTCCCTGAGCTTAAAGCTTCAGTTCTGTTCATAAAGGCTGGAGAAAAGAGCGTGAGCGTGTGACTGGGAAGGTCTCGAAGAAAACTGTTGGTAACTGCAAAGGACATCATATTCTCCAAAAATGCAACTCCTCCCAATGAACTCGTATGAATTGATACAGAAAACTCCCAGCGTGACGAGCCGGGGTGGATAGAAATAGAATATTGGTGGCTGGAAACTCCCGAAAGTTCCTTGAGATGCGTCACAAGAGATTAGAAAAAACCAAAAGGAAAAGAGCACAACAGACACAAATGAGATCCAGCTCGTACACAACCAAATGCAATCTCCCATAGAGCAGCAATGCAACTCCCTACACTATGACACAACCTTCGTGCCAAGCACCATCAGGCTGCATTCGTATCAAACTCAGGTCGAGCAAACGTATGGTCTTTCCACCTCGTGTCTTCTTCATTCTGCCGGTTTGTCCGCCGGCGGGTCTGCCGGCGCTGCCGCCGCCGCCGTTGCCGCGCTGTCCGAAGACGACGAAGACCCCTTGGAAGACTTTCTGTGACGGCGACGGCGTCTGCGCCGGCGCTTCTTCTTCGCCTTGGTCCGGATCGAGACCCGGTAGTACCAGCAGAACGCGAGGACGCCGGCGAGGAAGAGGGCCAGGACGACGCCGACAACCACTCCTATCGTGGTTCCGGTGTCCCCGTCGGACCGGCGCTTGAGGGCCGATCTCGGTGCTAACGCGTCTTGCGAGAACGAGTCGACATCGCGACGTGCAAGACCTGCAGGAATGAGCGCAGGCTCACTTCTCGGGTCCGGCCCGAGACCGCCCGGCCGGCGCGGCGGGATGGGAATATACATGGACCAGAGGTGCCGATGGATGGTAGGACAGTGCTCCTTCAGTAACACAGAGCTTCAGGCCAGCAGGGCGCCAGTTGAAAACAGCACGTACGACTGCCAAGGTCGATGCCGGATGTCAAATTGGGCTGTTGGGCGTAGATGAGGCAAGTTGCGGGTAGAGAAAAGGGTAATTGGACCCCCTTTTTACAACGCCATGGCTGAGATGGGTGAACGTATCAGATCTAGTAATACAGAGAAGCCGGACGGTCCAGCAGAATCAAGTACAACTAGAGGTCAAGGAATGAAGAGAAGGCGCTGACACTGGCAGCAAGGCGGAGAGTGGCATTCTTCTAGTCATGGTCTGCTGGAAGATCCCATCCAGGAAGGCAAAATGCGACACCACACAACCGGCGAGAGGGTGGGCGGGCGCGCCGTCTATATGGGTGGGCAGGGCAAGAAGGGGCTGCCAGGGCTGGTCGAGCCAGCAGTTATCTGTATGCATGCTGCAGAAATTGGCATTTCGCGTGAGCCGATGGAAATTGTATGATTTGATGCAGCAAGCCAGTCAGACATGCTGCGGATGCACCGTCGTTCGGCCCACGGGTTCCACGGGTTCAAGTGCGGGGGTGGGAGGACGAGAGCGACTTGTCTCTTACCCGTCTGACCAGGGCGGTCGTCCATGATTCGCTGTCCGAGAAGACAAGGGAGTCTATCTGTGTGAGGAAGAGGGGACAGGGAAATCTTGATATCAGAGAGGCTAATATGGATTAGGTGGCGAGAGCTCATCCTTTGGGCACCAACCACCACACAAGACGTGAAAGAAATGCGAAGGCCTTTCTTCCCACACTCGATGCAGTCTCCCAACACTTCAGCAAAATGACACTTGACAGATTAAAAAGTACTGAGCCAATCGAAGATGGGCTTCCGGTCTGACAGCGCTGCCGTGGAATGATCGCGGCAGTCTGGGGAAACACTCTGGCCGACCTCCATCGCACAGATTCCGTGGTCGTGTAGCACCGGCCTGGTCTCGAGTTGGCTGTCGACCACGTTGTTTCCCAAGCCACGAATCAGAAGACCACAGACGGCCTTGGATCGAGGAATCAACGAGGCGGGTACCTGTCGTGACCCTTGGAAGGAAGATGGTGTGGACGGTCCGGATAGCTCAAACGGAGGGGCAAGCTGCAGGTCTCATGCAGCTCCGGGCCTAGCACCATGCAACCACATCCCGGGTGACAACTCAGCATCCACTGCCCGAGACGAAGCAGGGCTTACGTGCAGCTACTGGCTGCCGTTATATGCTGAGGCTGTAGCCAATTACAGCCGTATTCCACGGGCTATCTTGCGCTCCAGCGCCATAGGCGGAAACTGTAACCCAGAGTCTCCTCCACGTTGTGCATATTTGTCGAAGCAGATGCTTGCTAGGTATCATCAAGTGCGGTCCTTATTGTCAAACATTCCAAAATGTATGATACATGCGAAATTAAGTTGATTATGAACTAGAACATAGATGCCAACACTCCGGTGACACTCTTGTGATGTAGTAAGCCCAGAAGCAGGTCATATCATGAGGCTCCTGGGAATGTTGGTTCAGAATCATGGCTCCAACCAGCCTCATACATGCTTTGGAACAGCCACTCTACCTGCCTGATCTCCCTGCTGTCCAGATCCTCCAGAGTGGTCAGACCATCGGCTTGCCGCCAAATTCTCCAGGACAGCCCTTGAATCCTGATGTATCTCAAATACGGTATAGCGAGAGCAAGAATCTTTGCTATTGCCTTAATCTCTGTGCCATCGTCACCGACTCCAATACCCACGCCACGCCAAGCATCGCTTTTGACAACCATTTGAGTAAGCTTTGAGAATCCATTCAGAATCTGACAGAGTTCTCTCAGACCAACCACCCCGCCCTCGGCGTCTCGATCCGGGGCCAAGTTGACCATGAGACCTTCAAGGTTTTGTGGGTCATAAGAGACAAGATGATGAAAGATCTGCTCGTCGGTAATCGGTTCGTATGCCCCGCAAGTATCTATTTTATTCCGGTGCATTTCCAGTTCCAACGTCCTCGGGTGGAGAGGAAACGATGGCCACCGCCACGAGGTTTCTTCAGCTCTGAGTGCATACGCCAGATCGGGTTCGGAGGTCTCAGCAAAGGAGAGGGCGAGCCGCTGTACACAGGTTTTGTCCATCCAGGCCAATACGTCGTGAATGTCTCCCGAGTAACGTCTGGCGGTGAATTGGCGCAAATTCGGACAGGAGGAACTCGAGAAGAAGACACCATATATGATCCGGTCTATGTCTGAATTGTCCGGGGATGGGTCAATAATCCCAAACATATCAAAGTCTTCCATAAAAACGGTATCATTTTCAAGTTGCACCTCCTCGAGGCTGTCAAGGTCGATCATCTTGGCAAAGGAGCTTGCGCTGGTCGGATAGAGCGCTTGGCCGAGCCTCAAAGACTCGGGCCGTAGTGGCGCCGCCCCAGTCTCTCCGTACGCATCACAGAGCCTGTTGAAAAGGTGCTCGTACTCATGATCACGGCCGGCTCTATAACAGGTCCGAAATACGTCAACAGAGATAGAAAAACCCAGCTTACGTAGGCCTGGCGAGTTGCGAAGAATCAGGATAAGCTGCCTCTGCCATTCATCCAGATCGGCCCAGCTCCAGTGCAGGTCCAGATTCTCAAGGCTCTCAAAGATAGCCAGGTCTGGTGCCACGAATAGTGCTGGACTCAGTTGGTCTTCATCATCCAGCCCCAAGAGATCATCGTACGGGAAAGATATTCTGATATTCTTCAGGTGTCGACACGTCCCACGAATGGACCCTATCGTGGATTTGGGGAGCGGATAAGAGACCCATCTTTTGCATTTTGTATTAGCATGGTAGTTCCCTCTGAAGAATAGCCTCGAATACTCACTCGAGAGAGACCAGTTGTGGCGTTTTGCGCAGTATCCTTTAGAACAGCTTGTTCACGCCATAGACGTGCTTCTCGAATGACAGGCAGAGTTTTCGAGTATGTCTTAGGTGACGATTGTCTGACAGGGCGATCATCATAAGATGGTGGTCACTGTCAAGTACACGCACGCGGATTTCGCGATACAAGAATGGGGAAACCCACGAGTGGAAGGTTCTGTTCGTGAGGCACAACTGATACAGCAGCCTTTGGTTGAGAATCTGTCATACCATGGTCAATGTTCCGATATATATCTCCTAACCAAAAAGACGTAGCCAGACTTACGTTTCGTCCCAAAGAGTGCAAAAGATCGCCAACGCTGGCAAATTTAGACGCGCTCAGCCGGTTCGGTGGAGGATCCATCATCGTGAGCGGCACCTAGACTTGGCCGGTGACCCGCGAGATACCGCGCTGCTAGCCGACTCAGCTTGCTTCGTTGGAGCCGAGCAATCCGGTGATGGTGATGAAAACGGCTGTTGATGTTGAGATCATCAAATGTGGCTGCCTGATGGGTGGAGGAGGATCTTCGGGCAAGGTTGTTCTTGGACTTGACAAAGAAGGAAGGGGCGATCACAGCCACAGGATACAAGCCGATCTACGCAGGACAGCATCTTCTCTTCGGTCTCGATTTTCACACCCTAGAAATGTCCGTAATGATTTGGACGACGCCTGTGTTCTCACAGCAAAACATCTTGGGGCTCGAGAGCGCAGCAGGGAGAGCCATGGCATGGATCACCTCGTTCTTGTTGACAAGCTTGGTTCCGCCATCTTCTCTTCTTAAAGTCGTCTCTTCTCTTTCCTCTGTAGGTCTTGGGTTCTTGACTTCGGCGTCGCACCGCAATAGACTGCTTGGCCGCTTTCCACGCCGGATTGTCCAGGGCTCCTTGAATTCCAAGCTCGATGCTCAATGCGGTCTAGGCATGGATCCCCCCGGACCGCATTGCCGGTTTGCGCTTCCGCCCCCGCAATCGACTCCGCACGCATTCGTCTCCCCACAACATTGAACTGTTCACCCATCGACTCCATCCTACAAGAGCCGGGGTCGTGGCAGACTTATATCTAGATCGTCGGGGTTCGGGCTGAAATATCCCGTGCTTGCGTGCTTGCGTGCTTGCAGGATGCTTTCTTGAGTTTCTGTGCAATCAGTTCTTGTTTGCACCAAAAGGAGTTCAAGCAAGGTGACAGTGACCCGGCCTTTGCTTCCTATCCTCAGGTCACCACTGGGGATTAGAAGCTTTCTTGGCATCCTAAAGCGGATCAGAATGTGACCGGAACGATGTCCGAGTTGTGGGCTGGCCTCAGCCAGTCTGCCAGTACACCACAACACAGCCAAGATCGGCGGTGGAGAGAATGCCGATGCAACCAGCCGTGACACTCGACACGGGCGCATATCCGACGGGATATTTATGAGGAAATCCTAATCTCCATGCGGCACCAGATGGATACCGAGAAGACGGGATAGAGGAGGCGGGGAAGCTTATTTAACTGGGATACCACCCCTCCCCCAATCATGTTTTGCTCTGGTCAATATCACCGCCATCTACACACTGCCTAGGTTGATTTCGCCACCCCAGGTACCCGACTTGACAGCTCACAATCGTCCAGTGACGGCATGGACAAAATCGAGAAGACCGGGGCTGATCGGCCTCCCAGCCCTCTGGCTGGTGAGAAACAGAAAGGTTTCGTCCAGCAGTTCGAGGCTCAAGATGAGGCCTGGCGCAAGGATCGCGAGACCAAGCTGGTGCGCAAGATTGACATGCACTTGATCCCCATGCTTGTCCTCATGTATCTGCTCAACTTTCTCGACCGTTCCAACCTTGCCCAGGCCCGTCAGGGGACACTAGAGGCCGACCTGAAAATGACTGGCACGGACTTCAACCTTGCCACGTCCATCCTCTTCGTCGGCTACCTCTTGATGCAGCTCCCGTCAAACATGCTCATCACACGTATCCGCCCATCCCTGTACCTCAGCGGCGCGATGACTCTGTGGGGAGTGGTGTCTACATGCAACGCCGGGGTTCGCAACTTTACTGGCTTGGTCCTTGTCCGGTTCTTCCTGGGCTTTGTTGGTAAAGGCACTACATCCAACTTGGTCGGACATTCATTACTGACGTTCGATCTCCAGAGGCGCCATTTTTCCCCGGTGCGATCTTTTTGATGAGCTCCTGGTACACCAGGGCCGAGCTTACACGAAGAATCTCCTGGTTCTATTCTGGAAATGCTCTGGCGAACATGTTCGGGGGCTTGTTAGGTGCCGCCATCCTTGGCAGCCTGGAGGGCAGTAGAGGCATTGCTGGCTGGAGGTGGCTGTTTATCATTGTGGGTTGTGATGTCACGCTATAAGACGCACTCAGTACGCTGATAGTTGTGAGCTTGCAGGAAGGCACCATCACCATCGCCCTCGCGATCCTGTCTGGATTCATCCTGCCCGACTACCCCCATACAACGCGCTGGTTGACCGAAGAGGAACGAGCTTTCGCTGCCTGGCGTCTCCTTTCCGATATCAACGAGGCCGATGAGCGCCACTCGCAGTCCATCTGGGAGGGTGTCAAACAGGCGTTCAAGGATTATCGCATCTACCTCTTCCTGCCACTGCAACACATCAGCTTGCTCAGTCAGACGTTCCAATACTTCTTCCCCAGTATTGTGGGGACTCTGGGTTATGGCCGCATCGAGACGCTTTGGCTCACTGCTCCTGTCTGGGTATGTCCACATTGATGTGGTGATGTCGACATATGTCGGTTCAACAGGCTGATGTCTCTTTCCCTATCTAGTTTGCCACATTCCTCGTGTCCGTCCTTGTGACCTGGACGTCTGCCAAGACCAAAGACCGGTCAATCCACATCATCTGCCTCATGTTAGTTGCACTTGTTGGTAATGCTATTGCGACCGCCACGCTGAACATCGGGGCACGGTTCTTCGCCATGTTTCTGATGCCCATGGGTGCCGTGTCAGCTTGTATGTCGCCCCTGATACCTGTTCTTTGCTTTCTTCACTAACGAGTCTCGTCTGGAAAGATCAAATCATCGTCTCCTGGGTTGCAAATTCCTTTCCGCGGCCACTCGTCAAGCGGTCTGCAGTAATCGCCATTACCAACATGATCGGCAACTGCGCCAACATCTACGGCTCTTACATGTACGCGGCTAGCGATGCTCCTCGGTACATACCAGGCGGCAGCGCAAACACGGTCGTCTGCTTCATTGTAGTTGTTCTAGCCTTGGTGGTACGGATGGTTCACATTCATGAAAACAAGAAACTCGAGCGTGCTGAGGCGCAAGATGACGCGACTACGCCTGCAGAGGGCAGCAACATTGGCAGGAGAGCCTTTGGTTTCAGATATGTTTACTAAAGCCGTTCGTTCGCCTTCAATACACTTCTGGGTGGTTTGTTCTCAGAAAGTGTATAGATGACAAGGGGAGGAGCAAGCACCTTGGGGCTTCCCGAAAGGGTGCACTGGCATGGCCCGATGGATCTCACTTTTGGCTACTATTAGAACAGTATATTCCACATTTGGGAAGGCATCTAATAGACTGAAAACAGAAAATGCAACAAGGCTCGTAAACTTCACGAATTGAAAACGGATCGCAATGTTCATCACTCGTATCTCTCTTCTCGCCCATGTATGAAGGTGTGACTGAGTTCTCAACATTCAGGCTATTTTTATCACACGGCTTTTCGAATAGTTGAGAGAAACCAAACATTCCACTTAATTGCGCGCTATACAACCTGAAACAGAAGTGATCGCTTCGGCCCCCCGCGAAGACTTGGGCTGAGTCGAAGAATAGCGTATCATTGTCGGATTTACCCTTGTGTCAGCCAATCCATTACCATGCATGTCAGCAATTCGGCCTGTCCTATCAGCGGCGGGTAACAGTATTGCAATCTGGGGCCATAAGACTTTGTCGATGAGAAGGCTGGGTATAAAAAGTCTGGCACGGTCGTTGGACAGAAGACGAGATTCACGCAGAAACTCAACAACAACAAGTTCCTCAGAACCATTTTGGCCTTGATATTCAAGATGCATGCTCGATCAGTTCTTTCACTAGGCCTCACGGCCTTGCTTTCTATCTCGTCCGTCTCAGCCAAAGTCTTGGCTTCCTACGATGCATCAACCGGCGAATCTGTCAAGGATGCGCTCAAGATGCAGAATCTCGGCGGCTACAACGACCAACCCTGGCCCAAGGGTCAGGGACAGAATGCGTCTGCATTCTTCACCACTGACAAGGATCCCCAGGGCCGTCCCGCGGCACACGTCCACAAGGATCCGCACTTTGCCAGATCCGAGTACCACGTCCTCAACCGCCAGATCGAGCAGGACAAGACCTACTATATCGGCTACAAGGTTCAATGGCAGAATGTCGACTACCAGACCATTGTGTTCCAGTGGAAGTCGTACGAGATGGACCAAGCCCCAGACTATCATGACACTATTCCCATTGGGATGGTGTTTCGCAAGGATGCGGATGGTAACGGCAATCACACCATGTAAGTCCCAGCTTTGTCTGCCCCGAGCTATGCTCCAAGAGGCTAAAACCTTACAGCACGGTTGGCTGTCAGCCTGACCCTCGCAGTGGCGGCGGCAAGATCGTTTGGAGGAAGAAGCTCGATATGGGCAACATTTACACCTTTGGTCTTGTGATCAACACCACTCCGGACATGGAGAAAGGGTTTCTGCAACTGTATTTCAATGGTCAACGGGTGACTATGGTCGATCCTGAGACCAACAAGCACACCCAGACCATGAAGGGCAACTTCTTTCCTGTTCCGGGCATTGCTAACCCCAAGATTGGGCTCTATGGCGGCAAAAACTTTCTGGCAGATGACTCCTACGTATACAATTTCGTCGTCGGGACTGAGCTGAAGGATATTGCGGGTGTTGTCGGGATCAAGCAATAAGTCTGAAATGCAAATTCTATCCAGGCAGTCAAGTGGAAATGATTCATTCACGTCTCAGACAGATAGACACACAATCGTGTTGAAGTCATATTTACACAAATACACGTCATAGAAGTGAACGAATCCAAGAGGGAATGTATCGTGAAAAGAACAGTGATTATCGTAAATGAGCATGATTGCTCATATCACTGCATTTTCTATTTATCCGATCTAACCCCATCATGTCATAGCATCATTGTCGAATTGCGTAAACCTGTCTCGAAGCATAGAGTTCCGCTTAATAAGGTCGTTGTCCAACGCTACAATGAATATTAGTCTACTGCAAGGGGATAAGGTCACCAAGCAAATGCAAGTTTTACTCACATGTTACCAGCCGGGCTGTATCTAGCGACGACATAGACCGCACCGTTGGCACCCTTAGCAGAAGCAATACCGACCTTAGTAGTACCCTTCCAGACACATTGAGCTACGCGAACATGATGTTAGTCTACATAACTCAAGGAAAACAATTGTCGCGGGTTCTGGAGAGCGCATACTGTAATGTCCATAGGCCTCAAAATTGCCCTGGGGAATGACTTCGTTGTGATAGTTGGGCTTCTCGGCGATCCATGCCTTGGAGGCGTCCAGCAGGGGCTGAGGATAGGTACCACCGCGCTCGTAGAAGAGGTTCTCGCCACCAACACCAGAGTGTTTGAACTGGCCGGTCGAGGCCAGGGTGTTGGCGTAGGACTGGGCAGCCGAGGCCAGAGATGCATCCCACTGCAGCGCGGGCACACGCCTGCTGCTCCGGGCCGAGTTGTGCACGTTCAGCGCCATCTGCTGGTCAGACGTCAGGGCCCGGGCCTCGAGGACGTTGGCCTGATCGGCAGACACAGCAGGAGCGGCGCTGGTGATCTCCGTGAGAAGGAGAAGGGCGGTGGTGAAGACGGTGCTGATCTTGAAGTACATGTTGACTGATTTCTGGGTTGTTGTGGCTGTCGTGTAACGGGCCAAGTGGAGCTCGCAAGATGGATCAGAGGGCGATCAGGATGATCTACAAGGAGAGAGTACGAGATATATTGAGCTGTAAGGACTGTTGGTTGGGATGATGAAGATCTGCTCTCTTCAACCCTGCTCTCGGAACGACTGGAATGCAGAGCTTTATAGATCCCGGACAACAAGGCAGCTGTGTCGACTGCGACTGGAGGGAAAAGTTGCTGGCGTCATCCTCTCAGACACTCCCCGCCTGCCGCCACTCTGGCCGCTGCGGTGATCCTGCTTGGCCATTTTCTTTGATACATCCTAAGGCGGCTCTAGGCATGGTTGGTGGACTTTTTCTCTGGGGCTTGGCCACGAGTGAGACTGTGCAGCCTGCAATTGGTCCATATTAAGGGGTGTTCTCTCAACAAGGGCATTGTTTCATGTGGCTGGCTCACCTTTCACAACATGACTCAGGGCCGCAAACCCCACCAATTCCGGGAGCCCAGAGCCCCGGCGCGTGCGGGACGTTGCTCAAAGAGCTCTGCCGAGAGCCCAGAAAACTCCGGAGTAACGTCAAGCGGCAATGGCCCGAGTCAGGCAGGAATGCGCCTCTTTCGTAAGGGATGCGGGAGGCTGCCAGTAGCACAAGGAGGGAAGGGGACGCAAGCGCGGCTTGGAGGACTGCCGGGTAAGGGTCTGAACTGAATGTTCCGGGAACTGCCACCTGGGCTTCCGCCTCGTTGGGTTGGGACGTCACTGGGCGCTGATCGCTGTCAGATCTCGCCCATCTCGTGAACCTTAAATGTGATCGGTAGCATCATGCAATGTCTCACCCAGGCCTGCTCTGCCTTCTGTCGACGTTGATCAGGAACAGAGCCCCAGCAAGATTCGCGGCTAACTCAGAGCTGTCATGCCCAAACCAGCCTAGCGCAGACCCTTCAGCGCTTGATCGGAGATGGCCAAGATCCAGGAGCCGGGGTATGAAATCATCACCATCGCCAGAAGCTGAGGGTGGCGGCAGATGAGGTGGAGATTCGTCGCCCACACTGCTGGCTGCCAGGAGTAGCAGCGCTGTGAGTGTGAGCGCTGTGTAACGTCGAATGGCAACCTTTCCTCCGCGTACTAGCCCGTGATCTCGACAGCCATCCGCCCCGACTGACATCTGTGGCGTCCGATATGTCAGATCTCGACTAACTAGACAGCCCCAGAATGATCAACACCCATCTCCCCTGTCAAGCCCTGTTACACGGGAGCATACTTTTTCCAGCACATGCCATGGTATATTACCAGGGCTGGGCTGTCGGGTTCGTAGCGTGTCAGATCCAGGTAAGTCGAGGTCTCGGCTTTTCAAACCTCGTTCGGCAATGATCAGTTAGGTAGTTCCCCCGGCCCTTGCTAGGGACAAAAGCAGTCCGAGACACTACGCGGGTCTGATTCATGGCAGTCAACCGGAGTGGTGGACAAGCTGACGGGCGACGAGGCGAGAGCAATCGGTCACGTTTTCCTGCATGTATCAGACATACTGCAATATGTCGAGTTTAGACAAATAACACCCACTCAACACTGAACCGCTTCCCCAGGCCGCACATAATCTCTCTTCTCCTTCCCCGGCAACTGTGTAACCTGTCGTCAAAATTAACCCTTGGGCCTCGATCTCCTTGAAAGCGGCGTACAAGGCGGGATGGGGTTCCTCAAGCTGCTCAGACGGCCGGCTCTCACCTTCTGCTGCCCAGCGAGTCAGTATTAGTCGGCCACCATCACGGCAGTTCGCTGCCTGGCCCTAGCGATGCTGTCGTTCAGGATGGTGATGATGATGGTCACAGGTTACATCATTCTCTCCCCTACTACACTTGAGCAAAGTGCAGAGAATAGCACTAGAAATAATATGCCTTCGCTATGGGTGATAGGAGAAAATACCATGACGCAGTGATTTCATGGCGCAGAACTGTACTAATTGGATCTTCATTTGATGGGTCCTGAATGATGACCAGTCTTGGTCCTGAGCATAGTCCATCGGCTATGTCTGAGGCAGAGAAGGATACGGGGCTGGCGACAACACACGGCAGACCGCGACCCGCGTCATTCCAGGCAGACTAAGACGGGCTTTGACTAACCCAGGATGACCATGCGTTCATGTCTCAGAAATCATGTGGCGTGGTGGCTGGAATGTTGGAATGGAGTAGGTCAGTGAACAGACAAAAATTGATCATCATGGCAAAAAGCAAAAAGAACGTACAACACCAGGCATTCGCTGGTCGTCACCGACCCAACTACTACTCCGGCGATTGGCAGCTTATCTATGGGAGAGCGGACGGGATCCCGAGTTCTCTACCATCTATGGTCGTACGTGGAAGATGTTGGCTAGTGTTTGCACTATATTCTCCAAGTCGCCTGCATTTGCTTGGGCAATTTCGGGAAGAACCCGGCACCACACAAAACCAGGTGGGTCATCCACGAGACTCAATCCAAATATTGCTCCTTCACTACTTACATATGGAGCTGTGCAAGAGTAAGATGACATATAAACACACTTCTGTGATGCCATAGGTAGTTGACAGAGCCAGGTTGTATGCTTCACGGGTGGTGGTCGTTATGTTGGCTGTCTTCTCCATTCGTCCAAACACCAAGTTTGAGCAGCCACCATGATAGGCTCACTCCAGATTCAGAAGAAGAGTCAACTATACCTATTCATACATAACGACTCCTCATAAGTTCTTGTTTGGCCATTCTCAGGACCAAAGGAGTGAGGGCAGTTGGCTGCAGCTGCTTCGCTGTGTATGAGCTTGTGGTTAGAAATGCGGGTCCTGAGCAAATCAAAACGCGGACGGCGTGCTTATCGGGGGAGGGTAGCCAACCCTAATCTTCCAGTGGGGCCCGCTTTTTGTTTGAGGAACCTTACTGCCAGCCGTAAAATTTCCCCACCACCTGGGAAAAACGCTTGCAGACCTCGATCATTGACCCGGCCGACTCTCCCTGAACCCACGAACGAACGACAAATTCCTTCCACTCCCCATTCTCGATCATCACTCCTCGACAACCGCAAATATGGGTGGCGTTACCGTTCGCGACGTTGATGTAGGTGCACAGAACTCCCCGTCTTGAGCGACAAGAACATCCCTCAGCGCCCGCACAACCTGGAAATACTCTCCTCCCACCACGATTGGCAGCCAGCCTGGCATACTCTTCGACCGAGCATGGCCTGACCGGTCCTTCAATTGCGGACGATGGAATCAAGAGAAGGATACATGGGGAATAAAGAGAGATATGAATAGGAGCAGGCGCGAGGGAGTCGCAAGACTTCTGACGACGGAATCATGCTAATTTGTGGTGTCTTTCCCCCATTGTAGGCGCAGAAGTTCATCAACGCATATGCTGCTTTCCTGAAGCGCCAGGGCAAGCTGCCCATTCCCGGTAAGCACTCCTGCATCCTAACTGACAACGCCGCCTGCGTACTCGAACCCATACTGACATGGTCTTTCTCCCCATAGGCTGGGTTGACACCGTCAAGACCGGCGCCGCCAAGGAGATGCCCCCCCAGGACATCGACTGGTATTACGTCCGCGCCGCCTCGGTCGCCCGCCACGTCTACCTCCGCAAGACTGTTGGTGTCGGCCGGCTACGAAAGGTCCACGGCACCGCCAAGAACCGTGGTGTCGCTCCCTCGCACCACGTTGATGCTAGCGGCAGCGTCGACCGCAAGATCATGCAGTCCCTCGAGAAGATCGGTATCCTGGAGCAGGATGAGGAGAAGGGTGGCCGCCGCATCACCCAGGCCGGTCAGCGTGATCTGGACCGTATTGCCCAGACCACCGCTGAGGCCGAGGAGGAGGACGAGGATGACGAGTAAATCATGCGCTTTGGGAAGGGCTTCTAGAATTTTCTGGCATCATGGGTTCACAATGGCGTACCAAAATGGAATACCTATTTGCATGATGACATGAGCAAATATTATGTCTTCAAACACGTTCAAATACTGTGCCATCTCGTCTGCTCACCATGTGATGTTCCTTGTACCTGGGAGCCTTGACGGCAACTGCGATCTTATCTGCAGGCTGGAGATTCTTTGCACGAAAACATGGTGGTCTCTGTTCTTGTACTTGCGGCTTTGAACTCAAGGGGTCCTGTTGGACGTTATTTGACATTGTCTATTTCCTCCAGCTACTATGTTGTCCGATGCCTTGGCATCATCGACAGAAGAAAACACGTCATAATGGCTCTTCTACACATGCCAATGTTTTGTGAGAGCTTCAGGTGAGCCTAGATGGAAAATGGACGTCACAAGCATGGCGATGACCGAGTTGTCGACGGACTGGACTGTCATGCTCTTGTAAGCTTGTACAATAATACTCAAATACACATTTAGTCGGCGATGCTGTCAACTTGCACTTTGTGTGAATGTACATGTGTAATACTCTTACTCATATAACTTGAGCTGCTTTTCTTCTTCATTGGAACCCATATCATTCCGGCAACAAGTTCCATCTTGCAATCAGCTCAGGTGGGCGTTGACGAATTGGAGTGCCTGGCGCCCGTACTTGTTGCCATACTGCTGGTGAGCGTTGGCGTCGTTGCCGTTGCAGCAGTATGGATCCGGCGAGTCGCAGTAGGACTGGATGTTGCTTGCGTACGGGCACTTGAAGCCGGACGGCCGCGGAGCAAACTATGGGTGATCAGCAAATCTGTCTTTTATCTCCCGAACGCACCCCCTCCCTGACCAATCCAATAAAGAAACACTTACCCCTGAGGCCTGGCACGTCCCGACATTGTACGACAGACCCGGGATGTGCCTCGGGTCGCCCATGAAGATGGCCGCCTTGACCATCTTCTGCGCCGCTGCGCTGATAGGGATCGACGTGTCCGTCAGCCCCTCGTTGGAGTCGCCGCCGCCGCAGTAGGCGTTGTCCATGATCTGCCCGCCCTGCGAGTAGCCCACCAGCACGAGCTGCGTGCTCGGGCACCGCTGGTTGAAGCTGTTGACGGCCTGCGCGACGGCGCGCGTGCCCTGCACCACCGAGTTGGCGTAGCTGACGCCGCCGCACTGGCTCTGCCCGCCGCAGGCCGGGTAGTTGATGGCCTCGGACGTGGCGCCCGGGTGTGCCTGCACGATGAGGTTGACGACGGTCTGCGAGGTGCCGTAGCCCGCCGGCGCCGTGGTCTCGCGGGCGCCGAAGACGTGGATCGGCGGGCAGTTGCCGGATTGGCGGTCCTCGAGGACGGCCGGTGGGGCCGGCGTGGCGAGGGCGGCGCCGGAGCCGAGGAGGAGGAGGGCTGCGCTTGTCTTGGAGAGCATGGCGAGCTAGATGTTGAGTGAGAATTATTCCACGATGGAGAGAGAGTGGTAGCCGAAGGTTCAAGTGCTGACGAAACTCTTGAGTCTGCCAATGGCTGTTGTTCTTCCGGGACCAAGCATACCACCAACCCTTTATACTCGACCCCGACGGAGACTTGTCTCCCGCAACTTCGTCATCCCAGATTTCAGGGATGGACGGACCATGGCCATTCTTGGCAAAGCGCTGGAAAACTCTCACCCATCGAACCGGGGACCAGGTGACATCCATTCTCCCGAACTGCATGGGCTTGTTTTACCCAGGTAAAGTGCTCGAGGCGTCTCAGCAATCTAATCGATGGTTGGAGACCTACATACGGTCTCGATACGAGCGCCCCTTGCTGCCCTGCCGGTTGAAACAGCTCTGTGCAGATTGGGCTAGTAGTTTCCAACATGGATACAACCCTGCATATACATTCCATGTCTCATGAACCCCGGGCAGCGGGCCTCACGACATAGTAGGCCACATACAACGCGGAAGCGGTCTGCATCTCCACTCTGATCGATCCGCGATGCTTACCGTCTGGGGTAGATTGTGGGGAAACTGCATGATTGATTACCGGACTCGACTGCATGGTTCCTGTACAGGACTGGCTGACGATGGTGGCTGGCGGTGCGGAGCATGTGCTCGCGGCAAAATAGAGCCACGAGGTCGGTCTATTTATGCTAAATTACCAGTCAAGCTTCCCTTGGTGCTAACTGCGTTCAGTCAATAGACATGTTGATCTCCCATGTCTAGAATTTACTATCATATGTCATAACACGGCCAGATATTGCCGCTTCTGGTACCTTGCCGACGCGAAGGGCGAGCACCACTCCAACATAGTGCTAAAACCTGTCCTTAGCTGAGCAGTTCTTTGATGTCCTCGATTCGCTGAAGTTTCTTCTCCTCATCATTCATCATGCCTAGCGAAGTCGCACTGTGCACAGATGAGCATTAGCATGTCTTCGTCGGACCGATGGACTTGCATTACACGTACATGAACTTCTTCCTCTCCTGAATGCGGAGCATCCTCTCCTCCACACTCTCCTTGACGATGAACCGGTACACCTTGACCTCGTGCTCCTGGCCCATGCGGTGAATACGATCGATGGCCTGCGCTTCGATAGCGAAGCTCCACCAGGGGTCCATCATGTACACCCTTTGCGCAGACGTAAGGTTGAGGCCCACACCTCCGGCTCGCAAGCTGATCAGAAGGACCATGAACTTTCTGGACTCTCGGAACTCGTTCAGGACCGCGACGCGCGCCTTCTGGGCCATCGATCCGTCCAGCCGAAGAAAAGATACCCCAGCACGCGTGAGGGCCGGTTCAATGAGTGACATGAAGGATGTAAACTGGCTGAAAATGACAGACTTCATCTTCGGGTGCTCTCTGCGCAGGACACGCAAATGGCTGATTAATGAGGCGATTTTGGCCGAGGAGTGGTTGACACCAACGCGTTGGAGGCTGATCTTGGGCATAGACTGGCCGGAGTTGTCGTCAAGGTCGTCGTCCTGGCGAACAACCTCGAACAAGTCGCGCTGATTGATTGGCTCTCGACAGTTGAAGCAGCGTGGAATCTCGTTGCGATCCGTCTGGTGTTTGATGTAGTCCAAGATGCATTTCTTGCAAGCAGAATGCCAACAACCCGTGACAGTCTGCTCGATCATAGGTTCCTCCGAACAGATGGGGCACTCGTTCTCTGCCTCATCTCTAATTTGACCTAGGACATGTGCCCCAAATGCGTTCGAGTCTGCCTCATCATCCGTGGCTGCTGTGAAGCGCTCGATCAGGGACTGGAGGTCCATATCATCAGCCAGTCCTGCTGCTGCATCAGCTGCTGCGCCCGCCTCTTCCTCCTCAGCTACAATGTCTTGATTCCGGACAAGGACGGGGTGACAGCATGATTGCCGAAGACGGAGGATCTGAGCAAAGATGCTAGTATAGGCCTTCATGACGGTACCGGCCTCGACATTGGCGAAAAACGCCTTTTTCGCCCTGTTGTAGATGTGGTCGTAGACGTCACGCTCGACCTGCGAGAGCTCGACATCCACAATCTCGACCTGTTTTGGGGGTAGAGCAACCAGCGGTTTGCCGTCCGGCGTCTTCATGTCCTTGGTTCTCCTCATAACCAAGGGCTCGAGCACGGTCTGTACCACATCCAGAGCTCGCATGAAGTCTTTTGACTCAAAAGGAACTGTGATGAACGTTTTCCAGAACGAAAAGTTGTTCCACGGCTCCACTCTCAGGAAGCGGATCAAGCTGAAGAGATCCTCGAGCTTGTTGACGATGGGAGTTCCAGTCAACACCCAGCGATGTTCTGCCATCAGCTCATAGCAAGCCTTGGCTGTTTTCGACTGGCGATTCTTGATGTTGTGACCCTCATCGAGAATGATTCGGAAGAAGTTGAGGGAGAACAGTCCGGTGTGAAAGCTGCGGTCACCCTTTCTTGCCGCGATCTGGGTGAATTCGGACAGGACCACGCCATAGCTGGTAATGATGATGTCGGGGGCAGACGCTGCATTGTGCTCGGAACAGAGTCCACGAAGATCGCCGATCTTGTCGTTTCCATAGTATATCATGGACTTGATGCTTCCCTCCTCGGAAGCGTTCTCAGCCTCACTCTGCCACTGTGCTAGAAGAGACATGGGAGCTACTACCAAAGTAGTGCAAGGCGCCGAAACCGTGCCCGTCAGATTTGCTGGTAAGCGTGGCAAGTCATTGATACTCATGACAGCAGAGCTCGACCGACGAGCCTCGATGGCAACATCAGATCTGTGTGAATGGATCAAGCTCAGCATTTGAATGGTCTTGCCGAGACCCATCTCATCAGCCAATATGCCACCCAGACAATGCTGCTCCTGAGCAGGGAATTCGAGAGACAGATCGCCGGAGTAAGGGTTAACATAAAAATTGGCTTGGTCGACTACCTGCGGCACCTCCTTGTCGTCAACATCCTTGGTCGGCCAGGTGTATTCCTCCCACAGCGGGTGCATGGAGTTTTCTCTGGCCTCATTCTTCTGGTCCTTCTCCTTGGACATCATCCAGTGAAGAGCCTGCTTCTGGTAGGGTCGAAGATTCATGGCGAAGGTGTCGGGAGGTTCAGCCTCGGGCGTACTGAAGTCAAAGTTCTGTGCCTTCTTGTACAGCGCGTCCAGCTGATCTTGCTCGAGCTCTTCACCGTCTTCTGCCTCATCAGAAGGCGGTGACGAGCCGGAATTATCGCGGCTCGCGGGTTTATTTGTTTCCATCTCCTTTTCGGTCGATTCAGCGGCATTCAGGAGGTCCTGTCGTGAGTGCTTCGAGGCGGCAGCGTTGACTCTTGTGGGCATCAGATTGATCTCCTGGAAGAGTCGAACCAAAGCTATTTGCCGTAGACGGAGGTCTCGCTCCTCGGTTGTCTCCTTTTCCTCGAATATGCCAGTGTCTCTGTTATCGTTATTGGGCAACTGAAAGCCGCGACTGAAGAAGGCTGACTTGAGCAGCGAGCATCTGAGCTGGAGAAAGACTGTGTCATTGGTTCGCAGTCTCTCTGGGGCGTAGACCACAGACCCCTCGAACTTGCAGATTTTCTGATCCATCAGAGCTGACACCCAGTTTGCTGTGTCCTTTGCGAGACGACCAATTTCCAATCCGCTGCTGTTTGTGAAGCGTACGATGACATCTACCCGCTTTGAAACGACAGGGCTGACACGAGGAGACGCGTTCAGGACACCCTTTGCCTTGCCCTTCAAGGGGGCAGGCTTGGGTGGCTGTATCTTCTGCCGCTCTATCTTGACTTTTTCTCCGTGCTGCAGAAGATTGGCCCCGCTCCTCGTTGCCCACCCCTCAACGCCAAAAGCACCAATATAGCGGGAATCCGGCATAGGCTGGCGAAAGATCCGTGTCGGAGAAGGCTCTCTGGCTGGTCTATGACCACCGCTGCTTGCCCGATTCGAGGGTGAGGCACGCCCTATCGGCAGGCTTTTCTTCTTGAGCGTTTTCCACGTCCCGTCGAAATACATATTCACTGCCCGCTCGATATTGTTTCCGCAGTTGTCTCGGATAATATCGAGGACGTCTGGCTTGACGCTGTCTCCAACGAAAGCTTCAAAGGTATCTTTATCGAATGCGAGGGGCGCATCTTCGGCGGCAGTACTTGATCCTTGTTCGACAAGAGACTCATTGTGAGAGGCAATTTCGTTGTTGATAGAGGGAGAAAATCTGGAGGCGACCATATTCGATGTGTTTCCTTCCGTCAATTCTGGCGGCATCTCAACCTCTTCGTCCCGATCGGCAAAGTACCTCTGCGCGTCGCGGCTCAAGACGGGGGATGATGAGAGACCTGTGGAGTCATGGTCGGGCTTTTCTGCCTCAATAAAGAATCTTCTCTTCTTGTTTGGCGGCTCTCCATTGTCAAGCAACTCCATGGCTCTCGGAAACACTGGCTGAGATGCTGTAATATGCAACGCTGCTGTTGCTCTATTGAAACCGTGAAATTTAGGAGACGCGAAGCAACTAAAGATCAGACGCGAAATGGGGGGCGCGGTCAGCTGATCGCGTAAAGTGAAGTTGTGGCTCAGTGGTCCTCAGTGGCCATTCAGTGGACCTCTGTTACTGAGCATGTCGATCTTGGAGCGCACTGGTCCACTAAAACATGCTGTCGTCATGGTTTGGCAATGCCAACAATGGATGACTGCGGCTCAAATTTTTTGCAGGTCTTCATCCCAGGTGTGAATTGGAGATTGCCCCTCGACCACTGCCATTGTACGTTGGGGATTGGGGTTTCATTCTTGCAGTCAGAGGGAAGTTTTGTCATTCTTTGTCTCGTTTAAGATGATTTCTCTACTCCTATAAAAACGCTTGAGCAATACTTTGGAAACTGGCGATGCATCGCGTGCAGCGCCTCTTTCATGGCGTCGGTCGACCTCTCGTCTCCTCAAAGGTCGCAACCGCTGCCGGGCGCCAGCACCACCAGCGCAGGCGAGGGATTGTGACAGAAGCCGACGTGGAGTCAGCGCGCAAGTACTGCGTCAACCAGTTGCGGCATGGCGACTACGACTCCTACCTCTTGCGGCAGTTCGTCCCGCGCTCCTCCCAAGACTGCTACAATGCCCTACGAACTCTCAACCTCGAACTCGCGCGCCTACCCGAGACCGTGTCCAACCCGACGATAGGCCGCCTGCGCATGCAGTTTTGGCGCGATTCAGTCAGTGCCGTGTTTGCGGGCTCGCCACCGCGTGAACCCATCTGCATCTTGCTGCACGAGGCACTCCGCAAACTCGCAGTGCGGCCCGGCGGTCGTGGCAGCTCCAAGTCGATCAAGTTCTGGTTGACGCGCTTCATCAACACGCGCGAGCAATACATGGATAACAGGCCGTTTGCGTCGCTTGCCGCTCTGGAGGAATACGCAGAGAATACCTATTCCACGCTGATGTATATGACGCTGGCGTCGATGCCGCTGCGCTCCGTCCACACAGATCATCTAGCTAGCCATATAGGAAAGGCGTGCGGCATCGTTGCAGTCCTGCGAGGGATTCCGGTCTTGTCAGCACCGGCGCCGCCTATCCAATCACCCGCTGGTTCTAGCACCGGCAGAAGCCAAGCTTTACTCTTGCCTCTGGATGTAATGGCAGAGACAGGAGTCCGGGAGGAGGACGTCTTTAGGCACGGGCCAGATGCCGAAGGGCTTCAGGATGCAGTCTTTAATGTGGCAACTAGGGCAAACGACCACATCATCACAGCGCAAGAGATGCTCAAGAATCTAAAAGCCGGTGCGAGCCCTGGCCATGATTTCGAGCACGAAGGCGAGGAGGAACATGTGTATCCTGCCAAAGATTTTGGCGGAGGAGATAGCACAGAGGCAGACCTGCGCCGCGGATTTGGCATGTTGCTCGAGGCTGTACCAGCCAGGGACTTCTTGTCACGGCTCGAGGCCGCCAACTTTGACCCTTTCAGGGTCAAGGCCAGCTGGAAGCTCCCGTGGAGCCTATGGCGGTCTTTGAAGACGCAGCAAATATAATCCGATCACTTGGCCACTTTGCCCTGTCCGACTGTAAGCGTTGTACATGTCTCTGGAGACTTGACGGCATAGCAAAGGACGTATTCGTGGATCGTGGATGGAGTTGCGGTGAGCCCCATAAGCTGTTGTTGTGGTTCTGTCGTGTTCATCATGATCACATCCGCCATGTGGATCGCCTGTTCTCAGAGCCCAGGAAGCAGTCCAATATAGGCAAGTGGATGGAGACGAGGAGCCTCATGTGATGGGAAGAAAAGACGCTTAGCGCAACGACCATTCGATTCGGCAATTGCCTAGACTACCCGAGCTTAATTTCTCTTCTCAGCTGTCATTGGGACGCTTCCCGTGAAGAACTGGAAAGCCGACGCTGTTCTGAGACGGAAACTCGTCGGCATGCTGCAAAGGTCGGCCAATAGTTACCTAATACCGACCAGGATGTCGCGTCTGGCCTCTTCTAGAGGCTGTAGGAAGAGCCGCAAGCCCCGCTAAGATGCGAGGGAGAGACAAGACGACTCCTCTCACAATTTCGAGATGTGTACTCCGTATGTGAGTGGGTGCATTTCTTCTTCTACGTCGAGCCAGGGAATAATCATTCCTTGCCGGTGGCTTCCTGCGGGAGACAGGGGTATGGTAGTGACACTGAAGCCAAGGAATGTAGCAGATGTTACCGGTACCTGACGATCGAATGAGGATGGTTGTGTGGACGAATGGCTGGCGCTGGATCGAATCCATGCCCCGCACGACAGCAACAGTGTGCCTCATGACCCTCGAGAGCCCGATGATCGGAGGTGTGGTGTAAGAGCTTTGTGTCATCAAGCTCAACATGCGCTATCCTTGCTTGGCTGCTTGTAATGAATTTGGTGATGAGGCCGGTCTTGAGCATCAATGATCGCGCCATTTCCCCTCGCAACCCCATATCTACCTCCATCATCTTCCTGCGGGGAGTGAGAGCTTGTGATAGATACCTCCACCTTGATCTAGCGGAAGAGGGTCACTCAGAGTCATAGTCAATGATGAAGAAGACATTTGGAAACCCAGTAAAGTAGCAAGGTTTGGGCCAAATTAAGGAGTGCTTAATGTAGGTACGAAACAGCCACAACTCTACAAAAATAGCAGCAAAACCCAATCATACGCGCCATCAAAGCTTGCTATTAACTGCCTACCGGTCCCTGAGAAAGGGCTCACGGCAGAGTCTGTCAGTTGACAAAACTGACCCTGCATCGGTGTAAGTCATCGGGCGCTTGCGGATGTACGGAGTACGTGCTCCACCAGACATCAACGAACCGCAGCATCGCAACGAGCAAGTCGAAACGGGGGTTGTGTGTCAAATACAATACTCACACCGCCCCAGTGGCCCACGGCCATCGACAGGGCCTCCAAGGTCGAATGTCACGATCGTAGGCATGAACGAGCAAATCGATCGGCAAACGCATGGCTGGGCGCACGCACAGTCGGTCCAGGTACCTGCCTACTGACTTGTACATTCGAGCGATCCTTCCAAGGAAAATAGGACGAGCCACACGAGAAAACTTCAATGCCGCAGATGGGTCCTTGGTATCCACAGATGGAGCCTGGTTGTGTCTAATGGGATTCAAGATCTGGGACAGGTGGGAGAGAGATGCTCCACTGCCTTGCGGTCTGAGCACTGGCTTGGAAACCTTAACAAAGAAGAAGAAAAAAAGATTTTCCCCTTTCCCGAGTCCTTAACCTGGATGGGCTCCACTTGCCGACGCAACTGGGTGCACACCCGCCCACCAATCCGGGCGTGCGCTGGCTACGTGCCGCCGACGGTTTAGGCAATAGCCCCCCACTGCGAAAAATCGGATCTCCAGCCCAGCAGGGTCAGCTACCTAAGAATGCAACCCGTGCGAACACTGGCTCGAGTGTGCAGGAATTGATGACTCAAGTTCAAGGACGGACGGGGGAAAAAGAACACAAGCGCCCAGGCCGATGAGCAAAGAAACCTGCTCGGGCGGCCGCCCCGTTTTCGGACATCCAGCACGTTGGATCTCGGAACCAGGTGAAGTGGAAATTTGCTCGCTGCAAGTCCGCTTCGTTTCGACTCCGTAAGGAACGGAGTAGGAGAATGCTGCCGTAGTGTACATGTGTACTCCGTGCGTACTCTGATGGAGAAGACGTGACAAAGTAACTCTTTTCTTCGCACAAGCATTCTCTTCGGTGAATGATCTCATCCTTACCCACCTAGAGCAAGCTTCAGTTACTGATCCTACCTCTCGTATTCTATTTTGATCGATGTTGCTAGGCATCGTTCAATGCTTGATGGTTTGGCGTGAATTAGCCTTGGAAAAGGAAAAGAAGAGCCTGTAAGTTTGGGTACTTGGGTACCTGCCGGAGTCCGAACCGGACTCCGCGTGTAGCCGCCGGCTTACACCAGAACATCCACTTTCACGATCCTGCACGCACGACATTGTAGATGTGGATGCGCTCATCCATGGCAATCAAAGAGGTTTCCAGGGGGGAGCTGCGCATCTAAACTCTGGATCATAGCGTGTTTGCGCGGCGTGATGTGTGCCCAGGGTACGCATCACGGCTGCGGGCGTCTGCTGTTTGGTGCGGGAAAGCTTGCAGAAGCCAAACTTCATGATTCTAGCCAGGGCACATCATACCATCCACACTGAATATCGTCCCAGAAATATAAGGTACCTACGCACCGCTCCCTCCCCATGGCATTTGAGCTTGCCTTGCTGTCCAAATGCTGTACTTGCAAACCCGCATTCCGTGCTACGGTGCTACGGCCTCGTACCGGCCACGCCCTCCATCCAGACAGATCTGTTGGATCTGGTCCCCTATTTCCCCCTCTCCCTTCTCACCGTAGATCCAGGGGACCTTCTAACACAGCTGTCACAGCCTCCGCAAACAGCGGCTAGCCTTCGAAAGTGCTAAGATCTCCCCCTTGTAGCTTTTAGAGGTACGCGCGGTACGTTACCTACTTGACTAGTGCTAAAGGCGCCACTGAAAATTTTCCATGACATGTTTGTTCCCTTACTTAGGTACTCCGTAGACCTCCCGGAAGTACCTACTCGATGGAGGATCTACCCAAGACACTTGCACGCCGCCATCCGCCATGGGGTGGATGCTTCTAGAGCAGCCTTCTCCCTGGTTGCGGGTTTGTTTCGAGGGAAATGCATGCATGTGCGTTCTAGTAGAATTTGCGCCAAGGGAAGAGGGTCAAGAGCCAGCCAGTAAGTAGAGCGCGATGTACCATGCCACCTCCAGGGCTTGGGCCGGTGACGAGCTTGACGAGCTTGGTACTTGGTAAGGCGTGGAGGGCGAGAATGCCCATGAATGATGCGGTGGATCCATCATCGATCCCAAGTACCGCACCGACTCAGGCTATGGGAATCCCATGACACATAATTACACTGCGGTGGACGCCGACCAAGGCGAGACCGCATCACACCAAAAAAGAGCGAAACGTACAAATAAACGTCGGCCCCGCTATCGCAGATGCGTCGGGCTCCTTTGGATCCTGGATAAGATCACTTTTGTTGTTGTTGAGAAAGAAGCGACACTGAACGAATCTTGTTTACACGATTGATCGATCTACCGTGATTCACTCGAACGTCTCGAAGCATTTTCCCCAGCTACCCTACGCTACTCCGCGAACCCAAGCCGTTTAGCGCTTCTCGTTGCTTTCGGACTGCTCTCTGCACATCCGGCCGTCCTTTTTTTTTTTCAGCGGCGATTCAGCGGCCACTTACATCCGACCGTGATCGGCGACCTCCGAACCACAACCCAAGCTTTTCACGACGGCGATTTCAACAAACGGGAATCGCACATATACTAGCCCAGGGATAATTGCTCCCAGCACTCTTGTCCCAAGGCCAGACAGACATCACCATCATCTCTCAGGCAGGAGGAGGGAGGAAGAAGAGCTCCCGCAGCAACCCTGGCAACCAGACGAACTCTCGGACCCCGCCTACTACCTACTGCACCAAGCCTAGAGCGACTTGGCTGACTGACTCCGTCATCGCTTGCATTTTGATCAGCCGACCATCTGCATTCTGCATTTCCGGTCCCCAGTTGGCAAGGAGTGCAGCAACACTGCGCTAATCGCATCTTGCCTTGCCCCGGATTCTGTTTTCTCGGGCTGCAGGTGCCCGGTAAAACAGCCCTAGCTTTCCATTAGCTTGCAGGGCCGATCAAATCACATCACCTGCTCACGCAACTGCGAGCTTGGCTTTTTTGGCGAACCCCGCCCTGCTCGCGTCATCTGCTCGTCCAAACCCACCCCTCCCAGCTCCCAGTCAGGCACAGCGCAGCGCTTCTTGGAGAGAGGTGGTCCCACGCCGCCGCACACAGTCTGAAGATATGCCACACAAGGTGACAAGCTTCCTGGAAGCCTCTCTCAACTCGCTCGAAAACCAGGTCCTCCAGCTCAAGAAGGAGAGACGTCCATCCCCTCATCCCACCGGCAAAAAGACACGGAGCTCCGAGCGCATGTTCTCGTATGCGTTTCAGATGCCCGACGACGCCCAAGAGGGCCGTCACTCGACCTCGTCCATGTCCGCGCGCAAGTCGCCCAAGTCGTCCATACACTCGGACAAGGATGAGCACCACCACCACCGCCTGTCTTTCCCGGGCCTGCACCTCGGCCGCTCCAGCAAGGAGGCGCACCACAACCCCAGCGTCGCGCTCGAGTGCAAGATTGAGTCGCCGCCGCTCTTGATGCACGGCGATGCCCAGAGCAGCACCGGCGCTCTTCTCTCTGGCCAATTCTTCCTCAACGTCAAGCAGGACGACTTCCAGATGGAGTCCTTCACTGCGACGCTCCGCATCCACGTCGTGCAGAAGCGCCCCTTCCTTGCCCACTGCCACAACTGCAGCCACCAGTACACTGATGTCCACAAGTGGACGTTTCTTCAGACGCCACTCAACCTTGCCAAGGGTATGTTATCTGTGATTTTTTTCTTGTCGGCCCTGATGTCCCAGACGCCAATGACTAATCGGCCATGCAGGCTCCCACCAATTTCCCTTCACGGTTCTCCTCGAGGGCCACCTGCCCGCCACCATGGACGGTCCGCTCTCGTCCATCTCATATGAGCTCAAGGCCGAGGCCAACCCCATGCCTGGCTATGGTGTCCCCGTCAAGTTCGAGAAGGTGCTGGAGGTGAAGCGTGCCCTCCCGCCGTCCGAAGTTCCACACCACTCCATTCGCGTCTTTCCGCCGACCAACATCAAGGCCAGCGTGCACTTTCCCCAGGTCATCCACCCCATTGGCACCAACACGCTGTCTCTACGCATGGACGGCATCGCCAGGGTCAACAACAAGGCCGAGACGGTCGAGTATTGGAAGCTCAAGAAGCTCACCTGGCGCCTGGAGGAGACAGTCAAGACGGTCGCGCCTGCTTGCGAGAAGCATGCTCCCAAGGAGCCTCCCAAGGAAGACGACTCGGCGGAGCAGGAGCCTGCCAAGAAGGGTGTCACGCGCACCGATACTCGGGTCATCGGCGAGAAGACCATGTTTAGCGGATGGAAAAGCAATTATGCCGGTGCCGACGACTCCAACGTCGAGCTCGAGTTTGAGTACATGCTCAACCGGCACGCCAAGCACACCTGCGACCTCAAGTCGCGGGACGGCACTGAGGTGACGCACCAGCTCATGGTGGAGATGGTGGTTTCGCAGGAGTGGGCACCGATTGGCAAGCCGGCTCTCGTCACCCAGACCGGCGTCGGCCGCATCCTGCGCATGCACTTTGCAACGACGCTCACAGAGCGCGGCGGCATCGGCATCTCGTGGGATAACGAGGCACCGCCCATCTACCAGGACGTCCCCCCCAGCCCTCCCGCTTACAAGGGCGACGATCTCCCTGAATACCCGTTCTGTGAACTCGACAACATGGAAGCGCTGGACGCTCCTATGAGCCCGACAGTGACACCAAGGCAATTGTAAGGAAGGGATCCCCAGCTATGCAACCATTATACATCATACCTCGCACACAATTGGGACCATGCCACGACTTGTTCTTTTTGGCTTGAAATTATCGCATTATACCCGTCTCTGATGCCACGTCCAAATAGTGGCGCAGGGAGATTCGACTCTGAGATTCTATATTTGTTTTCTATCATCCAGCGCATTCTTGAGAGAGAAAAAGTTGCCAAAAGCATGGTCATGACACTTGAAAAAGGGCGTTGAAGCGAGAATTTGGAAAAGTTGAGCGATGATTATGGGAAAAAGGAGCCAAGCAGTGGCCTAGAAAGGGCTCACTGCCCCACGATTATGAGTACTTGTCAGTCATATTTACTATAGAGAAACATTCATATATAATCATAATTCGCATCTCGACTACATGATTCTCGTCCTCATTATTGTCACCGAGTCGATGCAGGTAACAACATCTCCAGTCGCTGAATTGCCACAGACTATGGCTTTGGAATGAGAACATGGTGCAGCGGAGAAACCGTGACAGGTCTTCGAAACCGCTTTGATCAAATCTAGAAGATTGATAAGACATCATTCTGGGTCCTCTGTTGTTTAGGTCTTTTGAGTACCGGCCTCGATATCCGTCCGAGAAAAGGTAGGCACAGACGCGGAGTTCGTTCAGTCTGGCCTGGTCGGAGCGAGTCCTTATCGATAAAGAGTGCGGGGAGCATCGACGCTATGACGGTGTGGAGGGTCCCAGAAAGTTGAGGTGGGGGTGATTGCAGCGCATCAGGCCAGCAGCCAGCCACTATTACTCACACAGGTCAAGCAGGGTCATCGATGACTACCACAGTCATTCACCCTCTCAACTTTCTTGCTCGATCCGCCAGACTCGAATTGCTCATCCGGCGAAGACGTCAAGGGCAACCCCGGATCGCTGGCTGACCTTGTTCTACACTGCACTGCAATCTTCCCACATCATATTTAACTACCAGTGGACCTCTACTGCAAGTCGTGCAAGTCTTCATATTGTCACGGCGAGACCTCTCCAACTCAGATCCGCACCACATGCACAGGCCTTGACAAGTCAACCGCGCACACACCACAGCTCTACCAGCCCGATGATCATTCGAATATCGAAATAACCTCCCATCAGGTCCCATGATCCACGATGGCAACAACAAAAGGCCCCAAGCTACCGCACGAGCGGCGCAAGGGGGAAGCTGTATGTCCTACTTACCATTCGTCGACCCGTCGTCGACCCTTCGGCGCAACCCTGCGCGCAGCTGCAGTTGCGACGCGGTCACTCAAGACAAATCGAGCACATATTCTAATAATTTGAGGGGCATTCGGGAAAGGCACTTAGCGATTTTGCCGACTACGTGGAGAAACAGCAGGCGCTGCGCTATCCGGCCGCAAAACCCGAGGCCGATGCTGCTAGCGGCGCGCCCGCCGCGATAGATCAACACTCGGAGCTCGACGACATACTTGACTCGCTCGATCTCGACGACTCGGCTCCGAGGATACCCTTACGCGAGCTGCTTCTGAGCGGCACGGCTGATGAAGCCGACGACGCCTCATTACACAACCTCGCTGATGTATTAGGGGAGCGTATACGAGATGGACACGGCGAGACCGTCTTCGACCTTGGATTCGAGCACAATGGCGAGTCATTAGGCTTGACGCGGGAGCAGTGGGATGTGGCTTATGATAGGCTGGTCAAGGCGGCGAAAACGGTCCGAGCCGACTGTCAGCTGCTCCTTACTAGGAATGTGGGCGGTGAGGTCGACGTCGCAACCAACGGCAAGAGCAAGGAGAAGGACTGTACCGGCAAAGTCATGATACGGCAGGTTCCCGAGTCCGTGGAGAGCGTCATTGAGACAAGGATAGCGGTCGTTGGAAACGGTAGGCGACATTCTGCTGGGTGGTCGGCACTAGACAAACGACGCATTGTTTTGCTGACACTAGAACAGTCGATGCTGGAAAGAGTTCTATGCTGGGTGTTCTGGTCAAGGGCGATCTGGACGATGGTCGAGGCAAGGCCCGAGTGAACCTGTTCCGGCACAAGCACGAGATAGAGACCGGCCGCACTAGTTCTGTCGGAATGGAGATCATGGGCTTCGACACCAAGGGCGAGGTAGTCAGCTCGGAAACTCCTGGCAGTATGTTTTCTCCCATTTTCTTGCAGTCCTTGACCGCATGTTTGACACTCCATGACTAGGAAAACTGTCTTGGGAAGAGATTGGAAAGCGCAGCGCCAAAGTCATCACTTTCACTGATCTGGCTGGCCACGAGCGTTACCTCCGCACCACGGTTTTCGGCCTGTTGTCCAGCAGCCCCAACTACTGCCTCCTCATGGTTGCAGCCAACAATGGCCTGGTCGGTATGTCCAAGGAGCACTTGGGTATTGCCCTGGCGCTCAACGTGCCCGTCATGGTCGTCATCACCAAGATCGACATCTGCCCGCCAAATATCTTGGAGCAGACCATCACTCAGATCACTCGGATCCTGAAGAGCCCGGGAGCGAGGAAAATCCCCATCTTCATCAAGAACAGAGACGAGTGCGTCAGCACAGCCACGCAGTTTGTCTCACAGAGGATATGTCCTATCTTCCAGGTGTCCAACGTCACAGGCGAGAACCTCGATCTAGTGAGGACCTTCTTGAACATCCTCCCTCACCATGGGCGCTACGACTCGGACGCTTCCTTTGAGTTCCACATCAACGACACCTTCTCGGTACCGTTTGTAGGCACCGTAGTTAGCGGCATTGTCAAGTCGGGCGTGATCCACGCTGGCGACAGTGTCTGGGTCGGACCCGATTCGAATGGCAACTTTACAGCAACGAGCATCAGGTCGATCGAGCGGAAGAGGATAGTTGTGCCTGCGGCGTCTGCAGGACAGTCTGCCTCCTTCGCCCTGAAGAAAATGCGCCGGAAGGATGTCCGCAAGGGCCAGGTCGTGCTGACCAAGACGGAAGAGCAGCCCAAGGTGTATCGCGATTTCATCGCAGAAGGTGAGTCAGGTTCCCTGAAAAATAACAGTGTGGACTGCTGTCTCTTTCTTTCATGATTGCCTAACCGATGACGTACTATAGTGCTCATCTTGTCGCACGCGACGACCATCAAGACCAAGTACCAAGCAATGCTGCATGTCGGCCCGGTGTCGCAGACCTGCGCCATCATTGACGTCGACCGTCCTTTTATTCGAACGGGCGATCGAGCCACTGTCGCGTTCCGGTTCGTGCAGCGGCCGGAGTATCTCGCTCCTGGAGACCGGATATTGTTCCGCGAGGGACGCACCAAAGGCCTCGGTATTGTCAAGTCTGTTGGCTATGACCCCGAGAAGCCACTCATGCAGCAGTCCGGGGACAAGGCGCTGTTGGATGACGCCCAGAACGGGGCTGGGTTGAGCAAGGTCATGATCGCTTAAAGGGTCGCCTCTTGTATGAGCCCCCTAGAAGAGCGACCAAGATCTCTTTGTATGTGTGTGTCTTTTTAATCCGGCGGAGTTTCAGGCGCGAATCTGGTCGCAGGCTCATTGCTCTAGCATTTGTCGGGTTCGTTTTTGCCTTTGTTCATTACTCAGGTTGTCTGCTCTGCTGGATCAGACTGTTCATGACATTGGCAGTTGCCATGCTCAACTTTAACGGTTGGCATTTATATTTTCTCCCTGTCAATTTCATGAGTCCTCTGGCTCTTTATGCAAGTCGCAGCCTCCGGCAACAGGTTGTCTTCCCAGGGCGTTGACTGGACAAAACACTAAGGATATTCAATGTACTTTGGTGCTAAATAGTATCTGGCATTCACTCCTCAACTCGGACCCTACATAGCCTTCTTCCTCAGTGTGCGAACATTTTCTTGATTGTGATATCAAAGGCTTCTGGTGGCCGTCCGAGCAGCTGCTCCAGTGTCTCTGTAATCACCGCCGTCTCACCCGCCCGAATGCCTTCCCACGCCGTGGCCCATGATACTGCCGTCTCTGCACTGCCAAACCGGGCCTTGACCTGCTCCTGCTCGGCGTACTCCTCAGCTGAGACTTGGCGAATGCGGACCTTGTCCCTGTCTCCTGTGATCGCCTCGCTCAACGCCGCCACTGTCTCGCGCAGCGTCCACACCCGCGGTCCAGTCAGCAGTAGGGTACCGTTGACCCACTCGGCCGGGTAGGCCTCGGGCTCGGCGAGATAGCGCGCAATCACCCGGGCGCTCGCCTCCCCGAGCTCGTCGCGCTTGGCCCACGCGACGCCTGGCGCCGAGCCGTCATGGGGGATCAGGATCTCGTCGGGAGGCGGGCTGCCGCTGCCGGGCTTGATGGCGAACGCCGTGTAGATCGGGAACGACTCGGAGTACAGGCCTTCCCGGATCGATGTGAACGTCAGACTGCCATCACGGCGGTGGTCCTCGCCGCTGTCCGATGTCGGCGACGACGCTGCCAACTCGGCCAAGTGCCGCTCCGTGTCGAGGTGCGCCTGCATGACGACCGCCCGCGACGACACCGACGCGGCCGTCCCCGCGAAGGCGAGCGACGAGTAAAAGATGTGCCGCACGCCGGCCCTCGCGGCGGCGTCGACGGCCCGCCGGTGCAGCCGCGTGCGGAGGTCGTGCACGTGCGAAGGGTAGGACACGAGGAAGAGCGCGTGCACGCCTGCAAAAGCGGCCTGCAGCTCCTCCGGGGAGGACTCGTACGAGGCCTCGCGGACGGTGGCGCCGCCCTGGACGTACGGCTGCGGGACTTTGGACGGGTGGCGGCACACGAGGGTCAGGTTCCGGGGCGGGACCAAGGCCGGGGAGAGGTGGGACAGCGTGCTGGAGGCGAGGGCGCCCGACGCAGGGAATATGCCCAGTTGTCTCGCAGGCTGGTCCATTGCTTTTTGGAAAGCTCGTGGGCAGCAGGAGCTCAACCCTCGACACTGGGTGTTGTTCGCGGAGTGTTTGGTTGTTCAAGGTGGCGGTAGGCCGAAGGCAAGCAAAGCCAGGCGAGTCTGCGAAATCCACAAGAGTGCGGCTGGTGATGATACTTGGTAAGTTGTTTGATGCCGTGCTTGTCGCAAGTGACCAAGAGCTCACTTGACATCATCGGTCACCGAACGGCGTGGCGTGGGGCGGGCCGTCTTTGGATCTCCACAGCTCTTGAACGGACGAAGCTAAAGAGAAAAGCTACCCATACCCTTGTTGATGTAGCTTCGATTGAGCCAAGACACTTCATCTCTTTTGTCCATCATTACATTCGAGTGCCTTTGATGAGAGATCCACGCCCACAATCGTATGCACAATCAAGTTAAAGTTGCCCTTGCACCAATGCCTGACCTGCTCGCTGTCTCTAAATCTACGGATTCTGCATCGCACAGCGTACAGCGTATTTTGTACAAGCGCCAATGGCAGATCAGCAGCAGGACACGCCGCTCTCGATAGTGGCGTCGATTGCCGGCATTCTCACGTTCTTCGTCGCGCTGATAGCAGCAGTCTATGCGCGCTTCACTTTTCTACGGAACAGCGACGATGACTTCTTCAAGGTCAAGACGTCGTTGCTGTGGTACAAGACCGAGTCGACCTGGCTTTCAGAGCTTGTGCGCGCGACTGCGGACTCGGCAGGGGACGGGCCCTTCCGGGACCAACTGAGCAGCAGTCGCACTGGACTCGACGTTGGGCGCGAAAGCTACCGCGGGACTGCCGAGTACCAGATGTATGCCTTTGTGATGGACGACCTGATACGCCTGGAGGAGCGCCTGCTGGAGCTGGTGGCCGAGACTGAGGAGAAAGCTGGGACGGAAGAGAAGGAGGCCAGCGATTTCGGAAAGCCAGGCGCCGAGAAGAGCGCCGCAGGAGCCGAGAGATGGACCCTGGTGCCCAAGGGATGGGGCTGGAGCTGGAATCGCACGACAATTGCAATGGCATGGATGCCGGTCCGGAAAAAGGCTCTCGAGCTCGTGAGGCAGCGGGATGCACTGACTGCCCGAGTGCTCTTCACGCAGATGAGCATGATATCATCGTGAGTTGGGCTGCAGTGTCAGCTTCGTCGAGTTGATCTATACTAACCACCATCGTAGGCGCATCCGTGAACTGGAACAGAGAGCAGTACACAGGAGACAAAGCAGTGGTGAAGAAGCTCTGAGAAGGCTGGAGGAGACCATCAAATCTCAGCAGGAACAGATTCAACGCCTCGAGGCCGCGGTGTATCGCACTGCGCAAAACAGCTCGCTCAGGTGAAGTGAGGTGCCATCTTGTACGCAGAAAAGAGATCCCTCTGCGTGTGCTGCCAACAATCGGGCACCACTTCAGCAGAAACAAGCTTGTACCGGCTGCTGTTGGCAGTATTTTACTTGAAGTCATAGCCACCCTGCCACAGGAAGGCGGCACTACACGCCAGACTCAACACCGCCCAGGCAAGGTCAAGCTCGATTACCGACCATACCCAGAGACACCCCAGTGGCGGCGCCTGTTTCATGACGGCAAGATAGCTGTATATGTTGGTGATGTAAATCAGGTAACAGCCAGCTCCCACGCTAGCTGCGAAGAATATGGTCTGGCGAAGGGGATTCTGGAATCGAGCGGGTAGGCCGCGGAGGAGGGTCGGGTCGGATGGATGTTGGTGGAGGGTGTAGAACAGGAGAACAAATACTGCAACGTCGAATCTGTTAGGTCCAGATCACAAGCGCTTATAGGGTCAGGATAACCTGGGAGACATACCCAGAAACGCCCTCCCAGTCCGGACACTGACATCATGCCACGACAGTTCCACAGCATACTGGTTCTGCACAAGAACGTCGAGGGTGAAATGAAGCATGGAAAGGCTGATGGTCCAGAGTAGAGTGTCCATGATCTGTTCTACACGCGGCGGCAGACCTGCTACCTCGGCCTCCTTCTCATCGTCATCTTCGTCGCTGTCGCTTTCACCGCTACTCTTGCTCGCCCGTGTCTTTTGCCTCTTGAGCTCCTTCTCTCTATCCAATGCTTGTTGGAACAGATTTCGCTCGTCAGCAAGCTGTAGGAGGGTGGGCTCGCTAGGACCGGAGCGATCCGGGTGCTTGAGCTTGATGTTGGAGGCGTCTTTCTCACGACGCTTCTTGGCCATCGTGCTATGGTGTGGTGCTGTGTGCTGATGCGTACTGAAGCGTGCCGTCGAGAGATGAACCTCGGATGTCTTGGCGTATCATGCAGACGGATGCCAATACAAGTTAGAGCTGTCCTTTTCGGTGGTGCTAAAGAACTGGGACGAGTACTCTGATCGGTGTTGAACGGTCAAACGGATTTGGCCCAACGTCGAAAATTGGACCTCATTTCTTCGGCAACGATTTGGCCGAGTCACCTGGAGCACCTGCATCTACCAATCACGGCGCTGAATTGGACCCCTGCCACGCTGCTTTAGCCCCAGAAGGCTACCGAACAGCGTGCACTAGACACCACCTAATCAACTACCTAATCCGCCTGCCCGCCCTGCTAATTTCGCACCCCTGGACCTGGACCGCTTCCTGGCTGGCTCGGCTGGCTGCATGACCACATATTTCACACGGCGATCCAAGCTCGACTTGCACAAACTCGACCAGGCACGCCGGGCTCCGTCACCACTGCTCCTCGCCCGACAGGGGTACTAACTCGTCTCCATCCGGTCTGTCCATAATCGCAAGGTGGCATTTCCTCATTGATCGGCTGTCTCTTGATGTGGTGGGCGAGGGAGTGGTGCATTGACTTTGGTCTTCTCTCTCTCTCACACGGCGTCCCCTCGTGATCACTACTCCTCCCCCCCCCCCCCCCCCCCCCCCCCCCCCCCCCCCCCCCAACCTGCGTCGGCCATCTTCCTGCTTCTCCTGCTTCTGTCCTCTCTGTCCGCAAGACATCTGCGACTCGACGGCGAGACCTTGGCTGGCTCTCGCGTGCCTGCCAACGCATCGCCTGTTGGTCATCCTTGTTGTTGCTGCAGAATCCCCGCCACGCTTCCCCCACAGTCTCGCACGCTACCATACCATTCCACCATCCCTTACATTCGCGGCCCAATCTGCCGACCGCCGCCTCCTGCTGCCCGCGCTCCCGGGAGCGCAACGACAACTCCCCTTGGGATTTTGGGAGGGCAGCAGCTAGGGAAGAGAGACAATCGCCATGGAGATACTCTACAGCGTGGGGATCTTGCTCGTGCTGATCCCCGCCTGCTATCTCTACACCGTCTCCGTCGTGGCCACGCGCTTCCCCGCCCTGCGCAACAAGCGCATATGCCTGCTCATTGCTCATCCAGACGATGAGGCTATGTTCTTTGCGCCTACTGTTCTGGCGCTCACGCGACAGAGCACTGGCAATCACGTCAAAATCCTGTGCCTGAGCAGCGGTGAGTAGTCCAATTGGTGTTCTGAGCTGGGGACTAGGCGCATATGGCGTGTGCACATGCCGCCCAACTGCTCGCACACACAAGGCAGTTATGCTAATACAGCTGGCCTTTGCGCAGGAAACGCGGCCGGCCTGGGCGAGACGCGCAAGAAGGAGCTCGTCAAGAGCGGCATGACCCTCGGCCTCCGCCAGGAAGATGACGTTTTCGTCGTCGATGACCCGTGAGCAAGCATCCTCCTAGACTTCATCATCCAGCAGCCCCCCCCCCAAAGCGTTCTTTTCAGAGTCCAATTGACCGACCCATGATTCCTCCTCCCTTTCAGGGACTTTCCCGATTCCATGACCGCAAAGTGGGACACCAACAGGATCTCCGCCCTCCTCTCCTCCGCCTTCATCCCACGCCGCAACACCACCAAGAATGTCGACGCCGCCCCCGAGGCTACCATTGACGTCCTCATCACCTTCGACCGCAGCGGCATCTCGGGCCACCCGAACCACATTTCCCTCTACCACGGCGCCCGATCCTTCGTCGCCTCCCTGACCGCCGGCAAGCCTGGCTGGAAGCCCCCGGTCGATCTCTACACCCTGCGTTCGGTCTCCATCCTGCGCAAGTACACTTCGTGCCTCGACACCGTCGCCACCCTCGCCGCCTGGGCCCTCACCACCCCGATGAAAAACAAGGAGCACCCGGCAGGGCTCGTCTTCCTCAACGGCTTCGGCGCCGGCGGTATGGGCACCGCCTGGAGGGCCATGACCGAGGCGCACAAGAGCCAGATGGTGTGGTTCCGCTACGGCTGGATCACACTGAGCCGCTATATGCTCATCAACGACCTGCGGCTAGAGGACGTGCACAAGAAGCCGTGACAACGACAGCGAGCACCAGGCGACAAGATGCAGCATTGGTATTGGCGTACTCTAGCGTGTAGCTTTATGAAAACTGTAATACATGAAAGGATTCCATATCTCTCTGCGGGAAGGGCCCCGCAAGCGTGCCTTTTTGGCTCAAAGATGTTCTCTCTGCAGCCATCTCTTGGTGTAAGGGTTGAGCTTGCGCTTTGTGAGGTCTTCGGGGCTCGTCACCCACGTCACCGGCCTCTTGACCGAGACAAACTTCTGTATAATGGGCCGCATCCGGTGAAATGGACTGTCAGGTCCGTCTGCGATCGGGGCGTCCTCGGGCTCACGCTCAAGATCAGATCGATACCGCGGCGGCGTCCAACGACCTGCCCTGATACGCTGGTTCATCTCACTCTCCTCCAATTGAGGTACTTCTATCAGACGGTCCACAGTTATGTAACGTGTTGCGCTGGGCCCTAGATGGAGGCGAACGAAACCCGTCGGGGTGCGGTAGGTGGTCGGCGAAACCATGAAGTTGCGAAACTCGTCCACCAGCTGCGGGATGGTCGTCGTGGTAAAGGTGTCCTTGTCGCCGGGCCGCACCTTCTTGAATATTTTGTGACACCACATCTCGATCGCGTACCACATATGCCACTTCTTGGCCGAGGCTCGCTCGTATCGCATCAGTACCGGCCCCGTGGCGACCCTTTGTTGCCGCGTCTGCGAGTACTCCCAGAGCGCCTCTTCGTAGACCCTGCACTGGGCTTGGTACTGGTCCTTGAGCTGGCGCATGAGCGGGATGGCTTCCCCGTACTTGCGCTGCTCGATCAGAGAATTGACCAGAATTCTGTATTGGTCGAAGCCCGGCTTGACGTTGTAGGGCGCCGATGTCATGACGTCCCAGACGAGTTGGACAGCGTCTGGCTTGAGCACCTTGTGCCGCATGCCCATGATTTTCCATTCAGTGGTGGCAGGTTTAGTACCAGCGATGTACGTCCAGCTTAGCAGATCGAACCACACCTTGTCAGGGATTTCGATGCGGTAGAGCTGAGAAATATGGTTGACGACCTTGAGGGCAATGGCAATATGGCTGTTGGACCCGAAAGCCAGCACAATCGCCTCCATGAGCCGGCCTGTGGGATACATAGGCGAGCTCCGCCTGGGTATGACGCCATCCTGGACAATGACTGAACCAGTTGCCTTTCTTCGGCTGATGTGGATGTTCCAGTACTTGCGTAAGATGTCGATAGTGGAGGCCACCTTACCTGTTCTTGCCGTTGCAACAATCATGGCGCTCAAGAAGTCCACATCATGGTCGTAGCCCAAAGATCTCGCTCTTGTGAAGACTCTGGTGACTGGTATCGAGTTACGGAGAATCATGTTCGTTTCCTCGGCGACGTGAGGCTTGCGAAAGTTGTGCCCAAAGCGGTGTTTCCGGTGCAAGTCCATGTTTCTCTGCAGGCGCCCAAGCATGTAGAGTGTCTTGCCCCGGTCGAGGCGGGAGTGGAGGGCGAAATGGGTGAACTTGCCGGGAAACAGAGAAGCGGGTCGCACCCGGTGTAGCGGCAGATTGTACTGCATATACAGCGGCTCGGTCAGGAATCGAGCTCTCGCGAATTCGGCGTATGCTCGGCTTGATCGTGAAGTGGTGTAATTGTCTTCGTCCATCATCTGCCAGATCTCCTTGGCAGCAGTCATATCCGAGGCTGCTCCTGCACATCTCACCAAGACGATGTAGTCATTGAACTGAGGTTTGTGCCATGTTTCTCTCCTCACTTTGAAGATGCTCGTCAATTTCCGCAACAGCCCCACGTAGATCGTGCAAATTCCATAATTGTTGACGAATCTCCCCAAGGGGGTCATCTGGGCGACTCCCGGGCCGATGGAGATGCCGTCACTAGCACTTAACTCCTTGGCCACAACAAAGGGATCGAGGCAGCGCATGAGTTCCGAGAAAGCCGTGGATGGGAGCTGTGCGACGACCGACTCGATGGTAGAGTCTTGCCTAACCACCTCGGCATGGCGATACGCCCCCAGCGTGTTCAAGCCTAGATGCCTGAAGAGGGCTCTGGTGTCTCCCTTCTCCAACGCTGCCAGAAACTCTTTGACTTTGGGTTTGTCCCAGTGCCTGGACTCGGGTTCCCCGGTGTCCTCGCTCTGCGGGATGTTCTGCCATCGGAGGCGTTCTGGGGGCTGGGGAGGCTTGTGCAGTATCAGATCTTGAAGGACCCTGACATCATCAGATGAGAGAAAGGGTGGTTCGTTGATGTGCGCGGCGAGAACTCTCTGGGATTGTGAGAAGCTCCGTGTGTAAGTTCTCGCGACCCGATCCAGCCTCAGTTTGAGCACGCGCCAAGATGTACCACGGGGAGGGCGGTAGAGCAGCTGTCGGGGCCCGAGGCACCCTGCCGCTTGTGTCGCCGCTATCATATCGGATCTCGTGTGCGCATGTCGCAGGGGGGGGGAGCTTTTCGACCGATTGAGGCCCCGAAAATGCCACAGCGCGGCTTCTTCGAGAGTCTGGTGCTAAGATGCGGAGAGCGGAGACGCTGTGATCGTGGAGTGCGAATCATGGGGGACTGTGGAGCCAGAGTCGAGACAGCCCATCAATTGATCAATTGAGGCGCTACAACTAGCCCGAGGTACCCCCTAAGAAAACCGAGCTACGGCGCTATATATGTTCCAGCTCCGGCTATCTTATCACTATTTGATTCTCTGTGCTGTTCCTGTACCGTCATGCTTAACTCGACTACGGCGCTCCACACCAGAAAGACAAGCAAAAACAATATCGGCCCGTGCGTTGGTCACGCTCATCATCCATCTCACTTCGCATCGAGACTCATCCCGAACCAGCCTTCATCACTACCGGTCTTCGACTCATACTCCCGATCATGGCGGACATCGGTGACGAAGGAAACACTGTGTCCGAGCCCCTCGACCTGGTTCGTCTGCTGCTGGACGAAGTCGTCTTTGTCAAGCTGAGAGGCGACCGCGAGCTCAAGGGCAGACTTCATGTACGCCCTTACCCTGCATATCTCCTGCTCGTCAGACTTGGTGCGCATAGACTGACCCTGAGTCGCATCAGGCTTATGACAGCCATTGCAACCTTGTGCTAGGGGAGGTCGAGGAGACCATCTACGTGGTCGATGACGATGAGGAGGATGAGGAGGTCAAGGTTCGTGTTCTCGAACTCCTTGAATAGGCGGTCGTTAGTGTCGCTGACATTCTCAACAGACGATAAGCAGGAAGTCCGAGATGCTGTTTGTGAGAGGTGAGATCTCGGTGCCCGTCTTTTTCCCCTCTATCTTTTCTGGCACGGCGCTGACTATGCACAGGCGACTCGGTGGTGCTCATCTCACCACAATCACAAGCTTGAGAAGCTGATGATTGGAGCGTCGCAACTCATTAGTGATGCACCGACGATGATATCGGTGGCAGACCAAACGCGTTCGGTCACCAGCGCATGCCCATCCGCCCTCTCAGGCCACTTGATCGCAGCCACCAGATCTGACAAGCCACGGGGTTGAGCCATGTATCACGCATTGCTAGACATGTCCCCTGCAATTCAAGGGCGCACAGTTCAGTATAGAAGTCAGGCGTTTGATACCAGTAGAGAAATGGATAGAATTTGCCACCATCTCCTTTTTGGCCGCTGCGAAGGTTCGATCACGCCGCTCGCTCACTCCTCGGGCCTTTGACCCAATCTGGGTAAACCTCCCATTCTGTTTGCATAGTCCACTGGCACCTTCTTGAAATTCCATTGTTCATGTATGCTGTCGAATCAGCTCTCAGACAACTGTGATTCTTGGACTGATTCGTTTGTTGCTTCATAACCTCTTGGTGCCCGAAACCATAAGTCCTCTCTACAACTTCTCAACCCCTCTTGCCTCGTCTTGATCCAAGGTATGCGCACGCCATAGAAACCAATGAATGAACTCCAGTTCTCGCGTATGTCGTGACATACCAATTATGTCCTTGGATTTAGCAAACGTGCATTGCATACATTTCGTTCTTCACTAATGAAAGCCAAGCCCTTGGCAACATGAGCCTATAGAATCAGCGATGGCCCAGTAGTCTTTGCATTGAGTAGGCAGGTGATGCATATGGTGTGGTGGCAGCTGAAGAAACTCTAGAAGGGATGGGGTTTCTCAAGGTTGCAACTGGCTGTTTATAGCCAAAAGTGACTACTGCGCTTTCTACAGGAGATAAATGCACTCAGAGGTCCATAGGATCCAATGGAATGACTGAACCCTGGGTGTGATATTGGAACGTGTACAGAGAGCAAAATCGAATGTCTTCTGCCTTTGAAGAGTTCTACTGGCACTGATCTTGGCAATGATTGCCATGCCATCGAGTCCGCCTCTCTCAAGCACTCGGTAGAGGGTTTCGAAGGCATAATACCATGTAAGCCGAAGAGATACGAGAGCACGCAATGTAAACCACCTTGACCCTCAACCAGGAATTCTGGGCGAGAGAACCCAGGGGACCATATACACGACAACAACGTTGCTGGTGGCGCAGGTCAAGGGTTGTTTTGCCACAAACCTGGTAGAGTGCAATCCGGGACACGGACTCGGATGTCCGCGGAATGGCTCTCCAGTCTAGCCGGGCTATTATGTTGAAGCTCCTGCTACACCCCGTGTACCACTACAAGAACCAGATGGATGTATCAGTACCTAGGATGTCCCCGCTGGACAACAGGTCACGCCCGGACATCAGCCAGAGGATCCTCCTGTCTTCTGTATAAATAAACATGCATCTCTCGGCAACAGGAACACGGGTGTGCCGGGAATGGCTCGAAATGTCGCAGACACCATGCTACACATACTCCACACCAACCACCGTCATCCATCAGGATCTTGTTGTTGTTGAGAAGACAATCACACACAGCGCTCCTCGGCCTAGTCAGGTTGAATCACCTAATCAATTGATTAATGATTACTCAGTACTGTACGAGAGTTGTTGATACAAAGAGGAAAGTGAAGAGTAAAAAGTGATTGTAATGGCCAGACAAAATACCTGGCCAGATTTGCTAGTAAAAGAAGTAGTCAGGATTCTCATGAGTTTAGATACAAGAGAGGCCCGTCCTCTCGTGGTATTAAGGTTTGTTTATCCCCTCCCTTCGTCAAGTGTGCTCATTTTTGAGTTGGCACCGTGCCGACCCGGAAGTAAAAGGAGGTATGGAGCAAGAGGGGGGAACTTTTGATCAGTGATCGCGCCGGTCTCGACGAGCCAGCGGAGCCCGGATCCACTTCCCACCACACACCACCACCACCACCGAGACCCCCGAAGGTTCCGCGTACGACGACATCCCATCAAAAAAGCCACACCGATAAAGCCGCCGCTGCCGCCTCCTCTCTGCGCGTCCTCGGACACGCACGCACGCACTCAGCTTTCTCCCATCATGCTTGGTTGGGCCCATGTCGCAACTCGAATTCTTTGCAGGAAAACAACGACGCCTTTCTCCTTTCAAAATAAGCAGCAGCGCACGCGCGCAAGACAGAACCCATTGGGGGGAAGAAGGCAAGGCCGCCGCCTTAGACCTCCTTGTGCAGGACACCGTCCTCGTGGGCCATCTGGGCGGCAAAGGTCGTCGTGGGCTTCCAGCCGGCCGAAGTGCGAGGGGTGGTCTCCTCCATCATCTTGTCGACCTGCTCCAGGGTGAGGCCCTTGGTCTCGGGGATGAGGAAGTACGAGTAGACGAAGGCGCACGTGCACAGGCCGCCCCAGATGAAGAAGACGGACGACTTCAGGTTGCCCTTGTCGGAGTCGGTCATGTAAGGGGTGATGACGGCAATGATGGTCTATATGTCGACGAATTAGCCAATGCACTTAGTGTATTACTCTAACCAGCACAGCGCGTTGGCGCGAGAGTGTACTTACGTTCCACAGCCAGTTGGAGGCAGTTGACAGAGCGACACCGCGGGAGCGGATGGGCAGAGGGAAGATCTCGCCGATGACGATCCAGGCACCAGGGCCCCAGGTGGAGGCGAACCAGAAGATGAAGATGGCGATGAAGGAGATCTGGGCGTTGACGGCGGGGATGTTGTTGGCGATCGACTTGGTGGGGTCGGCCGGGTCGGGGTGGGTCTTGTTGAAGCCGATGGTGACGCCGATGATGGCGACGAGGAACTGGCAGATCAGCATGCCGAGGGCACCCCAGATCAGGATGGTGCGGCGACCGAAGCGCTCGACAGTCCAGAAAGACAGAGGGGTCGAGAGCACGTTGACGAGGGTGAAGATGAGGGAGATCAAGAACTCGTTGCTGATAGCACCGGTCGACTTGAGGAAGGGAGTCGAGTAGTAGAAGATGAAGTTGACACCGGTCCTGTGGCACAAGCAGAGAATGGTCAGAGATTATTGTGTCTTCTTCTCTTACCCGGCCCGCGCAGACGAGCCGAGGTGAGGGAGCAGGATTACTTACCACTGCTGCATCATCTGCAGAGAGGTTCCGAGGATGGTACGGCGCAGGTTAGACTTGGCCTGCCACAGGGAGCCCTTGAAGCAGTTGGCCCAGGAGCCGAACCAGGTGGTGGAGGGGATGAGCTGGCGCTCGTACTCCTCGTTGGCGACAATCTCGGCAAGCTCGACCTGGATGTACTCGGAGTCGCCGGGCTGGCCACGGAGGCGGGAGAGCGAGTCGGTGGCAGCAGCCAGGTTGCCGACCTTGACGAAGTAACGGGGCGAGTCGGGCAGGAACATCAGACCGCCGCCGAGGATCAGACCCCAGGGGAACTGGATGGCGATGGGGATGCGGTAGACACCCGTGTCGGAGCGCTCCTTGGTGGCGTAGACGACGATCGAGGCCAGCATGATGCCGATGGTGATGCAGAACTGGTAGCCGGCGACGAGGGCGCCACGGACCTTGCGGGGGCAGATCTCGGACATGTACAGGATGACAATGGCGGACTCGAAACCGACACCGAAACCGGCAATCAGACGGCCGGCGACAATGGTGCCGAGGGAGCTGCCGTGACCGGTGATCATCTGGATAACGACGCCAAAGAGGTAGATGGCGCAGCCGGCGATGACGGTCCACTTGCGGCCGATAAAGTCGGCCAGGTCACCAGCAATAAGAGCGCCAAAGAAGGTGCCGCAGGACAGGATAGAGACGATGAGGGACGAGTGGGAGGCGGTGAGCTTCTCGACACCGACGCCCTCGACGGCCTCGATGAAGATCTTGGAGGCGGTGACACCGTTGATATAACCAGAGTCGTAACCGAAGAAGATGCCGCCGAAGGAGGCGAAGGCGCAGATCAGGTAGGCCTTCCAGGTGACGGGAGCCTCGATCTGCTCGACATCCTGGGTCGTGGCGAGGCCGACAACGCCGTGCTGCTGGGTGGTCGGCGGGAGGAGCTCGGTGCCCTTCTCGGCGGGGGCGACATCAGCAGCGGGAGTCGACATGCTGGCTGATGGGGAGGTGAGAGGTTGTGTGAGAATTGATGTGACTGCTTGGTGGTAGCGTAAGCCCTCTTCCTGGCGGGGGAAGTCTTTTGGATTTCTGGCTGCAATTTGAGAGCGAGGATGCTCTGCTTTTTCAGATCGCGGGGAGGTGAAAGAAGGAAATGCCAAAGCCCGGGGATCCAAGGGGGGGGGAGGAGGGGGGCCCAGAAGTGAAGGGGTGTGGGATGGGGACGACTTTTTAAAGTTTGGTGAGACCAGCGTCCGTGTGGGAGAGGTGTTGTCTTGGAATCCTGGGTGCTCTGTTGTCTGGCAGTGATTCACGCATGGGTTTCGAGGACGAGGACAGGGACGAGGACAGGGACGAGGACAAGGACGGAGGACCCTGGTCGCGGCGCCCGGTGTTACCTGCGGGCCTGGGGCTGGACGATGGTCTGGGTCCGGGTCTGGGTCTGTGGGTGAGGTGAGGTGTGTGTGAGAGGTACCTTGCCTACTCCGTAAACGAGTTGGTAGGTCGGTTGGTAAGGTACGGACTAAGGTAACTACATCTCAGTGGTGTGTGTGTAAGAGACTGAGTGTGTACATATCTACTGTACATCCATCCGTCTGGGGGGTTTGGAGCGAGTCTGTGGCGCGAGCGACGAGGACGGACCGACGACGCTACGCAGCAACAGTACCTACTTCGTACTCTCTCTCTCTCTCTTTCGAGATCCAGTCTGAGAGACAGACAGGCCGCAAAGGGTCGCTTGTGTGGCCCGTGGTACCCCTGAAGGCAGGCCTTTTCTCGGTTGGATCCTTCATCGGGAGAGCATAATTACCATCATTACAAACATGGGACATGATTTGACGCTAATACGGTAATATTGGCCCAACACGGTAAGGCCAGGTTACGCGGGAGAGCTATCCTTGTCTGTTGCTTATTATTCTGCCCTGCCCTGTGCTGTGCTGTTGGCTGTGCTGTTGGCCTCTCTTGCTTTCCTCATTCTCTGTCGGACTGAGTGGCTGGCTGGCTGACTGACTGACTGACCGCTGTGACTAGTTAGAGGAAGCTCCTGCTGCAGTTGCAGTGGTGTCGGTCGCTCTCTCTGGCGATGCATGCACGTCGGACACATTGGCAGACCCGAGAAGGAAGAAAGAAAGAAAAGAAGAAAAAAAGGTACCTACCTATTACCCACCTAGTCCACCTGCTTTGCTCCGAACTTGTTCTTTTGTGCCGCGGTACCTCCGTACGGGGGGGGGGAGGCAGAGGGAGAGACGGCGGAGGTGGTGGTGCTGATGTGGAGAGACAGGTCGGGGACACGGGGGAAAAGAGAGAGAAGAGATGCGAGTTGGAGAAGTGGAATGGGGCCGAACGAGGCCAGGCGAGTCTCTTTGTTGGACCATGCAAATTAAGGTGTGTCGAGTCGTGACATCCATGATCCAGCATCCAGTCCAAGTCCAAACACCCACCACCTACCTCTACTTGTACCTAACTACCTAACTAACCTACTCCGTCCTCCGTACGGACTCCTACGGAGCCACTTGAGCCACTTTGTACACACAACACACACAACACACACAACACGACAGACAAAGGCACCAGGTTCAAATTCTACCTGCGCCCCCCTAGTGCTAGGGACCTACCTAGTGCAGGGTGTGCCAGATTAGCGTCGACCCTCTGAACGGCGCGCCGTGGTAGCTCCGGCACCTACAGAGCCGACAGGTGAAGAGCCTGCAGGAAAGGGCCAGCGTTCTTGGCCCAGAACAGCAAATACAGCGCCCTGGGTCTTCTGTCGGGGCCGAAGCCAAGAACGACAGGAGGCTAAGGTCAGCGCTATCCGTGTCACACGCCCCTCCTAACTTTACGCCTCTAGTACCTAACTCTCCTAACTCTCCTAACTCTCCTTGTACCTACCTAGGTACCCAACTTTGCCGACTCCGTCGTCCAAAAAGCTGGGGAAGAAATTCGCCGTTGTCCCGCCGTGTCGCGTGGCGCCTTTATTTTTTTTTTCTTTCCCTTTTTGTCGCCGCGTGTGTTGTTCTCTCTCTAGCTCTAGCCTCTGGCATCGTGCTTGTTTGTCCTCGAGAAATGGGCTGACTCTGGCTTTCTTTGGCTGACTAGATTCGCATCTGATCCAAAGTCCTAAAGTCAGGTGTGTAGGTAGGTACCTAACTACATGCATCGGAGGCAAGCATCAGCAGCATCATGCGTTTGGGAGCCAGTCTCCCCATCTCTCTCCTCCCCCCTCCATACCAAGTTGCCGCTACCGCGCACCCGCGCGGGCGGGCTGGCGAGCGCATTGAGAAATCTCGCCGAGATCAGCTCTCGCCGGTCTCGTCTCGACTGCATTCATCCATATTCTGATTCAATTCAATGCATACAGCCATCAACGGGGCCCCCCCCAAGCAGGAGCCAAAGCAGGAAGCAATACATGCATACCTACAACCACACAGCACACAGCACACAGTGTTGTTGCCCTGCAGTGCCCGCCCTTCATTCCCATCTGTGCCGTCATTCCAGAACTGCTGCAGCATCGTTCATTTCCGCATGCAGCATAGCGAGCGTCGGAAAAGAAAGAATGGAATCATTTCTTTGATCAAGGCACCAGGGCTGACTGCAACGTCGAGTAAGATTTCAGAGCGTCCTCTGTCCCGTGCGGGCGCCATGCAACATGCACTCTCTGTGATCCGCACCCGCCCCCGGCCTGTCCTCGCCGCAACGCTTCGAGGCAATCCTCATTCATGACCATGATCACGAGCCAGACAGACCAGATCTGTTGGACGAGAGTCGGTCTGAGCTGGGGTTCTTCCCATCCCATGTCTGGACCAACCACATCGGCTCCCAAGCTGGGACGTTCTTTGCTTTAGCTTCCATCACCAACGTCTGGAGAAGGCGTCGCCTCTAACTGGTCTCCAGCCTGCGGATCTGGGTTAGATGAAGACACAAGCCCCCCCTGCTCGACTAGAGAGGCGCCGAGAAATCCCCATGGGTATCCACGGAAGACCCCTTGCTGCTCCACTCTAGCTGGCACCCTCAGGCACCTTGCTGCAGCTTTTACACCTGCTGGCACACCCCCTTGTTCGTTCATTGGGCCGGCGGCCCTGAGCCACCCAGCTACCGCGGCTCATTTCTCTGGTGTGTCTGGTGCTCTGTCTCTCTGTCTCTCTGTCTCTGTCTGGTGCTTCTTGTCTGCATGGCTTCCATGATGATGGGTGGGCCTCTTGGCCGCCAGCTAGGATCCATCCGGCCAAGCCTCTTCCGCTTTGGCGAGATCTTACCTTACCTACGGACCAGTTATGGATACCTACCCCCCAAACCCAAAGGCTGCCATCTACGGAGGATCTACTCTTGAGACAAGAGTGTCGCTCTCAGTTGCGATCAGATGGTGTTGAAGATCTTCCGCAAGGGAGGGTGCTTAAAAAAACCTTAACGTTAAGATGCAAAGGAGTGTCGCCATCGTCCCGCCGGGCGGGGTCGCGCTTCTCTTCCTTCCGCCATCGGCGTCGTGCATCGCGGATGCTCGCTGCACCGCACCATCGCATCCTGTCAGTCTCGGGCTCGCAGCCCAATGGGCCAATGCTCGGTCGTACTCGATGGCGCCTGTCCGCAGTAGCACCGTGCGCTCCGCTCGCTGGCGTCTTCTTGTCTTCACGATTTTGCCGGCTTGCTGCTTGGCTCGGGACCCCCTCTCCATTCTGTGTTCCGAGATCGTTTCATCCTCCGAAACGCTCTCTTTTCTATTTTCCTTTTTGGGGTTCTGATGCCCGCTTGGTGGGAAGCATGAACTAGCAGGCAGCTACTCTCCAAGTGATGATGCATCATACCGGTACCAGGTGACTGCAACGACTCGTGTCTGCTAAGAGCAGCCTTGAAGAAAGTACCCACGTAATTTCTCCGTACTTTACCCAGGTGGTGACATTCCATCCGATTGGGGATCTCATCCCCGATCGCTTCGGCAGCCTGCTAACCCAGATCCTGATTCAATATCCGGGGGGGGGGGGGGGGGGGGGGGTTCCCATCGTACGGTAACGCATGCCTCCCGACAGGCCTCCTCTCCGCACGGCGGCTCGTGGCGGCAAGCTTGCAATCCCCCCCAAAGTGCTCCAAACTCCGGGACATTTCTTCCCCTCTTGCCCTACTGATGTCTCTAGGCAAGACCTTGTCTCGTCTCGCCTGCGTGCCTCGCCCCATGAATAACAACAACAAAGCAGAGCCCTGCCGCCCGTTGGCCCACAGCCGCACCTGACTCGTCTTGCGTTGGCAAAGTAGGCGCCTTGCTACCGACAAACAGGCCCCGACTGGAATTGTTTTCCTGCCTTGCCAGAATGCTGCAGCACCGAGTACGAAAGTTTAAGCTGTCCAGCTGATCTTCGAGAAGCGAAGCTGAAACAGCCCAGACTCGTCTATCTGCGCCGACCGCCTAGAACACTCGGCTATTCACACATCGAAGCTGACGAGTGTACGTGCTGGCATTCACGATCTATCATCTGTGACTCTCTCTCTGCTTGCTCGGGTGACTTGGTGGACCCCACCAGATGAGATGGTAAACATCATGACATCAATGACAACACTCGGCTGGCTAGTTTCAGCAATTCATGCACCATAGTCCGTCCTTCCGTATGTACACACCGCAAGACTTCGTAATAGTGCTCGGCTTCGCTCCGTTTAGCCCCAACTCTTGGCTTTGGCGTCAGGCTTGCTCTGGTACCAGCCCAGCCCAGCCCAGCCCACATGGCACTCGGCGCAATTCCCACACAGAGGAGCCAGCTTTGATTGACAGCCATGAGGTCCCGTCCGCCTGGGTCTTTTGCCAGCTCCGGCTTAGGTAAACGGCCGAAGAAGCTGCCGTAGCGCGGCCGTTCTTCTAGCCTTGGCTCGGCTCCCTCTGTTTCTCCAGATCACATGCTGGGTAGAATTTTGCGATTCTTTGAGACCCGGGACCAGGACGCAAAGTCGGCAGAGCCCAGAAGGGAACATCTCTCTGCAGCTGCGCCGCCAGCGCACTCACCACCTCTGGTTCAATTCGGTCGGTGGTCGTGGTCTCGGCCGCGCCCATCTGGCGCTGCCGGTCTTCCTGCCGGTGTGTAATCCATGCTGGGAGGGTCGGGTCAGAGCAGAACGGCCTGCACGTAGCATACCTACGGTGGGTCGCAACCGCGTGTCCCAGCCATTTCCCCATGTAACGTTGGCGGATGCACCAAGCAGACAAGACAACCCACCCCCCCTACCGACCTGGGTGCGCTCCCTGCACTTGGGGTGCATGCCATACTTGCTGACTGGAGGCATCATACCACACCAAGAACAACATGCACCCTCCACGTGAACAAAGTCCCCTTGTTGGTCGGTGCTGATTCCCCTTCTTGCATCTACTTGTAGACTCGGGGATTGGAGTTCAGGGACCTCTGCCAATCACCTCTCTGTGCGTCCGCGAAACCTCCCCCATTGGCGAGACAAGCCGCCGAGGATGGGGAGAGGTGTGGGCCAGGGGTGTCCTCTCTAACTGACTGATCCGGCCCTTCTCTCGATCAAATACTCTTTTCTTCCTTCGACCATTCTCCTGCTAACTGGTACTAGACACGGGGCCCCATGCCTGCCTGGGCGAACCACTCCACATCGGTGGCGCCCGCAATGCATGGAACAGAACCCCCGAGGGGCTGCTCCGGGATGGACTGGTCCCCGAGGTGGAACTGTGGGCATCCCAAAGTGCATCGTGAAGAATTTTTAGCACTCTCGTTGGATCTGATCATGTATGTGGATGGACTGAGCCGCAAGGATCGGCCACGCTGAGACTTGGCCATACTCCGTACGCTCTTGGTACCTCAGCTGAGGCCTTTCTTGTCTTGAATGGAATGATGCAGATGCAGTGGTCAGTCAAGGCATGCTCTATGTTGTGAGTCTAGGGAAATCACACGATGCTCTCTGTCTTTCAGGACTAGGCTATCTTCTCGACCCATATCTGCTTGTAGTTACAGCTAGCTACTACGATCCTGCATGTTTGTTCCCGATGTCCATGTCAAAGTCTCTTCTCTTGAGAACCAAAACGCGCGTACTATGCCGGTATACCTCGCTCGGCCTGATCCGTTGGAAGATGCGAGCTTGCCGTAGTCGGTTGCTTCAAGACCGCATCTCTGGGTTCCCCTGGTTCCTGGTCCCTGATCTGCACGTACCCTGAAAGGATATTACTTCGAGCACTTGGCACAACGCTGCGGGATGGGTGCATGTAGATTACCTGCGTGTTGCATAGCAATCTGCAAGTTTGCAACATGAGCCCGAACACTCGGGTCATGCGCGTATGCATACCTGTAAGACACATGGCCGCCCGGCAGGCCGAGGTACTTGGGCCCCTTTTCCTAAATTAGACCGACGACAACAGGGTCGCCTAGGTCTTTGCAGGAGGTAAGCCCGGAGCAGCCCCTTTTGTCCTGTCGAGAACGACCAGGGGAGGAGCTGGCCTGGCGTCCAAGTCCCCAAGGGGTGCGTCTATGCTAGCGCGGCACGATATGGGAGTCACGGCTGTGTCCCCGGCGCGGAGCCCCATATTGCCGGCCGAGTAGGACCGAGCAAGCTCAAGGGATCGCTAGGGGCCACCTACCTAGGCGGCTGCAGGTTCGAGAACCGCCGAGAGCAGATATGAGCGGTAGGGGCTGGAAGAATGAGCCGTAAACCACCATGTGAAGCGGATGGTATTCATTGTTCGCGTTCATTGCTAGCATTACTTCTTCAACTTTGTCAATGTCCTCCGTGTTGCCAAGGTCAGTACGGTATTGCAGCTTGATCGTTGACATACAGAGCATCCGTCGTCTGCTCCTACCCCTGGTCCCAAAGCATAACCCGTTCATACTTTGTCAAGCAGTGGTAGCCTTATCATTCCTCTCTCTCGTCGTTGGCTTGGTCTTTGTTGTTGGATATCGAGTGACTGGTTCCCCTATCCACAAACAACCAACAGCCACCTGGAGGCTTCACGATCGGCTACCCACCTTCCAGATTGTTGTCAAAAGCGATCTTCCCCGAGAGGCGTCGTTTCTTTGGTTGCTTAACATTCAAAGCTCAAGGTAAGTTCCAGTTGTGAGCCTTTGTACACAGGTAGGTCAATCTCAAGTATATACACCTTCATACCATTCAACTGCCTTTGAACACTTGCTTCATAAAATGCCATAGTAACTATGTCCAGGACATCCACAGTACCGATCTATCCGGCTGGAATTTATGAACACGGCAAGAGAGAAATTTGAAGGAACAATCTATTTGTCTTCTCAGCTGTGGCCGAATCACTAGTCCCCGAGGCTCGACAGTATACAAACGCTAAGCAAGTTGACAGTATATCACGCAATATATCACCAAGAGCCTTGGTAATTTCATTGGGTCAATCATCAGCATTTTGCCCTATAGATGCAAAATGAATCAGAAACCTTGATCATCAAGGTATTGGCCTGAAAGCGATGGGGGCGTCTTTTCCATACTCGTGGACGCAGGGCTAAATCAGGGCTAAATCTTCTGGTGTTGTTAACTTCCAAAGTCTCTTTCAAAGTCTTGCGGCATGCCAGGCCCACTGTGAAATGTAAAATCTTCTCAAATCTTGTGCATGCTAGGATGTCAATGACAAGTAGCAAAGCATACTGATATTTGGAGTTAGATAGCTTTACATCCACCCTCTGGCTTGGACTGCTTCTATTTCGACTCTTAAGCCCTACAGAGACATCAGCGGGTTTCGTTCACGGCTGGTCTGCTCGTCATCAGTGTGTGGGGTTCGAAGTCCACGTACACAGTTCCGCGGGCGACATGTTCGGGTGTTATATTCCCACCTCGAGAGCTTGATATGATACCGAACAGAACTTTGTTCCTTTTGAGTCTAATTGATGCGAAGCTCTATGAACCGGATCTAGGCGTGTAACATATTCTCAAGCCCGCTCAAGCTACAAAGTGTGGTAATATCGCAAAATAGGCGGAGCTTGGATTTTCTACAAGAGCTCGCAATTCATGATGGTCTATTTGTGTCATTATGAAGAACTCAACTCAAGGTCTTTGTCTCTTGACCATCGGGGAATATGTGTGCTCCCTATTGTCAGCTCTTGCTGGAACCCCCATGCACTGCCGACTGATCCAGCCAGAGTGGGAATATCGTTTCGCCCAAAACAGACTGGTGCAAATCGAGAATGCGCTGCCGCCACTTCCACCTCATTCGCGGCCTTTGACAATCAAGCACTTCTCTTCATCAACCAGGAAGTACGTCTTGCCATGGACGGAAAGCAGTATTTGCGTGCGCTGGCTTTATCATCTTGGTGATGCAGCCCGATGAACAGGCCACTGGCCTCCACCACAAAGGCCAGCCGCCTGTTGCTGATGCCGATGCCGTGGCGAAACCGGAGTCGAGTGCAGTGCCTTCGGAGGCAAGCACGGTAACCGAGTCACTGATGGATTCTCCTCCCCCAAATGGAGGCCGCCTCGCCTGGCTACAGGTTGCTGCCAGTTTCGCCTGCTATTGGAACACACTGTGCGTCGCCAGCCCGTGTGCTAGGCTTCTCTTGCTAATCACGCTCAACCACGCAGCGGTGTGTTGAACATGTATGGCGCTTTTCAGGCGTTTTACGAGCGGGATCTCTTGCGCAACAGGTCGCCCTCAGATATCTCCTGGATCGGCTCTACGCAGAACTTCTGTCTCATGGCCGTCGGTGTTCTGATCGGGCCGTTGTTTGACGCCGGATACTTTCGGTCTCTCTTGGTAATCGGGGCATTCCTGGTCACCTTCGGATTCATGATGACGAGCTTGTGCACGACGTACTGGCAGGTGATGCTGGCACAGGGGATATGCTTGGGCCTCGGAACATGCTGCCTCACCATACCCTCGATCGCGCTTGTTCCCATGTGGTTCACTGGCCACCGGAGGACCTGGTCTATGGCTACAGCCACGATTGGTAGCTGTCTGGGTGCTACTGTGAACCCTTTGCTGTTCGCTGCTCTGCAACCGCGCATCGGCTTTCCCTGGACTGTCCGGGTGATGGGCTTTATCTCCCTGGCTCTCTGCTCCTTCGCCATCGCCGTCGCCCGCCCTAGATACAAAACCAGGCCGATAGCACAGCGCACGAGTGCGCGACCGTCGTTCCGCACCATCATCCACAACGCAGCACTTGGTGAGCGGACTTACTTGCTCTATTCCGCGTCGATATTCTTCAACAATGTCGGCTACTTTGAGCCCTCGTACTATATCCAGAGCTACGCCATCGATCACGGGCTGGGCGGCTATGCTGTTGTCGGGTACTTGCTCACCATTCTCAACGGCGCGTCCATCTTTGGGCGGCTTGGCCCTTCCTTTGCTGCTAGGAAGTTTGGGGTCCTTCCCACCTTCATCGCCATCGTCTTGTTCAGTGCGGTGAGCGTCTTGTACTGGATCAGCGCCAAAGGGTCGCTCCCGGGCAACATCGTCTTCGCCATCGTCTGGGGCTTCTTCTCCGGTGGAGTCGTGGCATACGCGCCTGTTGTTCTGACCACCATCACAGCTGACATGAGCTCTCTGGGAACGCGGCTTGGTGTATTGTCGATCCTGAAGGGCGTTGGTTCGTTAGTAGGTCCGCCAATTGCGGGCGCCATTCGAACAGGCACGGCCAGTTATTTGGGCGTGCAGCTGTTCACGGGTTGCGTGATCATGGGATCAGCCATCTTGGCCCTCTTGCTCCATGTGGAAATTAGCAGGACCGGTCAAGCGGGCAAGAAGAGATGAGGACAAGAGCATGGCTACTGATCAAGTAGTACATACATTGCTGCGAAGAATATAACGACAGTGTCAAAATATCGTATATCCTTTTGGGATGAGCGATACTGTACTCTAACTTATCACTGGCTGCATCAAACTATGACCTTCAGCGGAAAGTTTTGGCATCGCCACGAAGTTTACGGTGATATGGCTTATGATATATACCAAGTTGATTTGTTATTGTTCGCTTGCGTCCTTAGAGTCACTAGCTCAAGAAACCGGCTCTGGCACAACTGGAGCCGGCATAATGGCATCTCCAAGAGTTCTCATCGCAAGCAGGGCCATGCCTTACCCTGGTTTCTGGGCAGATTTGTGTGCTTCGGAGATTCCAGCAGCGCCAGCAAAGCCGAGGCTAATATGAACAGGAACGGCCGGGCCTGTGGCATTCCCGAGAGTCCCGTGAATGCTGGGAACGACCATGTATGAGACATTTCCTAGACGTTAGGTCAGAATGGGATCTTCTCTCAGTCCACTGCTTGTCTATATGATCAAGTCTCTGACATTCTCTTGTCGACACTGTCTCACGCTTTGATTGGGGTGTCGGTCGCCCGGAACCCCGACATTAGCTGTCAATAGCTCGGCTGTCGTCGTGATGTTCACGTTCAGGCGCCCTGAGCCATGTTCTGACCACGACTTCGAGTGCATAGAGCCTGCCTAGGATCCTTTTTGTACTTCCAGGTCTCCAATGCCGACAATGCTACACAGAGGTGGACCGCAACTCCTATCATTATTAGGCTACTGATTGTCCAACACGCCTAAGAGCTGGACCTGCCATCAATTCGGCGTAGAGCCGGGCTGATGTGGATCAACTGCGCGTGTTGTTGGCGAAGACCATGTCGACTCGCGGCTATCATGAACAGCCTGCTTGCCATATTGTGTGGGGGTAAAATATCTCACGAGGCCTGCAAGGGGCGTCGTGAAAATGGAGAGGCTACATGGGGAGACTGGAATGAGAACCAGTGATACGGGAGTGTCAGATGCAAGAGATATGTGGTAGGAGACGCCGAACGGAAATCGAAGTGTTGTTTTAGTGAAAGAAATGGGCCGTGCAATCGTCAAGGAGGGATCAGAATCAAGGCTCCAGAGGTGGATGTGAGGAAGAGCGGTCGGAAACGTAGACGAGGTCGCTTTTGGTGTATCAGGCAAGAATATCTCCTGACACCCGGTCCAGAAGGTTGTGCTTCTGTCATCATGACTGGAGCTATGTAAAAAAAATGGTAGCATTTCTATGATACGTGATCTCTGGGGAAGCGGTGTCATCTCCTGGGGGACAGCAAGTAAATGTTTATGGAATAGGCGTGATGTGACTTGCGCTAGCTGGATGATTCCCGGTATCGTGCCCAGATGCCCCTGAAGGTGAAAGGGTTTCTTGGCACCGTTCTGCTGACCATCAAGATTCATTTGATAGTCTCCTACTGGAAGCGTGCTGAAAGGACGCTCTGGGTCACCATGGGGGGATTGGATGCCGAGTGAGAAGGTCGACTCTCCCGGGGTCGGGCGAGAACTTAGGCTCTCCAAGGCTTAGTAATAATGCCACGAGCCAGGCGAAAGGCTGTGTTCTCTTGGGCCGAATGGAGGAGATATACACTCTTATAGATTAGCCGGGCGTGAAGCGGAGGAGAGGTTCGAAATGGCAAAGTCGACCATTCTACCGGGCCTAAGAAGTTCGACTGGCAGAGGTTTGAGAAAGCTCTCCGCTCCTCCTTTCCGTCGTGTACACCCGTTCGTCGTAAGTTGGCCCATGATCTGGACCATTACTTGCGGAATCATTGCTTCGAAGTCAATTGCTTGGAGTTCTAACTTACTGCCCTTTCCCCTGGCCTTTTCCCAGGTCGTGTCATCCTGTCTGCTCGTATCTGAGAGACTCTCTTCACGTATCGGACAGAGTCCCTTCGATCTGATTTGCGCTCCTAAGGGCTTCCCATCTCTGGATTATAATACAATTCTCAATTCCAAGGTATGGCTAGCCGTACCTTCATAGTCATATCAAAGTTCAAAAAGCATTGGTTCGCCCTTGTAACTAACTCTTCAACCACTGATATTTACAAAGACAGTTTTACTAGATTAGCTTCACAGCCTCGTCAATGCAACCAGTGAGGCCTTTTGTGGGTTTGATGATACCAGGATTCGGTACATAGCTCAAGCAGACAGTCAAGATGCCTCCCAACAAGACCGGCACCAAGCCCGCCTCAATGGGGAAGTTAAATTGCTGGTATCTACATCAAATGAGAATGCAAGAACTGATCCCTATTATAGCGACCCTTACGCTCCCTGGCGGGCCGTAGGTATAGTTCCAGACCAAGAACATGATGGCGCATGCCATCAGGAGCTTTGAGCGTCCGTGAGGTTCAATCTTGGGGGTGTCCACAGATAGTCTGGAGTCACCTCAGACAAGGTCCAGGGGCCAAAAAAAAACTCGATAAGGCAGCAATCAGGCGACCCCACCTGACGTCGCCGCTATTCCCTGGCGGCGACCATTCTGACCATCCAAGACTTTCTATCGCAACCTTTTTGAACCTTCACAACTCCGTCCCATCTCCGTGTCAATAAGCGGAAGAGGACCAGAAATCGACATCAAAAGCGGCAAAATTGACCTAGGTCACTTCGCACGAACGCTATGGGGAGTATTGTGTTGCCTCATCTGAGGACCGGCTGGCATGTCGACCAGGCTATCCTCTCAGGTAAGCTCGCACCCTGGCTATCCCCTCTTGTGCAAAAATTGGGCTGGCTAACAGAAGTCATACAGAGGAGGAACGCCTTGTCGTCGTACGATTCGGAAGGGCCCACGATCCTACTTGCTTGGCGCAGGATGAAGTCCTCTACAAGATCGCTGAGGTCGTGCGCAGTACGTTGGTCCATGGCCCAGATTCCCTCGGCCCCCCGCACTCCTGTGAGCCAGCGCTGACCCAAATCCTCACGTAGACTTTGCAGTCATCTATCTTTGCGATATCGATGAAGTCCCGGACTTCACAACCATGTACGAGCTCTACGATCCGATGACCATCATGTTCTTCTTCCGCAACAAACACATGATGATAGACTTGGGCACGGGAAACAACAACAAGCTCAACTTTTTGCTAGAAGATAAGCAAGAGCTCGTGGACATTATCGAGACGATATACAAGGGTGCCAAAAAGGGTAGAGGTCTGGTCGTCAGTCCCAAGGACTACAGTACCCGGTACAGATACTGAGTGTCGCGAGTTTGGGTTGCATTCGGGCAAGGCGTTCCAGGGTAGAAAGATTTTATGATACCACCACAAAGCGAAACCTTTTACTTCCTACCTGATGCTCTCCTCAATTCACCGCTCTTGAAATGAGATTAACATCCTCTGACAGACAACATCAGCGCAAGCTGCTCTGCTGTAGATACTGGCAGGAGGGATGCTTCAACTTGGACGCCTGAGTGAAGAGAAGCTGCTCCTGTCATAGAATCGATTCTGGTCAGACTGTCAACTGGTGGTTATGGTGATACTGCAGTACTGCTGATACTCTGAATGCAGGATGAGTAGGGGAAGGGCAGAGGGCGAGGTGAGGTTCTCTGGTGTGCGGACATGTAATGGAGGATTTCTACCTACCTAGGTATCCAGTGTCTCTGTAATAACACCTGGGCGCCTACAGCATATTGGAGGAGAGCCGCTCTTCTGGAGGTGACTGTCATACCACAGGGTTCTCTCGTGCTTGGCACCATCTCACAGTCGTCTCTGTCCCCACAGAATGTTTCGTACGGCCTTGAGGGGTAGCCGGGCCTGTTTGGTCTTGGTTGTTTCAGTCTGATCTCTTTGGTTGGGAGCGGAAGGTTCAGGGGCCGATGGCTGAGCCTTATTTGTGGAACAGCCCTGCCTGGGGAGTGTCCCTGGGCGGTGACGATCACACCCAGGGTATCTACCTACTTCACACGTACGACGCAAGATCCGTTGTGACAGGTAAAGCGGCAGCTGAGAGAATGAACTGAAGAGAAGAGAGGACGGAGAGGAGAGGTTGACACCAGAGAATGACAAGCTGCTTGTTTGGAAGACTGACCAAAATGGCAATTGAGAGCCGGTTTGTTTGCTGTGTGTACTTTACTCTACCGATGTACCCGGGAGTGATTGTCAGGGGCATGTGAGACTGCACACGCCGTTTGAATTCGCATGCAGCTCCCCCACAAGCCAGCCAGTCAGCTTGCCCCTGGACCTTGGGATGTGTTTGATCATCGCCCATAGCATTGGGATTCATGAGATCTGATTCACCACCCCCCTCCCCCCAGCAAATGCTGTGAGTCGGTCCCTCTCCGGAGTCAGCCGGCCGGCGCTTTGTCAGGGCCTTTTTCGGTGATCCTGACCATGTCTGCACATAAAAGAGGACCCAGGCGCGCCCTTGGTCCTTGTTCCTGAACCAAGCCGGGTGCTTGTCGAGTGTTCAGGTACATTTGACTTTGTTTTCTCTTCCAAGAAGCAGTACTTAATTCCTCCCTTCTTGCCTCAATTGACCTGTCAGTCAGTTTACTACCACAAACCTCAAATTTCCCTTGCCGTCATTACGCACGCAACACAGTTCTGTCTCTTTCACTTTAACTTTTTTTTAGGGAGGTGCCACAGACTAGCTGCCCAAAATGTTGCCAAAACTCGCATTCCTAAGCTTAGCAGCCATGGCTGTCCACGCTGCACCTGCACCGAGCAAGATGGCCGTCTTGCGACAGGACATCGCCTCGGCTTCGGCCAAGCTGTTCATCGGCGGTGGCCCGCCTGGCACGATCTCCGTCGCTGATTTTGACGGCAAGTCCTTCAAGGTCGTTACCAAGAACACGATCCAGGGCAGCAGTCCCAGCTGGCTGCTCTTCAAGGAGCCGAATGTACTGTATGCCGTGGATGAAAACACCAACACGACGAGAACCTTCAGCGTAAGTCTCACTCAAATTTCCTTAGCCAAAACCCCCTCCTCGTTCTCTCGGCTCGACTAACTCGCAATACCACTCTAGTACAACCCTAACACTGACGCCCTCGAGCCCAAGTTCGAGGCCACTGGCTCCTCTGGCGTGGTCTCGCTCGAGTTCAACAAGGACAGGACTCGAATGCTTGGTGCTGCCTATGGCCAGGGCCAGATCGATGTCTGGGACACCTCAGACCCCGCTGGAAGCTTGAAGCTGCTCAAGCAAATCCCATCCGAAGGCCCCAACGGTCCTGACAAGAGCCGCCAGGAAGGTCCTCACCCACACCAGGTCCTCCTGGATCCCAGTGGCCGCTACTTCCTGGTAAACGATCTTGGCAAGGACACCATCTCGGTTATCGATACCGTCGATGATAAGTTCAATGTCGTCCACAGGGTCAATGTCAAGCCTGCAGGCGCTGGACCGAGACATGGCGCATTCTATCCTCCCGGGCAAAAGCAGGCTACCCACTATTTCCTTGCCTGCGAGATGGGCAACATCATCAATGTCTACGGCCTCGCCTACAATGTTTCTGCCGGTGGCATCGCCTTCGCGCTGAAGCAGACCGTATCAACCTTTGGCGACAACAAGAACCACACGGGTGCTGGCGCCGGCGAGATCTCCGTTAGCGCCGACGGCAAGCACCTCTATGTCAGCAACCGCCTGACGGGTGGCAAGGCGGATAACATTGCTCACTTCACTATCGACACGTGCCAGGACGAACCTTTGCGCTTCGTCAAGTTGATCAGCTCGGGCGGCGGAAGGCCCCGCATGTTCAGCCTGAGCAAGGATGGCAAGTTCATGTTCGCCGCCAACCAGGACCCTGCGATTGGTCTCTCGGCGTTGCGCATTGGCCAGGATGGCTCTCTTCAGGAGAATCCCGTCGCAAGCATGCCGTTGAGCGCGCCAGACCAGGGCCCGATGTACGTAAAGCAGATTTGAAGGAGGGTTATGAGACACGAGGGTGGCCACTGCCTTTCTCACTCACGGCATAGCAACGGCGTTTTTTTTTTTGGCTTTTGAAAGAGGAAAACAGGGAAACAGGCGCATTTGGTCATTTGGTCACTGGTGCCGCATGAGATCAAGATCCTTGGGCAATGTCGGCTGCTTATCTCAGTCCACAGATACCTGCTATAGATGGTTCGGAAATAGATCCTCTCTGGAATTTGATATGTCCTTCGTTAAAAGGGGATTTGCGCCGGGTCCTACTCGCGAAGAAAGTGATAGTGTCGAATGTTATTAGAACTGGCTTGACACCTGGAGATCTATACAAGCATTCGGTGTTGCGTGTAATGTAGGTAGTATGAGTCAATGAAGTTAAGGATTCAAAATAGGACGCTGGACCTGGGCCCCTGTGTCTGGTGTGGCTCTTCCCCGTTTGAGTGGTCTCTCTGCCTGAGGCGCCACGAGGCGGCAACGACAGAGCTGCTCCACTTTTAAGCGGCCCTCCAATTGCGCCCAGCAATTGGCTCCGTGAAATTTTGGGCTCGCAGCTGCGGTTCCTGACCTCGAACCATTGTGAAGAGACGCAGGCAATACAATCATCACAGCCATGCCGCCACGGATACCGGTGCTCCAGGCGGCGAGATGCTGCAGAGCATCTGTGCTCGATAACACTTCTTTTAGGCCGCCTTCACTGACTGCGCTCTTCGCGGCACTATCGATTCAGCAGCAATCACGCAGCGCGTCGATCCTCGCAAGCCTTGCCGACAACCCAGGGGCGCACCAGAAGCGGATTCGAAAGGGTCGAGGTCCATCGTCCGGCTACGGAAAGACTTCTGGTAGAGGCCACAAGGGCCAGAAGCAGCATGGCAAAGTCAAGCCCTGGTTCCAGGGCGGTCAGACACCCTTGATCAAAGTGCACGGCAGGAAGGGGTTTGAGAATTTGTGAGTTACGCGCCCACGAACTTGTACTGGCCACGGCTCCAAGGATATCGATCCAATCACATACGCTCTGGAGATTCGAGGAGAGCAGGTGCTAACAGGCCGCTGCGCAGCCGTGCTCCCGATATGTCAGAGCTCAACCTCGACCGCCTCCAAGCCTGGATCGACGCTGGCCGTATTGATCCCGCGAAGCCCATCACGCCCAAGGAGATCGTCGAGTCCGGGCTGATCGGCCGCGCAAAGGACGGTATCAAGCTACTGGCTCGTGGCAAGGATGAGCTGCGCACTCCCATCGACCTCATCGTCTCCCGGGCCTCTGCCAGCGCCATCGAGGCAGTCGAGAAGGCCGGGGGCAAGATCCTGACACGCTATTTCACACGGCAATCCATTCGACGTCTTCTCAAGGGCGAGAGCATTATGACGCGGTCGCCGCTGCCCACCGGGCCGGAGCATGTAGAGGAGGTGCTGGCCGAGGCGAGAAAGGGACCTTTCATGTATCGGCTTCCCGACCCGACAAGTCGTTGGGATATCGAGTACTATCGGGACCCCGCCCACAGAGGCTATCTAAGCCACACTCTACAGCCTGGTGAATCGCCCAGTCTGTACTTCAAGGTCCCGACGGAACGGAAGCTGGCAGCGGGTAAGAAGGAGAAGGCGGGCGCGGAGCAGGCCGAGGATGACAAGCTCTTCTAGATTGAGAAGTTTGGGGAAGGAGTGGCAGAGTGTACGTTAGCCATATCTTTGTACACTACCTATTGCATACCTACCGTCAGATAGAGTACCTATGTGTGTATATTACATGTTTTAGCGAAGAGGGAATGGATGCTGCCCTGTTCTGGCATCCAGTCGACTCAGCCCTGTCACCTGTCCCGGGTGTCTTTGTACTAAGGCATCCTGGGCTTCAAAACTCGAACAGTGGTGGTGTTTGGCGCCCTTGCCTTCTTTCAGGTACCGTTGGATGCTCGGGGGTGCTGTGTAAGTTATTTACTAGGTAGTTATAAGTATCCCTTAACGCCAATGTTGAACCAAGACGAAGACGGGGTGGCTGGGCCACAAAGCCCCGGGCCTCCTGTATGGAGTGGACTTGGGGTGGTGAGACTCCAGGGCTGCGCTGCTCCCATTGGCACAGTGGCGGCACATGTGAGACAGCCGCTAGAAAAAAGCTCCCCACACTTTGGCTTCTCCACAGGTTAGATGCGATGCTCAAACCATGCCCCCGAAAGCTCCCATCCCGCCCGCGCCGCACTGTCGCAACGAACGGGCTTCTGCCTCCAGCTCTTTTCAAAAAGCCCAGCGCAGCCCTGCATCGCGACGCTACGACGGCCAAACTTGTCTTGAGTTTTTGCAATCGTTGTCTCCCTGCTTGCGTTCGCATTGTCTCGATTGCCTCGGTACACCAACGCCTGCCGTCACACCCACGCAATTACGTACGCGCCTATCATTGGTAGCACGCCTGGATACCTGCTTCCTCCAGACATCGCCATCACCCGCCACGAGTCGGCGCATACATCGTGATCCGTTCGACGTGCGAGCTCAACCAGACTTTGCGCCTTCTAATCCATCTGCTCCGGCTTCAACATGTCACTCTTTGGCTCCTCTCCGCCGGGCGAGGCTCCGTCTATGGAGTCGTCCTTCGCCCGCTCCCGGCAGTCGCTATTCGACGACGACGAAGCTACCACGACGCCCTCGCAGCCAAACAGCTTGTTCAACGACGATGACATGGGATCTGGAGCACGCTCCCCGTGGGATATGCCGACACCGCGCAAACAACAGACCCGCGCGGACCTGCTCAAATCCCTCCTGCCCGCCTCTGACGTGCCTGATAGTTACATCGATACATTTGACGTTGTCGTTCGTGAGGACGGCAGTGCCGGTAGCAACGTCAGCTCCAGGGGTGTTGCGCGCACGCTCGCTGCCGCCAAGCTCGCTGCCGATCAGCAAGCGAGGATCAATAACATCATCATGGCTGGCGGCGAGGACGTGAGCCTGGGACGCAACGAGTTCAACGTACTGCTCGCCTTGATTGGCCTCGCACAAGAGGGCGAGAACGTCAGCTTGGACGGGGTGGATGAGCGACGAAGAGGTGAGTGCCTTCCAACGCCTTTTCTCTCAGATGCTGGACTCGGTGCAGTGCATTCGATCTTATCGCCTTTGTCGTCACGTCCCCTCGTGGTCCGTTCTGATTGAATGGAGCCGTCATGGCCACAGCTCCTGTGGGTCCTATCTGGGGGTGAGCTTCCAAGACTAATCATCTTGTTCTCGCATCATTAGATCTGCCAAAGCCAAAACTGCCCGGCCTCGCCGACAACGCTCCTGTCCTGCCAAACACGGCCGAACTGGCTGCTAAGCCACCACAGCGACCTGTCACGCCGCCCTCGGCTTCCCAGTCGCCGCCGCCCAAGCAGCAGCCCAAGTCGGCAAATAGGGTCACCACCATGAACTACCCTGAAGATCCGTGGAATACACCTGAGCTACACAAGACACACAGTCATGGTCCCGATCCACCCCGCACCAATGGCACGTCGATGACAAACCCAATTCCAAATGGTAGCGAGCCATTTGGTACCAGCCCAAGCGAGAGTCTACCACGCAGGACGACTTCCAGCTTCACGACCAACACCGCAGCTTCTGGGGCAGGTGATCCGAGACAGAACAGCACGGGAATGGGACAGACCTCGGCCGGCGGGTGGGACTTCTTCAGCGGAGGCCAGCAGCCTGTTGGGGGCTTCAACCCCTCTGCTGCCGGCGAGCAAGTCACAAGTCCCTTTGGCGCTGGCGGCGGCGAAGGCGGTCTGGGCTTCGGAGGAGACCAGCCGCAGCGGCAGGCGTCCAGGAGCCTGGGAGGAGGTGGGCGACCAACCAGCACTGTCGACGAGAACATTGTTGTGACGCTGATGCCGGAGAAGGAGGGCATCTTTATGTTTCAGCATCACAATTACGAAGTCTCGAGCACGAGAAGAGGCAGCAAGGTGGTCAGACGGTACAGCGATTTTGTGTGGCTGCTGGACTGCTTGCACAAGAGATATCCATTCCGGGTGCTGCCGCTGCTCCCGCCGAAAAGGGTGGCGGTCAACGGTAACCACCTCTCCAACGATGGCGCGTTCATCGAGAAGCGCCGCCGAGGTCTGGCCCGGTTCCTCAACGCCCTTGTGAGGCATCCAGTGCTTGGTCAGGAGCAGCTGGTCATCATGTTTCTCACTGTGCCCACCGAGCTCTCGGTCTGGCGCAAGCAGGCCACTATTTCTGTGCAGGACGAGTTCGCCGACAGGGCACTGCCTCCGGGTCTCGAGGAGTCCCTGTCGCCTCAGCTGAATGACCTCTTTGAGAAGACACGGTCCGGTGTGAGGCGCAGCGCGGAATTGTACATCAACGTGTGCAACATCATGGACCGCCTTTCGAAGAGGTCCGAGGGCGTAGCCGCCGACCACGCACGCATCGCCCTTGCCCTCACATCGCTGACGGAGACCAGCGAGGAGACGTACGCAACGGACACGAGCGAGGTGGCCGTGCTGAACGAGGGGCTCGTTTCCATGAGCACTCACCTGCGCACGGCCCAGAGCCTCCTGGAGGACGAGGCCAAGGCATGGGACCAGGGTGTGCTCGAAGACCTGAAGCGTCAGCGCGATGCCCTGGTGAGCGTCAGGGACCTGTTCGACCGCAGAGAAAGACTGGACCGGGATAACATCCCCCAGCTGGAGCGCAGGATCCAGAGCAACGAGACCAAGTTGGCGAATCTCAGAGCCAAGCCAGAAGGGCTAGTGAAGCCGGGTGAGATTGAGAAGGTGGTCGAGGCCATCATCAAGGTTCGAATCCGTCCCTCCCTTGACCACGAGACTCTGCAACCTCGTCCGACTAACATTGCCGACTCCCTGCAGGACAAGGAGTCGATTGTGACGCAGCATAACCGGTCAGTCTTTGTCAAGGAGTGCCTCCGCGATGAGCTGGTCTACTTCCAGCAGACCCAGTACCACGTGTCGCGATGGAACCAGGACTGGGCCCAGGAGCGCGTCAAGTACGCCGAGATGCTGGCAGACAACTGGCGGCGTTTGCTGGATGAGCTCGATGGGATGCCGCTCGGCGATTGACCGGGTCTGGGTTCCGTTCGTTAGTTTCGAGAGAGGCTTTGCGGAGGGTGTTTTGTGTTTGTTTTTGTTCATTCTTGTTCTTTCTGCAACATTGGGCATTTTGGGCATTCTCACGATGTCTGAGCGTTTGCAATTGTCATCATCAACATTGTCATCATCATCATCATCATCATCATGGTCAGCAGCAGCAGCAGCAGCAGCAGCAGCAACAGCCCAGTCGTCGTCTATTTGCTTAGTTCATCATTCTATAGCCGTGGGGACGATTGTTGTCTCGATACCCTTTCTTCGAAAGTAATTTGATTTCCAGTGCGAGACCGTGGGGGTTCAAGTAGCCATATCGTGGATATGTTCCGCTGAAATGGTCTGTGTTGTTGCTTTCCCCAAGTCAGTCGGGGGGAGACGGCCTTCGTGGGATCCGTCCTTGCCCTTGCCCTTGCCCTTGCCTTTGCCTTTGCCTTTGCCATTGCTCTCGTATTCGTGCGTTCTTAGGTACTCAATGGAGAGATCGGTGTTGGAGTACATCCAGCCCTGAATGACAGGCAGGCTTGGCAGGCTATCGAGGCTGGCTAGATAGATGATGCGTGGGGATGGATCTGGTGCTGCTGTGCCGCGATGGTCCAGCTCCAGAGAGAGAGACTGGTGCTTGACTGTTCTGCTCTTTTAGGCCAACACGCCAACACTGGCTGGGGGCTTGGTCTCTAACTCCCACTCCCACTCCCTCCCTCCTCCCCACCTGGCCCGCTGCTGGGGCCAGTCATTTGATCCGTCAACGCATGCTTGACCTGCTCTTTTTTATGGGAAGGAAGAGTTACCCCGCCATTCACGATTCTCGTACACAGTTCCGTCCATTTGTTTTCAGCCTCGCGGCATAAGGCAGTTTGTCTCTGCTTCTGCTTCTGCTTCTGCTTCTGCGGTTTCCATCCTTTCCTCGGGGTTGCCAGTCACAAAACAGACGAGGGCACACACACAGGATCAATACGGTTCGTTGTTGATCTTCTCTTGTCACCAGTCGCATCCTGTCCCCGGCCCGGCGGTGACACGCGACCTTGCTTTCCCTAGCATCCCTCCCATGTTGCAGCAGCATCGGTCCAGTCAACTGTAACCACAGACCGCCGATCTCTTGAGCTGACTGTTCATCTCTCTATCCATCTCTCTCTCTCTCTCTCTCTGTCTCTCTCTCCTGTTGTCCTTGACGGTACCTAGGTAGGTTACCCCTCCTTCAAAACCCAAGTGCCAGTCCGAATCCACTCCCAATCCACCCACCCAAAGTCCTCTTGAATTTTTGATAAGGCACAGCAGGGAAGCCTAACCAGCCTAACCACTAACCAGCCTAACCAGCCCAGCCTACCTGAACCCAGTCAGCCCAGCCAGCTTCTCCATATTCTCCTCCCACACATTGTCAGACGTCTCTCCCAAACCCAACGAGAAAGGTGAAAAAGAAAGAGGCCCCAGCCAGGCAGCCAGTTCCTTTCCGGCAGAATAGGCAAGACGCCTTGCTTGTCCGATATATCTCCGCCCACCTAACAGGCCCAGGCCGCTCCCCCTCCTCCACAAAGATCGGCGGTGAAGCAGGACAACCGGCCTGTCTGGTCAAAGATCAACCAAGATGCCGGCCCTGACGGTGGCTCAGAAGACCCTGGTGTCGCAGTTTGTCAACACAACCGGCGCAACCAGGGACATAGCACAGAAGGTCAGTACTTACCTACCTAGGGTAGCGGTCACTTTATTCTTTTTTATCCCTTCTCTTGCTCTCTCCTCGTCGTGTCACGTCAAATCCCTGCATGAGCCGCAGTTCCCATCTGACCGACCCTTTGCACGCCTCGTGTTTGCTTTGGCCTTGTGCTTGGAACACGTTTTACCCTTCTCGATCACTAGATTGCATATCCCATTCGGCCCTTCTTTGGCAATGCGGATCGTCAACGACCCTTTTTTTTTTTTTATCTGTTGTTCCTTGCTTCGACCAACCCCCCGCCCATCCATGCACATATCCATCACATCCGATCCAATACACTGCCCTGCCCGCCGCTGAGCCAAAGGCCATCCAGCGCGGCCAGGGGGGGCGTCTCGGTAGTAGTGCGCGTGGGTTGCCAAAAGACGTTGCTTTCGGAGCCGTCCCCGATGTACCTACCTTAGCCTGCTCCATCGGGCCTGCATATCTCTCTTGTCTCGTCTCCTCTAGGATGCGGCTTTCGGCTGACAGTTGCGGCTTTGGTCCGAAATACAGTGTCTCAAGAACGCCAATTGGAGGTTGGACGTTGCTGCCGATGCGTAAGTCTTTGGATTTTTTTCTCTTTGTTTCTCAATCCTTTTCATACTCGATGCACTCGCACTCCCTTCCTCTCCCCTATCCAAGTCTCTAGCCTCCTGCTTCATTGTCGTGTTACCATACAGTCTGGTTTGAGTTCGTTCCTGGTACAGACCTCTTCCTGCCTGTCCTCTGGATCCACCGATTCCGATTCTTATCGCATCCACCTCAACCTTCCGGGCTTGTGTGACAAGGCGTTTGGACCATTCCCACCCGGCCCGTGCCAGGCCTTCTGAACGTGCAGAGAGCCAGAGCTGGGCTTGGCCATCTGCGACGGCAGCGAGCTTCTCGCCCTGGGCGGCGGAAAGGGGCCTTGTTGGCGGGCACTGCTAGGCGGAACCCTTTAAGCCAATCATTGTATACGTTTGTAGGGCCGAAGCGTATCTCTCGTGAGGGTTGTGTGTGGCCTTTGACTTTCCTCTCGATTGGGCGAACCGGACTCAAGGAAGAGGGGAGAGCAGGAACGAGCGCAAAACCACTCGCTCGACCCGTGGTGCTGCAGTTAGTGGTCCGGCCGTGACGTGCCCGTCTGCCTCTCAGTCGTGCCTCATATTCCGCTCATATTGGCAACAACCTTCGCGGCGTCAAGGTCTTCTCCCCTCGAGACCATGCGTTTACCCATATTTCGTTCGTCCTCTTCCGACCGGCGCTCCAAAAAGTCCCAAACACCGCCATCTTCAATATCCAGCTCGGACAAGGAGCCAAAGGGGAAGAAGGATAACGAGTCCAAGTCTGAGAATCGACTTGGCCACGCGGTCGATAATCTATCTACATTGTCGTTGTCAACATCAGCATACGACTCACCCTCGCCGCTTCCAACAACCCCTATCGACAACCCTGAGCCTAGGGGCATGTTTCGCGGAATCCGCAACAAGGCCAAGGCATCCAAGGCCAAGGCCAAGGCTGAGGCTGGGGAAGGGTATGGAGGACTTGCACTACGCTCACACCCACCCGTTTGACCCCTTACCAAGCTGTCCTCTCATTATCTGTTCAGCCAACCGTCCCCTTCCAGTGGGAGGGGAACAGGCTCGAGTAGACCACTTTCGTTCCTGAGCTTTTACCGCCGTTGTCATTATGTTGTCGCTGCAATCATAACCACGCCGAAGAAGGTGAAGATGCTAACTTGACCGATCTAGTTTCTTTGATAGGGGAGGATCGGGCGGATCGACATCCGTATCAGATGCCAAATTGGAGCAGATGTTTGAAGACTTGAGAGGTCAGCGGCATACTTCCCAAGACCTCCCTCCCTGTCTAAGGCTCTGGAGACTAATACACGCGCCGTAGACCCTGACAATGACTCGAAGGATACTTTGGGCGTCGAATCAACCATGAACTATTTGACAAGTCTGGGTCTCAATCCTGAGAGCGGCGAAATCTTTGCAGCTTTGGAGCTAGTTCAAGCACCGAGCCTTGGCGAGATTACCCGCAAGGGCTTCGTGGACGGTTGGAGGGATAGCCGGTATGTACAAGAGAGTCCGTCCGCGGCGCTGCAAGTTCCTAGCTCATGCTCGCGTGCAGCACGAGCGCCTCGAAACAGGCCCATGCCCAACATATTCGCAAGCTGGTCGCCCAGCTCAGTGCCGATCCCACCTACTTCAAGGAAGTCTATCGATACGTCTTCACAGTGGGCAAGGAGGGAGACCAGCGGGCCTTAAGCCTCGAGAATGCCAAGATCTACTGGCAGCTTCTCTTCTCGCCACCCGGCCGTCCTTGGCAGACAGCCCACCACGACTTTCTCGACCTGTGGATGTCATTTTTGGGGGAGAAATGGACTCGTTCTGTCAACCGTGACATGTGGAACCAACTGCTTGAGTTTGCCAACAAGTCGTTGGAAGACGAGACGCTGGGTTTCTGGAGCGAGGACGGCGCTTGGCCCAGTGTCATTGACGACTTTGTAGCTTGGTGCAAGGACCATGGTGTCGGCAAGGCCGAGGGCGACATGGAGCTGGATTCATAGCGGACCATCTTGGCTGCTACGTCGTGGACCGTCTCTGCTGCGCCGTCGCTATCAACAGTATACTCCCGTCCGCGAGCCAAATCCAAGTCTAGAGTCCCATCTGCTATTTCGAAGTACCGGATTAGCTGAGTTGCCCTATGGAGGCAGGAAGGGACCAGTCTCGGAATCTGTTCTGGACAATGATGATCAACTCGACATCGACATCGATATAGCAGCAGGATTGGCGTTAGCCATGCACACATGGAACAGAGACATTATTCTTTCAATTCAATGTCAATAGGGGCAACCGGACCTCTCGACCAGCATACACAGCATACAATCCGCGGCCCGCAGTCGAGAATGCTTGGTGGTGGTCTGTATTCGGTATACGCTATGAAAAGCTGGATGGGACACTTCTCGGAGAGAGAACTGGTTCAACATGATGCCATGCTCGGTGAAGGCATACGTCAAGGGTCGCGGTACGACATTCAGTGCGAATAGACACATAGAGAGAAAGCGAAATGTGCCATTAGGGCGTGGTATCCAATATAGCTAGTACCCGGACCAGTATTTCAAACAAGATCTCAAAAGACTTTGATTCACTTGGTGTGCTATATGATATACATAAACGCATGCTGTCGGGAAATGACAGGAACATGACGGTCAGGGGCCAGACGGTTGATCGGGATTGAGCACGCCCGAATAGTCTTGTAATTCTTCAAGTTCATAACCGTCCGTTTTTCTACAAATGGTAATTATACAATGCCTAGCTCCATTAGAGCTATGTGCGCCGTTTGTGCAGAGAGGCATGTCTGCTTTAATATACACGTTTTTGAGTTGTTCACTCAAACCGTTGTCCATCTCGCATGGCGTGGTTAGGCGAGGCAGTCCTTGCGGCCCAGTCGATCGCCATCGTCGTCGGTACCGTATCAATACTCCTTTCCTTGGGATATCTGATCTGAATCCGCCTCGGTGTCAAAGAGAACCCCCGCCTGGGTGTTTCTCTCTCCACCTCCATCTTTTCTCCCCCCGCCTGTGTTCCATAGATGTCTCTCGTCTCTCCCTCTCTCTCGTCCCCGATCCACCCACCCCTCCCGCTCACGGTGGTTCTCGTTCACGTGCCCCTCTCCCACCGGATCTCGCCGAGCCGGCTCAGCGTGTCGAGCTTGCCGTCACCGAGGCGTACGCCCGTGGCGCGGATGACGCGGGGGTCGAGCGCGAGCGTGCTGCGCACCTGCTCATGGGCGGCGGCGGAGCCGTCGTACCGCAGGACAAAGTAGTGGCCGTTATGGTGGCGCATCTGGGCCTTGGTCACGGCGCGCGGCAGGGCAAAGACGCCCCAGTTGGCGACGGAGCGGACGACGCCGCCGTTGCGCAGGACGAGTTGGCCTGCCGTGAGGACAATCCTGGACGAGGGGTAGGAACAAGCACGCGGTCAGCAATCTGGTCCTGTTCTCTTCTTCTTCGTCTTTCTTCCTTTTGGCCGCCAACCATCGTATACATGTGTCTCCCATCCATCCATCTCCAATACTCAGTGCCATAGCCTAGGGTCGGGTGCGATTCGGGGAAAGAAAGACTCACTCCTTTACCTCGGCGAGGTTGCCAGGTCGGACCTATGCCACGGCCTAGTTAGCCCATGCACAGGTTCTCGAGGGGTGGGAGAGAAAGGAGACTCACTATTCCTATCAGCTCGTAAAGCATCTCGGGCGACTATGCGCAAAGCCTGGCTCTGCTCCTTGTGCTCTCGAGGCGTAAGAAGGACAAGATGATGCTAATGTCTTTCGAGATGCACCAGACGCAGGATACGCTCATCCATTGGACCACTCAAACTCCCGCCCCAGACCAAAAATTTGGGTGGGGCCACGATGCGGAGGGCTAGATGATCCGGCGTGACTAGTTACATCAAATGTATTTGATCAATTTGATCAATCAGTTGATATATTTAGCGCCTCTCGCTAGTCACCTCAGGTACTACTTACAACTACTACCCTTGGCACGCTTGGCTGGCACAGGCATTCGTGAACTCGTATGCTATCATGGCAGCACTCTCATAGAACAGAGCCAATTAACACATTATTTCGACTTCGTACAGCCAATCCAGGCACTCCTCGACAGATCCGACAGACCTGATAGACTAGTTACATTCGCAAAGCATGAGAGATCATCGCGACGCTTCTCCCCTCTCCCAAATAGTAACCCGCCCCAAAGAAAACGCTTGCTCCCATGCTAGCCAGCAAATCTGACCAAGCAGACATATTTTGGCAAGTCGCGTCAGCGAGTATATAGACATGCCCGTATCTGTGATAAAACCCAACCCTCGGGCGAGTTTCCAGCCATGCCGTACAGTGGCCGAGATGAATAAGAATGTACCGCGATGAAGTTCCCTTCAGCAAACAATATGCCCCTGCTATAGAGAAAGGGAGTTTGCTAAGGAGTTCATCCTTACAGAGTTGAGGAGAGACGAAGAAAAGAAAGATACATATAGAAGGGAAGAAAAACAACAAGTGGATGAGGCGAGGGAGAAGGGAGGGCGGGAAGACGTCGCTGGGTTTCGCCATGTCGACCTCTCCATTACTGGGTGGTTTTCAAGAGGAACAGGATCAAGATCCTTCAGAGTCGTCACTAGCAAGGACCTCCGAGTTCATCTCGTCCCAGGCTTTCTCGATAGAAACCCTGAATGGCTTGGTCAGCATCTCACCATGGCTGCATCTCCAGGTGCAATCGGAGGGAACTTACGCGTCTGTGCGCACAATCTTTACACCTCTCTCCTTCATAAATGCCAGGAATCGCCTCTTCGTGCGTTCCCGCTTGAAATGAGCAAGCACATCGCCCCGGTGGACCACCCCTTCGACCTCTTTCGTGCCAACAATGACCTTCTGCGAATTCTTGGCATAGGTGATATCAGTCAGCTCCCGCATACGTATGTGGAAGTCTATATGGTCCTGGTAGACGCCCCAATCAACCTTCTTCCGAGATCCCTTGAGTCTCATGTCCCGCAGGACCTGATGTTCAAATATGTCTTCGGTACCTCGTTTGGTGCGCGGGATATTGTTGTTCGGAATCCAGTGCCAATACTGTGTGACGTCCATGCCTGAAGTCATGAAGCGCGTCTTGATCTGGTAGAGGCGCCAGTCAATGTCGTGCACCTTGTCCTTGGAGAATGAGTCAGTGGAGGTGTAGCCATCAAAGTCCATGTCGTTGGACGAGGCTGCAGAAGGTTGAGAAGCGCCCGCAGCATTCGAACCACGCCGCTTGGTAGCAGGAGAACCGGTTGCGGCTTGGGATGCAGCAGAAGCTCGAGGCTTCTTGGCCGAGGCGCGAGGCGACGGCGCATGTGGTGGTGCCTGTGGCTCCTGCTTGGAGCTGGGCGGTCCAGCTTTCTCGTCAGTTCCAGCATTTGCTTTAGCACTCTTCTTGCGAGGGGTATGGTTGGGCGTGCTCTTCGGAGTCGAGTGGGGCTCCTTGCGCTTCTCGCCCTTGGCCGGACCTGCCTTGGTCTCCTTGCTTGGCTTCTTGTCGAACTTGAAACCTGAAGGCCGACCGATATTTCCAAACCCGCTCTTGACTCTAAGCGCAGTAAGCTTCGGGTCGTGGTAGAGGTGGAGGAGAACCTTGCTCAGGTTGAAGCCCTGGGGGTTGGCTTCGAACACCTCCTGCAGTCGCTGGCGTAGCCATTGCGAGGGCCGCAGCTCGGTGTTGAATTTCTGGAGCTCCTCGAGTGAGGCAACGAGGCGATGAATAGAGTCGTAATACGTCAGTCCCGTCTCACCAACCCACTGCTTGCCGACGATTTGATAAGGGTGCAGTTCGCCCGACCTGAGGAATGCGAGGATCTGGTTGCCACGGTTCACCTGGCGATTGGCTAGGAACCTGGCATGCTTCTCGGTGCTATTGAGATTATCACGTTGCAAGGTGGCGAGCTTCGCCTGCCACTCGTCAAGTTTGGGTTGGATGACCTCCTCGAGGGGCCGCCAGGTCGGCTCCCAGTAAGCATGATCCGGGGTGATCTTGGCTATGGGAACACCGCGCATAATTTCTGGTTCGAGAAAGACCATCCCGTCGTCCTTGAGAGTGAGTCTATCTTTGGTGATGTCCAGTTCAGAACCGTCAGCTTCTTCAGCCGGGCGAGGCGTGGCCTCGGCACTAGCCGTTGGCTGGGGAGTGCCCGCGGGCTGAGGAGTCTGGGAAGGGGTGTGAGATGCGCCATTTCGGTCTTGCTTGTCGCCCTTCCCATTGGGAAGGGGCTGACGAGGTTTTGGCTGAGGGCTGCTGAGTGGTGGTTGTGGCTGGAGCTGCGGGGGCTGTTGCGGTTGCGGTTGTGGTACCAGCTGTCGTGTCATATTGGATGGCCAGTTGTAAGCGGCAGAGAAGTTGGCTGGTGTAAATGAGGAGGGCGCAAAGTGAGAAGATGCCTGCTCTCTAGTGGCTGTTTCGGAAGGGTATTTGGGTGCTGGCTGTGCTTCTGAGAATTGCGGTTGGCGCACATCACCGAATTGGGGTTGACCAACACCCACTCCTTGCAATGTCGCCCCCTGGCAGGTGCCTCCAGTCCATTCACAGTTGCCACAGCGTAGTAGAAATCGAGGGTGAGCGAGCTTCACACACTCTGCAAATGGGCCTTTCCCATTGCGGCAAGAGGTGCAAGCATTCCTCTGTATGTCGCCCTTTGCTTGTATCATGCAGGCCAGCCATTTTTTTTCGGCGTGCTCATTCGAGTCGCCGATGGCATTCATATCGGCAGCAGTGACTGGACGATTGGGGCGGACCGTGACTCTGGCTCTCCTGATAGGGAGGAGCTGGCACTCCAGGACCTTCTCATTTGTTGAGTCGATCTGTTTAACTTCTCCGATGGGATTGCCAGACGAGTCGTGCAGCTCTACACCACTCGGGTTTCGTACCCTCCGTAGCCGGCTTGGCGGATTGGCATCATTGCGTCCACCCGCCATGGGAGCGGCAGCGGCGGACTCTGGCTGTCCTTGGCTGGCATGTGCCGTGGATGTGTTCGGTATTGGGCGGTCACCGTTGTTGACGATGCGAATGGAAACATGGCCATTGACAGGTGCTCGATTTGGTGTAGCCATTGCTAGGGGTCGGTATTTTGTCTCGGCAACCGCCTCTTTGGCCTGCTCGGCATCTCTGCGAGTGTACATGGTGAAAAGCCGGCTGTGCGCCTCATCTTGCCTCTTGCGCTCCAACGCGACCTTGCGAATCTTCTGCTCCAGTCTGCGGGGGATGTCTGCGATGATGCTTTCTGTCTGGTGGCATATCATTCGTGCCTCCTGCAGCTGCTCCGCTAACTTGTTCCGTTGGCTGAGGAGGGTGACCAGCTTGTTCTGCAGCGCATGCGCCTCGCGCTCGGATTCTTCTCTGATCTCACGATCCTCGAGGGCTCTAAGCTCCTTAAGCCGCGCCAAGTGCTCGGCCTCCATCTCGCCCCACGGCAGTGACTGCTCCATTTTGCCTTGTTGCAGCGCCCTGGATGGTGGTGATTATGACGATGTGCTGATGGTTGTGTGTGTGCTAAGCACGGGCTTCGCTTGTCTTGGTACGCGATGAACGCGTCATGTCCAGGACTGGATGCGCGCCCTGCACACCAAAGCCACTAGAGTCCACGCGAAGTTCGACTTCCTATAAAGTTAGCAAGTCTGGCTTCCGGCACGATCTAGGGGTGCGATATGCAAAGGCCATTCAGAAGTCAAAGACCTAATGGCTGCATGTGCGCAAGAATAAGAGGGACGGTGGTCAAGTCTCCTAGACTAAGGGTGAACGGGGAATGACATTGGGGATCATAAGGAGGTGAAAGAAAAAAAGATCAGAGAAGAAATGCAGGCCGTGCACACAGCTTTCCACAAGTGCAAAATGAAAGCCGCCGGCAGTGTTCTTATGACGTGCAATGGTAGTGATTGTAAAAGGCAGATCGCTTCGCATCCACCCCAAGCAATTCAAGTGTCTGTGGTTGTCGAGGAGGGAGGATTGTCGGAGCAAGTATGAGCAACGCAACAGGATCCCCAGCTCTTTGAGTCTGGGACGGGCCGTGACAGATCCAAGAAAAGGCCACCTGGAAGCCACTTACCCAATCGCGCCCTTGTATTTCCTCCCTGGTTGGTTTGTGAAATCCTATCCTTGTAACGTAAGGGTACGGCCTCGCTCCTGCTCACCCAAGCAGACCATCAGAGGATGAGTTATCTCTGGATATTATGAGCCGGAACCTAAGCTTGACTCTGCGCTCACGTCCGGACCCCCAACAGAGATGCGTTGCCCACGAGACAGAATTAGGACATGGAGCCTGGCAGGTCGACGAAGAGGAGATGGCGGTGCGTCATAAAGAGAAGGCTAGCCGACACCAAGATGAACAATGTAATGATCGACCTGGGATTGAGTTTGAAGGAGGGAAATTGAGAGTGAGGAGCATCAGCGCAAGATGAGAGCTGAGTGTTGATGCTCATTCGCTCCTGGCAATTAAGGTAATGCGCTAGCCTAGCCTAGCCTGGCAGGAAGCACTGGCTCATGGGCTCCTGCTCGGCAGCCACGACAAACACCCCCCTCCTCCCAAAGCCCCAGTCTTTGAAATTCCCAATTGGACATACCCATACCTACAAACGTAAGTACCTACATACCTACTTACTCCGTACAGATACCTTACCTTGATACTTGATTTTTACGAAACCGACCTGGGGGGGCTCGGCAAACCACCACACTACCACAGTCCTTTTATCTTGGCCATCAACTTGCGAGGAGGTACCACCCCATAGTTCGGTGCTTGTTGCAAGGCTGATGGATAGGTGCAGGCGGCGATCAGCCGAGTCTCGAAAAAAAAAACAAATTGCGCTGTGCGTCATGTGTATTAACTGACTCTACGGCTATGTAATACCAGAATGATACAAGGAATAGAGATATTAGTTGTTTGCCTATCCTGCTGTGCCCTAATCCCCTCCGCTACTCCATTGTTTTGCTATACCAAGCCACAGATCCCTATTGCCGGGCACGTGTAGAAAAACGTGCGTAAATCACAAAGAAACGCCTAACCCCCTCTCGCTAATGCAGACATGTTGGGCCAAGATCGAGTAAGGTCTTCACATCTCTTGTCGAAATCATCAAGAACCACAATGAATATCGGGCCGCCAGTTCCGAGGACCGGCAGAGCCCAAGTTGAGGCAGAGGCGCCTCAATACTTGGACGAGTAGCGGTTGGCAGTCGGTGACGGCGAATAGGGATGGTCGTACGCGCTCGAGTGGCCATACGGATCCTCGGTGTAGATGGTTGCGCGGCGATCTTCCTCGGGCAGGAGCTCCTTGACTTCCCAGTTGTTCATTCTGGTGCCGACGGAAAACTCGAGATCCTCCTTGGTGATGGAGTCCCAGTACTACAAGACGATTACAATCAGGGCAGAGAACGGCAGAGAGAGCACTGGCAGTACGTACCTTGTAGACCATCATGACGGCTAGCAGATTGCAGGTCGTCGCAAAGAACAAGCCGTCGAGGTAATGGCTGATTGCGGAACAGATGGTCGAGCTGAAGGCGTAGAGGATGACCTGACCGGCGATGAAGAAGAAGACGCCAAAGGCAATGTCACCGAGGGGCCATCTGTCCTGCAGCGTCCTGACGACCAACAGAATCTGCAGAGCGACGTAGATGACGAGCTGCACGCCGTTGAGCAGGTACAGGACGGTGAAGAGGCCGACCGTGTTGGTAGGGCCCAGGCCCGCCCACGACTTGAACGTGGCCAGAGACACGAGGAAGGATATGACAAAGGCGGCGAAGGAGCACAGCCGCATCATCCACAGGGACAGGGGAGTGCCATCCTCGTACAGCTGGAAGCCGACGAACCCGTTGATCATGAGGCAGGTGATCATGGCGGAGGAGAGGCCGTTCTGGATGGAGACGAAGTATGGGTATGGTGAGGAGCCGGGTGGCACGACACCAGCGTCGACGACCAACGATAGGAAACTCAGGAGCATGTAGAGATAGAAAAAGGTGGTGATTTCCTTGCGTCCTAGAGGCGTAGCAGACGAGGGCGAGGGTTAGCAAGTGCTGGACAACTCGGGATTGGGATGGAGCGATTGGGGTGGCAGTACAACGTACCAACAGCCGTGAACTTTCCACGGACGTGCAGAATCATAACAACGGTCATGACTAGGGCGACAATGTGCATGAAACTGGCAGCGCCCTGAAAGATGATTGTGTTGGCGAGCTCGATGTTGCGAGCGTAGCAGTCAGGCTCGATGCCCACGCCGCTCGAGATGGAGGTGATGGGGCCGATGGAAGCACACAACGGCAGCGGCGCCGTGTGGCAGAGGCTGGTGAAGTCGCCGAAGCCCATGATGGAGATGGTGCCGGGTGAGCTGGCGCGCTTTCTCGGCAGCCGCTTCCTGCTTGCTTGTGGGGGGGGGGATGGCAATGGCCCGGTCCTCCCTGGTCAAAGCGTCGCGACAGAACGGGGGGCGACGCTGTGTTTCTATCGGGAAAACGCTGGCCGATGACTAGGGATGCAGTTGGATATCGTATCTCGACGGGATGGTGCTGTCGGTGAGGGATGGGCGCCGCCAAAAGGGTACAGGAAGTGGAGGAGGCGATGGTCCTAACGTGCGTGTTGGTATCGTATGCGGTGATGGCGATGAATCAGAGTTGTTGGTAACGAGAGTGCTGTAAACGAGCGAAGCCGGACAATGTAGCTGTGCGTATGCGATAGAGATGGCGACGGCGATGGTGATGGTGATGCAGGCTGGCCCGGCTAGACAACCTGACGGGAGTGGTGTTTTGGCATGGACTTTGTGTTTGGGAAGAATTGACTTCCAGTAAGCGACACCTACGGAGCTACCTAGGTACCTCTAGTGCACTCTGGTCTGTGTGTCGTTGCTCCGAGCGCACTATTGAGGTTTCTCAAGGGAGGAGTGCCAGCCAGACAAGGGATGGGGGGGGTCGGAATGGTCACCAACCAGTAGGGAAATAATGAATAGTGGAGGGGGGAGCGCCTCATGCCCTGTAAACTTTTTCATGCCGTGCGCAGCCAGCTGTGGAGCGGCTGTTGCTGGGGCGAGAGAGATCCATGGATGGAAGCAGTGCAGGTCCTTGCTTGGCATTGTTGGCAACTTGGCCGGACTTTCCAAGATCACCTGCCTGAAGACCAGGAACACCGTCACGGGGTAACTAGGTGATTCCAAGGTCCGGTTTTGGTTCCAACTTCTCGTATTGAAGTTACCCAGCTGGATTTCCTCCTTCGTACTTTGTGGTGCCTTTTCTTCAAAGTGAAGAATGTGTATGCCAACATTGTTCAACCCCATACCTCTTTTGCCCATTGGTGGCAATCCTGGAGGCTGCCAGTGGCTGAGACGGACGGGTGACCCAGCAATGCCACGATGCGCAATCGCTGTCTACAATAGTAGTAGTAGTCTTGCTGGAGGAGCCTCGAGTCTGTCTGTTGCCTAAAGTCGAAAAGAGCTCTCTCTCTCTCTCCCTCTGTCTCTCTCCATCCCAAAACCTCGTGGGCCAGGCAAACCGCAAGGAGGACTGCTTCTTGAGAACAACGCCGTCTCTTCTTCTCCTTCTCCTCCTCCTCCTCCTCCTCCTCATCGCCACTCACTCGCTCCAATGCCTCACACACACACACACACACACACACACACACACACCTCATTCAGTAGGTGGGCACAGTACCGTCTTACGGACTACCTGTCACGGCTTCATCACAGTCACAATGCGACAGATTGCTCCAGAAGGGGTGGATCCCACAGAGAGTCGGTTTGCAGCCAGCACGGTGATCCCACAAACAGGTCGCCTAGCAAGCTGCTGAGCAGATGGGTAGGTACTTGCTTGGTTAGGTGTTTGTGTCCCATTCAGTCAACAGGTCATGATGTGTTTGATGTCGGTACATATCGGCTCGCGGTCGTGGCCGCAGCCACCGCCCAACCGCGCAGATCGTTTGAGTGATTGGCTCCATTCACCTGCAGCTGGGCGACAAGGGCGCCAGGCATCTTGCAGTAGTAGTTAACTAGACCGTCGTACATCACAGGCATCATCTGCCGGTTGCGCGCGGCCCCCAAGGCCCTGCTACCTGTCTGCAGAGCCTCATCTCTTTTGCTTCTACTTGTACTCGATCTGCTCGTCTGCCTCTCCCCTATCCATCCTCCCTCTTCTCTTCCATTCCAATTCTGGGAAGCTCCGATTTGGCTCAGATTACCCATCGTATCGCTTCGCTACAGACCGTGAACCGTCTTTCTCTCCATCTTGTGTACAATCGTTCCATTACATGTTGCAGCAGCTCGATCATGTCGACTTGCGCGAGAGCCAGCTAAGATGAGGCCGTCTCCGTTCCTTCTTGTTGCTCCTTCGCAATTGGCGTCAGAGGCCTAGAGGAAGAAACCTCCGGGATATCGCAGGATATCGCAGGATATCGCACCATTGAAGCATACACCACCAGACTACCTCCCGTCCCACACATGGATCTCACCACCACCACAGCCGCCGCCGGCACCATGACTGCCACGGCCGGCAGCACCATCATTGTCCAGGACGACGACAATATCGAGGCCAACGCCTCTATTGCTGCCCTCATCATTGCCACCATCGCCTTCTTTGCCGCCGTGGCCCAGCTTACCCAGTCAATCATCTCGGCAGCCCGCGGCCTTCCCAACTGCTCCAGCGATGTCATGGGCAACTGGGCCCGGGCCACGTCCAGAAACTTCAAATGGTCAGAGTTTCGGCTCCAGGTCTTCTTCGAGTCTCCCGTCATCTTTCTCGCCCACTACAGAAACGAGAGGGTCCCGGTTCCCGGTGCGCCCGCCTGGTATGCAGACGGCACTGACGACAGCCGCGCGCGCTTCCGCCTCGGCCCGAAGCCTGCGCCGCCTCCCGAGACGACCTCGTCATCTACCATGTCCTCTACGGGGAAACAGAACGGTGAGTTGTCCGCCCGCCACCTCCGTCTCCAGGAGCGTACGCACAATGTGGACAACGAGCGCGTATCGTGGTTGAAACTCCTCGAGACCATCCAGAAGATGGAGGACATGGCCTCCGCATGGGAGAGGCAGCAGGAATCCCCTCGCGTCTCCTCGGGCCACCCGGACCTGGTCGTCTGGATGCAGCCAAAGAAGCGGAGCTTCGACTACAACCCGGCCGTCAAGAAGCCCTACGCCAACACGACCATCTGCCATATCGTCGAGCTTGCCGCCATGCTCGGCCTGTACTGGAAGCTCTTTGATCGCGATGCGAACAAGTATCGTGCCGAGGGCAACGGCTCTAGCCTGCTGGGCACACGTGTCGACGAACTGGGCATCGTCTTCGTCTTCGAGGCGACAGGGCACCCACAGTTCAACCGCAACAGAGTCATCCCCACGTCGGCTCTCAAGGAAGTCTGTTTTGGCAACGTCCCGACCATTTTCCGCCCAACAGATGCCGCCAGCGATGCCGCAATCAGGGGCGGGCCCTTGCCCGAGCAGACCGACTTGATGACACTCCAATTTGGCAGCCGCCAAGAGATTGCTCAGACGCTCAATCTGATAGGTTGTAACACGGCAACGCGACTATACTACCTCCAGGAGAAGAAGCATATACATCTGTTTCCGGGTTCGTGTCCCTCTCTATGTTCTTTCCTAGTCGACTAAGACCGCCGTGGGAGCTTGGCTAGCTAACAGGAAGACCGCGGGCCGATAGTGACTTTCGAGATACTGGGCATGCTTGGCCGCACCCTGCATCTGCTCGGGAGGCCTTTCACCTACCTGCCCAACCCCACCATATTCGAGTGGAACAGACAGTCCTTCTCTATGCGAAGAATGCTGGAGCAGTTCACGGCCTCGCTCAGCGGAGCAATAGAGTCGTTCCACGTCACCGTGCCCGACGAGCTTAACTCGGTTCGCGATTACGCCACGGCGCTCTTGAGGGCCATCCCCCCTTCTGAGAGAGACCCGCTGCAGCCCACACAGCTCGAGCTCCTGCACCACACGCTCAGCCTCCTGGACGAGCTGCTGCTCCAAAAGGACAAAGCCGTCGTTCTCGACGTGCTGCGCCGCCACCTACAGGAAGTGCTGGTGGCCATCAACACGCCGGCCGAGGGCAGCGAGGCACCATCGGCGGCATCGAGCAGCACTCGCTCCTCCCGTAGCCCGCGGGAGATTTCCTTTGATAACCTGCTCGACGTGCCGCCCGAGTACAGGGAGGTCGAGTTCATGGCCATGTACTTTGAGGAGATCAGGTACCGGGTCATCAGCAACACCGACGACGACGCCTATGGCAACAACCAGGCGGCCGAGGCCTCGCGCGCCATCCAGGAGAAGAGCGACAAGGAAAAGGCCCAGCGCAAGGAGTACCACCGCCAGAGCTTCCAGGCGGCCAGCATACGCAGCATGCCCCTGACCGGCCCCTCGGCCTCAGGCGGCCTCGGCGAAGGGCTGCCGCCGCAGCAGCCCGCGCGCAGGTCCACCGACGCCCCCATCCGCCCGCCGCCAACCGCCGCCGCCCGCGGCACGTCCACGCCCGTGGCAGGCACTCGCAAGCCCGCCGAGGACGCGGCTGCCGCCGACCCGGACCCGAGCCCGTACCAGGGCGGCCGCGACGAGACGTCGCCCAAGATCCTGACCACCCAGCCCACGTTCCGCCCGCCAGGTCACGACGGCGGCCCTCAGCCCGGCAAGGCGCCCCGGCCGCCGCGCAACGCAGATGAGGTGCACCGCAACAGCATCTGGTGCATCTTGGTGCTGCGCATGATCTGTTGGCTGCTCCTCCACAACTTTGACAAGAATGACGTGCAGCTGAGCAAGAGCGGGCTGGTCGGCAACCGCCAACCCGTCTACATCATGTGAAGGAGAAGGAAGTGGAGAAGTGAGATGAGCAAATCTTTCCTCTTTATCGAGTTGAACTGCCAGGTCGTTTTTGGAGATCGACATAGCAAGCTTAATGGTGGACCGAGGTGGACTCATGAATATTGGGCAACTCGAAAAAAGTAGATGGCCATGATTTCGTAGTGCAATATTGAGTTGAAAAGGCTAGCACAGCACAGCACAGTCATCTAGGTTGACGATAAGAGAATGTACCCAAGTTAGGCTAGATACCAGACATAGTATCATCGTGTATGCATAGACTTTCCAATCTAGAGCGCCCCCTGAACGAGATGTCAGCGACCAATTACAAGCAGCGTCTCGCTCTCTCCCACTACAAAACTCCGAGTGCCTGATATGTAGTCCCATATAAGAGGCCTTACAGTCACAGGCAGCGATGCGGGTACGATTCAGCTAGGGAATCAGCTATATTCTGCTAATATCTGTTTTCATTTTGGTGGCGGGACTGCCTGCGCTTCAATAGAGCATCGCGCCGATGATGAGAAAAGCTGGCAGGAAAACACTCGTCTCGGCGCTGCCGCCGTCTAGGAGTGTCGATCTATGCTGATAGGTGTACGAGGATGATAATTCCCGTACTTGAAAGAATGACGCGTTCCCTTTCCATAAATGCAATGGCCCTTGACCACCAATAAACTCCGCAATGCTATGCAAATCAGATGCTGCTAGAAATACAATGTACAGATCGTGTCCGTCAACAACATTCGATGCGCGACGGCTTTTCAGTATCTTGTCCTGTCGATATGCAGGCAAACTGCAATCGTCTCCACGGTTATTGGAAGCAAGCTTGGCTACTTGCAGTGGTGTCGTGCTGCCCCAACGACCGGGTCCTCTTTAATTCGGGTACGAGGGATGCATGCCAGGGCCCATGATGCGAGCTTGGGCAGGGTGCACGGGCGTCAACGACAGGCCCTGCCGCACAGCACCACCGTAGGGGACCGACTGAAATTCGGGCACGATTCCGGTCCGGAACTCGTTACGTCGGCCAAGCGGCTGGTAGTGCATCTGATTGGGGGGTAGGACAGCTCCCGAGAGATGATACTCTTGCAGACTAGCCGAAGGAGGGGGGATGAGGAGCGTGTTGACATGTCGCACGGGCTTATATGGGCTGGTGCGCTGTTGCAAGTAGACCGAGGGCGAGTGTGAGACTGGCGTGTTAACGCCGGACATGTGGGGGAAGCTCTCGGTCAGAGGCGAGGATGCGTAAGCAGAAACGGGTGCCAAGGTGTTGGTAGGGCTGTGCCGCTTGCTGGGCGTGCCATACCCTCCAGGATAACCAACGGCGCCGGGGCCCGACGAGATTGTCGGGCCGCTCGTCACTAGAAGTGGCAGTTGAGGTGCGAATGCCGAGGTGGCCGGAGGATAGACGGTCGACATAGCCCGTACTAGCGGCGGCAGCGGCAAGCCAGGCTGAGCAGTCTGCGAAACGTATCCTTGGGTACCGTATGCCGCTGGAATGGGTGCAGATTGAGTCGGCGGCGGCGTCGCGCCCAACGCAGGGTTTGGAGCCGGAAGCCGGAGCAGCTCGGCGGTGGTGGTCGCAGCCGGACGCATGTGGCTCAAGTTCTGAGAGGGCAAAGTTGCTGGCGGCGGCTGCCGTGAGAGGCGTTTCGCTGGCGGCTCCGTGGGATCGTCTTCGGGGTAACGCTTGCCAAAATCATTCCTGACATCGCGTTTCGTTGCGAGGGGGGAGAGTGCAGGTGCTCCCTGCCCAGACACGGGCCATGCAGGCCTGGGTCCGGCATATGCCGGGGTGATGGCTGGTTGCGCCGCCGGCGCCCATTGAGGGTTGCCCGTTGGGGAAGGCAACGGCGAAGTAAGAGCGCGATGGCTCGGCGAAGACAGGTCGATCGGAGACAGGGCCGGGAGCATGGCTCGCTCGCAATACGCCCAAAACCGGGCCAACTTTACGAGCCAACTGCCCCACTCTTCCTTGGACACGAGCAAGCTGTAGCGCATATTGCTCAGAAACTCGACCTCCATAACGTGAATTTCCTTGACGGAGATGCCCGATACTTCTGCCCAGGTCTTGTTGGTGTAAGTGTTGTCATCGAGAACTTGTGCAACACGTCAGTTCGAACACATCCGACAGCACCCAGGATCAAAGGAACTTCTTACATTTGTTTCCCAGCATCAAGGCGACAGTGAGGAGGCGATACTCGCTTCCAGCGCGACCCTTGACGGTGGGGTTGGTGGTCTTGAGGCGATAGATGAAGAGCAACGCCAGAAGAATGACATTCTGGGTCACTTGGGTGGTGGAAAGAATGCTGTGGACCCATCGCTTGAAGTTATCGAGCGGGACAGCATTGTCCGTGAGCCTCGGAATCACTGCCGCCGGCGAAAGCTCATCGACTTTCTCGGCCGCTTGAAGCACTTGTGGCGTTTCGAACCAGAACAAGCATGTCAGCTGTTGCGGGGGTCAGTCAGTCTTGCACGGAAAAGCCAGCTGGCCAGGAGGATGGATGGGCTGCGTACCTGGGCTGCAAAATTGGCCAGGCTGCCGCCCTTGGGGCTGATACATCTGGGGATCTCCAAGCTGTGCATCACCATGGCAGAATCCCTCCGGGAGATGCCGCTGTCGGACAAGGAGGACATGGGAGGATTAGAGATGGGTGTTGATGGGCGGGTTGGGTGTCTCGAAGAAGGCTGAGATGCGGTTGTTGCAGAGGATGAGGCAAGAATGGCGCGGGGGTTGGGCTGGGGTAGTTGAGGTTTGCTTTGCGGATACCGATTGTAGGCACTCATGGCTGCTTGTGCATCGCTGAGGGCGACCCGCGTCCTGTCGGCCTGAGCCAAGGCCGAGGCGTACTGGGAGAGAGTGGCATGGTGGTGAGTGTCGTAGGGGTCCAGGTTCGGTGCCTGATAAGTCGTGGTCATCTCGTCGGGCGGCGGTGTGCGAAGACCGCTGCCTCTAACGACCTGGATTCTCGAGCGATGGGAGGGGTCCTTGGCAGCTGGTGGTTGTGATGGAGGGGACTGGTTCAAATGGAATATGCTTCTCCTACAGCGGCGAGGCAGTGTAGGGGAAGGAAGGGAGGTGTATAAGCTCGAGGAGGCCGCGATGGGATACATGGATGGGGTGTCAGCAGAGGTCAGGTTCCGTCGAGGACGCGGCTGGAGGAAAAGTCGGCTCATTCACACATCGAGAAGGCAGTTCGAAGAGGCGAGCTTGCGATTTCGAATAGTGACGGCGGACGTGAAGGGCGGCTGAGAATGACTTGGCGCCGGGTTGACCTGCCCTCACGAGAGCGGATCGGATCCAGGTGCCTTGAGAAACCTCACGGCCTCGAAGGAGGGAAGAAGGGCAAAAGACGGCCTGGTCAGGCCTGCCGTCGGAAGCTGGACCTTCCTCGCCTTTCGATATGTTGTGATGTGAGGGTAGGAGCCAATGAGGTTCCAGCGCCCTAGTGTGCAGCTGCCGGAGCCACTCTATTGACTGTAGGAAAGGAGCTGCGTCGAAGGAGGCCGAAACCAAGACCCCGACCACCAGCTAGGAGGTACAGGCGTTCCTTGGGGGAATGATGTGTGTGTACGTGTGTGCTAGGTGGGAGAGCAGCCCGTGAGAGCAGCCAGGCCTCACTTTCACGCTCCCAGTCAGGGGGCAGAGGAAGTCGTTGGACTTGTCGAGAATCGTATCGTAGGCAGTCCTGCGGGGGCGGGTACGACTTGGTCGAGGCCCCTTGTCGTGGTGATTGTACGTACGGCTCAGACGCAGCTCGTCAGCTCTGTTGGTCGCTCTGCGGGCACGTCAAGAGAGGGAGCGGTTGGAGAATGGCGATTGGAAGCTCGAGGATGTTCGTAGTGGCGCCGCGGCGCAAGATACTGCTGGTCAAGTTGAGGGTGTGCCGGCCGTTACCTGGAACTCGTGAGAGCGTGCACTCGTCGACGATGGAGTCGAGAAGAGGAGAGAAGGAGAGGTCTGGGCGATGCAGTGCCAATTGGCAAAACAGGAAGAGTGCGGAATATGTACTGTCCAGCAGTGCCAAAGTCCAGTGTGGAGGAATCGAAAGTGAAAGAAAGCAGAGACAGTGATGGTCCGTTTTTGAGAATGAGAATTGAGGGCCGGCCTGTCGTTGCATGGTTGCGTAGCGAAAGTGTGGAGGAAGAGGACGAGGTACGAAGTCAGAGGTACCAGGTAACGATCTAAGGGTAGGTGGTTAGCAGGGGCCACCAGGCTAGGAACATTGAATTCGAGGTACCGCATCCCGGGGGCCGCTGTCATTGGAAGAAGCAGCCCTGGAAGAGAGCCACCTGGAAACGGGCACCACCACCACCACCCAAAGGCCTCACGGGGGGTGGGCGAGCTTGAAGAAGGGGGGGTACGATAAGCAGTGAATTTGGAGGGGGGAGACCTTGCAACATCGAATAGGTAGTGCGAAAGCAGCAGGTCCATCTCCAACCAACAATGGGAATGGGAATGGGGTAAAAGGGAGCACCAGCACCTAGCGGTACAAAGGGTGTTAGATGCCTTACAAGATACCTTAGGTACCTACCTACCTTAGGACCTTAGGCAGGTAGGTAGACTGTGGGCGGCGCTGGTGGTGGCGGTGGTGCATGGTGTGCAGGATGAATGAATGACCTAGTGAATGGATGAATGGATGCTAACTAATTAGGTACTGTACCTACCTAGGTAAGGTAGTTAGGTAGTGGGTGGGTGTGCGTCTACTAACACTTTCTTTCTTTCTCTCTCTCTCTATTTTTTCAGTCTTTTCTCTCTCTTTCTCTCTCTTGACGCACACTCGTCTAACTATATGAACTACCTTTCTTGTATACCTACCGATAATACCTAAGGTACCTAGGTAATAGGATAGGTACTTACAAGTAGTAGTCATTACACACCCACGCCTGCTGCTCCGCTACTGTGCTCGACAGCCCAGCCCGGCGGTGCAAGTGATCCGCCATTGATTCATTGATTCATTGACTTTTCCATTGTTGCTTCATTAACTCCATGTACTTGGACCAGTCGCACGGTCAGAGAGAGAGAGAGAGAGGGGGGGGGGGGGGGGGGGAGTCCTCCAATCCACAAAACTCAAAAGTAAGGTAAGTATCCAACTACCTCAATCTCGTACAGCCAGCAGCACCCAGCATCCAGACCCCCGGACAAGGACGGCCAAAGCATGCCTCATCTCCTTGGTCATACCAGAGTAACCAAGGACGGGATAGGTAGGTCAGCATGTTTTGTACTTGTAGGGGCGGGCCCTGGTGCAGCATGTGCCTCGATGCTGTGGGGGGTGCTGACCACAAGGAAATACCTGATTCTTACTCCATACAAGTAGGTACTCCGTTCCGTTCAGACAAGCCTGATCCATCCCGGAGACCATCACTTGAGGTTGTCACTTGATCGTTGTTGCGAGCGGCTTCGTAAAACACAAATACTCTAGGCACGCTAGGACAGACGACAGCTGAAGATGGATGACTGAAATGGAGCCCAGAGACCAGATGCTGGAGTCAGGACCACACAGATCACAGCATGTTTTCCCCCTTTGGACTAGCTACCGACCTAACTACTTGTACAATACGCTGGGCACCTTGTTTGCATGGGGGTGGTCCTGTCTCTGCTAATAAAGTCAGGGTAGGTACTCCGGTCCGTGGGAAACCTCCCTAATCTACCTAAGTAGGTAACCTGCCAGCCCTCAGTTGGTCGCTTGGCTAATTTCAGGACAGACAGTCATTCATTCATCGTAAGGGAGATACTTGCAGGTCAAGTAGGTAAGTAATGTACCTAGTTACCCAGGTAGCCTCCAAGGCTGCTTTTCCCAATGGGCCGACCGTCCGCCTCAAACTCTACTCTCTCGCTAAACTCCCTGCACAGCTCCAACAGATGCACCGCCCGGTAAAAGCCCTACCAATTAAACACGAGACCAAAACCGGCATCTGAAAACCCTCGCAGCAGTTACATGTCCGGCCCGACAAACAAACTGGTCTCGCAGAGTGTTCCAGGACGAGGCGGAGGGGGGAGGCTCCTCCTATGCCCCGGCGTCCCCTTCTTCCTCTCTCCGTACTTTCCTAGGTACCTAAGGGATCCTGCCGTGACCTGCTTGCGCATCCAACAGAGGCGAGGCAGCCTGATGTTGTGTGTGCAGATAGAGCCATGCAGTGGTACCTAGTGTGTCGTCGTCGGCGGCGTCGGCGGCGGAGGAGCGAGGATCAGGGAGCGAAGGGCGCACTCCAGTATCTATTTCAGCCACTAACTTCGTCAACCAGGCGCAAGGACGCAGCAGGCCAGGGTCTAGTTACCTACCTACCCGCGAAAATGCCTACTTGTACTTGTAGTAGTCCATTGCCGTTGTCGTGTCCACGGGTCTGTTGCACTGACGGGGTCTCGGCCTGTCTCTGCCGCCAACCATCTCCAAGCCGTCCGAGTAAGTTGCAGGGCAGGGGAGGGGAGCCGAGGACCTGCAGGCAGGCCTTGTTATCCTCTCTCGGTTCACATACAACCAAGACAAGGAGGTACCTACTAGGCTTCTACCAGAGCTGTGCGGTGGAGCACGGAGTAGTTATTGGCTGGGCTGCCAACTGGACTGGCCGATACGAATGAGTAAGTAGTCGACGGGGTGAACCGCGCCGTCGACGTCCAATTTGTCGCTGGTCAATATCGAGTCAAGAAGATCAAGATCGCCACCCCCCACCCCCCCGGCGGACCTCGACTGCACCACAGCATCTGTCTAAGCCAGCCTCTCTGCAACGCCGGACGAAAACAGGAGTGAGGTGAGAGGAGAGGGCGAGCAGCCCACTGCAACCTGTCCTAGGCAGACTCTACCATAGATGTGAATCTTGTCATGGCTGGGAGGATTTCTCCGTCGTCCCACATGACGAGGAACTACGTGACGATTCTCGATACATCTGAAGGGGGCCTGGCTCTGAAAGGAGCGGCCGAGTCTGAGGGGTCTCCTCTTGGGAAATGTGCACCGGCGCGGGCGCAAATTCCTCTGGATGGGGCCAGCAGCCAGGGCGACTCTAGCGTTAAGCCACTGACTAGCCCGTTCAGTACGGAGACACTGTCCATCCATTTCCCACTCGAGCTATCCCGTCACGTACCTGTCTAGGTACTCCGTCCGGTAGGGGGGGTGGCCACTGGGGAGGAAGCAGCGCTGATCGGTCGAATGATTCAAGTCGTCGGAAGTGAAACTGGATCTTGGATCCCAAAAAGGTGACAAAAGATCCGCAAATAGCAAAAACAACAGGGCGTCACCGATGGGCCGCATAACGCCTCTCCGTACAAGCCAAGGCAGGCGGCAATTTGGGGGGTGTTTGGGGTGTATATTTGGCTCCAGGAGCGGTGCGTGAAGCCATGGCGACAGCGAGCATTGATGCGTGGGTGAACATTCGATGCGTCCCAGTGCGTGCGTGCGTGTTGCTTTCCGTGCGTCCACCCTGTGGCAGTGCCGTGCTATTGGTGGTGTCCTTGTACGTATGCATATGGATGTCTTTGCTATGGGCGCGGCACAGTGCGCTGCAACATGATCTGTAGGTAGACTGGGGACTGGGGACCCAGGCACCATGGCTGTGGTAAGGTGACGACAGACGATCCAGACTCGTTTGCTAGCTTAGGTTTGCGACCGGCATTCTTTGCCTTTTTGCTTAGCTGCGCGCCGCCTCTGCTCGTTTAGCCAAGCAGGATATCTCTCCAAGGTACGGAGCAAGGTAGTCTTGTCTCGTCTCGCTCTGGCGTTGACCTGCAGGGTGGGTAGGATTTGATGGGCACAGATTGGTCCGAGACTGTGCTCCCAGGAGTCAGGACGGAGTGCTATCCACAGAGCAGACCGGCAGGCCGATGCATGCAAGGACAGCCGGTTATTGGCTGCAGCAAAGCAAAGGCAGACGCAGCACCAAGTAACTACGTACAAGTACAGGTAGGTGGATGGATCAGCAGTGTCAGACGAGCAAGCCAGGCGTTTCTGCTGCATGTGCAACCTCTGTCGCCTCAGCGAGAACCAGGATCTCCAAGCAGAACATGCGCAGAGGGACGATGCTCGAGAACGGAACAGAAAACGAGGTTTTTTAAAAAAAAAAAAAAAAAAAAAAAAATTCAATTAACGCGTCACCCGGAAAGGCAGGAAGCTAAGGTGCGTGTGTTTCGCGAATGGGACGGAGGCCGGCCCCTTCGAGACAAAGAGGATCCCAGACAGTCGGCGGTTCAAGGGCACAGCGGGCCAATGGGCAGCCCCTGTATCAGGCCAGGATAGGCTGGGCCGGGCCACCTGTCTCTCGAGAGTGTGCCCAGACAACAGAGTCATCCATGGATCCTGCTTGGGCGCTTTCTTGGCCGACTGACCCGCTTCTGGGGAACAGACGGAAGCAGACTGGCCCTACATGCCATCCACAGCCATGCCATCCACAGCCATGCCATGTCCTTGAACATCAAACATGAAAAGGAAACCTGGAAGTGATGGAGTGGGAGCACGCTGGCTCGAGCTGGCTGCTGACTGCTGACTGCTGGCTGAGGAGAGTGGAGCACGGAATACGCTGTCTGTACTTGTAATTTGTCGAGGGCCAAGAGGACTCACCCGTCCGGTCCCCCCGTACGGAGTAGGTAGAGGAAACAGGACATACAACTACAATACTACGGAGTACCTTAGTTAGGTGGTAGTTATATGCACTACTTGTACAAGTACTGGGGCTTGTAGATTGGCTCGGGCCACTTTGCCTTCCCAGATACGGAGGTAGGTCCCTGATGCTGACGATCCACACACAAGGAACGTCGTATTTGCTTTTTTGTTTGGAGGGGGTGTCTGTTGTTGCTGGATGTGTTGATTTTGATTTGATTTGATGTGATGTGATTTGGCTTGCCTTGCTCGGTTCTCCTGATCAAGTGGCATGTAGGTCTACGGTACTATCCATGTCAAAAGGCCTTTTGGGCACCTGCCCTCCCTACTTCCCAGAGTGTCGGCAGTTTCTTCGACACAGTAACTAATGTAAGTTACCTAGGTACCATACCTCCTCACCTAAGGAGTAGTTAATCACCAAGTGGACAGACAGGACAGGACGGAGTGGGCCGTCTTCAGCATGACGCAAAAGCGGACGTTGCCAGTCAGGGCGGTTCAGGCCGCGTGTAAAAGAACCCCAGCCAGCCTGTCCGACGCTGTACTCGACTCGGGCCACCATCTGGACAATCCGGCTTCTCTAATTTTGCTCAACTCTGGTCATGATTATCTTGCCCCGTTGCGACCATCATTCCGAGCCCTCTGAAGCCACGCCAACCCACAGTGGCCCACGCCAGGGATCGCAAGTGCTTGCAGCCTCCGTCTCGTCCGTTCCGCGAGAGAGAGAGAGAGAGAGAGACCCTAACGGAGTAGTCCCTTATTAGGTACTTTGCATGCCGAAAGTGAGGTACACGACGCAATCCGTAGGTACCTACAAGTCGGAGTGCATGGGCGTAAAACGCCAACATAGCACGAAAAGTCAAGAAATGTTTGAGCCGCCCTGGGAAGATTGTGATTCAGATGGCAGGCGCTGCAACACGACAATACTTGTAGTCGGGCCACCCCTGTTATTGGTCCTCGGGAGGGCCAAATGAGGGGAGGGGGTGCCTTGCTGGAGAGACGAAGCTCTCGGTTTCGCAACAGGGGTGTGCGCGAAGGTAGAAATCCGCACAGGATTGCTGGCACCGCCGTGATAAGTGAGACCTTGGCCGAAGGGACTGCCTAGAAGAGCGAGACAGAAGAAAGAGGTCGGCGTTGAGGACCCGGCGTCGACCGGGAAGGCACGGATTCGATCTGGCATTCTGGCACTCACCAGTCTCTCATGCGTGCCAAGTACTTGAATATCTCCGACAGGCCAGCCGGTTTCGCCGACGGAAGTGTGGACGATCCGGCCACAACCACTCTCCCACGTACTTGTTGCCTGTATCTCACTCCTCCAAGAAGCGCTCTTTGAGTAGGTTTGTCATCATCGTCGTCACCGACCAAGTCAAGCAAAGTCAAGGGAAGGAAACAAGTCAAATTGGTTTCTCATCGCCCGCTTTTAGGGGGGGAGGGTACCTCTCCTTGATCATCGGCATACAAACGCATCTTGTTTCAACTTTGCTTTGTGGCCAAGGGCATGACAAATGCCACTCACTAGCAATGCAACTTGAGGATGATCTCGCACCGTCGCGAGTGGCTTGTCCCCCTCCCTGTCCACCCTGCGCACTTTGTCCACCTCGCGTCCACAAGCCACACCCCCTTCTGGCTCCCGAATGCTTCTCCTGTCCATGCCTGCTGGTGCCTTTCTGATCCCGTCTGACCCTCTCTGCCCCGCGGACCCTTCACCCAGCGGATGGACGGCCTTGGTTCTGCGAGGCATGCACCTGGCTGTCCTGGGACAACCACCACCAAGTAACCACCCGTGACCACAAGCCAGCGTTATGGCTGGGCGTGCGTGAGCGTCATCCGAGGTAACACACCCAGATACCCGGCTGGGCTTGATAAATGATATCTGCGTAGCAAAGCAGCACGACAACACATCCAGTCCTCATTGAGCCGACGCTCATCCTGCGCCCTCGGAGGCAGGAGGAGAATCATGGAGGGAAGCTACCCTTTCGACTTTCCGTTATATGATCTAGCCAGACAATAGTCATGCCTTCTCGTTCTTTTCAAGGCCAGTCTTTGAATGAGGGACGGGTTGGTAAGCCATTATGTGCAGAAGTTTGACCAAATCCGAGTATCTCAATCTGAACATGCATCCGTTCCGTGGGTCGCTCCTCGTCATTCATCTCTTTTGTACTCGGACCCAAAGGTCGGCGACCATGCCGTTACTGACGCACTTAACGGTGGTGACTGCATCCCCGCCGCCTGCCTTGGCTGATTTACCATGGACAGGCAGCTCCTTGCTGACTGCTGGCAACCATCTCGGAGGTCCCCTTGGAGAGGTGGCATTGCATGGGCCTGGCAGATTAGACAGTTCGTTCCGACGGTGATGATTGGCTTGAAACAACAACCGACACAAACAAGATCTATGCGATGGCCATCTACTCAGAGTCTACCATCCCCTACATCCTCGCTAACCTCGTTCAACGGCCCCTTGAACTTCGCTAGCTGTTACATGAGCTTCCCAATCCTCGCCTGGACTTTCAACTTGGCATCTCAGGATATCACTGCTTCTAGTTCACGATGTGAAATGCTTAAATGGTGATGATCTCTCGGTTGCAGCCCGATGAGATCTCTGGGCTGGTAACTTCTCCAGTGGCATTCGAAGAAAGCCTGTTACGGCGGCTGCTTGGCGTTGCTCCCACCCCGTCCATCGAAGTGAGCTTGGTATCATGTCAAAGCTACCCATAGTTGCCTACCCATTTGGTAGAGGGTGGTATGACCAGGCTTGGGTGGTCTTTCGTCTTTCCATCAAAGCAAGTAGGGTTAACGCCCGGCAGAAGAGCAGGAGAACCTGAATTGTGTTCCTGGGTCGATGAACTGCAGACCCTCGGCGATAGGGGCGAGATTGCCTGGATCTCACACAGCTGAAATAGTACAAGACCTGTCTGATGAGAAGGGGGGGCTGCACCCTGGATGGGGTGCCCTACGAAGGACCTGTGTGTGGAGAGTCATCTCAGGGGCATTTGCATTTCTTTATGATAGGACATTGCCGTAAAGACCAGAAGGCACACCTGCAGCTTGCCTTCCAAAACACACTTGATGTTGAAGATGATGACATGTGTGACAGACAACATTCCCAACGGCAAAATAGTTCCTGGTACGATAAAAACAACGGTGACAACAAGGGCAGGGGCTCACGTATCGAAACTAGACGTGATCTGTTGTCTGATGTCGGAAGCCTCTCTTCATCCATGTACAGAAGGAGATCCAAGATACCAACTTTGAAAGAGGATATACTACGTGACTAATGGCCTAACACAAGTTGTATCATTGCCATCGTGTCCCTTTCAGAGTGCCGTCAGTATACGCACGCGCTACTACGTGGGGACTATTGCAACTCTGTTCGGTGGTCTCGGGCGTCCTGCTGTGCCAGCAACTGCAGCCGCCGCTCCTCGATTTCAAGTTGTCGCCTTTGTAAGTCCTGTAGTTCAGCCGCTACCGTTTCTTCCTCGCTCCGGATAGGTGACGATGAACTGGGGGCTCTGGTGGGAGTTGCAGTCGTACCTGCGGGAGCCTGAAATCCACGACGTGAATCGGAAGCGGTCTCTGCTCCGTAAGAGGTCGAGGCCGAGGCCATCTGGCCCGCGGCTCCGGCCGGTGTCGAGTCTCCAGAATAAGATTGGCCGTCACCCAAAGGGAGAGCCGTATACCCAGAAAGGTGAGGTACTGATTTAGGCAAACCAGCACTGGCATACGGTGGAGGAGGCGCTCCCATGATACCGAGCTGGCCTTGCTGGTAGCCACCGGTTTCGTAAGCTCGCTGCTGCATCAAAGGTACATGCTGCAGAGGCGGTGCATAGAGGATCTTGTTATTCCGCTGGCGCCTGCGGCTGCAGAGGAAGATGATACACAGGATAAAAACCAGAAGGGCCAGTCCGGCCCCGACAGCGATCCCGACTATGACACCAGTCGACAGATCGCCGCTCCCGGACTGCCACCCAGGCCCGCTTGTAGCCTGGAGCCTGTTGAGATCGGCGTTGGCGAGCGGGTGCGTCTGGAAGCTAGGAAGATCTGTCGCCTTCCAACGGACCTGGATCATGGCCGCGATAGTGGTGCCCTTGACAGCATGGGAGAGATACTGCCCCGTCGAGGTCGGACAGCTGAAGCCCCTGTGCGGCAGCGGGAGAGCAAAGTCAGCCGATACTCTGCAAGAACTCGGTGCCGTCCGCAGGAGTCACTCAGTGGTCCTGCCTGAGGGCTAACTTACGAAGGCACGCAGTTCACGGCCGTCTCACCAGCCACGACAACGGGGCCCTGACGCAACGTGCGAGTGCAACCAGGAATGAAGCCGCTGGGGCAGATGGCAGGCGAGTAGTAGCCGGCATTGCTAGCCCAGTATATGTTCCAGCCGGGTGGCATGCACGTTTCGGAGGCCTTGGTATATGTGCCTGTGACGATGCCGCACGGAGGAGTCCATATGGTTGTCAAAGAGCCCGCCGGTGGAGTGCCGTAATGATCCGTCACCCTCGATGCCGACGCTGAAGCTCTCCGCGCAGAAGACGTTGTCTTGGTGGCTGTCCCTGACGGCCAGGATACGGAGGATGCCAATATCGTAGCCTCTGAGACAGAAGACATCACGAACGATATGAGCTGGTCGAAGTTGCGGATGGGACTGGGCGCCTCGGGCTTGCCGGGGTGGAACGAAGGCAGCGTCGAGAAAGAGATTCCGCTCCCTCCTCCCAACAACCACATATGAAATGCATTTCTGGGAAGTTCATGATGATATATGTCGTCTAGGGCACCACTGTGGTCGATACCATGTTGTCTGAGTCTTTGGACGGGCAGTGCCCGAGCTGAAGGACACGCCTTACTCCTTTCAGCCTCGCGAGTAGTGAGCCAAGAAACCAAACGGCTGGGCAGAGGTCACGTTGTGCATTCAGCTGGCTATGAGACGACCAGAGGTTCACTTGGCAGAGGCTGGGAATGATGCAACACGGGTTAAATAATGCCTAACTAGTACAAGTAGAAGGAAGAGCTCTGCTGTTTCTTTCCATACTTAGTAGCTGGTTCCCCAGAAATCCAAACTCTCGGTAGCCGGCCTGGGACTAGCAGGAAATCAGCACTGCCTTGCATCGTCTATGCTATTTCCAATTTCCCAGTAGTGCAGCGAGATTAAACGCTGGGGGTGACCTGATGGCTTGGTTGCCAAGCTCTGAAAAGCCATGTGGGTGGCGCTGTGGCTCAAACGATCTTAATAAATGGATGGATGATGACCTATTGATGATCCGGAAGACGTCGATAGAACACCATCGGCCGCACAAGTGTGGTCGTTTGCACCTAGCTAGGGCTAGTCTGGACCGCCCTCCCCTGTGGCGAATGGCTGGCATCACGCAGCAATGGGTTCCATATGGTGTGCAATGGTCCAAGCGCAACCATCCCAGGGAGACGAAGCAGTCGTTGGCGTGTGCTGTATGCAAACCTAACCCATGCAGCGCCAAGACGAGATAGCAAAAGCTTGTTCGTCTGGAACTTCCCGCCGTCGATCATCAAGACGGCCTTACAGAGGACAAGCTTGCTTGTGCCAACAGGAAGAGGCCTGCCTGGCAGCCTGGCTACTGTCTTAGGTGGTTTGTATCCGTAGCATACCTGCACTGCCAGCCCGGCTGCGCCGCTACGACGCCTGATCTAGGTACCTTGGGCTCTTCGCTGCGCTTGGAGAGGCATTATTAGGGTCATGACGTGACGTGACGCCGTTGGACCTCGGCAGGAGAGTGGTAGATGGCAATGTGTGGACAGGAGAGTACCAGGATGGTCTGGTGGGCTCGGGAGTCGTCACCCTCACGCCGTTTCTCCCGACCATCCGCAAGCCTTGTTCCAGTCGTGCTAGGTCATAAGCAAAGCCTTTGCGGAGAGTGAGCCCGGAGTGGCACACCGCCCCCGAATGGTTTCACCGCTGTCTGGCCTCCACGACTGGCGTTTTGGGCGGCTGTGCGCACCCAATGGGCATTCTCGTCCTGGAGTGCCACAATGTCATACCATGCCATCCCTCATCGCGCCCACTGTCGCCTGTTTCTCTCCTATCTCCCTGACTCTCGGCATCTTCGCGACCCGGAGGCCAACTTGCCCCAATCTGACCTTTCTGTAGCAGCAACACCGAAGTCCTCCACAGCCCTGGGTGGCTCGGTGCTCCCTCAGCTTATCTACGTCACACATTCCTAGCCATCGCTGGCGCTTTGGACATTGTTTGAACAAGAAAACGCCCTTGACTTCTTTGCTTCGAGGTTGTTTCTGTGCAGTGCTGTGCAGTGCTGTGTCGCTGTGCCTTTTATTGGATTTTGCTGTTGCGTTCCCGCGTGGTGCGGGCCGTCCCGACATAGAACTTCTTGGCGGAATACATCGTCCCTCCAGGCAGTTGAAATTCCCAGAGACATCCCAACCATTTTGTACCGTTTTCCCAAGGACCATGCCGAGATACATCTCCCCATCTCCTTCCGCGCGGTCACGCCATTCATATTCGCGCTCTCCCTCGCACGATCGCTCCCGCTCCCGCTCCCGCTCTACTTCCTCATACACTTCCTCTCGTCACAGCCGCGACGGCCATGACAGCAGGGCTGGTGGGATTGAGGGCAGTAGTGGCAAGAAAGAATCGGCAGTCAAGACCTCGCTCCTGTTTCTCGGGGGTGTCGCCGCCGCCACCTATGCCGCTCACAAGTTTTGGCCAAAGGGCATCACCTATGGCGACAAGGAGGAGTGGGAGATCGAAGAGAAGATTGAGCGCAAACGGAAACCCCGGCGCCACATTCAGGAGCGCCCAGGCGGGCCGTCGAGCAGCAGGGCCCTCCCGCCGCCTGCCCGTGACGGCCGGGAGATGATGCGGCGGAGCTGGTACGGAGGCGATGGTGACAGGAGAGGCGCCCCCGTGGATGAAAGATACTATCGCACTGGTCCCATGGATGACCACAGGGGGAGACGTCGGTATGCAGACCTCGACAGGGATGACCGAAGCAGCGCGGGCGCTAGCGAAGTGAGCCGGGATTGGGGTCGAGGTAGAGATCATTTTGCTGCTGGGTCGGCCCTGGGACGGCAGGACTCGGCGCCTAGGGGTGCCAAGTACTTCCCGAAAGATCAGCCGCTACCCGGCGCGCTGGGCCCGAGGCCGAGACGGGCAAGCTTCGACGAGGATCCGTTTGATAGAAGGCAGCGATACGACCCAAATACAGACCGTGGATGGTGAAGTCGTGGGGTACCTATTCAGGAGCACAGTTCTAAGCGAGGAGCAAAGACTGTCGAAAGGCTCGTGACAGACTCGGCTGTTGAAGGGTTGGTCACGGGTCGAAACGCGAACGATTACAACCTTGTATTGCTACTCCTCAATAAACTCGTGATCAGGTAGCTATGCGGCTGTAATAGATTGTATACAAAGAGCTCGAGCTGTCGGGTTGACAGCCCATAGGTCTCATTCCACCTCATCCTCCACGTCTGTTCCAGGGCCCAGGTCTGGTGCATCATCGTCGGTCGCTCCAGCTGCTTGCCCTGCTGTCTTGGCCTCTTCTCCTGCCTCGGGATTGCTCTCGCGGCGGATCGTACTCCAGTTATTCCCGCCAGTCTTCAGGACAAGCACAGTATTCAAGTCCGCTTTGAACCACCTCTCCGCCCTGGTGGTGCTCCTCGAGCCGCCTTCGAGGGCCGAGTAAGCAGCCCTCGTCTTTCTCATCCGTTTGTTGCCGCCTCCGCCTTGACTGAGAAGATTGCTAAGCTTCAGTCTCTGCTCCAGTAAGTGGGAGTCATAAGCAACGATGCTTCGCACGTAGGGTGCAGCATCCACTGTGATAATCTCCATCGTGCGGTCAAAGATAGACGGGTCCAAATGAGCTGTCGGCTGAGAGGGGTCCACTGCTGCAATAGGGTCGAAGGCGAGGGACATATCGATGCGGCTTATGCTCGTGTCCGGGCTGGCGATCGACTCTGCAAGCTTTGTATGGATATTGTTGACGAGATGAGGTTCATCCAGGGCAGCCAGGTGGCTGGGGCCAGACCCTGCGAACGACCTCGTCGCTTCCAACAGAGTCTGTCGGGCTAAAGCCTGAAGGCATGTCGCAATTGCGCTCTTCATCGAGTTATGAGTGTACCTGGGGGAGCTTTCCAATAGCTGCAGACCGATGATGTAGTCGTCGCGCGTCTTGTCGGACAGCTCAGGGGCAGTCGAATCAATAGTCTGCAAAAAGACATCGGCCGATGAGACATCTGACACGCTCATCGCATCTGCAAAGTCGTCATATGCCTTCAGACAGGCGGCTCGATCCGCGCGACTGACCACCCTATCACGGATCTTGCTCGACCAGCATTGCAATGCCTCGACATCTTGCCCAAGGCTCACATCGAGTTGCCAGGCATCCCGAGTTTGCTCAAGGAGTTCTTCTTCAGCGGTCCTTACAATGCCATCACCAAACGTGCAATCATGCCCCACCCAGCCCATGCCTTTTTGATAGGTGTCTTCACTGATGACACGGATTACATGACCGTCATCATCGAGATCTACTCCTTTTGGCCACCGCAGAAAGAACCATTCAAACCCACCCCGGCGGTCGCCAACACCAAGCTGACACCAATAATTGAGTTCGGTCAGGGAGGCACGGAGGTCATGCTGGCGCGAATCGTAGAGAGATCGAACAACTTCGCGACGTAGCGCGTGCCCTTCGCACGCCGCGATCATAAGGAGGCAATCGACTGCCATTTCTGTTGGTGGCGCGGTGAATCGAAGGATGCCGTGCAGATTCAAGGTCTGGAGGGGGATCAAAGTTTCATCGTTGCAGGTCATGATGACTGGACGCTTGGATTGCACAATGAGACCTACGACAGTCTGCCAAAACTGCCTGTCCTCCTCGTAGAGGACATCGACCTCCTCCAGCAGAATCAGTGACTGTTTCTGGTGAGGCGCGGGCGGCTTCTTCTGTTCGCTTGGCTGGGCGGCAGCCATTTCTGATTTGGAGGCTTTCTTCTTCGACGGCGCAGACTTTGCCTTGAAGAAGGCGTTCATGGTAGCTTGCCGGCCCGAGTGGATGTCCCTGGCCATATCCTCTTCGTCTACCGCCGAAGGTTCTTGAACCGGCTTGACAGATTGATGGTGCTGCACCAGGTGGTTTCTAGTCATGTCCCCGATCCTCTCGAGCACATCCTTGCCGCTTCTACGGCTGCTAGGATTGATCTCAAACACCTCAAACCCCAGTTCTTTGGCAACCGCGTAAACTGCTGCAGTTTTCCCACAACCGTGAGGTCCACTCATGACAACAGCATTTGTCAAACGCGTAGAGTCTCTCGATCCCTTGGACGTGCGAATCACCGTCTTCTTCGTCAGCCCGTAACGCCCACTCGGACTCCAGTCGAGTTCGGAATCAGAGACTTCCACCAGTTCGTCCTCTTCTTCATCACTCGAGACCACAAACCCATCGAGTTTGTTGCTCTTCCGCTTCTTCCTGGGCCGCTTCTCGCCCTTGCCCGACTTGCCGCCCCCTGATGGCGGGTTGACACCCTGGCCCGTATCCACAGACTGAACTGTCAGTGCTTGCAGCCAGTCCCTCAGTAGATATGCTTCTCTGCCTAATTGCATGACTTCAGAAGCGCAGACAGGTGCATATTTCTGGTTCCAACTATAGCTCTCGCACTCTGAGCGATCAGCAGCTGAGAGGCTGGTGCCGACCAAGTCGTACAGTCTTTGAACAGAGGGACGGCGTAATGGTATCTCGGAAGCTATGCGCTTCTGCAGCTGGGGCCCGCTTTCGAAATGTTTGTGCGGTAGTCGTAGTTCAGGAGGCGGGGGTACGAAATCATTCGAGTGAGTGCTTTTCAGGGAGGCGAGGATGTGGCCGATCCCAAGTCTACTTCTTGCCAAAGTCATGATTGACTCGTGGGAAGAGACGCGGATTGCATTACCTTTCGACTTGCGTGCTGCCAGAGGAAGTTCTCGCAGAGATTGCAAGGGCGCCTCACGCGCTCCAACGTGGACCGTGCCTTGCCAGGGCCATGCCGGCAACCTAGACCCGGGAACTTTCAAGCCTGAATGTCTTATACCGAACTGTGGCATCTTCGAGGGGTACATTGGGGCTTTGCGCCTTTTTGGACTGCAAGGCGTCGAGGTGAACGTTCTAGACTCTGTCGACAATGCCGGCTTCACTTTGGTGTCTTGTGTGGATAAACCCACATCTTCTTCCGCGGCAGACTTTTGCGTCTTTCCTTTGGCCAAGAAGAACGGGTGCGTCTCCTTGGACAGGTTTCCGGGGGGGTTGGGGGCGTTGGTCTGGCCGGAGGGCTCAGATTCGGCAATATTAGGGGTGAGGACGGCGGGCGACCCGTTGGTCTGACCGCTCAAGATCATCTCGATCTTTGCACCGATGCGACGTCGAGACACACCGTCCTGACCGTATTGAACTACCGCGATGAGCGAGGGCCTCTCTTTGACCCTTACTCGCGACTTTGACGAGATTTTAAGGGTTTTCTGGTCGGGACGAAGTTTTGGGGGCGATCCTATCGTCCCGGTTTTGAGATTCAATTTCAAAATCTTTTGAGGTCCTAGGCCCGGGGTTGGAAATGACTTCTCAACGCTGTCATCAGCCTGAGACTGTTGGTCCAAGTTCAAAGTCGAAGCCGGAGTAGGATTTAAAGGAGTCATGGCAGTGGCGGCATCATCTCCTGGCGAGAGCGAAGCGCCCTTACTGGTTCCGGAACCTTCCGTCAAGGTCGCTGGGACACTGTTGATCAAGTGATCTGTGATTGCCTGCCCAGACGGCTGAAGATCTGCTTTCCTCGGCCTTCCACGTCGCTTCTTCCCAACCGGTTCTGGGGACTCATCTCTTTCTCCGGTGCTCGTCTTCCTTCGCTTGGCGGCCGGTCCTAGCTCGTCCGTGGTACAGGCGGCATGGGGCCGATCTTGAGTGGCGGGCTCGTGTCGAGCGCTTCCTTCCTGAGCATCTTGTGCGGAGCTCTCTGCAGTGGGTTGGGTGACGGGAGCAGCTTTTGGGGTAACGAAGAAAGGGTGTAGCTTTCGTGGTTGTGTCGCCAAGGCCTCACTAACCATTGTGGCGATCGACACAGAGCCCATCGAAGGAGGGAACTGTCTGTGATGAGAATGAGCCAAAGTCTAACGAAGGGATTGATTGGAAAGCTGTGCTTCACCGTACCTTGCTTGTTCTGATCTCCCGGTATCCGGGAGTTGCAACAAGCGCTCAAGGTGTCTCAGACTGCAGATGCAAACATTGTCCCAATTCGGCTTCTGAACACGTAACCGTAATGCTCCAATACAACAGCCGCAAGGCCAGTATGATATCGGAGAGATGGTTGTGGAGAGATGGGCAAGCCGTATTTTACCCGCTGTGAGTCGAGCAGGATGAACGGATGGAGATCGAGTCGCGTCAGCGCGTCGGGGAGCAGAGTGGGTGACGGTGGGGCCGTGTTAAGTGTTTCGCGCGACTGCGTGTGGTGCCGGGGGTGGTGAGGGGCGGGCTTTTAGGGCCTATGACGCCTGTGTATCCCTGAGGATCTGGTTCCAGAGTGTTATTAGGCACTGTTCTCCAGAGAACTTTAGTGGCACATCAGTGATTTCTCCTTATCGAGCTTATCGGAGGCGCAGGTCCCACCACCCCGTCTTATCAACCATTCACCATCGACGTAGGTACCTGTTCTTGGCCCACCCAAAGACGGAAGGGGACCAAAGAAAAAAAAAATAGTTGATAGTCCAGCCTTACTACATAGTGCACCTGCGCAAGCAAGGCTTCTTCTCCCAAGAGGTCTATCACCAGCGTCGAAGCAGTGCTCTCACCGTCAATACACGTCTACATCTTGCACACGGACTTGGGAGAACAAGGGGCTGCCCGCTCCAGGAGCTAGTTGTCACAATGGCTTCCAACTTCCGCATCCAGAAGCCCTATGTGCTGACTGCCCTACCACGTCCCATCGAGTCGTCTTGCGATAACTATGTGGTTGGCGACGTTTACGGACAACAGCAAGGCTCCAAGAGAAAAAGGAGGTCGGAACTGGCTGTCGGCATCAACGGGGAAGCCACAAACATATATGATGTTGGTTTAATGCACGCCGCGTTGCCGCTGTTGCTGCTGTTGCTGACGAGTCGAACAGGTTCAAAGCTCCCGCCTCATCACTTCCTACCCTATTCCTCCGCAGTCGACTTTTACATGCCCTCCCTACTCAATCCGTTGGCGGTCTTCTACTTCCAAATATGTATCTCGCTATACATACATATCGACTCGTGATCCCGGCCATAGGATATCTCTGTTCAAGGACTCCATCGAGACGTCCGGCAAGACGGTATCAACAACCTTCTCGAGAACGCTGCCCAAGAGCCAAGACATAGTTCTCTTATCGACGACTTCACACACAACCTCCGATTCCGCGCTGCAGAATTCTGTTGTTCCGTTCCACTTGATCGCCGTCACGACGGCGGGCTCTGTCCTATGCTTGGATGCCGAAACGCTGGAGGAAATATGGGCACCAGCAGCAAAAAGCGTCTTTCAGGACTCGATGCCCTCAGAAGGGTCCCTTCGGGTGGACTTTGCCCAACTGTTCGCCTCAACTGATGCAGCGCAAGGGCTGTTTGGGGGTTGGACAGAGGTTCTGGGTCCGGCCTTGGACAAGAGCGAGCCTGATCTCTCAAGCCTGGACGTACTAGTCTTGATCACCGCCGCCACTGTTACCGACGTCGAGCGCAGGCACCTGCGCGTCCTGGCTGTCTCACCGAATGCCAGGGGACCACCCCCTTTCCAGCAGCAACATCTGGCCCAAGCGCATATCGCGCCGCTGGTCCAGGCCGACGGCCCAGCTGGGTTGGCACCAAAGTCAATCTATCGCGTCGATATCGCCTCTAGCTCGCTATTGGAACTTCGAGGCGAGGAGTTGATCTCTTATGACATTGCGAGGGCTGTTCCAAGGGTGGAGCGAAGGCTCTCGCTACCTGGGGCCCAGTCATTCATTCGCCTGTCCAAGTCATCTATCTTGGCTGCCTCGGACCGCTCATTCGATGTCTTGAATCCAGTCTTCCAGTCGGTACAGGCTTCCACACCACTGGACATGTTCAATACTCCTCAGACTTCCGAGAGTTCTCATCGTCATACTTGTCACCTAGTTACCTACTTTCCAAAGCTGGAGATGGCAGTTGCCATCATTGGCACATCACTAGTAGCGGTCCAACTGGAGGCCCCAATGCATCGCAGCAAGAAGCGGCGAGCTGAGGGCCTGCTCATTGACTCCATTGGCCGAGGAACTCCCCGTAAGCCGCCTGGTAAAGGACACTTGGGCCCGGAAACCAAACACACAGCCTTCTCGAGGTATCTCCCAGGGTCTGTATCTGCTGAGTACTGGTCCCAGCTCAATCTGGATGTGCAAAGGGCAGATGAGCTACTGGTCTCGGGCAATCTAAGAGACTTTGAGTGTCTGCTGGCTCGCAAATTTGATATCAAAGTCTCCAAGAGCAGCCCGTCAACCGGAGGGCTCGAGGAGAAGGAAGGTGCGCCAGCCACAAATGGTACGAGCGAGCATGACTCTGAGCTGCCAGACTGGCAGTGGCCCAAGTCGAGATCAGCGTACCCAGAAGCCGACCGTCGCTGGGTCATGTACGCAATCGGCCGCGCCTTTAGCTGGACCGATGAAGTCGAGGGCACGGTCGGTGGCCTCCATCTAAGGTGCCAACTCCCGGAAGGCAATGTTGTCAATTATCTGGCAGATGCTGGTCATCTCTCCACTGCCAACCTGAGGTCTGCGTTCAGGGTTGAACTACGAGGGGTCGACGATGTCGATGCGGTGCTGGGGGAAGAGCTGCCGCTGCTCCTTGCCGATATTGATCCCACCATGGGCCTTCTGTTGACTTGGCTACATGCTACGACACTGGGATCGTCCGAGCTTCTCACTGCCATCAAACTCATCATGCGCAGTCTTGAGCTCGTTCAAGATCCAACCAAGATGGGCTCCAAACCTCTCATCACCAACTCCACATCCGACCCGAAGGAGTCCGATGCAGCCCGCGATGGTGCGGGGAATAAAGAAGAACTCGGCATGGAGTTGGACCGCCTGGAACAGGAGATCCAGGTGACAGAGTATTACCTGGATGATGAGTCGAGCACTCGGGCGCGCGGGCTCAGTGTAGCCTTTGGCAAGTTGGGAAGCTGTCCTGCACAGTCAACAATCGCGACTCTCCGACGGAACTTCCGCCCGGAGGAGATCTTGTCCCTGATCTACGTTTTGCGCATGGAGCTGGTCAAGGATGGGTGGACCACGAGATATCTGGATCTGAGTCAAAGGGATGAGGATGATGAATCGGAAGCCCCTCCAGACGGGAGCATCCGGCTTCTTGCTGATCTCTTGTGCCGGTGTATCGATTCGGTTGGTGCAGGAGGCTGGCTGATCAACGACGCCATCCTAGCGGCCGGCAACGGCGGGCAACTCGATTCTGCCGACTTCCTGGCCTCGCTCAAACTCGAGGTCAGTGCTGCTCTCGAGGGGGTACAAGAAGCAGTGTATCTGCGGGGCATCCTGAATGAGGCTGTTCGATATGGGTCTAGTGTACAGTCAGCGTCAGCCACACGCCCGCAGGCCGATAGCCTCAAGCATGCGACTACGGCTGTGAGGTCGCGAGAGCCAGGCTGGCAGATGCTGCCATTGGGACTCAAGGCAAGCCAGAACGTTTCGCGGAACAAGGTAGTATCTGGAGGAGAGCTGGTCAGACGTAGCAAGAGAGAGTTTGGCCATTTGACGAGCCAGAAAGTCGGGGCCTACTCGCTCGAGAGGATCGTGATCTGAGCTTGGTCGGGGGCTTTTCTCCCAACCAAGGGCCTCGATAACATGGGCAACATGTCGCCCAGTGGCTCCCCCATCGAGGGCCTTATTTCATAGAAGAAGAGAATAACAGGATCCTGCTTTTGCGATGAATCGCAGACCAGTCGCCCTGTTCTTGCACTGGTGTTCCTAGTTTGTCGCGCACAGCACTGTCACTCCATGCGTCTCCAGGTAGATCGATGGAGGCTATTGCCACGGTAGTGTCGGAAAGAGCATCGCCAACAGGACCCTCTCGATGGGCTGGCTGGCAGACGCGTAGCAGCGGGTTAGCCAGTCAAACGTATCTGGTCGGTGCTAGCATGAAGTTAATTACTACTAGTGGTAGAAGTAGCGGATGCGATAGGTTTACGGAGCAGGCATCGACATAAATGAGCTTCGGATATGCGAATCGTGGCGGCAGTTTGGAGCTTGGAGGCTCTCGAGCTTGGGACGGGTAGGCTATGTGCGTGTGCTAAGGGTACCGAGAGGGAGGGGGGACAGACTATGAGCTTGTGCATAAGAGGTGCATGAGGCAGCTCGAAAGGCGGACTGGGGTGCCCCCGATCTGTTGGATCCCCGTCGGCGTTGGGGTAACTAGAGGCACATCAGCCCATACCACACAGCATGACTAGCGGTACACCCTACAGGTAGAACATGAAATCGGTGCAGGATGGGGCTGGTCACGGCACTCTGGAGGCGGGTATGCCATGCTGTCCACGCTGGCGGCGGGGAGGACATGAGGACACCCGGTGCTGCTGCCTACGGGGCTGGAATGCCAGCGGCGGCAGCCACCAGAGCGCGGAAGAGGAGCAGAGTGTCAGATCGATGAGCATTTTTGGGTAGGTATGTGTGTGTGCGTCGGAGTGCGTGTGAGGCTGTGGATGCAAGTTAGGTAGTTGGTGTTGGGTGTCATGAAGCATGTCATTTGCATGGGTGGAACAGATACGGGACGTACAAGTAGATACGTACAGTAGCTTGATAGGTCTGCCAAGGATGCCCCATCAAGGCCCATGTAGGTACTTGGAGGGGGATCCCGTACACAGCCCCCCAGCGATCCCGACGACAAGGAAGCCGATCTGGTCGACCAGCTGGGCAACTGACCCTCTGGCTCAAACCATCCGCGAGGCTCTGTCTGACCTCATGGTGATACGAGACGGGGAGTCGGCAGTGGTCTGGCTGTTCTGGAGGGAGGGGCGAGGCATCGACTGGCTTGGAGATACCTACCTAGGTACTTGTACTACAAGTACCTAGACGTAGGGAGAACATGGCTGATGGCGCAGCGAGGGGGGCACCACGGCTGGCCTGCTTTGCATAAAGCAAAGTATCGTTGATCGAGCGTGCTGCACGCTCATTGATGCGATGTACGAGCGTGTATGATGGCAACGAGGATTGCATCTGGAGACTGAGACTAGGTAGGTACGGAGGAGACTGGCAGACTTTGGACCCTTGACTGCATATGCCCGTGGGCGGGAAACGACTCGAGATCGGACACGGGCAGGGATCCCTCTGCTTGTCGCTCTCCCTCTGCTTGTCGATCTCCCTCAACTCAGTCTGCCTTTTTGGATGTTTCTGGTCTGCCTTCCAGGCTGATTGGTCAGCCAGGGCGGGAAGACGTCTGCGATTCGCCCGATTCTTGCCATCTCTCGCACCTGGTCCAGCCAGGCATTAGCGCACCACTGCGGGCGCGCGGGGCTCAAAGACGTCACTGGGCAGGGAAGCCCTCCAAGTGTGGCCGGCATGGATCATGGATGGTTTCTAGCGGGCCCCATCGACACCAAGGATGCACCCGTGAAACCCTCCCAGTGCCTCCCAAAGCCAAGACCAGACGATTGTGAGAACCACCGCGTTGGCGCCAACGTATCTACTTGTAGTTACACGTTCCGCCGTTGTTTCGTCCCATCCATCGCCCGGTAAACTCTGTTTCGCATGCAAGCTGGGAGAGAACTGATCAAACTTGACATGGTTTATTTTGTTTGCCCGAGACCAAGACTGAACCTGGGCCTAGCGCCGCCGCCCGACGAAGCTGGAGGGGTGGCGGCGGCGGCAATGGCCGTTATGGTACCAGTTCGGTGATCATCCGGGACCATCCTATTCAATCCTGGCCCGCAGTCCCTCCCTCCCTACCTACTACCTAGGTAGGTAATCTTCTGCAAGTAGTCATTACCTTATGATGACAGTAGCAAGAATGCGCTGCGGAGTAGAAGGCACTTGAGCTTGCAAGAGCTTAGAGCAGTAGTAGCCAGGCCAGTAGAAGGGGGAGAGAGAGAGAAAAAAAAAGGAGGAAGTAAGCAGTAAGAAAGAAAGCGCGACCTGGCAAGCCCACTTTCTGCCTAGCCTATAGGTACCTAATGTACATTGGAGAGAGAGAGAGAGAGAGAGACAGTGAAGTCTGCTTTCTCCTAGAATAAAAAGGGAATGGAAGCGAGAATCAACGGAACAGTCAAAAAAACGTGGCCGATCGCCGGGAACGTCCTCCGCTCAACACGCACCAGACCACCACCGTCACATCGTCACATCGTCACATCGAGTCGCAGTCCTGTCCCGTTCCATTCCCACCCTATCCTATCCTATCCCATCTCAGCAAACCCATCCCAGATTCCCAGCCCAGCCAGGCCCAGGCCCAGGCCCCGCCCAAACTTGCTTGTTCTCTCTCTGTGCGTTCCGTGTCGTTTGCTTCCTCTTTCAGCTCTCTGCCTGGTAGCCCGGACACTCTCACTCAAAGGCTTTCTTTCCTTGTGGATTGACTTGGCCTGCAGCTTGCTCGCTCAAGAGTCCACAAAGCAGCCGGACTCGTCGTCGCGAGGGCCGCCAGCCAGCCTCACAGTGTCGCTCGCAGCATCTAAAGAGCTGGCAGCGCTGGCCAACGTGACCAATCTTGGCCATCCAGTCCGTATGACATCCATCTTTCTTCCCAACCTGTCCCACCCTTCCGACCTGCTCTGACTGACACACCCTCCCTTGTTGCTCAAGTACCTAGACTTCCTTACTTCTTCTATCCCTTCTTCTTCGTATTATTCTTGATCTTCCTCCTATACCCCACCGGCCCTTCATTTCTTCTGTATCGGTCCCCGTCTGTGCCTTGTCTATCACTGTCCTGCCCCCCTCAACCTCGGTGATGCCCACACCCGACTGCGCCTTGGATTCAACTACCTCGACAGGATCCAGGTACTCTCTGCTCTCCCCGCTCCGACCTCTGAGAAAGAGCCGAGAGTCGACAGCTACTTGGTGCGTGTAGCCGAGCTGAGCACTCGCGCTACAGCCGTTCAGACCATCCATCCTCTATTCTGTACCGACTGAGAAACCGCTGGGCCGCCCGTCGGTCGCAACTTTCGCTCCCTCTTGTTCCTTCGGACCTTGGCATCTCTGTTGTACGAAATCGGCCCCGTTGGCGATTCTAGGCGCTTCTTCTTTTCTTTTTCATCCCTTTTCTTGGTATATTGGCCGCGGCCTCGGCTGGCCCCCGGAGTACATGGGCATGGCCAGTGAGAGCACAACCGCCGCCTCGATCCGCGTCGTTGCGGATGCCGCGCACTCGCTCCACGAGCGCGCCCGGATATCGGGCCCGGATTTTGAAGAGGTCGCGCCTGTCGTCAAAAACCTGGAGACAGTACTCAAACATCTGCGCGTCGAGGCCGAGGACCCAGACTCGTTGCTGAACACGCAGCAGCAAGAAACCAGTGTCTACGCCAGGCAGCTGACGCCCATCATCGAGGACTGTGACTTTACCCTGAAGCAGCTCTCCACCATTTTTGAGAAATTTGGCCATAGTGATGATGCTAGAAACAGCAACGGACCTGCCCCCTATCACCCTGCCCCTCCTCCCTTCTCCTCCTCCTCCTCCTCCTCCCACCACCCCAGCAAAGATGGGGCCGATGGCCAAGGCAAGGACATGATTGCCCTGATACGTACCAAGCTTGCAAACCAGAGGTCCAACCTGGAAATGTTCCTGGACACCGTCCAGCTGCACAACCCCGCAAAGCAACGCATGCCACCGCCAACCACAGGCGACCAGATGGAAAAGATCAAGGACAAGGTCGACGAGGTCGCCGGGCGCCTTTTCCGCCGGGCGAGGAGGGGTGGCGAGGACGACGAAGATCTGTGGCGACAATTCTGCCACGAACTCGAGAAGGAAGGCTTTGCTGGCCAAGTCCTGCGCCAGAACAAGGTGGGAGAAATCATTCCACTGATCGTCCCTTTTCCTCTTCGCACGCGACACGTCTGCATATCATCGGCAACAACTGACATGAACAACAGGAGGTCATCAGGGCCTACTTGAGGGGTTTGGACTCCAATGGCATGCTGGATGGCACCGGCCCGCCGCCCTCTGTGCGTGGCATCCTGCCTTCGGCCGCTGTCCATCCGTCCGCCTATTCGCCTCACCCTCCCGCCACCGGCGATACCAGCCCCAAGGAGGTGATGCACCCAACCTTTGAGAATGAGAAATACGCCATATCCGTCAAACAGGGCCGCGTCCTTCCCGCCCAAGGTGACCAGAATCGGCAGCTCCAGCAGCAGCACCTCGTGCCCCACGCGCCGCCACCGCCGCCGGGCCTGTATAACCAGGACTCCGCCTTATCCTACGACCGGTATACTTCGTCTGACGATGAATACGGCCCCGACTCGTCGCATCAGCTCGCCCTTATCTCCACCTGGGAGCTTCTGACCTTGGACAAGCAGGAGCAAGACCATCTCGCCGCGCGCATGGGCGCCATGCATTTGGCCCCTCAACCCCTACTCCCGGGGCCGACAGCTTCGCCGGGCACCTCGCCCAACCAGCGATACCTGCCGGCTCCCGTTCCATCAAAGCAGTCGCACCTGCTTCCGCCGGTCGCGCCTCCACTGGATCTCTCCATCTCGCCCCGCTATGTTCCGCCACTTCCCGCGTACTCGGCGGCGCTGACACCTCCTCCGGCGTACGGCAGCTCTCCCGTTGTTCCACAACCCCTGCCCTCGTCGTTTCCCGGTGTCGGGCATGCCGTCACACCCGAGCAGGCGCGGTACTCTCGCCTCGCTCCCGATTCACAAGGGAGGGACATCCCGCTCGACGCCAAGTGGACCAAGATCAAGCGGTCACTGGTCAGCACCGAGGTCCTTGCCCAGGCTGGCGTGCGCTACGAGGCCCGGCCGGAATTTGTTGCCGTGCTTGGTGTCCTGACCAAGGCTGACATCGCCGAGTTTGCCCGCCGAAGCGCTGAGATCCGTCGGATGCGTATGCGCGGTCCGGGTCGACAGCAGACGAGGTCTGCCCATGCGCCTCGAACCCGCCACCGCACTGGATCAACGTCGGACTCGGAGTCAGATGTATTGTGGGATGAATCGGATTCATCAGAGGATGAGCGCGATGTCAAGCGGCGATATGACCGCGGCAAATATATCCCCAAGTCGGTCAAAGGCGACAAGGGCCCTGCTGAAGAACAGAAGGGTACTAAGGTCTACCCTTTCATCGTGTCACCTCCCAATGGCGAGAACAAAGCCTCTCCTTCGGCTACTGTGAAGCCCAAACCCATCTTGAAGAACAAGAACGAAAACCACGTGCGCTTTGATCGTGATGGGCCCATCGAAATCCCTCCTGAGAGCGAGCGCAGCCCTCGCAGTTCAAGAGACGAGATGGATAGGGAGCGGCGCCAGAGGCACCGTGATTATGACCGTGACTATGACCGCGATAACGAGCGTGAAAGGGACCGGAGGAGGCGCCGCGATCGGGACCGCGATCGAGAAAGAGAATATCCCCTCCGCGGCAGCAGGCACCGACGAGAAGAGCGTGACCGCGAACGCGAACGAGACCGAGACCGGCCTGGCAAGAAGAAGTGGGGGGAGACCCTCGGGGCCGTTGGCATTGGCGGTGCAGCGGCCAGCCTGCTGAGCGTGCTGACCGAGGCAGCTTCGGGCTTCTAGAGAAATCTCGAAAATCGTGCCGGCGGCCGACCGGCCGGCGCGTCGACCTAGCCATGGTATCTTGCACCGGGCATGCTAAGTTGCCTACAGAATATGGGCCTATTCGCGGGTTGACAGCCGTATCTCTTTTTTTTTCCCATCTTCGCTATGTCATTTATTACAATTGCCATTTCCTCACTTGTGTTAGCGGTTGACCCTGGATACACTTTTTGTGCCATGCAAGGAGGGCGCCGATTCCCCCCCCCCTTTTTTACTCTGGACTTCTGACGACTGTTACGGTATCTCATAATCCTCGTTCTTTGTTGCTTTAACTGCGTTACTTGTATCATATGAGGCGCTCGTGCCTGGAGCAGTGTCTCATTCACGACGCCAGTGTCCCTTGTACGTGTACACTGTACGCATTGTTGTATATAGATATGTCTTGGCATATGCATGACAGAAGCTTCCGAGTTCATCGGGAGCAAGAAGATACCCCTTTGTCTGAGCAGGCGGAATGGTAACAGGTTGCTAGCTACGACATCAACGATAGCTTTTTTTTCGCCAATACTAGCAGCATGGGCGATTTGGAAGAATGAGTATCCTAGGTCTATAATTATGGGCTCCCACATATTGATAGGCAGTCATGACAGATGGATCACTCCTTTATCGTTCGTCTCTCGCGTACTTATATATACATCCTCCTGGTCTCTTCCATCGACTTCGGCAGCCCGCCACCAGACCAGAGTGGCATTGCTGGTAGAGACGCGGGAGTTGTAATCCATACAGCGACGAGTGGTTGCCTCCGTATACCGAGCAGCGCCTGATGCTGCGCGTGCGCTGGCTGTCTCCACACCGCGCACGCTTGTGATTCCTCCCTCAAGGTCTCATTGCCGGCGTCTCGTCGTCCTCCTCGTCGCCGTCACGCCGCTACCAGCTGCATAGCTCTTCTCTGCTTGAATCGCCTGCTGGTAGTCGCGCATGGTCAACTTCTCCTCGGGTCGTTGCTCCGGCGGTAGGCTGCCACCCTTGCCCATCATTTTGCTGAGCAACTGTGCCTTGTACCGCTGCGCATCGGGCGCCTCGTATTCGACCTGGGTCAGCGACAGCTTGGTCTTGTCGGAGTCGTCCGGTATCTCCTGGTGGAGAAGGAGCTGTGCAGCCGCTGTGATGGTTCGACTGGCGGTAGTGGCCACGGTAGCCGTGGCAGCCGAGTCGACGCTGCCGCTTGACGTAGCCGAGACGTTGCTGATGGCCCTGCCCATGATGCCACGCTTTCGCCTAGGGGCCTTAGCCGTTGCCGCCGCACTCGTACTGACGTTGTCGTCCCGGGCGCAACTTTCGGAGCCGCTTCGGCCGGTGCCACCTCCCGGAGTGGCCTCTAGCAGACTTGTTAGCCGCGTGGACAGCGCAAGGCGCTCGTCGGCGGCGACTTTTTGTTGCTCCAGGTGTTTTTGCGTCGCTTCGCCGTTGGCTCGGTCCTCATCAGACTCGGCATCGCCAGCAGTCTCCGAGTCCGCTATCTCGCTCGGCATCCTACTTAGTGGTTTGCGAGTCGTCTTTGTCGGCTTTGGGGGGGAGGCAGACCTATTGATATTGTTGGCCGAGAGCTCGGATAAGGGCGCCGAATGTCGACTGGATGGCTGACTTCTATCTTCACTAGGTGCCTTACTGTCCGACTGGTGTGTTGGTGCAGTCTCAAAGCGTGGTGGGTGGCTTGATATATCCTTGTGCCCTCCAGGGTCGGCAGCAGGATGTGAATCTTGGGCGGAATTGCCCGATGACGCCTTGGGAGGCTGGGGAATGGGGTCTGGATGTCGGTCCCAAACGAGAGGTTGCGTCTTCTGGCCCTGTTCGGATTCCCAGGGCGCCATGTCGCTTTGACGTAGTGATGGAAACATAAAGCTCCTGATGGGCAGCATGCTCCCGGTAGTGATACAAGTCCACAACCATGATGCCTTGACGACAGGGACCCTCCAAACTATAGCTAGGTCTAGCTTCTGCCTTCGTACCGTCTCTAGAGAAGTGCAAACCAACATCGACGTCTGAGCGGTGAATCTCTCCTCGTACCTGGCACCGAGCTGGCGTATTGCCTTGTCAACCTGGTTCAAATCGACGCCGGTGAATCCTGCGGTGCATATCCCAAGCTTCTCGAATCCGGGTATAGGAAAGACGGGAAAAGGTCGGCCGATAACATCATCGCCAGGGGAGAAAAAGCGCTTCTTGTGCATACACCTCTCGATGAAGAATTCCGTGACCAGATGGGCTTCCTCGGGAACGCTGGGGTGTGCTTCCGAGGATGAATTCTGGGGTACGATGACCAGGCGATGCTGAATATCATGCTGTGGGTTGCCGACAAGATCTCCAAGCGAAGAAACAGACTGACCGCCATGAGAAGAGACTGTAGACAGCAGAATCTCTGTCTGGGCCTTGGAGAATCCGTGCACGAAGAAAGAGCACGATGAAAAGGGAAGCCCGGAAGTCGGGCCGGGTTGGGCCAGGCTCGCCGCGGTCTGGTCTGACCCGGGGCTGCTGCGTGCGTCTTGTCGGGGTTCCAGGGCTTCATCAGGCCGGGACTCGGTCCTGCCAGGGCCTTGAGCACGATTCGGACCTGCAGAAGGCAGCCCCTTGCCTAGAATATTACCCCAAAGGTCGTCCCTTTGGCTGTTGAGCTTCATGCTCGCCGTCTTCCTCAGCTTTCGCCTCCCTTCCTCCTGGGCAGCGGATGGATCTCGAAGCCTCTTTGCGAGAGACGAGCTTCGAGGATCGCGACGCAGCCAAGCATTCTTGCCGCGGTCCTCCTTTGGCAGCGTTGGGTCGTAACATTTCTCGTCGAGTATCATACCTCTCGCGGCGCTGTCATCAAGCCACTCGACCGAGACCGTGTGAACATTCCATGTCTTGGCCGCCGTGTACTTGCGTCCCTCTGGCCTAGCGACAACGAGATGCGTGACCTGACGCGTCAGATCGCCGGTGTAGCTGCCACCGTTGGCATGGATTTTGTCGATGATGCGTTGCCGCTCGTCAGCTAGATAAGATCCAAGTCAGCGACACGTCGGGCCGGGTCCATTGACAGGCGACAGCCAGAGGAGAGCTCAGCCATGCATACCGTCGTCAAAGCCTGTGAGGCAACACAACAGCTTCCCTCGGTCTATGCCCCTCCTCGACTGCGTGGCGGGCTCCCCCCCATGGGTCTCGAGGGGCTTCAGGGACCAGGCCTTCTCTAGGGCGGAAAAGTCGATGTCGGCGTCCTCGGTCCACAGGCTCCGCACAGCCTCGACCCAGCCGAGAGCCATGGGCTTGATGTCGGGGCGTTCCTTGGCAACATGGCGGTACTTGGCCGTGTCATAGTCGCCGACAATCAGGTGGGTGACGTCGGGAGTGAGGTCGTACTTGTGGACGCCGCCGAGCTCGGCGGTCTTGCTCGCTACGTCGGTCTATGCAGTTGCAGTCAAGAGCATGCGTGTCAGCAACCGCCAACACTCGCTCGCTCAGTCGCGTGCGCGGGCGTCTACCCAACTTACCCTCTGTTCGGGCGGGATGCTGGTGCAGCACACGACAATGCCGTTGAAGGGCCGAGCCGGGTCGAAGTTGACATCACCATGGTCCGACGAGGCTGGCGGTGATTCCATTGGGAGGGAGCAGCTCTGTCAGCAGGCGCGTGGGTGCGGACAAGACATTCAAGGCTCCAAGCCGGGCGCGGAGGAGACAAAGATGGTCGAATTGTTTCGGTTCTCCCCTTCCTTCCCCCTTCCCGAAGGGAATCCACAAGGTAGCAGTGATAGCAGCTAGTTGGGCGCGTGCGTGCTTGCTTGCTTGCTTCCTTGCTTGCTTGCTTTCTTGATGGCTGGATGGCGATGCTCGTCGACAGTAATGATGCTAGGCTGGTTCGTTGCATCCATGAATGTTTTTAGCGCACAGCCATAATTATTGAGGCGCGTCCAGGCGGGGGGGAGCCCGTCAGCGGGCGAACACGCGAGCCGCGCACGCGTTAATAGCTGGAGTAACTGGAAGTACTACCTAGGTAAGTAGCTGGAGCACAGGCCCGCCAACATTGGTCTAGGTAGACGAATGGAATCATTGGACGAAATAGCACAGAGAATTCCGACACCCGACACTTCGTTTGATCACCGGACAAGCATGCAACCAACTGCCACCCCCATTTGACAATCCAGATGCTGCTACGTTCGACGCTCGACAATCAGTCGCGTGGTCATTCTCCCAAAAGCCCGCCAGGATCCGAGTGGTTTCAGGGAGACTCGAGAAAACAATGCCAGGTCTGACAGGGCAGAAACCCAGGCCGGGTTCACTATGCGATTTTCCCTCTACCTCTGCCTGCCTCTATGCCTGCTATGCCTGCTACGCTTGCAGATTCTATGATGTGTTTTATATCCTAGTGACACGTAAATTGACTTGACTACACATCCGGCCGACCCACACGGCCACCGCAAACCCCGTCATGAGACAACACCGACAGCAACGACGATCGCCAGTGCGAAGATCGAGGCTTGTCTTCTGGGCGTGACCGTCCCTGCTGCGCTGACAGTCGACGATCTACTGGGACTTGCCGCTCCGCCAGCAGCCCCGCCAGTCGAGACGGTCGTGGGCGTCCCCGTCGAGACCGAAGAGCTCGACGCCGCGTCGTTGACCGCGGCCTTCTGGAGGTTGCAGGTGCCAATGAGGGATGGGAAAGCTTTCGAGTCGTTGACTGCGGCGGGCGATGAGCCGCAGTTGGTGTACTGCGTCATCCACACTGCGTGGTTGTCGAGGTCGAAGATAACTACACGCCTCATTCCGTCAGCACACACATGGCCAAGCAAGACGTCATGCTCTCTCTCATGATGGTCCGGGTCGACTGACCGTACGCAGAACGCAGAAAGGTATCGCCGAGCAGGACAAAATCCGGGTTGGGCATGATCCCCAGGACACATTGGTTCCCCGACTGGCGTATAATCTCCTTGTACGGGACCCGAACGGTCACGCCCTCAAAGGCGAAGTCGAGCGTGCCGTTGACCTTGGTCAGCGCGCAGTCGACAGAGTAGAAGCCGCTGCTGTCCTGGGTGGTCGCTCCGAAATCCGCGGCGACGGCAGCGACGAGGGCCGTCGGGAGGAGCGTCAGCGTCGACCCGGAGTCGAGAAAGACCGGCATCGTGCTGTTGCTGTACGTCTTCCTTCGCAAGCTCGGCGGCGTCAGTGTCATGGACTGCATGGCGACCCAGTAGCGCGGCACGCCGTCCGGGCTTTGGGCGGCGGGGATGATGGGCAGCCGAGCCAGCCGCCCGGCGAACTTGGAGGTATCGACGCCTCCAAACACGATGACGCCCTCTTGCTCGTCCTTGCCTCCCAGCGCCAGTGTGAAAGCTTTGACTCGGGTCACATTCTGAGCCGCCAGCTCGTCGACAAAATTCCTGTACCTGGTCGTCAGGCCGAGCCCGTACCCAATTCCCAGGATCCCGGAGAACTCGTCCTCGGTGGCTGTAGCGACCCCGAACTGCACTGCCTTGAGGATCGAGGACGACCCAGGCAGGGCAATGTCGTCTTTGACATAGGTGATGTTGGCCGAGCCAATGCCGTATCTCAGCGACTTGGTGGTGCCGATGCTTTGGAAGGTGGACGACTTGGCCGTGTCAAAGTTGCCGACAGACGAGCAGAATCCAGCATCTCCAAACGACCCGGCCGTCGAACAGGTCGGGTTGACCCAGAGCTCAAAAGAGCCCGTGTCGAGCTGCACGAACTGCGGCTGCGGTGGCGTGCCGAGTTCCACTATGAACGTATCAGTAGCCAGCCCAGCTAGAAGCAGGACCACCTTTCTCTTTACGAGCACGACCGAAAGGGGGGTTTGGCCTACGTTTGGCGTAATAGGCCACATCGGAGCGATTGGCCAACGAGAACTGAACGGCCCTTTTCCCAAAGGCCTGTTGGTTCGTCGAGTGGACGATGGGCAAGTGGATGCAGCCTTCATGGGTGCTGCCCTGGGACTGTGCGAAGGATGTGGACACCGACAGCGCAAGTATCAACAACTGGAGTGCCATGGTAGGCACTGGAAACAAAATCGACTACCTCTCCGGCGACAGCATGGAAGATGGAGGGAGGGAGGGGATATTACGCAATAAATTAGGTGTAGGCTGGCCAAACGAAGAAAAAAAAAGAATGAGTCTGGAACAAACAAGAGGAACCGCCCACAGAGAGACTTGTAGCCGTGAACTGCTCGACCAGAGAAGCGCTTCAACGTCTCGGATAGTTTTGGCCAGCCAAACATGCAGAGCAAAGAGAAAGAAAGAAAGGAGGAAGCAGAGGCAGCAGGGCCAAAGATAGAAGCGAAGACCGAGAAAGAGAGAAAGGAAGCCCAGCGCCTACTGCTGAAGTGAGGAGGAGGAAGAGGACGGTGAAGAAAGGGAAAAAAGGAAAAACGGAGTAGTCGTGAAGTTGGAAGGGAAGAGAGAGAGAGGAGAGACTCGTACAAGCGAAAGGACTGAAAGGGAAAGGAACGAAAGGAATTGCAGCCGCTCAGCTGCTTACTCTGGACAATAGAACGTAGACACAGAGACACCGACCGCTCGCAACGGACCAAGATGGGCGAAACATGACAAGACCAGCCGAGACCACATTCAGCCTCTTGGCTGGGGAGAAGGACGTTGGCGGTGGACCAGGGTCTCAGTGGAGGCCAGCCTCGAGGTCCCTCGACGTCTCAGCGTGGGACTCTGTGTCTTGGGTGCGTTTGTGTGGAGGCACGCAGACAAGTAGGCAAGCAGACGAATGGGCGAGCGAGGTGGTTTGGTCCTCGACGGAGTATGTCCTCTTTGCCCTGTGTCATTCTCGGAATACCTCTCATCCATAACTACAAGTAGAGCATAGTTGACTATGCCTCGAGGCCACGGGCTACTACGGAGGGTAGAGACGCATGCGACACAAGGTAAGGTAGGCAGTGAGGGTTGCAGACGGCCACCTGTGGTTCTGAATCAGCGGCCAACGCTGTGGCTCGCATCGTGAAACTCGAAAGCGGAGAGGTGCGACAAAGGCGAGGAGGGTCCGAGGAGGGTCCCCCGGCCGGGGGTTGCGACAGGGGGCGGGTGCGCGAAGAGGGGCCGCCAAGGGTGACAGACAGGGGCTTCGACAGTTGGACGGTTGGACAGTTGGACAGTTGGACAGCCCGCACACGCCATGTTGGATTCGCTTCTCACAGACGCACGACGATCAAACACCGACAGGCCAGGCCGCGCATATTGAGAACTGGCTATGAATAGCAACAAAGCACCAGACACCATCATCAATCGGTCCGGCGCTCGCCAGTGCTGATCCTGCGTCGCTCCGACCCGAGCTGCATGTACAAGTACTCATCGGCATGCCGGTTTGGAGGCGGAGGCACTCCGTAATCACAATCTTGAATTCATTACTGAACCTAGCATCCCCCGGCGCGCCGGTTCCGACTTGTGGGCTTCTAGTTGAATACATCCGGCGGATATCACACCCAGTCTCTCTCCCTCTTTTCCTCCCTCTTTTTCTTCCTCTCCGAGTTGCGCGCGCGACATGACAGAAACGAGAGAAATCGCTCGTAGTCACCCGCGTGCGGAAACGATGAGATCTACACCAGACGGACAATAGCGCCCCTCCAGTTCATTCATTGCCTCTGGCTCCTCATACATACCTCGAGCTTTCTCTTCACTGGGTTCTTTGCTTTTAGCGCCGACAATTAAATATGTAGATGTGGTTAGCTTGGCAAATTCAGCCTCACAAGGCCTCCCACGCTTTCTCGTCTGGTCCCCCTGCCTTGTTGGTTTGCAAGATGGCTCGATTACGATTTGGGGCTCGATTCCGCCCACCCACTCACACTCAGCCTTGATCCATCCTCTTCTTTCTATTTCTCGCATTTTTATCCTCTTTTGAACCTCGCTTGTGAACTTGCAATACCCCGTCTCTTCACGCACAGTCCGCTGCGTACATATTTAGAGCAAAAGACACGGGCAAGAGTAGAGCAACCAGCCAGACGATCACCCAGTCAGTCAGCAAGTCCATCAATCAGTCAACTACTGTACTTTGCCCATGCCAGAACCCCTGCTGCCCACGGCGGTTGCCGTCTCCAGCCCGCCCGAGTTTGACTTTGCCTTCGACCCTTCCCTGGACCAGTTCAACGTCGGCGTCGGCGGATTTCTGGCGTTGCACCCCGAGTTCGATGCCATTGCTACCGGTGCGCTCGTCTTTGACCAACAAGACCGGCTGCTGCTCATCCAGCGCGCCGCGCATGATTCCATGCCTAGTCGTTGGGAGGTCCCTGGCGGCGCAGCTGATCCAGACGATAAGACGGTGCTCCACGCCGCAGCCCGGGAGTTGTGGGAGGAAACAGGCCTCGTGCTGAAGCGCCTCGTACGCCAGGTCCCACTGGGCCCTGAGGGCCCCGACGCTGCCGTTTTCTTCACGCGGAGAAACCTGCGCATCGGCAAGTTCACCTTTGAATCCGAGGTTGAAGGCTGCGGCGGCTCCAGCGTCATCAAACTGGACCCCAACGAACACCAGCACTGCCTGTGGGTAACAGAAGACGAGTGTCGAGCACGCCGGACCGGCGGCAATGTCGAAATCACTTTTACGACGGTGCAGCAGGAGCAGACGATCTTGGAAGGCTTTAGGATGCGCAGGAAACAGCCTCAGTGTCCGTAGTCGCTCTAGCGAGGAGGAGACCATGGCGCGGTGAGGCCGTCCGTAGGGTCCAGCAGTGTCCAGCGGTTTCAATGTTCTGGCACTTGACTCTTCCAATAAGGTTCTAGACGTGGCTGGTCAAGTCTCTCCAAAAAAAAAAAAAAAAAAAAAAGAATGAGAATCAATTGATCGTGTATCCCCTATGGCTGCTCTGTATTTTTGTTTACGTTATTCACAATCGCCCACCCTCCTCCTCCTGCAGTCTACCCTCCGTCTTCCTTGCAATCAGCACCATTCACCAGAACAACCCCAGGCTGACTAGGCCGAGATCTAGAACAAGTCGACATCTCCCCCTTGCAGCCACTCCTCCATGGCTGCATACATGTTGTGCCAGCCTTCATTGCGAGGCGTCGGGAGGGTCGAGTGGATTGTGTATCCCAGGCGCTTCTGCATCAGCCCCAGGTACTTGTAGCCCTCCGGGTACGACTCCATTTCCGTGACTTCCTCGGCCGTCAGCTCTGGTGCATGGGTGCCATCGATAGACACTATCTTGTCCTTCATGTAGAAGAGCTTGACAAATCTTGTCTTCCAGGGGCGGTCCTTGGATTCGCGCAGACAGAAGAAAATGAAGACGCAGTCGCAGTCGACGTCCCACTCGAGTTGGCCTCCGCGCGGCTCGTGGGCAGAACCGGTTGTCGCGTCGGGCTGCTGCGTGAACCGCTGCGTGATGGTGGCCTTCATCTTGCCGACGGCGCGATCAGTGGCTTGGTTCAGCTCGACAAGAGTGCCACATTCGCGGTGCATGATGAAGGCGCCCGCCTCTTTGCCGCGCTTGGAGATCTCGATGAAGTCATCAATGGGCAAAGCGCCACTCCAGGTAGTCCACACGTCGGCCTGCTCGGCAAAGAGCGATCGGAAGTTCTTCCACTCCGAGGCATCGCGGTACACGGGCCATCCCTTGCAGAGTTCAGACACAGCAAGGCGGTCAAGGAGCTCCGAGGTTGCTCCGTTGTTGTGGGAATAGGACTTGGTGTGAGGGTCCACGGGAGATGTCATGGTGAAAAGGGCTGCGTTGCAGCGAGCTGCCAGCAACGGGAGTGTAGAGGGAGAGGGAGTAGTGCTCCGGGGAGTGCTTCAGCTGTTGTAGAGAGGCTGGTGCACTTCGGGTTGGGAATGAGATATGTGCTGTTGGGATTTCGGAAAGGGGCGAGTGTGAAGAGGCAGCAAGCTGCCGTTCTTTTATATTCCCGCTGAGGTAATATGGACAGGACTAACTGACCCTGTGATTCACGCAGTCTTCCTCACGACACCCGCCCGGCTCATACGAAGCCAGTGAACGATAATCATCAAGGAGATCCACCTGACACAGCAGCAGGTAGTACCCATGTCGACGAGGGCACCCCAGTCACTACCACGTCAACTTGTGAGCCGGTGAGCTCTTGGTCGACTTATCTGACGGGTTTGCAGGCACATGCAAGTGAATCTCCGGCCGCGCAGAACGCGCCGCCGGGGGCTTTTTTACTTTCTTTTCCCCCTGCAGTCATGGGCACAGGTGCAGGAGAGCATGTTAGTATACTCCTCAGGGTTCCAGACATGCACTGAATTCATCTTGACTCGCCGATACGAACCTCACCGCTCAGCAAAATATGGGCCGACGATGCCGTAGTCTTGCTGGCTAGGTCTGGCGGCTATGCTCCCGAGTGGACAGGTTGAGTCTCTCAAGCCCGAATGTCTGATGACTGTCTGAGGACAGCACATTGCTGCGTCATATTCCTTCTGCCGGCTCGCAGAGGCGACGGAAGAACCTCTCTAGCAGGTGACGTGACCCGGCCACCGATATCTAGGCGGATCTGACCGGCCGTCGCACCTGGGCTTGCCTCCGTTTGCATGCACGCATACACTGCACAGACGCACAAGCCAGGTTGACTGCCAATAATCTTGTCCCATTTTAGTGCTTATCTTGCACCGCCCAGATCGCACTACAGAACTCTGCATAACGATCCGCGTCCTGGTTCCTCCCGTCAAATCATCCTCAAGTGTAGGACAGCCTCCTCTGTCCACAACATGGCCAAGGCCGGGCTGATGCGGTTGAGTCGGGTCGACCGAACGGTAGAGATCTGGCCGCTCCGTCCGCGTTCGTTGTACTGCCGTTGTGTGCATTACCGTCGGTCCTTGCCCTATCAAGTCGATCAAAGGCATCGGGAATACTCTGCCAGGCCTGTCTGTCAGCTTATTCCGGGTCTCACAAGAACGGAAAGGCAGAAACCCTTCGGGCGGTACAGGAACTAATTGGTCTTGATCAACTCACACTCGTTCAATTTCTTACGCTTGAAGACGTCTCTTGGCACGTTGTGGCTGCTGACACCACTGATGTACGCACTGGTCTCATGGGTCAGCCTGACTATAATTTGACAAAGGGTTGACTCGACGACATACCGCCCCAATTCAATGTTTTGTCATCATTGCAGTTGAGCTTGACTGCCTCGTCTGTAGCCTCGGAAGCAGTGGGGATAGAAGGGCCTCCCAGTGTGATTATTGCAGAAGATTAGTACTAGCTCGAGGGGATTCGTCATTGACAGAAGCATCGCTCGCGACGCCGCAGGCGCAACTTGCCTCCCTCATAGTGGCACACCCTGTTACACATGTGTGTATTAATGATGTCGGTCAGCTGAATGGCGGTCGACGATGTCGGAGATACTGGGCCCGTTTTATTGTCAGCTCTCCTTAGGCCTGCTGGGCCAGACAGAAAGCTGGAGGGCGCATGGCATCAGACTCTCACTCGGGAGTGAAAAGGCACGTATTCCAACCTGATGTTTGCAAGCAACATGCCATCGAGCGGCATCGTGGGAATTCCTTCGTTCTCTTTCACTGTCAAAGTAAAGAGGTGACCCGTGAAGGCTCGGCAAGCTGCCCGCTTCTGCCCGTTGGCCGTTTCTTAAACTCTCGAAGCCCACATTGATCAATATGTCACTATAGGCAAATTCAACTCTCCATTGCCTAGCCCTGGTCTAAAGTTGAGCCTGTCAGCCGCTCTCGCGAGTTGGTTGAGGTTGGCGTATTCGTAGGCAATACTCTTTGTGTACATAGGGCCGCAGCATTGTCCAAGGTATTCAATAGTGGTGGCTGTGGTGCTAACCTCGAACATTAACTTTGACGTGGATGACTGAGGGGTTTCCTGAGCCCGACAAGGCTACCGTAGCATGCCCACACAGGATGGACGATACTACCAGTACTATCGACGACGTATTTCAACGAGGGTACATATAGTGGTGGCCGGGGTGCGAGTTCTTTTGAATATAGCTAGAAAACTCGCCTTGTCACCTAACGCCCAACGGCATGGAGCGTACCTAGCATTTATGTCACGTAATCGAGCGTGAGGTCAGGAGTTTCAGCTAGTACTGAGTGACACCCTGCGCAAGGTGCATGCTGCGACTTGTGGGGGGGGGGGGGGGGGGGGGATTAAGCACGAGGGAGTCAAGATGCTGAAGGATATCACGGAGTAACATTGGGTATCGACCCGTAGAATTTCATTACCCTCACTAGTCAGTGACCACCTTCTTGACCACCACCCGGAAGTCGACGAGTCTCCATGATGATAACCCCTGTGTTTTCAGAGAGCATATTTCCAGGCCGCACCAACACGTAAACTGTATATTCGTCTATTCGCGATAAGATCAGGCCATGTGATCGGTACTCGTCTTGGTCTCGCCCGCCGTCCTGTGACTGACGGTAAAAAGGAAAAGCAAGAAGCCATGCCTATAGAATCCCACGGTCGATATGAATCCATGCCCCAACTCTCGTCTTTGCCCCGCGAAACGCAGAGATGCCAAACAGCCAAAATTCCAACAACGCCAGAGAATCATGTTTAAAGACGCCAACAGGGTATCTTTCACGAACCAATCCGCCCACCATACTGCCCTAGGTCTGCCTCTCGCCTCGCCGCACGACGTCTGCCATTGACAGAGTCATTACCGGCCGTTCAATCTCGAGGCTCCGACTCGGGATCAGCCTACCACCTGGAGTGCGTGGGTTGGCGACATTAACCCTGCCCGACCTCTCCATAAGCCTGGCAGGCTCATCCCCACTGTCAGAGTCTTCATCACCCTCCCGCTCTTGGGACGGATCCTCGTAGTCGGCGAGCCGCGCGAAGTAGTCGGCCAGTCCATCCACGCTCGGTGTACCTACAATGGCGTCGTAGTTTGGCGGCGGGGTCATGAGTTCGGCTGGCAAGGGTGGGGGCGGATCGTCCGCGTCGAAGTCCGGTGGGTTGTAAGAGGGTACGCGCAAGAGATGGATAGGCCGCGGTTGAAATATCTCTTGCTCGCGCATCCTACGCACGGGCGCGCTACCTACGGAGCCGCCAGTCCCCGCCGAGTGGGTGCTTACGTTGACACCCGCAGAAGGGGAGTGTATGTGAGCAGCCTGGGGGGGCATGGGCAGGGCGCTATTCTGTACGCCGTCAGATACACCTTCGACGGTGGGGAGTGTGCCAGTGGAGCTCGCTGGCGAAGGGTGGCTGGCCGTGACCTCGGCATCCGGGCAACCGCAAGCCGTGTGCTGACGATAACCGCCAGGCGGGTCGAGGCCGGAATACTGTGGCAGGGCAGTGTTGGCCTGGGTCGACCGGCAATTGAGAACTGTGAAGGGCGAGTCTATGCTGATCTCAAAGTGCCGTCGGCGTTTCCCTGCTGGGTCTTCTGCGTCGAGTCGCGAGATGCGCATCACGATCTGATCCCGGCCTGTCGTTAGCTCGGGGTCACTGGAAAGCGTTTGTCATCATGTCCCACGCCGGCCAGGGTGCCAGAGACTGGGTGGACCGACGGGGCAAGGGTCGCACTCACCTTAATCCAGTGAAACACATTCACGTTCTTCCAACTGCAATCGGGATGCAACCTCAGCGACTTGTCCTTGGCCATTTGCTCGCAAGTCGGAATCTGGACATTCATCTCGATCTCTGTGGATCCCCAGTAGGTCTCCAGCCCGAGCTCAAGATCGCCCAGAAGGTTCTCCGTGGGCTCGGGCAGCGGCAGCGGTGCTGTATGGGCTCTCTGCGCCTCCACGTTCCTCCGACGAGTGGCCGCGGCGCGCGCCTCGCTGCGCTGCTCTGTCGATAACTCGCCGCCGCTCAGGACGCGCACCTCACTCGACTCAAACTGCTTGTCCAGAGGCTTTCCCGCGGCTTTCTCGAGCAGGAGAATCTTGCGGCCCGGGTCTTTGCGAGTGACCCTACGATCGTTCGTCCAGTATTCTATCGATTCGGTCACGAATACCTTGAGCTTGTGGACCTGGACCTTGGCCAAAGGGGTGAGTTTGAAAGCAATGGGTATCTTTGTGCCAATCGGGAACGACTTCCCCGAAATCATAATGTCGTAATGCAGCTGATCTTCCCACTGGCGACTGATGGAGATCGGCTCCGTCATTTCCAGGGACAGCTGGTCGGGGACTCGCACGATACTGACTTCTCGCGTCCCGTGCAGGTTCGGCTTGAAAGCACCTGCGCGCTCAACGGTCGTTTCGAGCTCCCACTTGACCGAGCCGTACTGAAGCTTTGTCGTCTCGAGCTGGTGGTGGTCTATCGGGAGCTCGAACGAGTACTCATAGATGCCAGGATAAAAAACCTTGTAGCCTTTGGGCGGGACATGACCCGCCATCGGAGACTCGCCTTTACCAAAGCTCCGCGACTGAACCGACTGCAGGGACAAGCGCCGCAGTTCCTTGGCCGTGAGGCCCGAGTGCGGTCTCGGCCTGTTCTGTGAGGCAAGCGAGGTAGAGGAGTGGTTTGGTGACATGGTGGCACGAGCCAGGCTAGCTGCGGGCGTGTTGTCGGTACCGCCCTTGATGATGTAGGTGCACTGGTTCCCGTATGGAGTCTCCCAGCTTTCGTGCAAGGCATGGAAGAAGGTAAGTACTTGTGTCCGCAGTGTCTCCTCTTCGTGTATGTCAACCTTGAGAGGAGGGATGCCCTCTGGCCACTCCGTCCTCGCTCGCCCGAGGAGTTTGAGCGCTATTGACTTTATTTTCACATTCTTGGAGACACAAAGCTGCAGCTTCCCGCGGAGCAGTGCAGTCGAGGTCTGGCTCTCACCCCTGCTCTGGCCGTCGTGGTCGAAGCCAGTCAAAAAGACATTGGGCTCGGCCAACAGGATCGAGCAGACCAGCCCACTCCCAGATGCGACCGGCTTGTCGTTCACTTCCGAAACAGATGAGCTCATGATGTTCTTAGCCGAGCGGACAGACATGATGCTATTTCGGTGGGGTTTGACCCCGTGTATGGTCGTGGTGCTCGATAAGGTGGTGGATGACATGTTTGCCATGTGCTGGGGACGGATCGCCTCGACCATGACTGACGTAGAAGAGTCTGCTTGGTCATTAATGGTATCGAAGTACGCAGAGACCCGGCTCCCTATGCTCAAAAGGCTGACAGGCCGGGAATTTACCCGCGTTCTCGACGGAGAGACACCCTTGTTGTGCTCTTTACCGTCACGGGAGTGCGCTTGGGAGGGCGATGTCAGCACCGAGGATATCTTGCTGATGATTTTGAGGATGGAACGTTCGACCGAGACTGCCGGAACAACCAAAGAGCGCCGTGGGCTCGACGGCTTGGGGGGAGAGTCGGGGACAATGGGTCGCGCTAGTCTTGGAGAAGGCGGCCGAAGGTCGCGAGGGATGTATCCTGGCGGGAAAGACGTAATGTGTATGGAGTGGGGCCGGCGCTGGCGCGGTCTAATGTGCGGCGTCGGAAAGGTCGCTGGCGCGGTGGTTCGGAGCCTTCGGGGTTGGGGAATTCTCGGCGTATAGTATATGGCTCCCTGAGACGAGGTTGAATAGGGTTGAGTGAACTGTCGACGGTTATCGGAGTCTGTAGCCATATTCATTAGACATCAATGTTCTCCCCTTCTCCTCCCCACAAAGGTCTGAAAATGGCCAAGAAACTCATCAAGCAAGGAAAAGCACATCAAAGACAGGGTTCTGGGCACAAACAGGATGAATGAGGAATGAACAGGGCGGCCTGAGTGGCCGCTGCGGACGACATGCCGACAGAGGCAAACTGCAATCAATACAGACTACTCCCAGGCGAGGAATGGGTTTGGTCGCTGGCAGTGAAAGAGCTCCCCAGGCGCGTCATGTATGCATCATGCCTCAGTCTCCCCCATAGCGGTAGGTTGTTCAACTCCAAAACGCAACGAGAAGCTAAATGTATTATGGTGAGGGGAGGGAGGAGATCCAGGCGTTGTTGCTGGTGTTGTCAAGGTAGCGAGATTTGGTGTTTCTGTGTGTGACCTGAATAGATCTGAGGTGCACGGCCCAAAGAATCGCTGGACGCAAGGAGATGCGAAGCATGGAAGTGAGCGCACCAGAGAGGAGAGCGGAGGGGAGGGGGGCCGGCAGAGGGAGATGGGAGGAAATAGCAGAAGACGATAAACATCAGAGCAGACTCAAGAGGGAGGAACAAAACGGGCGGGGGGTGAGAAGCAAAACCAAAATTCAACCGGCGGTCTGGAGAGTGGCAGCCAGACCAGCCGGAGAGCGGCTGCGTTCAGAAGGATACATACATGACTGGCAAGAATCATAACAGAGACATTATTTGTCCAGAGGTGTGCTGGGCCGTGGTCGCGTGTCTCATGAGAGACTGCAAGGTCGAGCAATACAACAGCGACAGGTGGTGCGGGCTATGGGAGCTGTGTTTTGGTGAGACAGGATGAGGCGACGGAGCAGGCGCAGTGGCAGGACATCCGATATTGCGTCGAAACGTGGTGCGTCGAAACTTGACCGCTTTGTGGGTCAAGACAGTCAGGCAGGGCAGGTCATGCAGGTATATCTGGGCAGATATGGGTGTGTGGTGGTGGACTTTGTTGGCGGGCAGCAACCTTGCCCTCTCCAGACGGCGGGCGCGGGCGCGTGTGCGGCAGCGTCCGTGATATTGTGAGCACGAGCTCTCTCTCCTTCCTCGCCGGCCTTGGGTCTTGGTCCTTCTTTGTGAAGCAAGGCACCGGACTAGCCAGCCAGCCGGGATGTTTCCGCGTCAAGGTCGTGTCTTGCTTGTGGTATCGTGACAGTAGCCGAGCAGAGGGGGAGGAGGATAGAGTCGCCAGTCGAGGTTGCGAGCATCCGAGACAGTCTGCCTTGAGGGACGAGCAGCGGGCAGTCGCTTGACCAGGTCTATGCAGGTTCCCTGTCGATGATGAGGATGATGCTTGTGCTGGTGCTGCGTGTGGGATGGCTGTCCAATATGGTAGTCGGATCGCAGCCGGCAGATGCGGCAGATGCGGCAGGGATCAGGGTGGCTGCGAGGGGAGGCGCGCAGATCAGGAGGGGGATCTCAGATCCAGCTGACTGGTTGTTTTTATTCTTTGGGGGGGAATGGGGAAGGGAAATCAATTAAAGTACTCAGTATTGGATTGGGCGGAAGTGTGGAAGAATAGAGAGGGCGCGAGACTGGAGGATCAAGCCATCCAGCCGTGCCGGGCAGGGAAGCTGGAGGCGCCGGGGCAGTGGCAGGCGGGCGGAAGCCCTGGAGGCTAACGGTTCACTGCATGTGGTGATGCTGGAGAGGCACCTGGGCAGTCACGTCACTGCTCACTGGGGGTCCTTCTTGGAAGCGGGGACCAGGTGGCCGCTATGATTGGCAGTCGGCAAGACCGTCGACGTAATGGCTCCAGGCCACAGAGAGCAGGGATTTTAGATGAACCTTGAAGTTGCAAGCCAAAACTTGGCACACCTACTTCGTACACCGGCACTACGCAGTACACGGCCAGGCAGGTGGTGTTCTCTATGGGCCTTTTCAGCTTTTCTTCGGATAGCCCTGGAGAATATGCAGCAGGCTTTGGGGTAATGCTCCCCGGCTCGACCGACTCAATAGCAAGCCTCGTTGTACTTGGTATGGACGCTTCAGCAGGCAATGATAGCGAGAAATGTTCATTGCCCGCGTAGCAGATGGGGGTCTAATTACCTAGGTACTGTAGCTACCTACCTCGTAGATTGACTTGGGCTCGATTACTCAAATTCTGGGCTTCTATATCAGCATCATCGATGGACAGGTATCCGACCCAGGGTTCTCCGGTCGGTCATGAGTCAGCGCCCTGTAAAGGATAAAAAAGGCACAACGAGTAGGGCTTGCTTGTAGCTGGTATCTGGGCTCAAGCAACCCGCTTACTGGTGCTGCAACCACCCAAAGGAGCCTGCCGAATCGGCTCCGCCTCGGGAGTGTTGGCAGATCAGGTCAGTCTCGGGCCAGTCTTGGGCGGCATTTGATTGATGCTCACCCATGTTCCGCTCGTGCCGGGGGCTCCCGCAGCGTTTCTACAAGTACTCCGTACCTACTGCAAAAGTTTAAGCATTGATGTACGCGGCCCCGTCCCGTTTGTCTTACGTCATCCCTCCGGCACCCCCGAGGACCTGTCAAGCCTCGCAACAATTTGACAACTGTCTAGAGCAGCAAGGATCAAGACCACGAATGTTTGTCGACAGTCTGTATCATATAGTTTTGTCGATGATATCCATCTGGCATACTCGCCAAGGGTGCCGGACACCATTGAGTGCTCCCCGGGCGATACAAAAGATGTTAGTACTCTACTGCCTAGAATCTCCTTCTCCACGATGTGTTCCCACAGATGATGCATAAACACCCACTCAGACTGAGCGCACGACGATGCCTATGCTTGCAGCCCAATGCTTTGCTCCTGGCCAGATAGACATCGGCCGTCTGCACCAGTGTATCAACACGCCTAGACCCTGGCTACCCGGCAGCAGGGCAGCTGGTGTTCTCTGCCAGGCTGGAGATAATATTATATCGAGCAGACAAGCTGTCAGCCGCCTAAGCCAGACCTTGGTGTACACACACACGTATTGCACTGGTCAACAGACCCACTGCGGCTGTGGACTTGTCATAATTCACGAGGCAGGGTATGAGTGAGCTGTATCGCGAATAGGAATTGGGCCTCTTCTATGCGGGGACTGCCCCCCTAGAGCCTTGTGGTTCTTTCTCTCTTCTTTCCTACGTCGAGTCTGACAGTGCTGCCTAAAATCGTGTGCTTTCATGTTCTGGTTCCCAGGAGGGATGCCGGTGTTTTGTGGGGATAGGGTCGTCTCGAAAATACTTGAGTGGAAGACAAACGATATGTTTACCAGAGCATGCCTAGGTGGGCCATCCTGTGGGAGCACTGCGGTCATCTAGACCGCTGCTATCTTCTGTGGAGCTCGCCACGTAGAGCGTCGAGCTCTTGTTTCGCGTTCATTCTCGAGGCTTGTAATCACATGAGATTAGACTTGTGTCTCGTTTGAACGGTAGCCTGTCCACGACTGCAGAACCACAGAACCTCTACTCGGCCGCCGAGTAGCCGTTTCAGGATATTTTGACTCGTGAAGATCATCCCCTCCGACCGAGACTGTGATCACTGAGGCCAGGTGAGAGTGCAGGGATAGGCAAAGTGGTGCTCATGAAGCATATTAGCCTTCCTCGTGCTCTTCATGGGCCCGGTCTTGACCATAGTCGCCACAACATGAAGCTCACTTACCAGTTCAACTCCATCAAGGATAGCCAGTGCACTCACTTTAGAGCTGAAGGGTCAAGTGCCGGGGACGAGTTCGACATCGCTTACTTCCAAACACTCCAAGTTCAAGCGCCCCTTCATCCGTAGTAACTGGAACCAATCTTCCGTGTTTGATACCCAACGACAACCTACAGAATAGAATAACTCAGAATAAATCGCCTCCTTGAGAAGGGAACGTCTTTGGTTTCGGCCGTCGAGTGAATCGGAACAAGCAGTAAAGAGGCCTCCTGGGAGCCCTGATACATCCACTGGACGGGATACAGCCACTATACACTACTCTGGTCTCGCAGAGGTTAATCGTGGCCCCTTTACAGAATAGGACGGATATCCCGGTGACGATTTTAGCGAGGCATACATAAAGCAATTTATGGTCTGAGTCTTGATGCGGTAAATACAACTCGTGATGCTCGCACAGACAGACCGAACTACCTATGGGATATTCCGGATGCGCAATACAATACCAGCAGGGCAAGCATTAAAGAAGAGCCGATCTGCCCAGACCTGGTGTGACTTATTTATTCCAATACTCAACCCGAGAGCAGGCGCCGCCGCCCAGACAATCATCGGCCCATCCATCTGGCTGGGCTAAGCCATGCTTTATCCCTCCTCATTCGAGGTGATTCCATCAATGCACTACCAGCTATGGGCAGCACGGCCACATGGAAATCAGACATGACACTGTAGTCTATATGCGATGTCAGACTGGAGAGGAAGGCAAAGATGAAAGAGGCTCCTGGCTGGTACATGTCTCCTGGATGCCCAGGCGAGGACAGAGTACATTGACACATAGCGTATAGATCACAGAACAACTCGTTCTCACTTTGGACACAGACAAAGGGGAAACTTACGCCGAGGGTTGCACGGCCAACACTCAATTCTGTCACGGCACCGGCCAGGGCCACGAACCAGTGCCAAGTCGGGTTGCCATGCACCCCGGGCCGCCCTCTCCATGCTTGCTACTGGCTAAACCTATTGTGAGCAACAACCTCGATATCTATACCGCGAGGACCTGTTAAAAAGTCACGTAGCTTGCAAGTGTCACAATTCTCATGTACTCGTCCAGGATAGATAGGCAGCCGTCATGGGTCTAAAATGAACAGGTCCCCCGAGGACAGACATGCGTCCCTTTTTAACATGCATGAAGTTCGATGTGCGCCCTACACGAGGGGACCGTACTCTGCCCTGGCCCTGTCGACGTATATTGCCCCCAGTGCAGTTAACTGATAGCCACACACACATCACAAGGCTTACTGGGCACCTATGTATTCGCCAGGGGGGGTGGCATAACCACACGTCCGTGTTGTATAGCCGGCTAGAAA